CCAGAAACCGACCCTGCCGCCTGATTTCTAATTTTAGGCCCTGTCGGAGAGGAACAGATCCTGCAAGGGGGATATAGAGTGGGAGCCTCTGCGCTTTTTATACATTCACCTCTTCCTCCACCGGCTCAGATTTTTGGTGGCGTTATAGAAAAAATTGGGGTTGGCTTTGACAGCCTTAACTCCCCCTCAGGGACTTGTCGGTCCCCTAAGTCCGTTGTCGGTCGGAGAAGAATGGATGGAGACAGGATCCAGCAAAAGCAAGGGAGATCTTTATTTCCCTGCTCCTTGCAAGGAGGCGAGAGGCTCAGAACAAAGGCGTACAAGGACCTTTAAAGACTTCAGAAATTGCCAAACCCCTTAGCCGAAGACCATCCGTACATCACAGAAAGAGGCTGTTTACAACAGAAATTTGAGAGTGTGGCTTCTCTCCTGTCTTCCGAGATACCTGATAAAGGCATTAGCTGGCCAGTCTAGGCCGTTCTTTTGAGATGGTAAATAACTTTAGTTCTTGAATCCAGGTCACAGGTCTACCCTATCCCTACACAAAACACGTCCTTAAGACAGGATTTGTAGGACTTGTAAGTGAAAGAACTACTAGGGAAAGTTTCTCCCATATTTCCCCCTCTGTCAAGGAAATGTTTTCGAGTCAGGATGGCTTCAGGATTTGCTCTCCTGTACGGGTAAGACTGGGAGAGACCGCTGCCTGAACGTGCTGGAGAGATGCTGCCAGTCAGTGTAGACAATATTGTGGCACTCCGGGCCTGCTTGTGGGCTTGCCGCAGGCATGTGTCTGGCCACTGTGAGAACAATATCCTGGACTAACTAGATAGATCACTGGCTTGATTCAGTATTATGCTTATATCTCTCAGGGCCACACTTAACGGGCCCAAACCTGCCACAACACTCCCTTTACCCGACAGTAGAGCCGGCTACCTCTGGTGGCGGGTGGCGGGGAGACTCCGTTGGAAGGAAACATAAAGGGATAGCTCAGTCAGTGGAGCACGAGACTCTTTAATTTCAGGGTTGTGGGTTCGAGATTCTGCCATTGCAAGGGGTTGGGCTAGATGACCCCCTGCAGTTCTATGAGTCTCAGGGCATGGGCAAACTCCAGCCCTCCAGATGTTTGGGACTACAATTCCCATCATCCCTAGGTAACAGGTCCAGTGGTCAGGGATGATGGGAATTGTAGTCCCAAACATCTGGAGGGCTGCAGTTTGTCTATGCCTGGTCTTTCTCATCTTTCCTCGGCTACCAGATGTCTGGGGATCCCAGCCTCTGCCCCGGGCCCCCCTCCAGCAGTCAGATGACAACACAAAGAAGTTTATTCTGGCTCGCTCTCTTCCTCCTCCTTCACCCCCACCCTCTGTTTTCCTTTAAATCTTTCGGTTTCTCTGAAGACTCGAGAATCACGCTGCGGGTTGTGGGTGGGCAAAGTGGGTGGGGGGGATGTTGGGAAGCGTCAGGGAGGAAGCCGTCACTTCCCCCGTCATGCGCAGCCGTCTAGGAACATGAAAGGCCACAGAATGGCTCATATCACAGCCACAGCCGCACAGGCGGGTAATTTTAGATTCCGGGCTTCGTGGTTTCCCAGGCGGGGAATGGGTTGCTCTTCAGATCAGGGAGGGGAATCTGTTTCAACCCCCAAGGGCCACATTCCCCTCTGGGCAAACTTCTGGGGGCCGCCTGGCTACAGATCTGGCCTTTAAGCTTTGCACGAGAGCTGTAAGGAAGCGCAGCTGCTCCCATCGCAGATCTCTGGCCCTTCCCCTAAAGCGGAAGTAAGCTCATAGTCCTCATGGGCCAATATTAAAGATCTGGCTTTAATAGGAAGCTGCCTTAGGAAGGCCGCGCTTAGTATTTGTCTACAGTTCGGGGGAATAAAAGGCTAAGGGGTAAACCCTACAAAAGTGGAGTCCCTAAGATAGTTGGGTAGCAACTTCCAGCAACTCCTGCAGCCAAGCTGGTGCCAAACGTCTTGCTCTGGTTTCCTTTGGACCCCTGAGAGCAGGGGCTGGTGGTCTTGTCATCTGGGCAGTCCAGCGCCTCCATACAAACTGCCCAGGATTGAGCCCTGCAGAGGTCACTTCCATAAAGCCATGAGCCATGATGAAGCCTCCAACTCCAGGGGCAGTCTATCTCCAAATACCAGACGTTGAGGAACAATTGACAGGAGAGGGCTGTTGCCTTCAGGCCCTGCTTGGGAGCTGCTGAAATGCACCTCCATTTTGCTCTGATTTTAACTCTTCGCTTGCACTCATGCCTGAGCATTGTTTTTTTTAAAAGTGCTATTTTATTGCAAAGCGATAAACCAGGGCTTAGGAAACCTGTGCGCCACCCTCCCCTCCCAAAATAAAGTTGTCGTGGGAACTGCAGTTCATCCTTCACAGTGCTAAAATTCCCAGCACCATCAACAAACTATGGGTCCCAGGATTTTTCGTGAGCTTTAAATGTATGGGGTGGACCGCGCTGTATTGTTAAAAGCAGGGATGGGGAAGCTTTGTCCCTCCAGATGGTGCTGGACTACAACTCCCATCAGCTCTGGCCAGCATTGGTCGGTGGTCGGGGATGATGGGATTTGGAGTCCAACAACACTTGAGGGTGCCGGTGCGGGTTCCCCATCCCTCTGTGTGTGTGTGTGTTTTAAGCTATCCTATGGGTGGGTTAAACCACAGAGCCTAGGGCTTGCTGATCAGAAGGTTGGCGGTTCGAATCCCCGCGACGGGGTGAGCTCCCGTTCCTCGGTCCCTGCTCCTGCCAACCTAGCAGTTCAAAAGCACGTCAAAGTGCAAGTAGATAAATAGGTACCACTCCGGCAGGAAGGTAAACAGTGTTTCCGTGCACTGCTCTGGTTTGCCAGAAGCGGCTTAGTCATGCTGGCCATGACCCGGAAGCTGTACACCGGCTCCCTCGGCCAATAAAGCGAGATGAGCGCCGCAACCCCAGAGACGGCTGCGACTGGACCTACGGTAATAGTCAGGGGTCCCTTTACCTTTACTCTGGCAAGCAGATGGCCAATTGCATCTCCTCTGGGTCAAAGCTAAACCTGTTGGGCTCCTACCTGCCTGGCAACTGTATGGGCATAGGAGCCAGGCCAGGAAAGAGGGACTGGCAACCATCTTTTGGGGGGGAGGTCTATAGCTCTGTGTGCGAAAGGTCCCAGGTTCAATCCCTAGTACCTCCAGGTAGGGCTGGTAGGTAGAACCCCTGGAGAGCTGCTGCCAGTCTGTGTAGACAATACTGAGCTATATGACTACAAAGACTCTGGATAAGGCAGCTTCCTGTGTTCCAGTGCAGTACATGGGCCCTGAAAAATATTTAGGAAACGTTTGGTGCAGCTGGGGACACACCGCCCCCTGCTGGCAGTCACAGAGACGCCACTTTGAGTACAGTGATTTCAAAGAATGGGAGGTTCCCTGGGAAGATGTGGGGGACTCAGCAGCCCACCTCCCTCTCCCTTGGCCTTGCTGACTTTCGTCCTTCCCGTTTCCAGATGGGCTGGATCCAAATGCATTTGCGGCATTGCGGGGGGGGGGGTGGTATTCATTTTGCACATGCTCAGAGAAGCCCTCTCAAGCACATCTCTCCACAATCGCTGCAAAAGCGGCGCTCTTCCTTCCTTCCTTCCTTCCTTTGTGTTGCTCTGCACACACTCAGAAGTACTCTTGTCGCAAGCATCCATTCCCTGGGAAATGTATACCCTGCCTTCCAGCTTCGCTGGGGTAAGCGGCTCCAGAGGGGGGTGTGTCTTGACAAAGGGACCCTCCAAAGGCCGCAAAGGTGTGGTCAACTTGGTAGTAATGACCGCGAGCTCCTGGGCAGAGAATGTACTCGGGGTCACTTAACCTTATGTCTGCCCACCTGACCTCCTAATTTGCACCTGGATGCAATTGCTCAAATTCAGGGTTCCAGTTATTTTTTTTTGTTGAGACATGGGGGGGGGGGGAGGGGGAAGATGGGGGGGGTCGGGTGGCCATGTTTCTATTTTGCTTAATGTATGTAGGGTTTGGTGTCAGCGTTGCTCATGCTGTTCATTTGTGTTTCTTTGGTGGTGAGAGAGGTTGGGGTTGGCCTCGGGTGTGATTGTTTGTTTGTGATTGGCTGTGGTGGTCTTTCTTTTCATGTGTGAGCGCGGTGGGTGGGTGTTTTGGATCAGGTTAGCCATATTGATTTGTATGCTGTTGGTGGATTTTTGTCATTGTCTTGTTGGGCTGTGTATGTGATAAAGGGGAGCCATACCACAGTGGCGTAGCGTGGGGGGTGCAGGGGGGGCCGGCCGCACCGGGCGCAACATCTGGGGGGGGGCGCTCGCACTCGCAGCTCTCTGCCCCTACCTGGCTCACTCACTCTCTCTCACTGCAGTGCTGGCTGTGCAAATCCGATCTGAGCCGCTGGGTCGCTGCCCACTGTGAAGGGGGTGGGTGCCAGGCGTGCGGTGCGGAGAGAGCGCGAGGGACTATCTGGGGGAGGGACAGTGCAGCGGCCGCCCAGCGCAGCGCTGAGCGCGGGAGAGAACCACACCAGACCAGACCAGGCAGCAGCAAGAAGAAGCTGGCAGCGGCGGCAGGTTAGGGGGCGCAAATTACTTGCCTTGCCCCGGGTGCTGACAACCCACGCTACGCCGCTGCCATACCGGGGTAAAGGCATCTTCTTCTGTTTGTCCCCGTGTCAGTTTCAGTTTATTGGTTAATTTTTCTAGTAGGGCTGTTTCCCATACTATTTGGTACCATTGGTCCATACTTACTCCTGACAGGTCTCTCCAGTGTCTGGTTATGGTGTTTCTGGCTGCTGAAAGTAGGTGGGTTCTTTGTGGTGTGAATGGGCATCGTTGTCTTGGAAGATGTTTAGTAGGGCCAATTCTGGGGTGATGTCTAATACTTGCTTAGTTATTTTACATGTTTCTCGTATGGCTGTTGTCCAGAATAGTTGGATTTTGGGGCACTCCCACCACATGTGGAGGTCTGTGCCTGTGGAGGTGCACCCTCTCATTCAGGGTTCCAGTTGAAGATCTGTGGCTCAGTGGCAGAGCTTCTGCCTCACATGCAGAAGGTCCGAGGTTCGATCCCCAGCATCTCCAGAAATCGTGCCTGGAGCCTGCGAGAACCCCTGCCAGTCAGTGTAGACACTATGGAGCTAGATGGACCCTATGGTCTGGGCTTGGTATAAGTCAGCTTCCTATGATCTCCTTTAAACTAGCTGTACATTTTGAATGATGAGGACTAGAATCTTGCAAGCAGAGGTCCCTGGCATCTCCAGATAGGGCTTGGAGAAGCTTCTGCCCGTCTATGTTGACAATACTGAGCTAGATGGACTTGGCTGAGTATTAGGCACTTCCTATGTCCCTATAGAACACTTGTTCTGCATTGCTAAGAAATCAAAACTTCTATAGTGAGGATTCACCAGCACTTTGGAACTCCCTGCCGATTGCACCTTCGCTGCACTCTTTCCAGCGCCTGCTAAAAACCTGCAGTTAGGAAAGCCCGCCTAGATTTGCAGGTTAATGTGGTTTCATGGGACGCGGGTGGCGCTGTGGGTTAAACCACAGAGCCTAGGACTTGCCGATCAGAAGCTCGGCGGCTCGAATCCCCATGACCGGGTGAGCTCCCATTGCTCGGTCCCTGCTCCTGCCAACCTAGCAGTTCGAAAGTACAAAGTGCAAGTAGATAAATAGGTACCGCTCCAGCGGGAAGGAAAACGGCATTTCCGTGCGCTGCTCTGGTTCGCCAGAAGCGGCTTAGTCATGCTGGCCACATGAACCGGAAACTGTACACCGGCTCCCTCAGCCAATAAAGCCAGATGAGCGTTGCAACCCCAGAGACGGCCACGACTGGACCTAATGGTCAGGGGTCCCTTTACCTTTTAATCTGGTTTTCCGTTTATTGTTGGTTTTAATTATTCCTTTGAACGTTGTACTGTAAATAGCTGCTCTTGGTAGATAGCTCCGTTGCTGAGAGCATGGTGCTGATGATGCCAAAGTTGCAGGTTTGATCCCTGTGTGGGATAGCTCCATTGCAGGGACTCCCCCCCCACCCCCAAACTATGATTCTGAAACAGTCTGCATTGATCATGTTATTTGCTTTATTCTTGTTGTAAACCTCTTCCGAGGGTTGCTGGTTTCCTTTTACAATCGAGTGGTATAAAATTTTTATGAAATGACAATGAAATAAATAAACTGGGTATAAAATTGCTCGGCCTGTAACACCAAAGGTATTGTCAGGCTCCTACTTTTGTTATAGTACAACTTCCTCCGGCTCTCACAACCACCATCCATTCCCAGCCCCTTCTTCTGCCTTCTTCTGCCCCGGCAAACCTCCTATCTATTCATCTACCATCTCTCCTTAGACCCTCTCCTCGAGACCCACTTTCCCATCCTCACAAACACCCCTTCCTCCTCCTTTCTCATTTCAGGATCCCCTCTGAACCCTCTCTCTCTCTGCTCCAACAGAGATGGGGGTCACACCTGGTCCCCCCCCCCCCCGCACAAATATCAAGTTATGTGTTCTATGCAGCGCACTAGAAATAAATGTGGCGCACTAATAGCAAAAGAGAAAAGGAGGCAAAAATAAATATCTCAGCCGAAGCTGGGCTCTTACTTAAGAGATCAAAAAGGGTCGGGACACGAGCAAGATTTCCTTCGCTGTTTTTCTGCTTTCCAACTTGCTGTCCTCCCTGCTTCTTTCCACAACAACTCTTTATGCATCAGACCAAAGGGTTTTATCTCAGCCTGACATCCTCTCCTCAAAAGGGAGCCCACCAGAGGTTTACAACAGGTACGGCATCTCCCCTGCATGCAAAAGGTCCTGGGTTCAAATGCTGGCATTTTGAAATTGGCTGCAAATGACCGCCTGTCTGAAACCCTGGAGTGCTGCTGCCATTGGTATACTGATAATATTGAGCTAGACGGGTCAAGGGCTGGACTCACTTTAAGGCAGCTCCCGTTGTTCCTCTTTAATTCACCAGTTTATTCAGAATCTTGAGGACTGGAATCTTAGGGTTTTGTTTTGTTACATAAAAGACCTTAGCTCAGTGGTAGAGCATCTGCTTTGCATTCAGACAGGTCCCAGGCTTGCTCCTGGTTATCTCCAGGTAGGGCCGCAGGAGAATCCTGCCAGAAACCCCGGAGAGATGCTGCCAGTCAGTGTAGATACTACCAGGCTAGATGGACCAATGGACTGATTTGGTATAAATCGGCTACCCGTGTCCTACAAGCGAGGTGGGAAGCTGTGGGTTGTTTCCCTTGCTACCGATCCCCAGCACGTGATATTCAGAGGTAGACTGCTTTTGGAACTGGAGGTTCCATTTACCCACCACATTTAAGAGACGTCGATGGGCCAATCCTCCTCCAAGAATCTCTCCAGTCCCGTTTTCTAAGGCCGTCTAAGCCAGTGGAACGTTCCCTACAGTGGATGCTGTAAATGGACAGCAAAAAACACACCTTTGCTTTTCCAACCTGCACTTACTGCTGTTCAGCTTCACGGGGTGAAGCTTTTACAAACCTGAATGGTGTCATTTCTGCCCCAGCAGACTGCTTTGAGTGGCTGCCCTCCATCCCCAAAGCGGCAGCTGCGTTTACACGACAAATCCAGTTTGAAACCAGTTTCGCTTAAAAAAACCCAAAAAAACCCCTCCCTGAGAACTATAGTTTTTTCCCATAAGGGAGACGGATGCTGAAACTTTAAAACGGCAGCCGCACTAGCAGAAGTGCTAAAATTCCCAGGGAGGAAGCTGCTGAACTGGTTGAACTGGTTTGTGAACTACAAAAAAGAAAAATTCTGCTGTGAACCTGAGTTTGTTGAGCCCTGCTCTAATTCTGCCTTGTGACTACCTCTAACTTGCTCGCCCTCAGGCTACCTTCTCGACTTATATATATGACACTACTTTCTCAACCCGTATATTTATAAGGAAACAGATAACTTACAAAAGCCACCCGACTCTCGCAGAATCCTCTCTCCTCCCACGCGAGGAAGCTGGGAAATAATACGTAGATCTTTCCCGGTCTTCCCCAGGGCTCAGAGAGGGGGTTCCTCCCCCCAACCGCAAAACCAGCCCCCTTTCCTGGCTCCTTGCCCCCCTCTTCATCTAGGTATATTCAGCAGAACTTCCAACCAACATGGGCAAGAGGTGATAAACCGCCGCGAGTAGCACTGGCCCCAGCCTTTGCCGAAGCTGATGCGGACGCTGTGGGCATCGTAGGGACCGTCGTGGTGGCCCTGCCAGCAGGCCAGGTTGCCGGCACGGTCGTAGTCAAACACCTTGAGGGAGTAGCCGGGAAGGAGCTTGTGAACAGCCGGCCCGGAGCCGCCGGGAGGACCCAGGGTTGGGGAGCAGACGAAGACAGGATGGTCGCTGCGGTTGTAAGCCCAGACGCCGCTGCCTTCGCGGCTCAGGAGCAGGCCTTGCCCGATCTTGGCCCGGGCTCGCTGGACGGCTTGGCTACGGTTCCTGGAGCCCAGCTGGCCCAGGCAAAAGCCGCTGCCGGCTGGGAGGTCAGCGAAAATGTTGATGTGGTCGTCGTGGACGGGGAAGAGCCTCCCGACTCGAAGGCGGTATTCCCAGTAAGCCAGTTTGCACCAGTGGCCGTCTCTGAGGGAGCGCTGGGAGAGGCTGGTGTCTGCGGGGGGGGGAGAGAAAGGCATTCCCTTCAGAACTTTTTATTTTTATTATTAAATATTTTTATTGGTTTTTACAAAACAAATCTCACATTTAACACGTTGAAATTTCGAAATCAAACAAGGTTCTTCCGAATCTTAGGACTCCCCTCCGTGGGTCCTTAGTAGTATATCTAAATCAGCCGCATATTATAATTCCTCCACATTAAAGTCCTCCAAGAACTTTAAAAAAATTATCAATTTGTTAGCTAATGAAAAGCGCAAAGAAGAACTTAGTGCAGATACCCCAGCTGCATATTCAATTTGGGTTGCCGTATTTTTAAAAAATGGAAACTTGGACATAAAAGTTTTTGCAAAATCTCCAAAGAAGAAGAAGAACGCCAAAATTGACACTTCTGACATGGGTTGCCATACGTCCGGATTTTCCCGAACATTTAAGCAATTTCCGCCCAGACGCTGTTTACGAGGGCCGTATCCTAGCTACGTCTGGGGAATTCCGGATGTATGGCAGCCCAAACATATTCCTATATTGCAGGGGTTGGGCTAGATGTCTCTCAGGGTCCCTTCCCACTCTCTAATATATATATATATAAATAGTGGTGTAATTGACTTCTGACAAGCACACAGAGCGCAAACAAGACTGAGTGTTGGGGGGGTGGCTCGTTTAATTTCACTGCACACAGGTGGTGTAGTGACAATAAAGGTTTATTATTATTATTTTTTATGATTATGTGACCCGTAAATTTAAATTATAAAGCACCGCAGCCTGGAAGGACAAAAGTACAAAGATTAAGTGCAGCTGAAAAGGTATCACAAAGTATAAACTCACACGAATAACAAAGATTTATAAAAAATGAAAGTATTCTCCAACTGTGAGTTCCATCATTATTGAGAATCAAGGTTCCTGCAGAGGTTTAAACAAGCTAAACATCTGCATAGGTTGATGGCACTGAGTGCGCAGGCGCCTCAATTGGCGTAGTGCTTTGAGTGTTGAACTCGGACAGGGGTCGGCAAACTACGGCCCTGGGCAGGATCAGGCCCACCTGGGTCCTAAATTTGGCCCACACCGCGAAGCCGAGACTTCCGGCGATAGCGATGGGAGGAAGAGGCTGAGTGGCGGCGGCTCTGCTAACCAAACGCCGCTCCTGGTTTACCTCAGTGACGTTTGATTGGCAGAGACGTCCTTGCGCCGCGCTGAGGTAAACCAGGTGCGGCGTTTGATTGGCAGAGCCGCCACCGCTCGGCCTCTTTCTCCCGCCCCCACCGCCACCCTGGTGCTCCTGTGGGCCAGATAGCTCAGTGGTGGTGGTGGTGGCGGCAGCCCCTGGGAAGATAAGGACTACTTGCCCCCCTCGCAGTGTGCATGTTGTTGTTGTTGTTTAGTCGTTTAGTCGTGTCCGACTCTTCGTGACCCCATGGACCAGAGCACGCCAGGCACTCCTGTCTTCCACTGCCTCCCGCAGTTTGGTCAAACCCATGTTGGTAGCTTCCAGAACACTGTCCAACCATCTCGTCCTCTGTCAATCTTTCTCCTTGTGCCCTCCATCTTTCCCAACATCAGGGTCTTTTCCAGGGAGTCTTCTCTTCTCATGATGTGGCCAAAGTATTGGAGCCTCAGCTTCACTATCTGTCCTTCCAGTGAGCACTCGGGGCTGATTTCCTTCAGAATGGATAGGTTTGATCTTCCTGCAGCCAATGGGAGTCTCAAGCGTCTCCCCCAGCACCATAATTCAAAAGCATCAATTCTTCGGCGATCAGCCTTCTTTATGGTCCAGCTCTCACTTCCATACATCACTACTGGGAAAACCGTAGCTTTAACTATATGGACCTTTGTTGGCAAGGTGATGTCTCTGCTTTTTAAGATGCTGTCTAGGTTTGTCATTGCTTTTCTCCGCAGTGTGCATAGGAATTTGTTTGTTTTTTTAAAAAAGTCCAGCCCTCTACAAGGTGTGAGGGACAGTGGACCGGCCCCCTGCGGAAATAGTTTGCTGACCCCTGGACTAGGACCTGGGAGTGCAGGGTTCAAATCCCCACGCAGCCCTGAAGTTCACCTTGGTTCAGTCACCATCTCTTAACCTAACCCACCTCACAGGGTCGTTGTGAGAAGCAGAACCCTGGAGGCCACTTTGAGCAACTTGGAAGATAAAAGTGGTATTATAAATGCAATAAACAAATAAAAATATTTGCACAATAAGATCATATATATGAATGAGTCATTCGAGCTCTGCCTTTTAGATACTTTTCGTTTAGGAGATAATCTTTTTTAAGGAAGGGCAATTTGCCAAACCCTTAAATGCCAGCAATCCAGATGATTAAGATTAAAAGTCTTCCAGGATATTAGCCATGGAGCCCCCGGGCTGCTGTTAAGAGATGAGAAATAAGCTCTTTCCTTTCCAAATCCCGTTCCGTTCCCACATACAGCCTCAAAAAAAGCTAGGCGGAAACATGGAAAGATTTTGTTTGTTAACAGAGAGATCTCAGCAAAACGCCTTATTCCAAAATTCATTTGAGAACTTTTAAGGAGAGCCCTGCGGGATCAGACCACAAAGTTAAGGTGGGCATTTGTATGCCACAAAAACAACAACAACAACAAAACGAGGCAGAGATTTTCATGTGTACAGATATGTACAGATGCAAAGGTATAGATAATGGTGCTGATTTAAAGTGAATTGTATTGTCCTGGAGGAGTCTTTGAAGGGGAAAAGGCTGTGTGGCTCAGCGGTAGATCATCCAGTTTACGAGTGGAAGGTCCTGGGTTCGATTCCCGGCATCTGCAGGTAGGGCTGCGAATGTCCCCTGCCCAAAACTCTTGAAGAAGTCATTGCTGGTCAGTGCAGACCAGTGATTCTCAAAGGGTGTAGCAGGAGAGGATGGCAAATAGGAAGGGAAGATTCAAGGACCACCAATATTATATTCTGGGAATGAGTCATGTTCTTACGTAGCTGCCTTGTTTCATATTTTCCACATGCCCCGTGGTCATATTATAATGTAGTTGTGTTCTTTGTTATAAATCAAGCACCGCTAGGAGTTGTGTATTTTTGTTTTCCAATGTATTTCTTATCAATGAAAAAATCCGGTGTGATGCGAGCAATTTTTATTCTGAAAGTGTGGCCCAAAGAAAAAAAGCTTGAGAACCACTGGTGTTGCCATAAAATTGAAAATCCAGACACAAAAGTTGTTGAGGTTTTTTTTTAGTTTTGCCCAAAGTAGTTGAGCTTTCCCCCCCCTCAAAAAAAGTTATTGTTTTTGAGCTATTTTTAAGGAATTCGCCAAAATCTACACTTCCGAGAACCAGACAGAGGGCCTTCTCGGTAGTGGCGCCCACCCTGTGGAATGCCCTCCCACCAGATGTCAAAGAGATAAACAACTACCTGACATTCAGAAGACATCTTAAGGCAGCCCTGTTCAGGGAAGTTTTTAATGTGTGACATATTAGTGTATTTTTGGTCTCTGTGGAAGCCGCCCAGAGTGGCTGAGAAGACCCAGTCAGATGGGTGGGGAACAAATAAATTATTATCATTATTATTATTATTATTATTATTCCAAGATGGGTTGCCATATGTCCAGATTTTCACGGCATTTAAGCCATTTCCACCTGGGCGCTGTTTACAATGGCCGAATCCTGGCTATGTCCAGGAAACCCTAGCAGACGGTACTGAGCTCGATGTGTAAGGCAGCTTCCTATTTAAATCGACTATTTATCTGGATCCATGAGGACTAGAATCTTCTAAGATAAAGTAATAAGTAGAGCTAGTGACCTTCTGCATCCATAGCAGACATCCTACCACTGAGTTATGGCCCTTTGGCCCCATTGCGGCAAGGCACAGCTCCCAAAGGCAAAAAATTATATATATTTTTTAAAAAACCAGGGACTGATAGAATTAAACAAATAAGGAATGGACTGTTCCTCCTGGTCAAGGAGACTTCTGGGTTTCTGCTCAGATAAAGGCGCCCTGGGACAATGGGAGCGGGAAGTCCCACGGGGGCCGGCTGGGAGCGCTGAGAGGCGGCACGTAGGCCCCACGCTGGGGTCCCACATCTTTGGCTGGGACAGAGGAAAAGCCAGCCCAGGCGCCGAGAGCTTGCTCAGACGTGGCGGCGTGGCCGGGCGCCAGATCCCAGGCTGCATTGTACGTCAGGGCACATTGTCTGTGTCTCTGCGGGCTGCAACTTCCTCCCGGCCGCCGGGAACCAGAAATAACAGGGGCAGCAGCCGTCTGTCGGTGTCCGTCCCTCGCTTTTTGAAAAGTTTCTACTCTGCAAAGCATCCAGGAAGGCCTCTGGGCCGGGCCATTCCCTGCCTGCTTTTCATTCTCCTCTCAAGAGGGCAGCATAATCGGCGTGCCCGGGATCAGGACCTCTAACTGCAGGAGGGTTTTCAAACAGGGTTGGGGGCCACTATTCAGGGTGGTTCTGAGAGAGGCAGGTTTCAGTCCGCACACGGCCAAAAATAAGAAGTGCACTGCTAAATCAGAGCAAAGTCCCGTCTAGCTCAGTCTCACAGATGGGGCATAAAGTCAAGGACCTAAATATATTAATTTTGAGTATTTGTACCCCACTCTTCATCCAAAAAGGATGGGGCGACTCACTTACAATCAAAGCAAGACAGTCCCTAGCTGCAGGCTTGCAATCTTTAAAAACAAAAAAGGCACAACACACAAGGAAAGAGGGACAGGGAGGGCAGAGGAAAACCCAAGCTCAGGCACAGATTTCAAAACTGTTGCCCTATATTGACCAAACGTGGGCACAGCTCAGGGGCAGGTGGTGCCTGGTGGAGCTGGGCCTCCAGCAAAGCTGACAGAATAAACCTTCTGCTTCGCAACTCTCCCTTCTGAGGCAGCCTGATGCCCCGAGGTGACAGGAGAACATACCCTCCAACTGTCCTGACGAAAACGGGACATTCTGTTTTTTCTTGTGAGAGGCGGCCAAAATGGCCGCCGCGATCTCGCGTTATTTGGGGCTGCAGTTTGGGGGGCACGGCAGCCCAAAGCACGTGTTTAGAGGTGCTGCGCAAGTTTAGGTAAAGGTAACGGGACCCCTGACCATTAGGTCCAGTTGTGACTGACTCTGGGGTTGCGGCGCTCATCTCGCTTTATTGGCCAAGAGAGCCGGCGTACAGCTTCCGGGTCATGTGGCCAGCATGACTAAGCCGCTTCTGGCGAACCAGAGCAGTGCACGGAAACGCCGTTTACCTTCCCACCGGAGTGGTACCTATTTATCTACTTGCACTTTGAGCTGCTTTCGAACTGCTAGGTTGGCAGGAGCAGGGACTGAGCAACGGGAGCTCACCCCGTCACAGGGATTCAAACCGCTGACCTTCTGATCGGCAAGTCCTAGTCTCTGTGGTTTAACCCACAGCACCACCCGCATCCCCAAAAAAGCCCTTTTGGACTGCAGTCTCGCATGGGTCATGAGACTTGTGCAGTAGTGCAGCCCTGGAAGATGATGTCCTGGTTTGGGGGCCTCTTCATATTGGAAGAGATGGGTGGAGGGAGGCTGTATGGGCCTGGCTTGTCAGGGCAGAGCAGATGGGGGGGGAGCTCTGCTTGCCTGTTCCCCTGTTCTGGAATGGCTGCCCCCGGAAGAGATGCCTGGAATTGAAGCTGGAATCTACCAGATGCAAAGCAGATGTTCTACTCCTTTGAGGAGTCTCAGCAACCTGGGAGTAACCGGCCCACAAACCAGATCAGAAGCTGGTTCCAATCCCTGCTGGGAAAATTTATTCCCTTGCTGACAGCCTGGACACAGAGTCAGCCATGCGCAGGATCAGACCCTCTCTCACACTGAGGCTCCCGATTTCTCACCTTGCCATATTCTGCGGTTGTTGTTCAACGTGTTGGCGCACTTCAGAGGGGTTGCGAAAGGAGAGATCTTGCCGTAGGGGGGCAGGGGTGTCTCTATAAAAGAAAATAATAATAATAATAATAATAATAATAATAATGGAAGGCATGAGCCACTTTTAAATCCTTTCTCTCATATCTTGAGGATTAGGGGGGCAGCGGGTGCTGCCGTAAAATAAGCCCAGCATCCTATAAGCCCCAGCCAGATTGGATAACGGACAGGGATGGCGGGAGTTGAATACAGAAGAGCATAAGAACATATTGAGAGCCAGTGTGGTGTAATGGTTAGAGGACCTGGGAGAGCAGGGTTCAAATCCCCACTCAGCCACGAAGCTCACTGGTTGTGACCCTGGCATAGCTGTCAACGTTTCCCTTTATTTAAAGGAAATTCCCTTATTCCGAATAGGATTCCTCACAAGAAAAGGGAAAAGTTGACAGCTATGGACCCTGGGCCACTCACCGTCTTTTAGCCTAATCTACCTCACAGGGTTGTTGTGAAGATGAAATGGGGAAGAGGAGAAACTATGTACACCACTTTGAGATCGTTGGAAGATAAAGGTAGTAAATAATAATAATAATAATAATAATAATATCAGCAGCAGGCTGCTGGATCTGGCTGATGGCCCATCTAGTCTGCAATCCTGTTCTCACAGTGGCCGACCAGATGCATCATGGGAAGTTCGCTAGCAGGGCCTGAACACAACAGCAAATCTCCCTTCCTGTGATTCCTAGCAACAGTTATTCAGAAGCAATGACAGTGGCAAGAGAACACAGACGTCCTGGGTATTAGCCATAGAGAGGCTTCACTTCCAGTTTGTCCAATCCTCTTTTAAAGCCACCCAAATCGGTGGCTGTCTCACTGCCTCCAGTGGGAGGGAGTTCCATAGGTGTTTTTTAAAAAAATGTTTTTATTAACAATTTCAACATAACAGCATATCAACACATATCATATTCATTATTTTCTCCCCTTTTCCCCCCACCCCCCTCAAACCCTCCCCTCCCCCAGAGACTTCCCTCAGCTCCTCTCTCTGATTTCTCACCACATATTATTCTCCGCATGTTATAAAATTATACGAATCCTTACATTATCTGTCTACCATGTTATCAATCAATAAAGTTGTGTATGTTTATTCAAAACCTGCCAAGGAGTCCAACTCGTTTTGTTGTTTTTTAAAGTAATTTGTAAAGTGTTCCCATTCTTCGTTAAAGTCACAGTTGTCCTTATCTCGCAGTTTGTATGTCAATTTAGCCATAGTTTAACTACGCATTGCGTGAAGGAGCACTTTGTTCAATCTGCCCTGGATCTTCTGGCGCTCAGCTTCATTGGAGGTCCACGCAGAGCAGATTCGGCCCCCAGGGAAAATAGATCGGGGAGCCTGTGGCCCTTGTGAACTTTCTGGGCTCTCCCAACTCCTATCAGCTCCAGCCAGTATGCCCGATAGCCAAGGATGATGGGCAATCTGGTCCATCAGATGCAGCCAGCATGGCCGGGGGCTGCTGGGAGTTGGAGTCCATCCCATTTGGAGGGCCACGGGCTCCCCACCCCTTCTTTCCACCTCCGCATGTGAATTTGGTCTGTGATCCCTGATTGGTTGGGACGTGTGTCTACGAGAGGGATGGGGAAACCCGTGGCCCTTTGGCTGTTGCCCGACCACAACACCCATCGTCCCTGGCCATAGGCCAAGCTTACGAGGGCTGATGGGAGTTGTAGTCCGCCAACACCTGGAAGTGAGAGCTGGACCATAAAGAAGGCTGATCGCTGAAGAATGGATGCTTTTGAATTATCGTGCTGGAGGAGACTCTTGAGAGTCTCATGGACTGCAAGAAGATCAAACCTCTCCATTCTGAAGGAAATCAGCCCTGAGTGCTCACTGGAAGGACAGATCCTGAAGCTGAGGCTCCAATACTTTGGCCACGTCATGAGAAGAGAAGACTCCCTGGAAAAGACCCTGATGTTGGGAAAGATGGAAGGCACCAGGAGAAGGGGACAGCAGAGGACGAGATGGTGGGACAGTGTTCTCCAAGCTACCAGCATGAGTTTGACCAAACTGCGGGAGGCAGTGGAAGACAGGAGTGCCTGTCGTTCTCTGGTCCAGGGGGTCACAAAGAGTCGGACACGACTAAACGACTAAACAACAACAGCAACACCTGGAGGGTCAAAGGCTCCAAAACACCGCCTGATTTGCCTCCAGCGTTCCTCACCAGGTACGGCGAGCCGGCTGAGATGATGCGGGTTGCAACAGTGGATGCCGCCCTCTCCGCCGGTGCTCTTGCAGAAGCTGAGGCGCTTGAGTTCGTGAGAGTGGCGCAAATCGGGCCAGCGGAAGAGCCGGCACAGGAGGAGCGAGGCGGGGAGGCCCGGCTTGGAGCCTCGCGACTCCACCCAGACGCAGCCCGACTCGCCCGCCCCCCTGCTCTCCACCGCCCACAGCAGCAGCTCCAGCTCCTTTTCCTTGAGCTTCTTGAAGAGGGCCAGAGCCGCCGGCTTCAACGCCCCGTGGCTGTCGTCGGGGCCGGGTGTGACGCAGCGGTGCCTCCAAAGCCGTTGTGCCAAGCTGGCTCGCTGAGACCGGAACATGAGGCTTTATAGAGACATAACGACAAAACCAGCATTTATTTAATTTTTTTGCGCGCATTCAAAGCATCTCCTCAATCGCATCCCTGTAAAGTAGCCTGTTGGAAGTGCAAGGATCATTCAGCTTGTAATTTAAGGGTTAATTCTGCGAGTGTGGCAGTCAGCTGACCAAGAGGTGGTGGAGGTGTTGCTTAGCAACCAGGCAGAGCATCATGATCTTTGCTGAGGTTTTTTGGGGGGGCGGGGAAGAGGGGGGGAACCAGACAGAGGGCCTCCTCGGTAGTGGCGCCCACCCTGTGAACGCCAGTCAGATAAATAATTGCATAACCTTCTGAAAACATCTGAAGGCAGTGCTATATAGAGAAGCTTTTCATGTGTGATAGTCTATAGTGTTTCCATATACCAGGCTTCCTCAACCTCAGCCCTCCAGATGTTTTTGGCCTACAACTCCCATGATCCCTAACTAGCAGGACCAGTGGTCAGGGATGATGGGAATTGTAGTATCAAAACATCTGGAGGGCTGAGGTTGAGGAAGCCTGACATATACAGTGGTACCTTGATTCTCAAACACCTTGGTACTCAAATGCCTTGGTTCCCAAATGCCAAAAACCCGGATGTAAGTGTTCCGGTTTTCAAACGTTTTTCAGAAGCCAAACGTCCGATGCAGTTGGTGGCTATTGTTTCTGGGGGACCTGCACCAATCAGAAGCTGTGTCTTCGTTTTCGAACATTTCAGAAGTCAAAACGGACTTCTGGAACGGATTACATTTGGCGCTTTTGTTTTTGCCATTGATTTTGTGTTTTTGTTTTTGAGGCTCTTTCAGTTACAGTGGTACCTTGGGTTACATAAGCTTTGGGTTACAGACTCCGCTAACCCAGAAATAGTGCTTCAGGTTAAGAACTTTGCTTCAGGGTTAGAACAGAAATCGTGACCCGGCAGCGCAGCGACAGCAGGAGGCCCCATTAGCAAAAGTGGTGCTTCAGGTTAAGAGCAGTTTCAGGTTAAGTACGGACCTCCGGAACAAATTAAGTACTTAACCCGAGGTACCACTGTAATTTGTTTTTGTGACTGTGTGGAACCCAGTTCAGCTACTGATTGATTGACTGTGTGACTGCGGAAATGTATAAAAGCCCCCCAGCCAAACAATGACTATCACCTACAACACTGTCTTATTTATTTTATAGTACAGTACATTGATTATTGCTTTGGAATGCTTTGGTTTTGGAACGGACTTCCAGAACGGATTAAGTTTGAGAACCAAGGTACCACTGAATAGGGAAGCTGTGTGATGGTTTGTTGTGCTTCTGCATATTCTGATGGAAGCCGCCCAGAGTGGCTGGGGCAACCCGGTCAGATGGGTGGCATAATAATAATAATAATAATAATAATAATAATAATACTCAGTGACAGAGCATTTGCTGTGTGTGCAGAAGGTCCCGAAAGAGCTGCTGCCAGCCAGTGTAGCCAGTACTGAGCTACATGGGCCAATGGTCTGACTCAGTAGAAGGCAGAAATTCCTAATTATTCACAAACAGGCGAAAAGTCTGCCCCTTGAGAGATGAAAGAGATCTCCTTCTCTAGAGGCTGGAAAGTCATCTGTCAGGGGAGCCGCAATGCTATCGAGCAGCGAGGTGGACTAGACGATTTCTGAGACCTCCTCTGACTCTCAAATGCTCAAATGCTTCCTCACATCTGTTGGAGACAGAGTAGGCAGCCCAGCTGAGAATCCCAGAGCCTGCTCTGCTCATTCCCTGCAAACAGCAGCCAGCCAGCGGCGCAACAGCACAAAGCAATTGGCATCCATTGTGCATTACAGCCACATTCTAACCCACATGGACTTGTGCAAACAGAGGCACACAAACGGAAGAGAAACCCTATGTATGTAACAACCGCGGCAAGAATTCTTTAAGCCCAAAAATGGAAAAGAAACCCTAGTACCAACGAAAGAAGAGCGGCAGATGAAGATGATGGACTTTGCAGAACTGGCAAAGCCGACAGGAAAAATCTGAAATCCGCACAATCAAGTATTCCAAAAGGATTGGAGTAAATTTATACAATATTTCAAGAGATTATTGTAAGCAATTAACATCGCTAGCAGGGCTGTCTGATGACTTGCACTGAGAAATTTTCTATCTTTCTATATTTATTTAAATTTTGAGACGTTCTGTAAACAGTCTAATTGGAACTGGAAAATGTATAAATTGCAATGATATAAAGGTTAATTTCGAAAGCCATGAGTCGTTGATAGGCTCTAAAGAGCCAGGGTGGTATTGCGGATAATGATGATGTGAATGTATAACTTTAAATGGAAAATAAATAAAAATTATATATAAAAAAACGGGGTGGGGATCAACCACACTGACCCAACCAGGGGCCACATTTACAACCTACATTTAAAGCACTGTGATAATACTGCTTTAAACAGCCATGGCTTCCCCCAAAGAATTCTGGGAACTGTAGTTAGTTAAGGGTGCTTAGAGTGGTTAGGAGACTCCTGTTTTCCTCACAGAGAACTATAGTTCCCAGAGGTTCCAATGAAGAAGAGGGTTTGACTGTTAAAACACTCTGGGAGTTGTGGTTCTTAGAGGGGACTGCAGGGGATGGGGTTCTCCTAAAAACCCTCAGCACCCTCCACAAGCTACAGCTCCCAATATTATTTTAGGGAAGCCATGACTGTTAAGAGTGCTGAGAGGAGAACCCTAGTTCCCAGCACCCACCAGCTATCATTTCCACAGCGGTTTAACTAACAATCCCTCTTCCCAGGGAATTCTGGGAATTGTAGCTCTGGGAGAGGAACAGGGGGTCTCCTATCAACTCTCAGCACCCTTAACAAACTACAGCTCCCAGGATTCTTTGGGGGGAGAAGCCATGACTGTTTATAGAGGCATCACAGAGCTTTAAATCTCTGGTCAGCGGGGGCTCCTTCCCAAACCAACCTCTGCCCTTGTCATCACATTACCACCAGTGCCGGATTTACCTATAAGCTAAACAAGCTATAGCTTAGGGCCCCACTCTCTTGGGGGCCCCACAAAAAATTAAAGGAAAAAAACACCTGGATGTACATTTCCAAAATATAAGATAAAAACAAATAAAACAAAACCTACAATTATTATTTCATGTTATAGCAAGTTTCTAGAGACTAGATTATGAGTCTTTGTAAACTGTTTAGAAAGGAACTTTCGTGATTGCCAAATGCCAGTCAAAGTGTTTGCAATATTAAGTTTGTGATGAATCAAAAATAATTTCAAGTTAGAGCTTAATCATTATTTCACTATTAATATACTTCTTCTTAATGGTATTTCACTATTAATAGACTTCTTCTTAACTGTGTTTCAGTTCAACATTTACTTTGATAAAAATACATATTTTGTTATGTGCCAGTGGCTTTAGACCTATTAGGTCCATAAATTACCAGGTAGCATATATTCAGCACAGAAAAAAACCAGCGACAATTTGTTGTTGTCAAAGGACAGCTGGACATATAAAGGGCCCCATTACCTTCAGTAGCTCAGGGCCTCATCAAACCTAAATCCGGCCCTGGTTAGCAAATTATCACCCGGGCGCCCCGCGCAAGCGACAGTGCACGCGCGGCGGGCATCTAACATGTTAATGCACCCGCCCCGGTACCCAGCAGCAGCAAGCAGGTTCCCTAACTGCCCGGCGAGTTAGAGACGCCTGTCCAAAAGCGAGATAGGGCGGAACACACTCACTGTGAAGGCAAAGAGCGGCTGGACACACCACTGGGTGCAGACCCCGCCAGGAGACCAGGACGGCTCAACCCACAGACTTCCTGGCAAGCTCTTTTCTTGCGGGCTGTTCCCTCCCCAGGCTTCCTCCGTCCAGCCTCTCTCTCTCTCTCTCTCTCTCTCTCAGCGTGGGAGGCAGCAAGCAGGGGGAGGAAACGGGGCGTCAGTGGGGGTGGGGGGAGAGCTTGGGGGAAAAAACCTTGGTCTGGAGGGATCTCTGCCAGGGCAAGTCATGCCAATGGCAGCAGGCAGCTGCCAGGCTTGACCTGAAGGTTTTCTCGGTGCCTGGGAAGTCAGGGGGAAAAACGGTTGTTGTTGTTTAGTCGTGTCCGACTCTTTGTGACCCCCTGGACCAGAGCGCACCAGGCACTCCTGTCTTCCACTGCCTCCCGCAATTTGGTCAAACTCATGCTGGTAGCTTCAAGAACACTGTCCAACCATCTCGTCCTCTGTCGTCCCCTTCTCCTTGTGCCCTCCATCTTTCCCAACATCAGGGTCTTTTCCCGGGCGTCTTCTCTTCTCATGAGGTGGCCAAAGTATTGGAGCCTCAGCTTCAGGATCTGTCCTTCCAGGGAGCACTCAGGGCTGATTTCCTTCAGAATGGAGAGGTTTGATCTTCTTGCAGTCCATGGGACTCTCAAGAGTCTCCTCCAGCACCATAATTCAAAAGCATCCATTCTTCGGTGATCAGCCTTCTTTATGGTCCAGCTCTCACTTCCATACATCACTACTGGGAAAACCATAGCTTTAACTATACGGACCTTTGTTGGCAAGGTGATGTCTCTGCTTTTTAAGATGAAAAGAAGGTATATCCTATTAAATTAACTTTTGGGGCACAAAGCGCATTTAAACAATCCTGCCCAAGCGGTGTTTATTCCAGCAGGGTGTACAAGCAGGAAAAGTTTCTGCCTACACAATATTATTATTATTCCTTGTAGTTCTTCTTTGGCCATCACTCGTAGCCGAGTAAGACTGTCTCCCATAAACACGGTTTTAAGAGCGAGTTCGTAAGTGACTGTGGAGGCCAGTTCTGGATCCACACGTCCTTCCACAGTGGGGACATTGGTTCCCTGGCGGGAGTTGATCACGGTGTGGATTTGCCAAGCGTGCCTTCCTCTTAGCACGTTTCTCCCTTGTGTCCTGAGTTCGAGTGTCTTCAAAGCCCATGACACCTTTGGTAAAGGCTGTTCTCCAACTGGAGCGCTCGCAGGCCAGTGTTTCCCAGTTGTTGGTGTTTATACTACTTTTTTTTTTAGATTTGCCTTGAGACAGTCTTTAAACCTCTTTTGTTGACTCATTGTTAAAACCGTGTTTATGGAAGACAATCTTACTCGGCTACAAGTGATCGCCAAAGAAGAAGCCTGCCACGTGGCAGTGCGGGCTGCAAAAAGGGCTAAGGCTATAGCTTGTATTGCATCACCATCACCATCGTAGTTATATTATTTATATTATTGCCCATATGACTGGGTTGCCCCAGCCACTCTGTGCGGCTTGCAACAAAATATTAAATACACAATAAAAATATCAAACATTAAAAACATCCCTATACCGGGCTGCTTTCAGATGACCTAAAAGTCTTTTAGTTACAGTGGTATCTGGGGTTACATACGCTTCAGGTTACAGACTCCAGAAATATTACCCCAGGTTAAGAACTTTGCTTCAGGATGAGAACAGAAATCGTGCAGCAGCGGTGCAGCAGCAGCGGGAGGCCCCATTAGCTAAAGTGGTGCTTCAGGTTAAGAACAGTTTCAGGTTAATAACAGATCTCCAGAACGAATTAAATTCTTAACGCGAGGTACCACTGTATTTATCTGTTCGACATTTATCTGGACAATCCACAGGGCGGGCACCACTACTGAGAAGGCCCTCTGCCTGGTTCCCTGTTAACTTCACTTCTCGCAGGGAGGGAACTGCCAGAAGACACCCAAAGCTGGACCTCAGTGTCCGGGCTGAACGATGGGGGTGGAGACGCTCCTTCAGGTATACTGGGCCGAGGCCGTTTAGGGCTTTAAAGGTCAGCACCAACACATTGAATTTTGCTCAGAAACATACTGGGAGCCAATGTAGGTCTTTCAGGACTGGTTTTATATGGTCCCAGCAGCTGCTCCCAGTCACCAGTTCAGTAATGGGGGGCAGCAGTGGAACACAGGCCGAGAGTAAACTCCCATCGGTCTGGCACCTGCTATAGCAGCATAGTGGGGAAAGGAGAAAGAAAAAAAATCTGGCAATTGTTCAGCAGCGGAAAAAGGCTGCCCCTTTAAGGACTGAGGGCGTCCAAGTCTGATGGCTCAGAGCTGGCTATCTCTTACACTTCCTCCTTCAATTTTCCAGGGAGATAAGCGAGATTTGACTGGCGCCCGGGGCTGCCCCCATCCTCTTTGAGCAGGCAGCTCCAAAGATTTGGGGGATGGGTGGCGACAAACCCATGAGTCCCCCCCCCCGCTGTCCTCAACCACCACCCCCATGGTCAAAAGGGGTGCCCTTGTCACAATTAAAATGCATCTTGCATTTTTTAAAACCTAGTTTTTAGCAAATTGGCCACCTTAATAAAGCACAAGCTCTCGGGCTAACTTGTGTACTTGGCTACCTAGTAAATTACGGTAGCATTATTCGATGCTCTTTATGCATTCGCAGGGAATGCCGTTATCATTTTGCGTGTATCAAACCTCCTTATCCTTATACTTTGAAAAGTTGTGTGTTTTAACCTTGTACACACACCATACAGTTAAATCACATCCCGTCGCCCAAGAACCCTGGGAATTGTAGCTTACCCCTTCACAGTTACAGCTCCCAGCACGCTACAGTTCCCAGAATTTGTTTTGCCTTGTGCGTGTGCTATAAATATATGTTGTGTACAGTGGTACCTCAGGTTAAGAACTTAATCCGTTCCGGAGGTCCGTTCTTAACCTGAAACTGTTCTTAACCTGAGGTACCACTTTAGCTAATTGGGCCTCTCGCTGCCGTTGTGCCGCCGCGCGATTTCTGTTCTCATCCTGAAGCAAAGTTCTTAATCTGAGGTACTATTTCTGGGTTATCGGAGTCTGTAAACTGAAGCGTCTGTAACCTGAAGCGTCTCTAACCCGAGGTACCACTGTATGCAGTTTTAGTCTGGGAGGGCCCTCTGCCCCAAGCATGTGCCGTTCCTCAGAGAATCCTGGGAACTATAGTTTGCCAAGAGTGCTGGGGACTGTAGCTCTGTGAGGGTTAAAACTACAGTTCAACAGAGCAGGAGGATGTGCTTTGAACCTGCTTTTAAACGCATGGTGTTTATGGAATCCCACGTCTGCCGCAGGATTGCAACAGAGGAAGGGAACAGCGCTTTGCAAGGCTGGCCCAGGCGGGCGCCGCCAAGTCATACCATCACAGAACAGACGGTTGGCACCGGTTGGCACCGCCGGACCCCGTGGAGGCAAAGAGATGTGGAGCCCCGGTTCCTACAGGGGAGTTCCCCGGAGGGGCCAGCTGCATTCTTCGCCAGATTTCAGGCCTGTCCAGGCTGTGACCTTTGCAGAGAGCTCCAGCCAGTCTGGGATTTTGCAGAGAGAGAGGATCTTATCAAGAGAAGCAGGAAATGGCCTGGAACTGAGCTGGAGACAAGCAGGCAGGGCTAGCGGGTGTCAGGAATGGGGAAGTGGCGACCGAAAGGGGAAGAGGAGGAGGGGAGGAGGGAATAATGCAAGAACCCAGCAGCAGCGAAGCTGAACGCTGGAGGGCTTGGGGCAGGGAAGCAGAGAATTGTAGCGTTGGAAGGAAGGGGCGCCAAGGGTCATCTAGTCCAACCCGCTGCAATGCAGGAATCTCAGCATCCATAACACTCTTCAGAAATTGCGTTTTGTCCCTCAAGCCCTTCTAAGTCTGGGCTTGGGCCAAGCAAAAGCAACGGTTAAGCAAAGAATTATAGACACCGAGAGACAACAGAGATGCAAAGTGCCCAACTACAAAATGAGAAACAACGCATACAATATATAGCTACACTAGCAACATATCACTCTCTTTTAATACTCATTAAAGTCTAAACACATTAAACTAAACTAAGACAAAACCCAACGACCTGAACCTTAGATCCTAAAATGAAAATACAAAGTAAAAACAATTTAAAAACATACATCCTCTCATTTCCATTCTCTATCTTTCATTCCCTTGTTTCCTCGACCTCCTCTCACCTCCCTTTTTGTATTCCACTTCTATTAATTGTTTCAGCAAATCCTTTCCATCTTTCTCCATTTTCTGTAATATTGTAAATAACGTATTTTTTAACCTTATTTTCCATTAAAACTAAAATACTTATATATGCTTAACTCCTTATAACATTTCTGCTAAGCCCCTAAAAAATAAAAAATAAAAAATCATTCCACCATTTTTCTATCACTCGTTAGTTTTACCATAAGTTGCTTCTCGGCCTTTTGGCTAAGATCAAGTGCAGGAATCTCAGCATCCATAACACTCTTCAGAAATTGGGTTTTCTGAAGCAACGGTTAAGCAAAGAATTATAGACACCAAGAGACAACAGTTAAGCAATGGTTAAGCAAAGAATTATAGACACCGAGAGACAACAGGACTGCTTAAGGTGCCCCGACTACAAAATTGTAGAAACCGATAGAGATATAGCTGCACCAGCAGCATATCTCTTTTTTTCTTGTATCCAAAAATGCAAGAAGGGCTTTTACACTTGCCAGAAGCTCAGCTCTGCCCTCGCCGGTCTTGGAAGGGTCCTTTACAAAAGTCCCATATGACCAGAGAATTTGTGCCTGTCCATTGGGGGATAGGGGGACGCGAGTGGCGCTGTGGGTTAAACCACAGAGCCTCCGACTTGCCGATCAGAAGGTTGGCGGTTTGAATCCTCGCGACGGGGTGAGCTCCTGCTCCTGTCAACCTAGCAGTTCGAAAGCATGTCAAAGTGCAAGTAGATAAATAGGTACCGCTCTGGCGGGAAGGTAAACAGCGTTTCTGTGTGCTGCTCTGGTTTGCCAGAAGCGGCTTAGTCATGCTGGCCACATGACCCGGAAGCTGTACGCCGGCTCCCTTGGCCAATAAAGCGAGATGAGTGCCGCAACCCCAGAGTCGGCCACGACTGGACCTAATGGTCAGGGGTTCTATGCCATGCCCTCTTTGAGTGCCATGTGCTCTCCGAGACTCAGATCCACATCTACTGGATCCACATTTCAACCAGATCACTTAGAAAAGCAAAAGTTTGAGAGCGCACACTTTTTTTGTCTTTTGGGAGAGGGCTGATCTGGGGAGGGAGAGAAGTGCCCGAAAGGGATTGTGCCCACGGCAACATGCTCAGAAATCGAAATCTGCTCATGGCTCTATAATGCTTGGTGACCCCAGTCTTGCAATGTCACGAATCACCACCCTGCAGTAATTATTCCATATGTATATCTCATTGTTTTATTAACATTAACTTGGCAGATCAGACCAATAATCCATCTATCCTAATATCCTGTTTCCAGCTGTGGCCAGGCAGATGCTGTTGGGAAGCTTACACAGGTTATGCAAATAAATAATAATAATAATAATAATAATATACTTCCCCAACCACTCTAGGCAGCTTCCAACAAAATATTAAATGAATGAAACATCCAACATTAAAAACTTCCCTAAACAGGACTGCCTTCAGATGTCTTCTAAAAGTCAGTTGTTTATTTCCTTGACATCTGATGGGAGGGCTTTCCACAGGGCGGGTGCCACTACCAAGAAGGCCCTCTGCCTGGTCCCCTGTAACTTCACTTCTCACAGTGAGGGAACTGCCAGAAGGCCCTCGCACTGTACCTTAGTGTTATGAAGATGATGGGCATTAACTGTTGTTTGTCCTTACCACCTGCTATTCAGAGATAGACTGCTTCCCAACATGGCAGTTCCATTTTGATCTCATGTTTTATCATCATCAATAGGCTTATCCTCCTCTGCTAACATACCTAACGCTTCTTTAAAAGCCATCTGAGGTAGTTTTGATCATTGCCACTTCTTGTGGCAGGGAGTTCTGCAAGTTCGTTGTGTGAAGAAGTGCTGATGAAAATATAGCCAGTGTTCAAAGATAATTTATTAGCTTTTCAGGCTACATGAGCATTTCTTAGAGACAGAGGAAGGGCTGAACCAGGAAGCTTGAGGAGTTGGCAGGCACTGCTTCCAATGAATGGGGCAGGAGGCATATTCGAATTGCACCTTTCCCCTCTTGGGTGCTCTGGGAACTCGCTTGGGGAACATGGGAAAAGTCAGTCCAGGGCACCCCAACTCCATTCTGATTGCAAGAAGCCAACTTTGCAAAACTGTGTAGCCCCAGGAACCCATTGGTACCGAGAAGCAATATTGTGTATCTGGATCAGAAACAACACAACCCTCTCTAAAAATCAGATTCAGTCTATAATCACCGCAAACACAGACCACTTCAAAATGCCACTGTGCATGATGGTTTTATTGCAGGGGGAGGGGTCACATGAATCTCTCCTGTCCCATAAAAAATCAAAACAAAACCCCCTGCATGAAGAAAGCCAGCACCTCAGGGGCAAGAGGTCTGATGACCCCTTTGCCTTGGCGCACTATGTTTCTACATGCAGGGAATTTTGCTTTAATATGGTTCATGTGTGTGTGAGAAGCACTAAAACAGGCTGAAGTCATCGTGAGAACATGCAAGGTGGAATAAGGCTCCCCTGGCTCTTCTAAACTGTGTTGAAGAGGGTGTTTCAGCTGCCTCCCCTCCAATCCTCACCATGCAAAACCACCAGCAGCGGCGGCTGAAATTCCCTCTGCCCCAGCAGCCCTGTTTTCCTAGGCATACTGATAGAGGACATCTCCAGAAGTTGTCAGACTCTGACTTCCAGCATGGCCAATGGCTCATGGAAGATGGGAGTTGTAGTCCAGCCACTTTGCCACCCGTCCTAGACACATGTCCCAACCAATCAGGGAACACATCTCAAATGCGCTTACTGGCATTGTGCTGGAAAGGAGGGGGAACTGGCTTTTTCCAGCTGGCGTTGGACTCCATCTCCCATCAGCCCCAACCCAGCACAGCCTATGGTTCGGGAAAGCTGGGAATTGTAGTCCAGCCACATCTGGAGGGCTGTAGGTTTCCTATCTGTGGCTTAAGGTCTCCCTAAGCTGCAGTGGTGGAATTCCAGGACAATGTACGTTGTTTTCCCCCCTTGAATGAGCCAGCCGGATACAGGCTGGGAGTCTGTATATCTTTGTTTGGAGTCTTCTATTTCTGTTGAGTCGTCCCCAGCCCGGCAGCTGACGGAAATCCAGCGCAGACACCGGCTTTTTTTGTCTCTCTCCTTTTCCCAGAGCCAAGCCGTCGTTTATCCTCATCACTCTCGGAGAACTGGGTTATATCGGTGGTTGGGTGTTGCTGGTTTATTTCATTTTGGTCCTGTTTACATCTCAGGAGCCTGAAACAGAATAGAAGTTCAGTCGAGGAGGGAGGGAACTATCCTGCCCTAAACTCCTGTTCCTCTGATCAGTCGGTTCCTGGTGAGGATCTAGTGAGCAAAACCCAGCAGGGTTCACTGGTTGCCTATACTCTATTTTTTTTTTAATTAATATTTATTAAAATTTCAGAAAAGAAATAAAATCACATTAATAAACAAGAAAAATTTAAAAAGAAAAAAGAAAAATACACAATACAAAATACAGAATACAAAATACAAAAAGATAAAAAGAAAAAAAAAACAGTTAAAAACAGTTCCGTCTTTTCATAACTTCTTTTACGTTTACTTGTTTCCCGGACTTCCTCATACCTCCCTCTTTTGTATTCCAGTTCAGTTTGTTAGACCAGCAATTTCTTTCTCTCCTTTTTAATCCTAATCCTTAAACTTAATATATTATGACATTAGATTTTTACCTATTTAAAACCAATCTTTCCATTCTTTTGATCTTTTTAATCCTAATCCTTAATCTTGATATATTTATAACTTTAAAACCTGTACAGCTAGAAGCCACTTAACTTCAATCCAACATCACTCGTAACATTCCTTAATTTTGCAATGTTTCTGTAAATAATCTTTAAATTTCTTCCAATCTTCTTCCACCGACTCTTCTCCCTGGTCACGGATTCTGCCAGTCATTTCCGCCAATTCCATGTAGTCCATCATTTTCATCTGCCATTCCTCCAGTGTGGGTAGCTCTTGTGTCTTCCAATACTTTGCGATCAGTATTCTTGCTGCTGTTGTAGCATACATAAAGAAAGTTCTATCCTTTTTAACACCGATTGGCCGACTATGCCCAGGAGAAAGGCCTCTGGTTTCTTCAAGAAGGTATATTTAAATACCTTTTTAATTCATTATATATCATCTCCCAGAAAGCCTTAATCTTTGGGCACGTCCACCAAAGGTGGAAAAATGTACCTTCAGTTTCTTTACATTTCCAACATTTATTATCAGGCAAATGGTAGATTTTTGCAAGCTTGACTGGGGTTATGTACCACCTGTATATCATTTTCATAATATTCTCTCTTAGGGCATTACATGCCGTAAACTTCATACCTGTGGTCCATAACTGTTCCCAGTCAGCAAACATGATGTTATGTCTAACATCTTGTGCCCTTTTAATCATAGCAGATTTCACCGTTTCATCACTGGTTGCCTATACTCTAGCCCAGGCATAGGCAAACTCCGGCCCTCCAGATGTTTGGGACTACAATTCCCATCATCCCTAGCTAACAGGACCAGTGGTCAGGGATAGTGGGAATTGTAGTCCCAAACATCTGGACGGCCAGAGTTTGCCTATGCCTGCTCTAGCCTGTCATGGTTTATTATTTATTTGGGAAGCTGGCTTCTCCAGCAAAAACTTTCCTAGTCTCAAACTCCTGCCCTTCACACTCATATGTGTGTGTTTTATTGCTGTGCACACCCCTTTTCCTGGAGCAGACAGAAGTTTAGGGGGCAGCACTACTAAGTTTATTTTCTTTGGATGAGACAGTCAGGGAGCCTTAAAGTGTCCCTGTGGCATTTGCTCTATTTACAAATATACAAGTAGAACACAGCAAGCATAGCTCAGTCAGTATAGCTGAGAGCCAGTGTGGTGTAGTGGTTAAGACCGGTAGTCTCGTAATCTGGGGAACCGGGTTCGCTTCCCCGCTCCTCCACATGCAGCTGCTGGGTGACCTTGGGCCAGTCACACTTCTCTGAAGTCTCTCAGCCCCACTCACCTCACAGAGTGTTTGTTGTGGGGGAGGAAGGGAAAGGAGAATGTTAGCCGCTTTGAGACTCCTGAAGGGGAGTCAAAGGCGGGATATCAAATCCAAACTCTTCTTCTTCTTCTTCTACAGTGTGAGACTCTTAATCCCACGGTTGTGGGTTCGAGCCCCATGTGGGGCAAAAGATTTCTGCATTGCAGGCGTTTGGACTAGTGGTCCACTCCAACTCTACAATTCTATGATCTATATCAGGGATCAGCAAAGTTTTTCAGCAGGGGGCCGGTCCACTGTCCCTCAGACCTTGTGGGGGGCCGGACTATATTTTGAAAAAATAAAATAAAAAATTAACGAATTCCTATGCCCCACAAATAACCCAGAGATGCATTTTAAATAAAAGGACACATTCTACTCATGTAAAAACATGCTGATTCCCAGACCATCCGCAGGCCGAATTTAGAAGGCGATTGGGCCGGATTCAGCCCACAGGCCTTAGTTTGCCTACCCATGATCTATATCATCATCATTTGATGCTGGTGACCCCAGTTTTACAAGGGTTTGAGTGCTAGACCAGGACCAGGAAGAGACCTGGGTTCAAATTCCCACTCAACCATGCTGCTGACCGGGTGACCTTGGGCCAGTCACTGCCTCTCAGCCTAGCCTAGCTCACCAGGTTGTTGTGGGGATTAAATGAGGAGGAGAACCATCAACGGACTTTGAGCTCCTTAGAGGAAAAGGAGGGATATAAATGTAGGAAATTATTATTATCAGTAGTATTAAAACGATAAAGGACCCCTGACAGTTAAGTCCAGTCACGGACGACTCTGGGGTTGTGGCGCTCATCTCGCTTTACAGGCCGAGGGAGCCGGCGTTTGTCCACAGTTTTTCTGGGTCTTGTGGCCAGCATGACTAAGCCGCTTCTGGCGAAACCAGAGCAGCGCACGGAAACGGCGTTTACCTTCCTGCCGGAGTGGTACCTATTTATCTACTTGCACTTTTTGGTGTGCTTTTGAACTGCTAGGTTGGCAGGAGCTGGGGCAGAGCAATGGGAGCTCACCCCGTCGCACAGAACTGAACCGCTGACCTTCGGATCGGCAAGTCCAAGAGGTTCAGTGATTTAGACCACAGCGCCACCCGCGTCCCAGATCAGTAGTAGTATTAAATCATAATTGTCTGTTATTAAATAGTAGTAGTAGTGTTTTGATTTCCTACTCGCCATTTACCTTAAGGTCCCGGGGCCTGTTACAGCCATTTAAAAGACCACATTAAAGAGATGCTGTTGGATCACAACTCCCATCATTCAGAACAATTGGTTAAGCTGGCAGGGAATGATGGGAGTTGTAGTCTCACATCATCTGGAGGGGACATCAGGCTGAAGAAGAGCAATGTGGTTGGTAACTGGAAGGACCTCTGTCTGAGATGCTGGAGAGCTGCTGCCAATCAGAGTGGACATCACTGGTGAGATGGATGCATAGTCAGACCTGGCAGACAACAGCTTTTTATATTACGCAAAAGCAGCCTTGTTAAACTAGATCTCCCACCCAAATGTGCATTACAGCATGGCAAATAGTTATCCACTTCTGCGGTCCCAAGCAGGCAGCAAAGAAACCAGCACGCTTATGATCAGTCCCTTCCTTAAACTGGTTCCCTCCGGATCTTTTGGACTACAATTCCCAGCATGGCAAATGACAATGGATGATGGGCGTTGTAGTCTCGGTTGGTCAAAGCTGCATTAGGCGATTGAGAAGCGTAAAAAACAAACAAAAACAAACTTACATGGTATGGTGGCTTACAACGTAGCAGCCAGGAAGAATCTTCAAGATCTGGAAAACCTGGGGCAAAGGCTTGCCTGGAAGGGTAAGGTGGCGCAGGAGCCTGGCATCTCAGCATGGCGCAGCCCACAAGGCCAGGCACCCATGGGAGACGGACACCCTTTAGTCCAGAATCTCCTTCAGGCACCAGCAGCAGAGCAGGACGTACAGACATTCGCGGAGAGCTTGCAGGGCCCAGTAACCCAGACTGACCACATTCCCGCTTTTGTAGTAGGGGAGGGCAAGCGGTCGTGCGGCCCTTGGGCGGCCAAAGTAGGGGCCCGTGAGGGCCGCCAAGACCCACGGACGTGGGGCTACAAACCTCTGCAAAGGAAGATGCATGTTCAACTCTGGAGAGGCTGGCTCAGAGCTGGCTTTAATCAGGCGTGTGATGCCGACGCTGTCCTTTTGTGCAAATCGCTGGAAACTTCTCAGTTATCCAAGAGGTCACAAGGCCGCTTTGGGTGCTGCTGAGGCCTGGCCCTCGCTAGCTAGCCTCATACCAGAACAGTCCCCTCTCTTGTCACATGTGGAGAGAAACCCCCCACCCGGAAACCCTTTCCAAACCAAAAGGGCATCTCAGTGTCACAGAATCCTACATTCTAGTGCTAGAAAGCCCCATGACCGATTCTTTCAAATAGGGTTGTTTTTGCAGGTTTATTATGACAAGGCGCAATCAGTGCTTGTTAGAAAAGCGGCCTGAAATTCAACAGGTGACCTACGCTTCCTTCCCGTCATGAGGAAACCACTGGTTTGAGGTCTGTGGTCTTCGTCGTGCGCAGCGCAAGCTGTTAGCCACAATGCAGGTGTGGTGCGGGGGATTGCACCACCAAAATGTTATTTTTTAAAAACATTATAGGCAGCTGAGGGGCTAGGCAGGGCGGTTTCGATCTAAGCATGGGCACAAACGGAGGCCACTTTTAACTGCTTTCACAACCTAAATTGTTCCAGCCTACTGAAATTGATGCCAATCCCGACGTGGGGGTGGGGGGCAGACCCCCCTTTTGTGCTTATTCTTCCCATTCCCAAGGATATTAACAAAAGTAGAGTCAACATCTGGCAGCCTTGAGCTGCTGAGGTCCCAACGCCTGAGGTTCCCCCCATAAATTCATTTTTTAACTTTGACCCACCCTTTTAACTACCCATAGTCCTTGACGTTCTGTCACACTGGGGCATTATGGGTAATTAAAAGGGCTGCCCTGAACTAGGGCTGGGCAGAGTGGTCAGTTTCAGTGCCAGTTCTCTGCTTCTCAATTTTCTAGTATTCAATCCTCCACATCAGTCTGCAAATCTGTTTTTAAAAGTCCTCATAAAAATAAATCTATGCTCTAGTGCAAATTTCTCCCAGTATACACATCTTCCTGTGCAAAAGTTTCCCCTGACAGAATGCATTTCGGTACGTTATTTACACTAATATATGCATTGCTATCCACATTTTAGCCAAATATTTGTGTTGCTGTATGTAAGGTATGTAAAGGACCCCTGGACGGTTAAATCCAGTCAAAGGGAAGGAGCTAGACAAAGAATGATCCAAGAAGTCCTCAATGGCAGAACAGGCGGATGATAACTAGTGGTATGTTACAACGGCTGTGAAGGCTGCAGCAGATAAGAATCTACCATTCAGACCTAGGGAGCCAGCATTTGTCCACAGACAGCTTTCCAGGCCATGTGGCCAGCATGACTAAACCGCTTCTGGCGCACGGATAACCGTGACAAGTGCCAGAGTGCACGGAAACACTGTTTACCTTCCCGCTGCAGCGGTACCTGTTTATCTACTCGCACTGGTGTGCTTTTGAACTGCTCGGTTGGCAGGAGCTGGGACAGAGCAACGGGAACTCGCTCCATCACAGGGAATCGAACCACCGACCTTCTGATCAGCAAGCCCAAGAAGCTCAGTGGTTTAGACCACAGCGCCACCTGCTCCCCTTTACCTTCCCTTCCCTTGCTCTTTCTATTGTTGGCCTGAGAACTGCAATGCAAAATTCAGAGAAGTGTGCATTTCAGTTCCCTTATTGTTTCAGGAGGTGTGAAGCAGCCATATGAGCTGAGTTGCCTTTCTTCCCCGTCCCTAAGCCCCACTCGGCTCGCTTGACAGAGGAGGGGGTGAATCAGAGGACCTTTTCCCCAGGGCACCCTCAAAACTGGACCCAGCTCTGTTGAATAGCTTCTAGAGTGAATTTTGATCAAATAGGTTTGAAAAACAGACGTGAGCCCCATTTATGCCAGACATTAAGAGCAGTATCGTATCACTTTAAACAGATGGCATTCTGGGAGCTGTAGTTTGTAGCCCCTCACAGAGCTCCAGTTAAACCACTCTAGAAATTGTTAGCTCTGGGAGGGGAATAGCGGGGTCTCCTTGTAACTCTCAACAAACTACAACTCCCAGGATGCTTTGCGGGAAGCCGTATAGTATAGTATAGATGGGGCCTTTGGCTCCAGCACTTAGCACAGGGATGGTGGCCCCTTCGGATGTTGCCAGACTCCCAAGTCCTATCGTTCTGGGGGTGTGGGAAGGTCAAAGAAAGGATTTGAGCGCTACTCTTTGGCACCATCGGACCTTGCAGAGCCCCTATCTCACGCCACCTTGCCTGCACCCCACTGTTCAAACACACAGCAGAACATAACCCAAAGAGGCAACTGAAGAACTAGTTTATTTCCAGGGTCTACTGTTCCCTCACATGATGGACGGAACGGTGCTTACAGCCAACTGCCGATCACATTGTCGGTGTGAGAGCAGCCCTTTGGTGGCCCAGCGGTAGTAGCGGCACCGACGCCATTTTGCCTCGGCCTGGCCCAAGCCTTAACCAAGCTAGGCTTCGGGCCTTGTCAGCTGGCCAGCGCTGGCCAGCGGTTGCCGGGGCAACGAGCATCAGGCCTAGCCAGGCTTCAGTGGCGGGAGTTGCGCTCGTCCTCTTCGTTTTCCAGCTCATAGGCTGGCCGGTAGCATTCCTGCCCTGCGGCGTTCGTATAGCGCAGGGCTGGATTCTTCTGTGTGTTACTCATGCTCCCAAGCGAAGTGTAGCTGTCAAGAGGGATCGGGGTTGGGAAGAGAGACAAGACGGATTTAAGCCACAGCAAGCAGGGGTACTTCATCTCCAATGAGCCTTAGAACATCTACCATATTTTTCACTCTATAAGACGCACTTTTCCCCTCCTAAAAAGTAAGGGAAAATGTGTGTGCATCTTATGGAGTGAATGCAGGCGGGAGGCTCTGCTCAGCGCTCCCTTTAAAGAGCCGCGTGGAGCGTGTGAGCGGCTCTTCAGGGCTTTTCCCCAAGGAGGGGGAAGGGCAGCCTTGGGGAAAAGCCCTCAAGAGCCACACACACACTCCGCACGCTCTTTAAAGGCAGCGCGGCTCTTGGGGAAGCCTTAGCTGCACGCAGCCTCTCCTGGGCTGCGATCCCGCTGGCTGTCCTGGCTTCTTGCTTGGCCGTGCGCAGGCTCTTCGGGCAGGGGGAGCCTTCATCCCCTGCCCGGGAGAGGCTGTGCGCGGCTATCCCATAAGCCAGGACAGCAAGCGGGATCATTGCACAGCGATCCCGCTTGCTATCCTGGCTTCTGGGATTCAGAATATTTTTTTTCTTGTTTTCCTCTTCCAAAAACCAGGTGCGTTTTATGGTCTGGTGTGTCTTATAGAGCGAAAAATACGGTATTTATTTACATTTGTTCCCTTGCACAAAATGGTAACAAACCACTCGATCGTAAAAAACAACAACAACCCATGAAGTGGTTTACGAAAAGAATGAAACAATGAGGCAAAAAGAGTGGAAAGCAACTATTTAAAACATTTGAAAGTTAATTGAAATCAAGAATTTGCTAAAAAAAACCAAAAACCAGATTAAAAGACATGTCTGCATGCCTCGATAGGCTTGCTTAGGCAAAAATGCGCTGGAAAAGACTGCAGCAAAGGTGCCTGCCTGATGTCAACAGGCAGGGGGTTCCGAAGTGTAGATCAATTTCTTACAAATGCGGAACGAGGATTACCGTATTTTTCGCTGTATAGGACACACTTTTTCCCTTCTAAAAAGTAAGGGGAAATGTGTGTGCGTCTTATGGAGCGAATGCAGGCTGCGCGGCTAAGCCCAAAGCCAGAACAAACCCAAAGCCAAAGTTCAGAATTTTTTTCTTCTTGTTTCCTCCCCCCCCCAAACTAGGTGCGTCTTATCGTCCGGTGCATCCTATAGAGTGAAAAATACGGTATGTGACACCCTTAATGATGCCGGTTCTGCAAATCGGAGCGGTTTGGGTGGGCATATATGAAGGTAAGATGATTTCACCAGTAAATCGGTCCCAAGCTGTTAAGGGCTTTCTATGCTAATAGTAACACCTTGAATTTGTGGCAAGCAGGGAACCAGCAGAGGTGCTATGTGCTGAAAAGGTCCCGCTCCTGTCAGCAATTGTGCCGCAGCATTAATTAACCACTAACTGCAGTTTCTGGATTAAGCTGCATTCCTGGATCTATCACACCCAGACCCTGGCTCCCAAATCACCCAGCTGGGGTAGAGTCGATATATTGGTATTGCTATATTATTGTTATTGTTATTATTAATTCTACATCTGTTCTTACCCCTTATCATAAAGAATGCAGTACGGGATGTAGAGCATGCGAAGGAACTTCCATATATCCCGGTATGTCCAATCCTGGGAAAAGGAGAGCAGCGTAATCAGGAGGGATGACAGTCCTTCAAATTCCTCTACGCTAGGAAGCCATCCAGCAAATGAAGGTAAGTCTAGACCTATATACCTTCCTAGGCACAGAGGATCAGAGGAGGGCCAGAGGCATGTAACCCGAGCGTCCACTGTATTAATAATAATAATAACAATATTTTGTTGGGAACCCCCAGAGTGGCTGGGGAAACCCAGTCAGATGGGTGGGGTATAAATAATAAATTTATCATCATCATCATCATCATCATAGAATCATAGAGTTGGAAGAGACCACAAGGGCCATCAAGTCCAACCCTCTGCCAAGCAGGAAACACCATCAGAGCACTCCTGACATATGGTTGTCAAGCCTCTGCTTAAAGACCTCCAAAGAAGGAGACTCCACCACACTCCTTGGCAGCAAATTCCACTGTCAAACAGCTCTTACTGTCAGGAAGTTCTTCCTAATGTTTAGGTGGAATCTTCTTTCTTGTAGTTTGGATCCATTGCTCCATGTCTGCTTCTCTGGAGCAGCAGAAAACAACCTTTCTCCCTACTCTATGTGACATCCTTTTATATATTTGAACATGGCTATCATATCACCCCTTAACCTCCTCTTCTCCAGGCTAAACATGCCCTTAGCCGTTCCTCATAAGGCATCGTTTCCAGGCCTTTGACCATTTTGGTTGCCCTCCTCTGGACACGTTCCAGTTTGTCAGTGTCCTTCTTGAACTGTGGTGCCCAGAACTGGACACAGAACTCCAGGTGAGGTCTGACCAGAGCAGAATACAGTGGCACTATTACTTCCCTTGATCTAGATGCTATACTCCTATTGATGCAGCCCAGAATTGCATTGGCTTTTTTAGCTGCCGCATCACACTGTTGGCTCATGTCAAGGTTGTGGTCAACCAAGACTCCTAGATCCTTTTCACATGTACTGCTCTCAAGCCAGGTGTCACCCATCTGCTTACTGGGCGAGATGCCTCTGAGGAACGCCCCCCCCCCAGACCTACCCAGTCCCCTTTGACATGCCACAGCGCCTTTGCTACATACCAGGAGAGGGTTGACCCGCATATATTGGGGCCAATCGGGGTCCGTCATGCAGAAGGGTGTCAAGGTGCATGAGTAAGGGTCTGTGCGACGGGTGCCCATCAACACAGCCTCTATCTGCGGCTGTTGCACCTTCAGGTCGCCCAGCGCCTGTTTGATGTTCCCGTGGACATTACACATCTGAAGGTTGTACCTGCAGGAGGTGGAAGAGGGAGTCTCGCCTGACGCCAACATATTTTTTTTGGTGCCGGAAAAACAACACTTTTTCGTTCGCAACAGATTTAATAACAATGATGGTGATCCCTGAGGTGGATATTAGATCTGGGTGGAAACCATAGCCGTCAACTTACAGATTTGAAAATAAGGGACCAGCAGCCTCAAAAATAAGGGATCAGCAGGCAAAATAAGGGATTTTCCGGGCACAGGTATGTTCATCTTCTGAGCTCCTCCGAGCCAAAGGCAGAAAGCCCAGCAGGCAGCCAAACGAAGCCTCAAGTGGTGGTTCCCACAGCGCAGCAACCAGGCAAAAGGGATGCAGCAAGGTAAACCACTGTCACCTCTCTGCTGGGAAGCGCTGAGCAAAGGCGAGTCCCCAGGCAATGCCGCCGATTTGATCAGCACAAGGCATGCAAGCTCCACCCCCCAGTCGTTCTTAGACTCCTTATTGGGTGAGCAACGCAGCCAAGCAACACAGTTGGAGCCTCCCTCCTCCCTGGCCGACGGGGAGGGAGGGAGAGGAGCTGCTTCCTTTGAAACCCAGGAAATTTAAGGGACATCGTCAATAAGGGACAGCAGCGGGACACAGCGCTGGGATAAGGGAGTTTCCCGCCAAATAAGGGACAGTTGACAGCTATGGTGGAAACAGCAAGGAGTCCTGCTGGGATGTTGGGGCCTCAGCAAATCCCCCAGAATGCCAACTGATAGCACCATTCCCGTTTCCAAAAAGTCCTCTAGGCGGTTCTCAAAACGAAACAAACACAAAATACGGGGATACAACAAACGAAGGTGTCGATCTTTTTGTTTGTTGCCTGTTAAGGGACTTCACACCAGCCCCCCGGAATGAAAGTACAAGTTTCGTACCGCTGGGCTGTGTCTTCTATGAACTCCTCCATCTCGGGAAACGGGGACACAATCCGGATGTAAAGAGCCTGCAGCTTCTCCGACCTCTCCGGACACCGCCTGGGTGCGAAAGAGAGAACACAGGGACCCTTCATTTCAGTGGGAACTGGATAAGCTGCCTTAAAAGGTAAAGTGACCCCTGGCCATTAGGTCCAGTCGTGACCGACTCTGGGGTTGCGGCGCTCATCTCGCTTTATTGGCCGAGGGAGCCGGCGTACAGCTTCCGGGTCATGTGGCCAGCATGACTAAGCCGCTTCTGGCAAACCAGAGCAGCGCACGGAAACGCCGTTTACCTTCCCGCTGGAGCGGTACCTATTTATCTACTTGCACTTGGACGTGCTTTCGAACTGCTAGGTTGGCAGGAGCAGGGACCGAGCAACGGGAGCTCACCCCGTCGCGGGGATTTGAACCGCCGAGCTTCTGATCGGCAAGTCCTAGGCTCTGTGGTTTAACCCACAGCGCCACCCGCGTCCCACACTAAGCTGCGTTATACCAGGTTATTTGTCCATTTAGGCAAGAATTACCTACTCTGACTGGCAGTGCGGCTCTCCAGGGTTCTCAGGCAGAGAAGAGACTTCTGCCCTCTTAGCAGGTAACTGGTTTTATTTTTAACTGGCGACGCAGGGGCTGAACCTGGGCCTTCTGCATTCCAAGCAGGTGTTGTGCCAATGAGCTATGTCTGCCCTGCCACCCCCAAAGCACCCCATTCCTCATGGGGGCCAGCTTCTGGGAAGTCCACAGGCAAGGAAAGAAAAGGTGCTTTCCCCTTCCCCACTTTCAACTGGCACCCAGGGGTAGACTGCTTCGGAATAAGGAGGTTCTCTTTATGTATCCTTGTTCACAGCTGCTGCCTTTGCAGGCAGAAAAATTCGTGCTGGACAAGCCCTGATTCTGAGGTCCTCAAATTGCCACACATGGGCACCTGCCCCTCCTGATTTGTATTTTTTGTTTTTTATAGCTCTTCCAATAAAGAAATCTGCATTGGGAGAAAGAGAAAGGAAGAAGAAAAATGCAGATAAGCCAGTGATGAGGACTAGAAACTTGTTGAAAAATTCCACAAGTTGGTAAACGACTAAGCTGTGCGATTTGTTATGCCATCAGGGCTAGAAAAGGCTTTTAAAAAAACAACCCTTGCCTGGTCCCAATCTAGGTAAAGGTAAAGGGACCCCTGACCATTAGGTCCATTCGCGAACGACTCTGGGGTAACGGCGTTCATCTCGCTTTATTGGCCGAGGGAGCCGGCGTACAGCTTCCGGGTCATGTGGCCAGCATGACTAAGGCGCTTCTGGCGAACCAGAGCAGTGCACGGAAACGCCGTTTACCTTCCCGCCGGAGCGGTACCTATTTATCTACTTGCACTTTGACGTGCTTTCGAACTGCTAGGTTGGCAGGAGCAGGGACTGAGCAACGGGAGCTCACCCCGTCGTGGGGATTCGAACCGCCGACCTTCTGATCAGCAAGTCCTAGGCTCTGTGGTTTAACCCACAGCGCCACCCACGTCCCAATCTAGGGAAGTCCTAATGAGAAATACGGAAAGAAAAGGGTGCAAAGTACCTTTGTACAGCAGCATGGAAGAGGTGAAGTAAGGCTGTGCAGTCCTTTCCCCCATTGAATCCGACACAAAGCTTTGACAGGATGTACTTATCCAAAGCTTCCTCAATGGTCCGAATTGCTGCTGCCACCTTCTGGCCAAGAGGGGAACCTACAGGGAGGTAAAAGCAACTAGGATGAAACAGGGTCTTTGAAAAATAATAATAAAAATTAAAAACATTATTACTTTTATTTATTATATTTATAATCCACCATTTCCTCCAAGGAGCTACCAAGGTGGTGTGCATGGTTCTGCCCTCCATATTTTATACCTCGGGTTACATACGCTTCGGGTTACAGACTCCGCTAACCCAGAAATAGTACCTCGGGTTAAGAACTTTGCTTCAGGATGAGAACAGAAATTGTGGTCCAGCGGCGCGGCAGCAGCAAGAGGCCCCATTAGCTAAAGTGGTGCTTCAGGTTAAGAGCAGTTTCAGGTTAAGAACGGACCTCCAGAACGAATTAAGTACTTAACCCGAGGTACCACTGTACTCACAACAACCTTATAAGGTAGTTTAAGTTGACAAGACTTGACCATTGGTGAACTTTGACATCATCATCATTATTATTATTATTAAGTTTCTATACTGCCCTTCAACAGAAGATCACAGGGCACTTTACAATATAAAAACACAAAAATACTTACCATAATAACAAACAGAAACAATACCCTGCCCCACTTTAAAAGGCCGTGGGTTGTTTAATGAGCCAAAGGCCTGGGGGAAGAGGAACGCTTTTGCTTGTTGTCTAGAATCATAGAATTGCAGAGTTTGAAGGAATCACAAGAGTTATCGAGTTATCCTGCAATGCAGGAACGTTTTGCCCAGCGTGAAGCTCGAACCCACGACCTTTAGATTAAGAGTCTCATGTTCTATCAGCCAATTAATGAAGGTGTCAGGCGAGCCTCTCTGGAGAGAGCATTCCACAAATGGGGAGCCACAGCAGAAAAGGCCCGTTCTCGTGTTGCACCACCCTCTGGACCTCACATGGAGGAGTCACATGAAGAAGGACCTCAGGGGATGAATGCAGAGTCCTGGGGTGTTTATATGGAGAGAGCTGCTCCTTGTGGTCCTGAGCCATTCAAGGCTTTATAGGTCAAAACCAGCACTTTGAATTGGGCCTGGAAACTAATTGGCAGCCAGTGCAGTCAAGCCAAGATTGAGGTTAAATGCTCAAACCATCTTGCCCTAGCGAGCGACCCGGCCACCGAATTCTGCACCAGCTGAAGTTTCCAAACCGTCTTCAGAGGCAGCCTTACGTACAATGCATTGCAGTAATCTAACCTAGAGGTTACCAGAATGTAGGCCATAGAAGTTAGGCTATCTCTGTCCCGACAGGGGAGCAGCCGGGTCAGTAGCCGAAACAGATTCTAGGCATCATGCTGGCTGGGGGCTGATGGGAGCTGGAGTCTGAGAACATCGCTGAACTACAAATCCCATCATCCCTGACCACAGGCCATGTGGAACTGATGGGAGTTGGAGTCCAACAACATCTACAGGGGACCACAGGTCCCCTCCACCCCTGCTCTGCCTACTACACCACGCTGCCTCTCCTTTCAGCCCCTGCATAGTCCCGCATTCTTAACTTCGTGGTCCTCTATCCCCACAGATCCAGCCATACGCCAGGCATTACAGTGGTACCTCTGGTTGCGAACAGGATCCGTTCCAGAGCCCCGTTCGCAACATGAGCAGAATGCAACCCGCGTCTGCGCATGTCGCGATTTGCTGCTTCTGCACATGCGTGTGACGTCATTTTGAGCGTCTGCGCATGCGCGAGCGGCGAAACCCGGAAGTAACCCTTTCCGGTACTTCCGGGTCGCCGCGGGATGCAACCTGAAAAGATTTAACCCAAAGCATCTTTAACCCGAGGTATGACTGTATTCCCCTACCGGATTCTGCTAAGGCATACACGTCCTGGGCTGCCTGCGAGACGGGATCGGCCACTAGGGGCACCACAATCCCCGGCGGCAGGTGCTTCATCAGGAAGGCCACCGCTTCCTCCAGGTCCTCTTCCGAATCGGAGTCCAGAGTGAGCTTGACCCGGAAGTAGTTGCTGGCCCAATCTGGGTAGGAGCCCAGGCTCGTGCGACGTCTGAAGTTGGCGTTGGCCCGGTCAAGTATGGGCGCGATGAGGGTCTCTTCGGAGTTGACAAATATCTCCTGCGAGCAGAAGTGGGTCTTCTCGTTGCGGAAGAGGTGGCCGAGACCATCCAGCGCTCGCCTCATCAGCGACGGGATGCCTGGGAAAACGTAGACGTTCCGGACACTGATGAGCGGGTAGGGGAAGCGGCGGCCCGTCTTCTCGTCCTCGCCGTAGTTGAGCAGCGACGACGCGGGGACCCGGGCCAGCTTCATCTCGGGGCAGTCGGCCCCTGTCTTGCCAAAAAACTTCTTCACCAGCTCCACCATCTCTGGGTGGGCAACGACCTTCTCTCCGAAAGCCTGGGCGACTGCCTCAAAAGTCATGTCGTCGTGCGTGGGGCCAATCCCGCCCGAGGTCAGGACGTAGGTGAACTTGCTGGAGAACGACGAGACTTCGTTGGCGATGGCAGCCACGTCATCAGGAACCACGGAGATCTTGGCCACCTTCACACCAAGCGAGCGAAGCCTCTTGCACATGAAGAAGGAATTCGTGTCTTGGGTGTAGCCCTGCCGAAACAAGAGAGCTGTCAGTGCGAAGAGGTCTGCCACAAATATTGCCAAATCCTGCATCCTATTACATAGGTAAAGGGACCCCTGACCATTAGGTCCAGTCGTGGCCAACTCTGGGGTTGTGGCGCTCATCTCGCTTTACTGGCCAAGGGAGCCGGCGTACAGCTTCCGGGTCATGTGGCCAGCATGACTAAGCCGCTTCTGGAGAAACCAGAGCAGCGCACGGAAACATCGTTTACCTTCCCGCTGGAGCGGTACCTATTTATCTACTTGCACTTTGACGTGCTTTCGAACTGCTAGGTTGGCAGAAGCAGCGCAACGGGAGCTCACCCCGTCAATCCTATTACATATTTCACTTAATAATCCACATTGGATTACGGCAATCCAATCTGCGTGGGGCTGCCCTTGAGGATGACTCAGGAACTTCAACTGGACCAAACCGCAGAGGCCGGATTATTAATTTATTTCATAATATTTGTATACCGCTTGACTGCAGAACACTTCACAGCTGTTTACAAAAAGGAAAGAACAATAGGGTTATTGGTTAAAAACAAATAAACATATACAGTGGTGCCTCGCAAGATGAAATTAATCCATTCCTAGAGTGTCTTCGTCTAGCGGTTTTTTCGTCTTGCGAAGCAACCCTATTAGCGGCTTAGCGGATTAGCGCTATTAGCGGTTTAGCGGCTATTAAAGGCTTAACGGCTTAGCGGCTTAGCTGCTAAAAGGCTATTAGCAGCTTAGCGGCTTAGAAAAGGGGGGGGGGGGAGCGAAAAAAAATCTCAAGACTCACAAGACATTTTCGTCTTGCGAAGCAAGCCCATAGGGAAATTCGTCCTGCGAAGCAACTCAAAAACGGAAAACCCTTTCGTCTAGCGGGTTTTCCGTCTTGCGAGGCATTCGTCTTGCGGGGCACCACTGTATTGGTGTGGGAGTATCTTGTAGCTTTTTTCCTGTTCCTTTTTTCTTCAGTTTCTTTCTTTTAGTTCCTGTAATTAGTTTGTTTTTTTATAGTATTGTGAAAACTTCATTAACCACCACCCCCCCAAAAAAATTAAAAAAATTAAAACCACCAAAATACTCCCCCCCAAATGCATCATAAAAATATCTAGGTAGGCTTGTCTAAACAAAAAATTTTTTAGCAGGTGCTGAAAAGGCTACAGTGAAGACGCCTCCTGATGTCAATAGGCAGGGAGCTCTAATTTAGCTCTTGATTTTGTTCCACTTTGGTTTTTGTTATCTTCCTTAATCCTCAGGGTTAGGGAGGGGTCTGCGTGCAGATGAAGGAAACGGGTGGTTGATGAAGGACCCTGCGTGAGGCAGGGAAGGGAAGATCTCCCAGGTGAGAGCTGGAAAAGTCTCGCCTCTTCGTGCGTGGGACAAGATTTAAGTTCTTCCTTTGAGAGAGGACCTTCTTCTTTTCCTTCCTTTTTTCCTTTTCCTTTCATTTAGGTTCATTTTGTTTTTAATTGTATTATGAAAAGTCTTAATGAAATCTTATAAAAACAAAAGATCAATTTAGATTACCGGCTGGGGTTCCATGTAGATCATATAGACCAGGGGTTAGCGAACTTACCGCACCTTGGGCCGGTGTCTCCAGTGCTGATTGCACAGCGGGCCGGGGGGCGGGGGAGCGCGTGCCCATACGCGTGCGCACACGCTATTTCCAGCGCACTTCCGGGTCGGAGGAGCACCGGAAATAGCTTGTGCGCATGTGCACGGGCCTCCTCCGACCTGGATGTGCACTGGAAATAATGCTTGCGCATGCGCAAATAACGCTTGCGCATAAGCTATTTCCGGTGCTCCTCGGACCCGGAAGTGGGCAGCTGTGCAGCACAGTGCTGGTAAAAGTGGGTGGCAGGGGTCGCTGCAGGCCGGATAAACGAGTCCCTCGGGCCTTATCCAGCCCACAGGCCTTAGTTTGGGGCATAGCTGTCAAGCGTCCCTTATTTGGTGGGACAGTCCCTTATCCCAGCGCCATGTCCCACTGCTGTCCCTTATTGATGATGTCCCTTAAATAAGCTACTGAAGGTAATGGGGCCCTTTCTAGGTCCAGCTGTCCTTTGTCAACAACAAATTGTTGCTGTTTTTTTTGTGTTGAATATATGCTATATGGTAATTTATGGACCTAATTGGTATCTAAAGCCATTTGCATGCCACAAAATATGTATTTTATCAAAGTAATTGTTGATCCCTTATTTTGGCTGCTGGTCCCTTATTTTCAAATCTGTAAGTTGACAGCTATGGTTTGGGGACCCCTGATATAGACTAAATTGCATTGGCTCTTGCAGGAAGAAGGATGGGGACAAACCTAGAATCCAGGCTCCGCCTATTACTGCCTCTGGCTCTGCCTACTATTGCCCTCTCTGCCTCCAGCCTCACCAGCCCCCAACGGGCATCACCAGCCGCCACTGCGTCTAAGACAAGGGCCACTGCCACACCTTCCCGCAGCTCACGCACCTTTAGAATCTCGTCCCCGATAACTATGATCCCAGCTGTCACGGTGCCATCCGAGGTTCCTTCACTGGCTCCGGGAGCGGCGGTGCTGCTCTGTGCTGCCATGGCTCGGAGATACCCGCTCTGCCGTCCCGTGTGCAGAATCCCCTGGCACAGCCGGAGGTTCCAGCGCATCACTGCCAGCGCTCAGCAGGGTGCAGGGGGGCCCACATGGCAAAGCTGGGAGGCTGGCACGAACTAAAACTTGGGAACAAGCAAGAAGATCACAAAGTAGGATTCCCTGTTTACCTCTCCTTGCGATGGACCACTCCTTGTAAGGCCTTGTACGTTTAAAGCCACCCAGATGCAGGAGTGGAGACTTGGGCCAGCTCGCTTGGTCACCTGCATGGGGTTCCTTCTCGCCTACGGCGACCAAACTACGGCTGAATGCAAAGCTGCCACCAGATTCCACGAAACAGCACTGAGTTAGAATTAATAAACTGTGAGAATGAGCACTGAAATGTCCACAGGGCAGGAGCGAGGGTTATGGCTGTGTACACGTGAAGGCACATTCAAAGCACATTCTGTCCCTTAAATAATTCTGGGTACTGTAGTTTTCTTCCCCTGCCCCAGCAACCCTTAACAAACTACAGTGGACAGAATTCTTTGCAGGGTGTGTGTGTGCTCTGAATGTGTTTTAAAAGTAAAGTCATCTGGCGTAGGGGTCCCCAACCTTTTCTTTTTGGGGGAGTTCCACAGGCACATTTGGAAACCTGAAAGACTGCAGCAGGCCCCCGCAAAATACCCATTTCACAGAAGAGACACTGACGATGCTCAGAAAGGTCCTCTCCAAAACAGGCAAAACCTCCTCCGTGCCTCCAAACAAACAAGGTAAAGGTAAAGGGACCCCTGACCATTAGGTCCAGTCGTGGCCAACTCTGGGGTTGCGGCGCTCATCTCGCTTTACTGGCCGAGGGAGCCGGCGTACAGCTTCCGGGTCATGTGGCCAGCATGACTAAGCCACTTCTGGCGAACCAGAGCAGCGCACAGAATAATAATAATAATAATAATAATAATAATTTATTATTTGTACCCTGCCCATCTGGCTGGGTTTCCCCAGCCACTCTGGGCGGCTTCCACAGAGACCAAAAATACACTAAAATCTCACACATTAAAAACTTCCCTGAACAGGGCTGCCTTAAGATGTCTTCTGTATGTCAGGTAGTTGTTTATCACTTTGACATCTGTTGGGAGGTCGTTCCACAGTGCGGGTGCCACTACCGAGAAGGCCCTCTGCCTGGTTCCCTGTAGCTTTGCTTCTCGCAGCGAGGGAACCGCCAGAAGGCCCTCGGCGCTGGACCTCAGTGTCCGGGCTGAACGATGGGGGTGGAGACGCTCCTTCAGGTATACTGGGCCGAGGCCGCTTAGGGCTTTAAAGGTCAACACCAACACTTTGAATTGTGCTCGGAAACGTACTGGGAGCCAACGTAGGAAATGCCGTTTACCTTCCTGCCGGAGCGGTACCTATTTCTCTACTTCCACTTTGACGTGCTTTCAAACTGCTAGGTTGGCAGGAGCAGGGACCGAGCAACGGGAGCTCACCCCTTCATGGTGACTTGAACCGCCGACCTTCTGATTGGCAAGTCCTAGGCTCTGTGGTTTAACCCACAGCGCCACCCATGTCCCTTTTGACACATGCATGAAAGGCCAGTAACATCCCTTCCCAAAATGAAGGAAGCTCTCCCCCGTGGTGCTGGCTGCAGCCGATAGGAGTGCGGTCCTAAACACCTGGAAGCTTCCAGGTTGGTGAAGTCAGAGACACTTGCCCTTCCCTCTCAAGGAATTCAGGAATCCAAGATCTCCAGCCAAGCTACATAGCAGAAGCACCTGCTCCTTCCTCCCTGCTTTGGGCCTAGAATCCAGGGGTCTCAAGGATGGGTGCCAACGGGTCAGAAAAGAAAGGAAGGAAAGCACCCTAGCTTCAATCTCTTGAGCAAAATTAGTGAAGTTTTGATGCACATATTATTATTACTATTATCAAATTTACTAGTCGCTTGTTCGTACAAGGTCTCCAAGCAACTTGCATTTTTAAAAATAAGCAAAAATGCATCGAGCCATTAAAAAATTGCATAAAACATTAACATCCTCATAAAACACCTACATGCACACACAAATGAAACACCCCAGCTCCCCCTATTGACTGCAATATGTTAAAATCAATATATATGTGTGTAAATAAATTAAAACAAGTATCACATTATCTACAATGGTACTTCCCAAACTTACAATAATTGGGTTTGAAAATTTAGTCTTACTGGCCTGCCCCTTCTTGGAAGATAATTTGGGGGGAGTTTTAATAATACTATTTTATCTATTATATATATATATATATATATATATATATATGTGTGTGTGTGTGTGTATATATACATATATATATGTCATATACCATTTGAAACCCTTTCCTGTACCCCCTGGGGTATGCGTACTACAACTTTAGGAAACACTGGTCTACAATATTCTTTGAGAGGGAAGGGCAAGATAGAAATAACAATGACCTGTGTTTATATGAGTAGCCACTGAGAAGATCCATAAAAAAGCAACAGTACCAAAAAGAATTGTTGTGAAAATAAGAAATATTTGGGTGTGTGTGCCAAATTTTGTCCTGGCTCAGGGCACCAATCTTCCCAAACTCTGCCCCAGTATATATTGGTAGATCAATGAAAATAACCATTGTGTTGTATAGAATATTGTTGTATTATTATTATTATTATTATTACTACCCACTCTGGGACTTCATTGTGAAAATCAGGTAAGAAATATAAAATAATTATTAATAAAAATTAATAAAACAACACTATAAAATCAACAATAATAGGTGAAGATGTGGCTGTCACGGGAGATAAACAGAATCCTTTGCTGATTGCTGCAGATCCTTTTAATCTCTTAAAAGGCACAGCTTCAGGGGCCAGTGCGGAAGTTGGCAACCCTCAGTCCATTCCAAGGCTACATGATTTCTGCTCTAACCCTGTTTTGTGTCCCCTGGAAGGAAAGGCACTCTGCACGTGGCCAGAGTTACTCTCCTTCGCAACCTTCAGGACACAGAGGGGAAGGGGATGGCCCTTGAAAACACATGCTGGGACGGAGCCTCGCGAAGCCCCCCAAACTCATATTCAGAGCAGCCTCCCCTCCCTCGCTCTTCCTACTCACCTCCCGTCTCAGATCAAAGCTCACCGAATCTCCCCGCCCGCCTCTTGTCCATTGGCCGCTCCGTCGACGCCGCCCCGCCTCCTCCCCCTCCCATTGGACAGTAGGAAAAGGGGCGGGGGGGAAGAACGGCCTATGGAAAGAAACCGATTGGCCAGAAGCTTCGTCTCGTAGCAAGCCTGATGCGCCTACCAGAAGGAAGATGGAGAATGAGCAAGAGACCCTTGGGGAGGGAGCGGGGGACTACGATTCCCATCGTGCTTTGCGGCATTCACCTTCGTTCGAGGTTGTCTTTGAAAGGCAGGAGGGAGGTTGGGGCTCTTAGGGCGAGAGATAGCTAAAAGGAAGGAGATGAAAGGAAGGATGATAATGAAAATAATATTAATATTAATACACTACAGATCATCATCAGTCTAGGAAGGTGTATCAGCAGACAAGGTTGGCAGATGTATGGAAAATATTTGGGAGGGGGAGTCAGAAAAGGGGTAGGAGGGAGAGACTAAATATCTCAAAAATTGATCAGAAGGTCGGCGGTTCGAATCCCCACGATGGGGTGAGCTCCCGCTGCTCAGTCCCTGCTCCTGCCAACCTAGCAGTTCAAAAGCACGTCAAAGTGCAAGTAGATAAATAGGTACCACTCTGGCGGGAAGGTAAACAGCATTTCCGTGCGCCGCTCTGGTTCGCCAAAAGAGGCTTAGTCATGCTGTACGCTGGCTCCCTCGGCCAGTAAAGCGAGATGAGCGCCGGAACCCCAGAGTCGGCCACAACTGGACCCAATGGTCAGGGGTCCCTTTACCTTTATCTATGCTCAGTGGCTACAGAATTGTAGAGCTGGAAGGGACCACGAGGGTCATCTAGTCCACCCCCCTGCAATGCAGGAATTGTCTTTGCCTAACATGCGGCTCAAACCCACGATGCTGAGATTAAGAGTCAAATGCTCTTACCGACTGAGCTATCCAAAAATTTTGGTGGGGATTGAATGGAGTGACTGAGCACACTGTACAGAAGCACTTCATGCTGCCATCTTATATAAATATAAATCCTCCGTAGCAGCAGTTTTCAAACTCTGTTGGGAAGAAAGGCTATCTTACGGATTGCTTGGGACTACCAGTTTTCCCTTGCAAGAAGGTGTTTCTAGGGCACAGCTGCAGTCAGCGTAGGCCAGTGATGAATCCCAACCAGTTTATCCAGTAAAATGAGTTTGTACCCTGCTCCCAGAATCCACTGCATGTGGTCAGCACTTCCTCAGCAGATAGGTTCTGACTTGGAAAATATTTCCTCAAAGGAGGAAAAAGTTGCGAAACATCAGCTTGTCGCTATGCACACGCACACATTAGAAAAGTACTACAGCAAGAGTTTTCAGATGTCCCCTTCATGACTCATAATGTGAATTCACCCTGGCAGACTTCTTTTGTGTGTGTGAACTCTCGTTATGGTACAAAATGTTTTTGAGTGCTTCTATTTCCCCTTAGTAATGATGCCCAGGCCAGGACATGTCAGTCAGCTCAGCTGCTATGGTGCATGTTAAAAATTAGACTATGCTTCAAACCGTTTAAAGTTCTGCTTGTGTAGAAAGATCTGGGTGGACCAGGGTTTTTATATCTCACACAAATCCTGCTCATAAAAACTCTCTAAAATGCTGCAGCACTGCTTGTGTTTGCACACAAAGCTAAGCCAAGGTTTGCTTTAACCATGGTTTACTCAGCAAGCCATTACTCAGATTGCAGAGAACCCATGGTTTGTTTCTCCAAAGCTTGGTTTCTTTTCCAGCTTCTGTTGCTTCTGTAGGTCAGCGAACATATGTGGTGGGGTGGCAAAAGAAGCCATGGTCAAGCAAGGCTGTTAGGATTGGACCTACCAACACACCGCGGCCAAAAAAACCTGTGTTTCCTAAGCCAAGGAAATTGTGACTTCACATCACAGTTCGCTGCCAGAAAACAAACCATTGTTAGTTTGTTGGGCCCAGACGACCTATGCTTTGGTTGAGCAAACCATCACTTTGAATTGGGTGTAAACCAGACAACTGTATCTTCCCGCCTCTTAATTCTCACTACAACCTCTTGAGTCAAGTTGGTGGAGCCTCCAGATGCTGTTGAGCTATAGTTTCCATTGCCCGAAGCCATTGCCCATGATTGCTAGGGTTGATAGGAGTTGTATTTCAGCAACACCCAGAGGCTAACGCTTGCCCACTCTTATATTAAAGGCTGTTGCAATGGCTCTTCTGTCAATTAGGGTGCTTGCTGCCCAATTCTAAGCTTACCCAAAAAAAAAAAAAATAATAATCCAGGTGGACTTTACGACATTTTGCATTTGAGCTGTTAGGTTGAAAAAGCTACTCTACCCTTGTACTAAAGGAAACTTTCAGGGGGCCAGTGGTGGGCGTGGCCAGAGACAAAAATGGGCGGAGCAACAGGCATGACACTTACCTTTGCATGGTTGAGTATGTTCCAGCCACACTGAAGACAGAGGTTTCGACACATACAGACCTCTGTGTCCACATCCAGGCAAGGAAAAGGCATTAGCAAGGGATACATTCCAGCCAGGCAAAAAGCACTCAAGGAGAGCACAGGGTAGGGTCAGTAAGGGGTGTAGATAGTGGAAGTCTTGAGGGCCAGGCAGAAAGGACTGGAGGGCTGCAATCCACCCCCAGGCAAGAGGTTCCCCTAACCTTAACCCATTCCTTCGTTTCTTCATGCTAGCAGCTTTGCCAAGTCTTTCCCCAGAGGTGGAAGTTGCCTCTTAAGGGGGAAAAATTTCTGTGCAACTGAATGCACATGAGCCAGCACCCACTTGTTCCTATGCCCACTTAAGTATTAAGGAGAGGCAATGAGATGCCTAGAGAGGTAGCTACGTGAAGTTTGTTTGTTTTAAGAGACAGTGCCATTTCTGCAGAAAGGCCTCAGAAAGAGAAGCTGTAACACACGTTACAAAGATGTCTGCAAATGTGACATCAGCCCTGCTATGTGGAAATTCCTTGCAGATGACCGCAGTGCCTGGAGACAGACAGTCACGCCATTTTTGCATAGCAGTGACCAGAGGAGGAATGACTGCTGGGAGGAGCGCAGAGAGAAGAAACGCATCTACAGCAGCACAACCGGATGCCTTCGTCTGCCCCACCTGCAACAAAACATGTCTCTCCCATATCGGTCTCTACAGCCACAGCAGGCACCGCAACTTTCCAACAGTTTGACATCACCTGCAAAGGCATACTCCTCCACTATCTCCCGAGACAGATGGATGCCAACAACATGCACAAGCTCATCTGCAGCTTATTTTTTAAATACTTCTAGCTCAGCTTTGTAAATAAACCCATAAAGGTTACTTACCAGCAGAAATAAAATAAATTAGTAGCCTGCTAAGAGGTTTGTTCTTAGCATTGTTATGGTGACCATGGAGAAGGGAGGCGCTGCCCCCGGAGGCATAGAAATAACCACTGATTGGATAAAATATAGATATCTACCTAGCACGCTGGCAGATCTTCCCCTTCCCTGCCTGTCCATTCACTTGTCTGCATGCAATTCCATTCACTGTTTGCACATCAGCTATTAATACAAAGCTGTTCAAGCCACATTTGAGATTACAGCAACCAGAAGGTTTGAGGGAGTCTATGAAATAAGCAAAAGGATGTGTAAAACCTTGGTGCTTTATTGACAGACCCTGAAGAACAGTCATATCAAGCGTAACTTTTAAAAGTTCCAAAGGATTAACATGAAATACAAGGTTTTAGAAATATCCAACCAGGGAAACACACTGCATTCTCCTGGGTTTAAAAACCAAACCAGCCCTGCTGTGTGGGATAAAGCAGGAGCAAGGCTTCAGCCAGTGTAAAAAAATATCAATGTATCAGCAGCTAAAACCAATCCTTTTCAGCAGACAGTCTTTCTGCAGCAAGCAAAGCTTTTCTTGTCCGGCATTAACTGTTGCATTGAGTGGCCTTTTCTTGACAGACATAGTGAAAACATTTGTCAAACTTTTCCAAAAAACACAATTGCTGGGTTTTTTGTTTAAAGGTGCTTATAGCTAAAGCATGGGGAAAGGCCCAAGCACATCATTTTTCTGGCTTCTTTGGCAACGGCCGTCGGAAAAGCAGGATGTGGGGCTCTGCAGGGAGAGAGGAAATGGCATGTTAAAAAAAGATCTAGAAAATAATATTGAAAGGCCAGGTGACTCAAGCCTAACATGGGTGTTTCTAAGCATATGTCAAAAATCAAATGAGCACTTTGCACGTGGCACAGTCACAGCTGTGTCGCAAACATGACCTCCAAAACAGCATCCGATGCATCCATCAGCTTCCTCCAAATCCAGGTTTTGATTTGAAGTTGCTAATCCTCACTGCAGCAACTTCAAATAAGCTTAAAGCTACAACCATGTAAGAGCAGCAGTAGAACAGCTGCTTTGCATGCAGAAGGTCCCCAGATTCAATCTCTGGCACCTCCAGGTGTGGCTGAGAGAAACCCTTGCTTGAAACACTGGAGAGCCACTGCTGGTCAGTGCAGACAACACTAAGAGAGATAGACCAATGGTCTCTCAGTATAAGGCAGCTTCCTATGTTAAAAAATCTGCAGGCAGAAGGAATCGGGAGAAGCAGAATCTCACGCTTGTCACAGGTCCCTCTCCCTCTTCAAATATTGTGACTGCAGAACACTGTAAGCTGTTTTTGGTGGTTAAAAGATTTCATTTTTTTCTACTTAATCACATTAATTTTTATTGATTTATCATAAGCATATGTATAAGCCAACATATAACCATACAAACAATCACAGAACTATACATAGAGCATATTCAGTATAAAAACAAATTACAGAGCCAAGTTTTTAAGATGAGTCTATATAGCACAATTACAGCAAGGCGTGAGTTATAGGAATAATTCTTAAATGATTCTATTTATACAATAAAAAATGGCTGCATCAAAACTCTAATTTGGCTTTACTGCAGGCCACTTTCTCTTCTTGATATCCCTGGCCAGCTCCCTGATCAGTTCAGAGCTTCTGCCACCCAATGAGTGACAGGCCAACCCTGACTGTGATCTGGACTAGGGGAAGACGAAAGTACCGTAACTTCCTGCTTTAGTGGAGGTAATGGACACTCCCAACTATGGCTGGTGCTCTGCCAAACTGAGAGGCAAGATATGCAGTATATGCCAGGAGTCTTTTCATCTTGTCATATTCAATCACATACCAAGGGTGGTGAACATTATGAACACCAGTAAACTGGGCCATAAGGAGTACTTTATTAATACATAAACTCTGCTCCTAAGGGAGGCAGAGGCATTCGCTTAAATAGAAAGCAGTGAGGAACTAGCAACTTTAATTCAGAACTGGGATTTGCAAGAAGCCGACAGAAGCATTGGATGCTGTTTTTGAAGCCACATCTGTGTGCTTTAAAAAAAACACAGGTTTTATAAGGCAGTGGCTCTCTGCAAAGGCCTAAATATATTTACGTCTGAATAGATATTCAGTCTATACCAGGGGTCTGCAAACTTTAAGACAAAAAGAGCCACTTGGACCCGTTTCCGAAGAAAAAAAAACTGGGAGCCGCAAAACTCGTCATTATAAAAATAACTTTTTTGTCACTTTTTTATTATTTCTTTGTTTGACCCCTCAGAATTACTCCTCCTCATAGAAATAAACGTTAAATTAACAAGTTACCTTTGTGTGTGTGTGTGTGTGTGTTCTTCACTCCCCTTCAAAACAGTGACCAGCGTATACGCCCCCTTTCAATGCAGTGACCAGCGTACATGCCCCTTACAACGTAGCGGGCGGGCGGGTGAGAAGGTGACGTCGGGACGGTGCGTGACTAACGCACGCACCGCCCCCATGCGACGTCACAGCCAGTACAGCGCCCGCCACAGTGGGGAGTGTCGGGGTGCACAATGCGCCTCCTCCCCTCGCTAGTATCCGCCCCGGAGCCGCGGCAAAGGTGTAAAAGAGCCACATGCGGCTCCGGAGCCGCGGGTTGCAGACCCCTGGTCTATACAGTTACTGAGATTGTAACTATAATTTGTAACAGTAATCTGCACCCCTCACTGCCTCCCTTTGAATGGGAAAGTTCTCCAAAGAACATAAGGAGAGCCTGCAAGATTCCTCCAGGAAGTTCACAGGCAGGGCATAAAGGCAAAAGCCCTCCTTCACTGTTATCCATAAAAACACAAGGAGACCCCTCTGGATCAGGCCAATGGGCCACCTAGCCCAGCCCAGTGGGCAACCAGATGCCTGTGGGAAACCTGCAAGCAGGATCTGAGAACAAGAGAACTCTTCCCTCCTGTAGTTTTCATCAACTGGTACTTGGAAGCATTACTGCCTCCAGCTATGGAGGCAGAGCATAGCCACCATGGCTAACAGGCACTGATGACCTTCTACTGCATGAATTTGTCTAATCCTCTTTTAAAATCATCTGAGTCGCTGACCAACACTGCCTGCCTCCTGTGGGAGTGACTTCCTTGTTTTAAGTATGTGCAGTGTGGAACTAGAGGAGCTATTTATATCAGGTCAGATTAGATGTTCATTCAGGGCAGGGGTAGGGAATTTGTGGCTCTCCACGCACTGCTGGACTTCAAATCCCAGCAGTCCGAGGACTCTCAAAGGTCAGCCATGATGGAAGTTGTGGTCCAATATCTGGAGGGGCACAGATCTGCCAAGCATGCCCTAGATACATGTCCCAACCAATCAGGGATCACATATCCTCCACCCCTGTTCTAGACGTAAGCAAGCCAGCTGCCTAGAATTCTGGCAGGGCACAATGACGGCATAATTCAGCTGGGTGTTTAAAGCAGCTATTGTAGTACAGCTCTTTTTGGTCATCAAGAAGAAGAAACGTGTGCACGTGCAACAGAGAGATAGCAGGTCTCACATTCTGCCCAATCTATTTCCTGCTACCCTGATATCAGAAAGCCATTTTGTCAGCCCTTCCACTCAAGCAAGGTCTCTTAGTATTTGCTCCAGGCCTCCTGTGCCATTGTGCAACCTACCTGGCTCGTGGATCATGTAGTGAACCCAGCCCTGGCTTTGCTGGACCCCCAGGTTCCGCCACTCTGACTCGGACATGAGGTGGGTCTTCGGGACCAGCTTGGCAATGTCCTTTGGAAGCATCACGTGCCTGCAGCGGCAGGATCAAGAGGAGAGAATGTTAAAAGAAGCACAGGAAGGATCGCTGTAAAATAGTTTGTGGCCATTAAGTCAATCGTCAGAAAGTAAAGAGACCCAACAAATTGGACCCACAGCCCATCTGGTCCAGCAATTATGTTCAATTCATCCAATATATGGAGGGCAAGCCTATCAATGGCTACTAGCCATGATGGCTACCGTCTACCTACACAATCAGAGGAAGCAATGTTTCGTTCTGCGTATCAGTGGCTGAAAACTGCAGGAGAGAGTTTTGCATTTGGTTGGCCACTATGAGAACTGGATGATGGACCAGATGGGCCACTGGCCTGATCCAGCAGGGTCTTACATTTCTGGGAAGCCCACAAGACTAGACTTGAAGGAAATGTCACTTTCCTATTGTCATTCTTCAGCAACTGTTAAGCATGTTGCCTCCAATACTCAAGGCAGTACAGTATACATATAGCAGCCATTGGAAAGCCACCTCTCAATCCAAACCACCCGCACAGTATAACAAAGGAAGTATATCATAAACTTCCTTTTTCCTAGTACTGAATCTGCTGCATCCAACAACCCACAACCATAACTGGTTATTCTGATAACTGTTCTGAGAGATTATTCCTAAAAACTGTCCCCTACACCAGAAATGATGACAATAATGGTAATGGTGATAATGCTAGATCCATCCAAATAACAGATTATGAGCTTCATTCCAGAGCTGCTCCCTAACTTACCATAAGAACTGCTCGTTATTCCGAAAGATTCTTCCTGAAGCTATTCCATTATAATATTACGTTTTGACACCACCTTTCCTTCCAAGGAGGCTGAGATGGAGCAAATAGTTCTCTCTCCCCTCCCCCATTTTACCCTCACAACAACCCTGTGAGGTAGGCTAGCTTGAGAAGCCAGTCACCACCTAATGGACTTCATGGCTGAGTGGAGGGATTTGAACCCAGGGGTTAGTCTTCACCTTCTAACCACTACACCACACTGCCCACCTCTCTTTTATGGAAGGCCCCGCCCACTCCTTTACGGCCCCGCCCCTCAACGTAGCCATAGCAACCCCTAGCCACGCCCCTCCTCTCCCTCTCAGGGCAAACCCCACCGCTTCCCCGCCTTAGGCCTCGCCCTTTCTCACCGGTACTCGAACTCCTCGTCGTCGTACTTGTCCGAATAGTAGATCTGATTGTGAGCCATGAGAGGGAAACAACAACAACGACGACGATAATTAATAGGTGAATCCCGTCACTGAAGTATCCCGGCAGCCCCTGCAGCAGCAGCCAACGAGCGAGCGGCGGCGCGCGCTCAGGCCTCTCTCACTGGCGCCCGTTGGAAGAGGAGGCGGGACGAGGGAGGAGCCCGGCGCGAGACCTCGTTTCGGCGCGTGCGCGAGGGCGCCTGCTGTCCTCTCCCTTCCTCCCCCCGCTTCAGACACGCAAACACACACCCCTTCCTCAACCGCCGCTTTTCAAACGCCGCCGCCGATGGCGCTGATTGGGTGGAGGAGGCGCAGGGAGGGCGACGTTTGTTGACGTACAAAAGGCTGATTGGCTGTCATTGGCATTGGCTTGGGATTTTCCCTCCCCTTCCCCTTCTCATCCCCTCGCTCGCTTTATTTATTTATTTTTAAAATTACAGTAATAATTTATCGCTGTAAACGATGCAGTCAAATATTAAGCATATTTCTATATAGCTTTTGTTGTTGTTTAGTCGTGTCCGCCTCTTCGTGACCCCATGGACCAGAGCACGCCAGGCTCTCCTCTCTTCCACTGCCTCCCGCAGTTTGGTCAAATTCATGTTGGTAGCTTCGAGAACACTGTCCCACCATCTCGTCCTCTGTCGTCCCCTTCTCCTTGTGCCCTCCATCTTTCCCAACATCAGGGTCTTTTCCAGGGAGTCTCTCTTCTCATGAGGTGGCCAAAGTATTGGGAGTCTCAGCTTCAGGATCTGTCCTTCCAGTGAGCACTCAGGGCTGATTTCCTTCAGAATGGAGAGGTTGGATCTTCTTGCAGTCCATGGGACTCTCAAGAGTCTCCTCCAGCACCAGAATTCAAAAGCATCAATTCTTCAGCGACCAGCCTTCTTTATGGTCCATCTCTCACTTCCATACATCACTACTGGGAAAACCATAGCTTTAACTGTACGGACCTTTGTTGGCAAGGTGATGTCTCTGCTTTTTAAGATGCTGTCTAGGTTTGTCGTTGCTTTTCTCCCAAGAAGCAGGCGTCTTTTAGTTTTGTGACTGCTGTCACCATCTGCAGTGATCATGGAACCCAAGACAGTAAAGTCTCTCACTGCCTCCATTTCTTCCCCTTCTATTTGCCAGGAGGTGATGGGCCCAGTGGCCATGATCTTAGTTTTTTTGATGTTGAGCTTCAGACCATATTTTGCGCTCTCCTCTTTCACCTTCATTAAAAGGTTCTTTAATCATATCTGAGGTTGTTGATATTTCTTCCAGCAATATTAATTCCGGTTTGGGATTCATCCAGTCCAGCCTTTCGCTTAGAGTTGATTATATCAGTTAAGCGTGTTCTAATACGTATACATCATAATATTTTTATATTGACCCTAATATAAATTACAGGTAATTTGCTACAAATGTTATTAATAATATATATTGCTATAAAAACAATGCATTTATTAAAACATTTTTAGGTCACCCTTTAGCCTTAATATAAATTATTAGAACCTACAACCTTTTCAGGCCCAGGAGCCACTTCATTTGGGGACCCTTTCTTAATTTTTACCATATATTTACAAGGTGGTAGTGCTCCTGTTAAGGGACGCGGGTGGCGCTGTGGGTAAAACCTCAGCGCCTAGGACTTGCCGATGGCGGTTCGAATCCCCGCGGCGGGGTGCGCTCCTGTTGCTCGGTCCCAGCGCCTGCCAACCTAGCAGTTCGAAAGCACCCCCGGGTACAAGTAGATAAATACCCTTTTAGTGCTCCTGTTGTGACCCACCTTGGATCAGACTGCAATCAACTAGGGGGGGGGGTCCCAGCCCACCAGTTGAAGACCAGTGGGCCTAATTTGCCACTCAAAGAGTCTGAACACACATACACTCATTTTCCCACTAAGTCAGATGTGTCCTGGCTATTGCCATCCTTGTTTCCTGCATAACAGAATAAGACCTGTAGGATGAGCTCAGCAAGAAGAGGTTTAATAATTCTGCAAGCAGGATGGAGGGGGAAATACCCGATTTAGTAGTGTGTGAATGTGAGTGTCCCTCAGAGCACTAAGCACACATAGCAGCTTTATATAAATTAAAGCCATTTCATTTATTTAGAATGTTGCTTTCCTCTGTACTTGATGTTGTATATGTATTAAATGTTCAGTGAATGAAAACAAAAACCAGAACTTTCCAGTTTTGTGGAAGGGAGAGAAAAGGAGGCAGAGCAGAGTGACAGCAGCAAGAGACCCAAGGCAGAAGAATGATGCCTTGGCTTTGCAGTCGCCACAGAATGAGCCTTAATGGCGCTTATGGGGAAACAACAGATGGAGGGCTGCAACCCATCATCCCTGACGCCTGGCCCTGCTGGCTGGGATTGATAGCAGTTTGAGCCCAACAGCATATGGAAGGCCTATCCCTGCACTACACCCTGTTCTGGGGTTTCTTGGAAATATGAGCAAGAGATGATCAGGAAATCAGGTATCTCCATGATCTGCCATTTCTCTTAGGGACGGTATATAAGTTGAAGGCTACCTTCATGTCACCGAGGGGGTGACATCTGAGCCTTTAAAAGCTTGCATGGCAGATAGAATTCTGACCCATGCAGCTTTCCCTATCATTGCATCTCTGTCCTGAGTGGGTGGCTGTGGTCCAACCTGCACTGGTTACATTATTGGTAAAAACTCAAGAAATTTGCTTCCCTGCCTGTCTCACACACTTCAGTCTACACCCTATTCCGTATGCCACACCCATCTCTCGTATTGCGGGTGGTCCCTAAAAGGTAAGGTAAAGGGACCCCTGACGATTAGGTCCAGTTGTGGCTGACTCTGGGGTTGTGGCGCTCATCTCGCTTTACAGGTCGAGGGAGCCGGGGTACAGCTTCCGGGTCATGTGGCCAGCATGACTAAGCCGCTTCTGGCGAACCACAGCAGCGCACGGAAACGCTGTTTATCTTCCCGCCAGAGTGGTACCTATTTATCCACTTGCACTTTGACGTGCTTTCGAACTGCTAGGTTGGCAGGAACAGGGACTGAGCCCCAAACCGCCGACCTTCTGATCGGCAAGTCCTAGGTTCTGTGGTTTAACCCGCAGCGCCACCCACGTCCCCTACATCCTGGTAAATCATAGAATCATAGAGTTGGAAGGGACCCCAAGGGTCATCTAGTCCAACCCCCTGCGATGCAGGCAGGAATTTCTGCTAAAGCGTCCATGACAGATGGCCAACCAACCTCTGCTTAAAAACCTCCAAGGGAGGAGAGAGCCCACTACCTCCCGAGGGAATCTGTTCCACTGTCGAACAGCTTTTTTATGGGAGGAAGAAATAAAAACAACCCCATTAGGAACTTTAAATAAGAGTTGTTGTTGTTTTTAAGAGCCTTCCGACATTCAGGCTGCGCGTGTCACTCTACCCTGATTTCTATGTCTAGCGGGGTTAGCGAAGGGTTGGTTAAAAAAAATAAATGGGCGGGGCGTGCGAACCAGAGTGGCGCTCGAGCCATAGAGGAGGAACCGGAAGTAAGCCCTTGAAGCCCGGAAGTGAGGTTCTGGGGCGGCCGCAACCGGAAGTGGTTGACGGTGAGGAGGAGTGGGGCCCGGGGCCCAGCTGAAGTTTGCCGAGGAGCTGCTGCGCGACGGAAGGAGGCCGCCTCTGCCTTCCGCTGAGGACCCCCATGGTGCCGCCGCCCCGGTAAGAAGCGCGGGCACGCCCCTCCCTCGTAGCCCCGCCCCCTCCCTCGTGATTGACTCCAGGCGATTCCCCCCCCCCCACGGCGCTCTAGACTCGCCTCCCCCCGGACTTGGGTCTTCTTCTTCTTTTCTTCGTCTTTCCTTTTGCGAATCGTATGTGTGTAGCAAAGGAGGGGGCCGCCCTCCTCGGAATCCTCGGCACAGCCCTGTAAGGTAGGCCAGGCAGGGAGGGAATGGGTTAAAAAACTGAGCCGTGTGGCGGATTCGAACCTGCGCCTCGACCCTCCAGCCCGAGATCTCTGCATATGAGTGGTTCTCTCCCATGACAGGGGGGCTTGGGAGTCATCCGACCCGGCAGCAGATTCAGGGTAGGCGAAGTGGTGCGTGTCTGTGTGTGTTTAAGCCCCACTGAATACAACAGGATTTGCCACTGAGCAGACACGGTGAAGATTGTGCTGGTAACTTCCTTTAAAAAGAGATCGGGCAGATTCATGCAAGAGGTGGAGGTGGAGAAGTCTGCAAACAGCTGTGAGCCGTGTCTGTGAAACAGAACCTCCAGGTTCAGAGGCAACTTACCTCTGAATACTAGTTGCTAGGGGACAAACCAGGGAAGGCCTGGCCCTCCCTGCCCTAGTTGTAGGTTTCCCAGAGGAATCTGGTTGGCCGCCGTGTGGGAAACAGAATGGTGGAGTAGAGGCAGCCTGTGTGTCTAATCTACTCGGTCCGTTATTGTACAGTATTCGAAAAGGGGGAGGTTGTGGGCTCTTGGCACAGGGCGACTGCTATGGAAAGGAATCTTTAACTGAAATGGAGAAGCACAGCATTTAATCTGTGGTGGGGGCTCATTATTTCCAATGATGACTGCACATCTTTAAAGTCTTGAAATCACCACACCAAGTTATCTTGGGGTTCTTCACAAGATGCAGTGATGGCCAGCGACATGTGCCCTGTTTTTCCAGGGGTAAAATTTGAGACAAATTGCATTTATTTGCTTTGAATTGCCGTCATCGCGTCCTCTTTTTCCTCTTCAAAATATGGCATGTTCGTGGTGGATATAAGTGGCCGCAATGGCTATGTTCTCCCTTCACTGTCGGAGGAGGCAGTATGCTTCTGAATCCCAGCTGCTGTTGATCACATGTGGGGAAGGTTACTGTCGCCCTCAGGTCCTGTTTGCAGACTTCTCATTGGGGCCTCTGGTTGGCCAATGTGGGCACAAGAAGCTGGACAATGAGCCTTTGGCCTGACCCAGTAGGGTTTCTCTTTTGTTCTTATGTACAGTTCCCTGGATTCCTTAGGGAAAGCAGTGTGCTTTAAATGGGCATTGAATGTGCTTTCAATGTATGGTGTGGATTTGATCTCGGTTAATACCTGTTTGGGAAGCGGGTGGCACTGTGGGTTAAACCACAGAGCCTAGGACTTGCCAATCAGAAGGTTGGCGGTTCGAATCCCCACGACGGCGTGAACTCCCGTTGCTCGGTCCCTGCTCCTGCCCACCTAGCAGTTCGAAAGCATGTCAAAGTGCAAGTAGATAAATAGGTACCGCTCCGGCGGGAAGGTAAATGGCATTTCCGTGTGCTGCTCTGATTCGCCAGAAGTGGCTTAGTCATGCTGGCCACAGGACCTGGAAGCTGTACGCCAGCTCCCTCGGCCAATAAAGCGAGATGAGCACTGCAACCCCAGAGTCAACCATGACTGGACCTAATGATCAGGGGTCCCTTTACCTTTTTAATACCTGTTTAGTATTCCATGAAATCTACAAACATGCACCTAAGACTATAGGCTTAGACAAGTTCATGGAGGAGAAGGCTATTAGGGCCTATCAGCCACAATGACTATGATCAGGCAGCCTGAATATCAGTTGCTGGTGGAAACTGCAGGAGGGGAAAGCTGCTGTTGGGCTTCCCACTGAGGCATCTGGTTGGCCACTGTGAGAACAGGATTCTGAACTGGACGGGCATTTGGCTTCATCTAGCAGCTAGGCTCGTATTGTTTTCTGAAATTCTTCACAACACCATCTCTTTCATTGGGTCAGTATTATCATCCCTGTGTTGTGGAAGGTGGTCTGAGAGAGAAGACTGGCTTGTTTATAAGGCAGAGCTGGGGAACTTTCAGCCCTCGGCAGATGATGTTGGACTACAACTCCCATCGTCCCTAACCATTGGCCACGCTGGCTCTGTGGCTGATGGGAATTGGAGTCCAACAACAGCTGGAAGGCAGTGTTAGGAACAGAGATATGAAAGCTAGGAGCTAAACGGCAACTTAAACCTAGGTTATGGACGCAACAACGGAATGTCTAGGTGGCTTTTTTATAACAAGAATTCAAAGCTGAGAATGAATGAACTGCTGTTAAAATATTATGTTCATTTTTCACATGGTCTAGTTCTTCCCCTGCCCACCCCCCTAATATTCTTAAGAGGGTCTCTTCTCCGGTCTTCAGAGAGTAGCTGGAAGTGGGGGAGGCAGAAAAAGTTCCCCCTTTCCTTCCACTCTGCAGTTTTAATCTGAAATCTTAGGCGCAGTACTGCACCCAGAGCTCAGAGACTGCTCAAGCTAATGACATTCCCTGTCACAAAATGTGCCTAAAACAATAGGAGTTTTGAACACTGCTGGAAGGGGCAAAGGTTCTCCACTCTTGCACTCAGTTAATGAGGTCGTCCAGAGGCCAGGTCTGCGGCGGCTCAGCCTCTTTGTTACTTTGGCCCAGTAGTTCTCTTATGGGAGAACAAGTCCTGTTAGCAGACCTAGAGAGCAAGGAGACACAATGGCTTAGGTCATAGATGTGGAGGAGAGGGGACCTCTGGCTGTTTACGCTGCTCCTGTGTCGGGTATCCCTGCAGTGCGGCATGGAACAAGGGTAGGGGGAATCCTTTGCAGTCCAAGGGCCGCATTCCCTTATGAGCAGCCTTCTGAGGGCCACATGTGAAAATGTGCAGAGCAATAAGTGTAAATTTGTTCAGTACACACATTCACACACCATCAAAGCAAGCAAGAGGTGTGATCAGTGTTTAAGGACACATTCCAGCCAGCCAAAAACACTCAAGGAGGCTGCAGAGCAGGGTCACTGAGGGGTGTGGCCTGGGGAGAGTTCTGAGGGCCAGATAGAGAGACCTGGAGGGCCACATTTGGTGCCTGAGTTTCCTCACTCCTGTCCAAGAAGAGTACAATCTCTCTTCCCCCCTTATATCCTCCTTTTGGCAGTTGCTGTGCCATTTTCTCCTATAGTCTTTCACTAGGTGGGTCTGAGTTTTGTCTCTTTCCCATCAGCCTGCCTGGTTTGAGCTGGAACTGGGGTTGAGCAGGTGGTGGTGGAGGGATGCAGTTCTGGCTGGGTACATGAATCCCACCCCATTGCGAAATGCTTAGCTTTGGGGGGGGTGTTATTTTTAAAGGACGTGAGTAAGCAATGAGTAATATCCCATGATTACAAAATAGCAGATGTATAGCTTTTCTCTTCCAGGCAGGGTCCTCCCTTGGGGGCAGAGAAGGCAAATGCTGTATTCAAATCCCAAGCTTTGGCAACCAAATCTGTGGGGTTTTCCAGCCTTGCATATGGCTTTCCCTCCTCTGCGGCAGCTTCTCCTTGCGCCCCGGGCCAGTGGTGTTTCCCAAGCATTTGATAGTTGCAGCAAGCTTTGATCTGGATTTAAATTAGCTGGTGTTCTTGGGGTCTCCCCCCGCCTGGTTTATTTTAATAATGTTTTCTTCTTTCGGATGAGCCGCCTCCTCCCTGCCTGTGTGAATTGCTGTTTGGAGGAACGTGTGAGGCTGCTTCATACAGATCATCCATTTCACCCACTGGAAAAGATGAGGAACCTGTGGCCCTCCACACGTTGCTGGACTCCAGCTCCCATCAGCCCCAGCCAGCATGGTATGGGATGATGGGAACATCTTGTCCCCAGCCAGGTACATATCCCATCCAATCAGGGATCACATATTGATTGGAGCCAAGCCTGCAAATCCTTGGCTATAGGTTTCTGGCTGATGATAATCCTGTTGGCTGCCTGCCTGACTTGTATCACAGCTCAATCTGCTGCGAGCTAAGTGTGCCAACACTCTTCAGCCATGGAGTTGATCCTGGAAGCACCCGTGAATCTTCTCTTGAACTCTGTGGCCCCTTTTCTCCCACACAGTTCTGCTACTTCAGCGGAGATCTGACAAAACACTGAGTCAGGTTGCAGCTGAGGTTCAGGAAATGCTTGTTAAATTGGAAAAAGGAAGCCTCCTCCGTTGTTAAGGCTTTTGGGGCATCTTGATGCCTGACAGAACAACCACAGCCCAGTATCTGCTTTGCATGCAGGAGGTCCCAGCTTCAATCCATGGCATCTCCAGGTAGGACTTGGCATGTTCCCTGCCTGAAACCCTGTAGAGCCACTGTTGGTCAGTGTAAACCAGGGTTTCCAGCTGTGGTGGGACTACAACTCCCATCATCCCTGACCACTGGTCCTGTTAGCAAGGGATGATGGGAGTTGTACTCAAACCACAGCTGGAGACCCAAGTTTAGGAAACCCTGGAGCAGACCATACTGAGCTAGCTGGACCATTGGTGTGACGGAAATAAGTCAGCTTCCCACGTTCGTATTCATGGAAATCCTATCCTTTGTCTAAGATCATGAGGGCTGGAATTTTACTTTCTTTCCAATGGAAGGACCATGGTTCAGAGGCAGAGCATGCAGAACGTCCATGCAGAATGTCCATGATTCAATCCACAGCCTCTCCAGCTAGGGGTGGGAATGCCCTTGCCTGAAACCCTGGATTGCTGGGATAGAAAGGACTGACAAAACCCGAGACCAGGAAGAAGAGACGATGGATGAAGATTGGAAGAAAGTTTAAAAAATTTATTTAGAAAAGTATCGTAAAATTAATGAGTATTAGAAAAATGTTGGAATGAAATTATTTGGCTTTAGCAGAAATGTTAAAAAGAATTACCGTATTTTTCGCTCTATAAGACGCACCAGACCACAAGACGCACCATGTTTTTGGAGGAGGAAAACAAGAAAAAAAATATTCTGAATCTCAGAAGCCAGAACAGCAAGAGGGATCGCTGCGCAGGCAGCAATCCCTCTTGCTGTTCTGGCTTCTGAGATAGCTGCGCAGCCTGCATTCGCTTCATAAGATGCACACACATTTCCCCTTACTTTTTAGGAGGGAAAAAGTGAGTCTTATAGAGCAAAAAATTCGGTATGTAAGAATATGTTATGGTTAAAAGAATTTGGTATAAATAAGATTTAAGTTTTAAGTTTTAGGGTTTCTTTATGGTAAGATAAGGTTAAAATAGATTAAAGTAATTTAATGACAGAATATTGTGAAAGATGGAAAGGATTTGCTGAGATAATTAACAACTAGAATACAAAAAAGGGAGGTGTGAGGAGGTCGATGAAATAAGTTAATGAAAGTTAAGGATTTGGGAATATTGGATTTGTTTTTAATTTGTTTGTTTATTTTTGCTTTTTGATTTTGATGTATTGTGTGTTTTGTTTTTTCTTTTTGACTTTGGTTTTTATTGATTTGTATTGTTTAATTGTTACTTTTATCTACCTTTTTCTTTCTTTCTCTCTTTCTCTTGTTTTTTCCTTCTTTTTTCTTTGTAACTTTAAAATTCTCAATAAATATCATTTTTTTAAAAAATGAAACCCTGCATTGCTGCTGCTAGTCAGTGTAGACATTACTGAGCTAAATGGTCCAGTGATCTGACTGAGTACAAGGCAGCTTCCTTCATTGATCTGCAGTTACAAGCGTCTTTTAAATCAGTGCTGGAAACTCAGGTGTTTAAGCTAGGCGACAAATGGCTCCTTAAACCAAGGTTGCAGTCACCAAAACTGAATGTCTAGTTGCCATTTTGGGGCAAGACGGGTCTAAAGTCTTATTTTTCAGATGACTGACTGACTGTGATTGATTCTCAGTTAAACATCTGGCTAGTTCAAATGACAACCTTGAGCTTGGTTAAGAGCTTTGAGAACTTAGAAGCCCCTTGGTCCAGGGACAGTCCACATACCGGTATATATTGGCCTATTCTGAACTCTCTTTCTTAATGGTGACTGCTCCTGCTCAGGCTGCTCAGAAAAAGAACTTTGAATCCAGAAATTCATTCCGATTGTACTGATAAAATATAACTGATGGAATTCTACAGGTTGGGATGTTAGTCCAGATCTAAGGATCCCTGAATGGTGGAAATGTCAGGTGCCATCCTAGCGCCCAAACATCTTCACTTGGTCGCAAGTGGTTCATTTTGCACCTGGCACCTAGCTAATTCCGAACGCTGCCTCAAACAGCCAGGTTGGAAAAGGGAGATTGTAAGAAAAACCCTAAGAGACCAGGGATATGGGGCAGGAAATTTTCTGGAAAACTTTCCAGCCTTCTCTGTGGGAATTCTTTCTGTTTCATAAGTCCATTGATAACGATAGATGCCAGCTGCAGATTCTGTGTTAGGCGAGGCTGGCAGTTTCAACGGAGGTGACTGCTTTGTACAGAGACAGACCATTTATCATTTCAGGCAGAGGGATATTCCCAGCCCTACCTGGAGATGCCAGGGATTGAACCTGAGGCCTCCTGTGTGCAATGCAGGAGCTTTGCCTGTGAGTTACAGGCCTTCCTCATGACTTTAGCATTGTAAAAGTAAAAGGAACGTACTCTTTAGGGCAGGGCTGGGGAACTGGGTCCAGCTGGCAAATCAGATCTTTACCTCTGCACATACCTGCAGAGCCACCCTCCTGTCAATCACCTGAGAACAACAACCTTCATAATCCATGGCCACTGGTCACGCTTGCTGGGGCTGATGGGAGTTGTAGTTCCACAACATCCAGAGGGCCAAAGTTTCCCCATACCTGCTCTAGCTGGCATCAGAAAATGTTTTGATGCAAACTGAAAAAACTCTCTTAATCGAATTTTCCTAATATGTGCATGGCAAACTTTTCCAGTTCAAAATTTTCTGAAAAAGCCACATCGTTTATAAAAGATCCACTGCCTGGCAGGGCTGGACAACACATGGGAAGTCGAGGCAAAATACTCCAGTGGCTCCAGTCTTGGCAGGGATGGGTAGTGGGCCTACAACTTCCAGGGGTGATGGGATTTGGAGTTCAGCGACATCTGGAGCACCAAGGCTGCGGGATCCATCCCCGTATGGGACAGCTGCATATTCCTGCATTGCAGGGGGTTGGACTAGAGAATCCTCAGGGGGTTCCTTCCAACTCTCCGATTCTATAATCTGAACTTTTAAGGGAACAGGACGTGGGGAAGCCTACCTTACCCCAAGTCAAGACCCCTTGGTGTTTCTAGCTAGGTATTCTCTACACTGACCAGCTGCTCTCCAGGTTTTCAGACAGGGCTTATTTCTCCACCTTGCATGCCAGGGGGGTCTTCCATGTGTGTATCAGATCTGCCACCGAGCTACGGTTTTTCTCCTTGAAATAGCGCAGGGTCCTAGTCCTCATGGTTCTGAATGAGCAGCTGGTTTATAGGAAGCATGCTATTGGTGCGTCTGGTTTATAGCAAGCATCCAATTGGTCCGTCTAGCTCAGCGTTGTTTACCCTGACTGGTAGCAGCTCTCCAGAGTTTGACAAGGTCTTTCCTCCCCCTTTGTAAAGATTCTGTTGCTTGGACCTGGGACCTTCTCTGTGCAAAACAAGCTCTTTACCGCTGTGCTTTTATCCACGACACCCTTTTCTCTGGTCCTTTAACTGCCTTCCACCGAACTTTGCAAACAAAGAAAGAAAGACCAATCCTTCTACCAGGTACATCAAGGCCAGTGGGAGTTCCTTCCATGGTCTGGTTGGGTTGGTCACCTGGGGGACGTCTGAGAACAAAGGAATGTCTGAACTGCGACTGGGTTATGGGGCTTGTCTTGTTCCTGCTCAGAGAGGGCTGGCTGATATCTCAGATTTCAGGGCTTGTAAAATCAGGATTGCCTGCAAAGGAGGCGGGGGGGGGGGGGAGAAACCAGAAGCAGTTTTAAGTTAGGGAAACCTCCTTTTCTCTCTTCTAGGAAGAGGAGGAGCGATTCCTGAAGGGGTGAGGCTGTAGTTTCTTCTCTTGTGTTTGCTCTTGCTTTCTGAGACGGGGGGTTAGAAAAGTGTGTGTGTCCAGGCCAGCTTTTCAGCAGGGCAATTTGCTCTCTCCGTTCCCAATCCGTCTGTGCGAGGGATCGCCACCCTTTCGTAAGTCGGCCGCCCGGGAGGAAGAACTCCTTCCTGGCTTAGCCGGAAGGGAGAAGGAGAGCGCCATGTCTCCCTGCGCCGGCCTCTGTTCGGAAGGGAGTGTGCTTGGCCTCCGCAGAAGCCACAGCCCGCAATGGCACTCTCAGGCCGGGGTGTGGGGTTGCTGTTTCCCACATCCTTATTTCTGCAAAAGATTGACACCTCTGCAGCTGAGTTGGAGAGCCGAAGTTTATATATGCCGCTAAACCAGAAAGTAAGCTTTGGAATGCCCCGAGTCTTTCATGTCTGGGGATATGCCATAGGAACACAGGCAGCTGCCTTATACTGAGTTAGACCACTGTGTAGGGTTTGGGGGCAGTGTCTCCTATCAGCCCTGCTTGGAGATGGCGAGGATTGAATCCAGGGCCTTCTGCATGCAATGCTGGAGCTCTGCCACTGAGCCACGGCCCTTCCCTTCATTGCTCTGAGTGCAGTGATCAACACCGAGACTTGAACCCATGGCAGCAGAACTTCCCTACTGACTTATTAGTTATTGCATTTTCTATCCAGCCTTCTTCTCCAGGTGTGCCAGACATGGTTCTCCCCATCCTCAGTCAAAGAAAAATAGAACTGTAGAGTCGGAAGGGGCCCTGAGGGTCATCCCCACACAACAACCCCGTGAGGTAGGCTAGGCTGAGAGGCAGTGACTGGCCAGGGCCACACCCCATGAGGATTCGAACCCTGGTCTCTCCCAGGTCCTAGTCCGACACCCTAACCGCTACACCACTCTGCTTCTCTGGGCAAATTGTTCATGCAGTTTTTTCCCTCCTTTTAATGCCGCAAGTCCATTTGGTCAAGCATTCTGCTTTCATGAAAATCCCCCAGTCATGTGATGGGGCGTACATCTCTCACCCCTGTTTGTCCCCCTGCAACTGGCATTCTGGGGTAGACTTCCTTTGAACATGTGGGCTCCACGAATCCATGGACCCCCCCCCTTTCTCAAAAGCTACATAAGCTGTTGGGAGCCAGCACCAGCTCTGCCTTCCCTCCTGCTTTCAGGCCTCCCTGGCTTGCTCCCCCCACTAGACAGCTCATTAATCACAGCCTGTTTACTGCTGACTTTCTCTAGCCTGCTGTTTTCCTGGTCCTCCTCTGAGCTCCCCTTATCTGGTAGCCTCCCGCCCTAATCTCTCCCATCAGCCAGGCTCCATGCCTGGGGCGAGGTTAGGGCCCCAGATAGAAAGGCTTGCTTGCTTCCAGCAGCAACACCAGGAAGTTCAAATCCTGTTTGTTTGCCTCCCGCACAAGCATATCTTGGACTCTGCATTCTTCCTTTGGAGGTTACTGGGGAGGGGACTTTGCCACCATATCAGCCCAAGGCAGTGGGAATGTCTATGGGGTGTGTGTGTGTGTGTGTTTCACGCAAACACACACATACACTCACTTTATTCATTTTGAAAAGCCAGAAAATGTACAACACTGTACGCTAGGAACTTCCCAAAATGCTTAGTTTATTAAATACAATAATCACATTTATCAGATTATAATTGCAGCCTTTATAACCATAATCGTAATAATTTATTAGTTATATGCTAACTAATCTGACTCGGTTGCCCCAGCCACTCTGGGCAGCCCCCAACAAAAACAGTAAAGCACGACACAACATCATGCACCAAAAACCTCCCTGCCTTCAGGTAGCCTCTTCTCTGAAAGACTCTTCTCTGGTTGACACACTGGCTGACAAGAGAACAGTAGACGCAACCCGCAGCGCCGCATCTGCACAGGTGCGGGTCGCGATTTGGTGCTTCTGGGTTCGGTATTTCCGGGTTCGGCGCTGTGCGCAACCCGAAATCGCACAACCTGAAGCGTCTGTAACCCGAGGTATGACTGTACTCAGTTCTGGGCTGCATGGATAAACAGCATCTTATGTAGGAAGGCTGCTGTCCGCACGATACATTTAAAGCAGTATCATACCCCTTTAAAAAGTCGTGGCTTTCCTGCAAAGCATCCTGGGAACTGCAGTTAGGAGACCCCTGTTCCCCTTGCAGAACCACCGTTCCCAAAGTGGTTCAGCCCTCCTCCCCTGGGAAGTATGGGAGCTGCAGCTCTGGGATGCGAGGGAATAGGGGTCTCAGCACCCTTAAACTACAGCTCCCAGGATTCTTTGGGGGGAAACGGCGACTGTTCAAAGGCATATGACGCTGCTTTAAAGGTATAGCGCGGGTGGGGCCTCAGTCCAGCTGTTCAAGCTCCTCTCTAGCGCCTGAAATTTCAGCAGGTGGCCATGAGGACTAGGCACTTGAGGAAGGGATGGGGTAAGGTGGGGGGTTAGAAGTTGAGATTTCCTGGGACGCTGAATCTGCCACCTGTACAGCATTCTGTTCTCCCACGAACCTCTCCTGAGATACACCCCCAGCAACGCTGCCTTTCGGGTTTTGGCTTAAAAGAGCTTTCCAAGGCAGCTTTGAGCAGGGTTGTGGCATCTCCCTGATGACATCTGCTCTGCAATACAGTGGTACCTCGGGTTACATACGCTTCAGGTTACATAGGCTTCATGTTACAGACTCTGTTAACCCAGAAATAGTACCTCCGATTAAGAACTTTGCTTCAGGATGAGAACAGAAATCGTGCTCCGGTGGCGCGGCGGCAGCAGGAGGCCCCATTAGCTAAAGTGGTGCTTCAGGTTAAGAACAGTTTCAGGTTAAGAACGGACCTCTGGAACGAATTAAGTACTTAACCTGAGGTACCACTGTACTGTCCCATGGACACCCCCAAACCTCGTGAGCCTGCACAGAGCAGTTTCCTGCTTCTTTCATGTGAGCGTTTCCCAGCATTCCCTGATTTCCAGACCCCACCCCACCCTGCTTTCCAGCATACGCCATGGCTCGGACTGTCCTGGCTAATTCCCTCTTTGTCACTGAACCGCAGGTCTCATTCCCAAGAAGAGGGGTCCTCCGGCATCTGCCTGTGATGGAGTACACGGTAAGGCCGGCTGCCTCTCCCTTTCCTGGGTGTGGTGGAGGGCTGGCTGGCTGGAGCGGTGGCAGGTCAGCCCTCTGTGTCCCCTCCCTTCCCTCTCTTCCTGGTGGCGTTGATCGTGGTCTCTCTTCATTCATTCATTTTATTTCCTTTTCCACACACGGGGGGGGGGGGGAAATCACACTCGGAAAGGCTTACAGCAAAGAAAGTAGGGGTGCATTTCAAAATCAAACACTGGGGAAACAATTTCATACCAACATAATAAAGCAACAACTCGACAGCAAATATCACAGCCCACAAAACAATAGCAGCATTTTGATACTGTAGTTATAACCAAGTTACATTAACAGCGTCCAGAAATAGCAAGGGAGCTTGACAGTCTCACCTTGGTCCTAAGAACACATCACCTGTGACTTTCCTCGCTGTTGTTCCCCTGCAGCAACTTGCAAGCAGTGTTAGAAACTCAGAAACACAAACTAAGTGCCAAATGGCTCCTTAAACCAAGTTTGCAGTCACCAAAACGGAATGTCTAGTTGCCATTTTGGGGCAAGACGGGTCTAAAGTCTTATTTTTCAGATGACTGACTGACTGTGATTGATTCTCAGTTAAACATCTGGTTAGTTCAGATGACAACCTTGAGCTTGGTTAAGAGCTTTGAGAACTTAGAAGCCCCTTGGTCCAGGGACAGTCCACATATATATTGGCCTATTCTGGGTTTTTTTAAAAAAAATAATCTTTATTGGTTTAAAATCAACACATACACACAAAGAACATTTAGGGGGGGAAAGCAAAGAAGAAAACAAAAATAAAACACACAAAGAAATAGCAAAATTATACGAAAGAAAAAATATACAATATATATTGTCCCATTCTGAACTCTTTTTCTTTATGGTGGCATGGACCATTCATAACGTAGGCATGTTCTTCACAACTGGGAGCAGGGCAGAGGGGTGGGGTAAGTGAAGCCAAGCTACAATAATTAATTATAACGTTTTTCATTGCTCCTGCTCAGGCTGCACAGAAAAAGCATTTTGGTTCCCAATATTCTTTCCGATTGTGCAGATAAAATATAACTGATAGAATTCTACAGGATGGGGTGTTAGTGTGTGAAAACAGTCCAGATCCGAAGATCTCCAGGCTTGCACCTCCAGATGGTGGAGACACCAGGCGCCATCCTCGCACCCAGGCATCTTCCCTTGATCGCAAGTGGTCAATAGCCAGGTGCAAAATGCTCACGGCGCATTTCAAACACTGCTTCCAAAGCTGGAAACAGTCCCCTCCCCCTGCATGATTCTGCTCCTCCTCTGATCAGGGGATATGACAGCATACAAGCTTTTCTAGGCTGGTGGGACTTGTTGTTCAGCAGCACTCGGAGGGCCAAAGGTTCCCTGCGCCTGGCGCATGTTATCAAGGGAGACGGCAAGGCATGAATCTAGGGAGGCGGGAGCCTGTGACCTTTCTGATGCTCCGTGCATGTTATCCTGACCTAATAGCACAGAAACGAAATGGAAATTTATAACTGGGGCAGAAACGAAATGGAAATTTATACCGGTAATTGGGGCAAAGGCCCTAACCAAGTCACAAACTGAAAGTGGGTTGCAAAGTTTGTGCAAACGGGTTGCAGGCTTTGCAAGTAAACCCCAAATTATTACTGCATGTGATCTTTAAGGGGCGCGGTGAGCACCCCTTACAACTCTTTGTTTTGTTGGTGAATTGTAATGCTGTTGTTGACTGCCTTTATTGTGGCCAGTACCACCAGAAAAAAACAGCGCTCCCTTGATTCTTTGCTGGCTTCCAATGCTCTGCGCTGCAGCGACCCCACCTTGTGGCTAAATGAGAACATCGCTGCTCAGCCCTAAACACTTAACAAAGGAAGACATGTATGGGTGCGAATTTCACAGGGACTAGCATCCTGCTGCCTGAGATTTGGCAGGTGGTTTCCAGAGTGAATATGTGAGCCCCATATGTGAGCTGTCCTCTTTCCCAGTTCTCCCTCTTCTTCAAGGCCTTCTTCCTCCTCTCCAAGACATCTCTGCCTTCTGCCACCTCCTCCGTCCTTCCCACCCACCTTGCATTTTTTAACCCGCCAGCTAACATTTCTGTCGGCACTCTGATCAGACCACGGGTCGACCAGTCGGACCACGCTGGCTGTTCAGTCTCGCTCATTATTGCCTACACTGGGTTTCAAATGGCAAGTTTCCCACCTGGAGATCTTGCGGGTGGATCCCAGGACCTTTTGCATCCGAAGTGGGTGCTCTGCCACCGAGCTGCGCTCTATCTCCTAGTAACAGAAGTTCCTAGCCATCGTGGTTTGGAAAAAGCAGAGGTCCCGGTCCCTAAGGAAGTCAGATTATCCTCCACCAAGGCCAGGGCCTTCTCAGTGATGGCTCCGACCTGGTGGAATGATCTGTCCCATGAGACCAGGGCCCCGCAGGATTTAACTTCCTTCCACAGGGCCTGTAAGACAGAGCTATTCCGCCTGGCTTTCAACTTGAACTTAGCCTGATCTTTTATTCCCCTTCCTTCCCTCCCCCTCCCCTTTTTATGAAGTTTACCCGCTCTGGTATCCCACAGCTAATTCTCCCCTGGTCTCCTCGCTGGCCCAAATAGGACTAATTTAGCCAGCTAGCCATGGTGATCATCTAATGTTTATTGGATGGATTTCCCCCCTAAATTGATTTTTGATTGTTATTCACGTTTTATACCGTCTTTTATGCTGTTTTTGTTGCATCAATTAAGTGTTTTAAATTTGTTGTTAGCCGCCCTGAGCCCGGTTTTCTGAACCGGGAAGGGCAGGGTATGAATAAAAATTTATTTATTTATTTATTTATGATTTAAACAGTAGCAACTTTCTGGGGTTTCTGGGCAGGAGACACCCTGAAGAATTGAACCTGCGACTTTCTGCACCCAGAGCTTGTGCTCTAACCACTGAGTGCTTGCCCTTCCCCCTTAGCCTTATGGTAGGAGAACCCCCTCTCCAGGAAAACTTTATCCCCAGACAAGAAACCACCTAGAAGGGCCAGGCTGCTGCGGATATGGCTGCTCTTTCCGCCCCCTCCCAAAGCCCCTATAGGAACGAGACCCAGAGGGGCCTCCCACACAGGGTGTGCCTTCCTGCCTCCCTGGCCCCCAGGGTCCTTGAACTGGGGCCGAGAGGCCAAAGGCACATCCGCTAGCCTTGTTCGGGGAGGGAGAGCATTATTTAACCTTCCCTCCTCCTCCTCCCGCTTCTTCCCTCTTTCAGGTCTTTGGGGGTCTCATGATCCTGCCTCCCTCTTTCTTTCGGCGGAAGGAGCCCACGGGTGAAACTCTGCCTCCTTCCTCCCCTTGAAAGCTTCCTTTTTTATTTATTTAAAGGAACTGGTTCCAGTCCACAGTCCAACGTGTTTAAAAGAAAAGGAACTTCCACCCCCCCACCCAGTTCATGTTTCTCCCTTTGCAGGACGAACCGGATCAGTTCGTGTTCCGTTCAGGGGAGGGGAGGCCAACCAAAATGATCGGGGGGGGGGAGAGGAATAACGTTAGTCAGAGATGAGGAGACAGAAGGTGATTAAATTTATGCATGCCACGGAGAAAGTGGATTGAGCAAAAGTTTTTCCTCCCTCTCTTATAACGCTCAAACTCTCAGGGATGCCCAATGAAGCTGAAAGTTGGATGGTTCAGCACAGATAAAGTACCGTATTTTTTGCTCTATAAGACTCACTTTTTCCCTCCTAAAAAGTAAGGGATATATGTGTGCGTCTTAAGGAGCGAATGCAGGCTGCTCGGCTATCACAGAAGCCAGAACTGCAAGAGGGATTGCTGCTTTCACTGCGCAGCGATCCCTCTTGCTGTTCTGGCTTCTGAGATTCAGAATTTTTTTTTCTTGTTTTCCTCCTCCAAAAACTAGGTGCGTCTTGTGGTCTGGTGCGTCTTATAGAGCGAAAAATACGGTACTTCTTCGTGCAGCGTGTTGTTAAACTACAGAATTCCTTCCCACAAGAGGCAGGGATGGCCACCAGCTTGAACCCTGGCCTCTCCCTGATCAGAGGCTTAAAACATTTAAAACACACACACACACACTGGTATAAGAATGGTTTAATTTCTTTTTCCTGATAATTTTGAACTTTCATCTTAAAGGCCCAAATCATATATACAGTGGTACCTCTGGATGCGAATGGGATCCGTTCCGGAGCCCCGTTCGCATCCTGAAGCGAACGCAACCCGTGTCTGCGCGCGTGTGGGTCGCAATTTGCCCCTTCTGCGCATGTGTGTGACGTCATTTTGAGCATCTGCGCATGCGCGAGTGGCGAAACCTGGAAGTAACGTGCTCCATTTCTTCCGGGTCGCCGCGGAGCACAACCCGAAAAGGCTTAATCTGAAGCGACTTCAACCCGAGCTAAGACTATGTGTGTGTGTGTGTGTGTGTACACATACATGTACACACACAAATACAAATACACACACAGAGTAAGAAATGAACTAGAAATTGTTCCAAGCTTTGCCCCCAAATGGACTTAATCAGTTCCCCCAGCGATTTGGTGAACTTCACCCAAGCGTTGCCTCCTCTTCCACCTGGGCTTTTGACCCCTTACGAAATACCAGCACCTAGTGTTTATATCTGTCTTTCTAACACTGTGACTGGCCTGATCCGACAGCCAGGCTCGTCATCTTAGAGGACTAGACAAATTCAGGGAGGATAAGGCTCTCGGTGGCTGCTGGCCAGCGTGGCTACATCCTTCCTCCGTGGTCAGAAGTGATATGAATGCCAGCTGCTGGCCGTTGCAAGTGGGCAGAGTGGCTGTTGCACTCAGGTACAGCTTGCTGGCTTCCTTTAGGAGTATCTGTTTGGCCAATGGGAAGGCTGGGCTAGAAGGTCCTCTGGCCTGATCCAGGAGGGCTTTTCTTTTGTTCCCATGAGTGGCAGGGAGGGAAGGAGGGCTCTTGCCTGTGGACTTCCTGGAGGAATCTGGTTGGCCCCTGTGAGAACAGAATGCTGGCTTCCAGCGGGCCTTTGACCTGATACCAGGAGCCAGGGTCTTCTGATGTTCTTGCATACATAGCAGTACAGTGGTACCTCAGGTTACATACGCTTCAGGTTACAGACTCCGCTAACCCAGAAATAGTACCTCGGGTTAAGAACTTTGCTTCAGGATGAGAACAGAAATCGTGCTCCGGCGGCACAGCGTCAGCAGAAGGCCCCATTAGCTAAAGTGATGCTTCAGGTTAAGAACAGTTTCAGGTTAAGAACGGACCTCTGGAACGAATTAAGTACTTAACCCGAGGTACCACTGTATTGTTGATCATAGGCCATGCTGGCTGATGGGAGTTGTAGTCTTAACATCTGAATGGCACAAACTCAGAGAATCCTAGAATTGTAAAGTTGCAAGGGACCCAAAGGATCATCCACTCCAACTTCACCCTGCAAAACAACAACAACAACTTGGCAAAGGCTGGTTTATACCTTCCTCCTGGAGTGAGGGAATTCGGTGCTTAATTATGGGATTAAAAACCGGGATTTTAAAAATGCAGGTTAGCATGCGTTTGCCGACGGAGTGGGTGGGTTTTGTGAGTAGTGCAGCTTGACTCTGTGGGCTTCAATGCCTAGGAGCTCACAAACCTTTGTCTAACAGATAATCTTGTTATCGGATCCTGCCCCCCATTTTTATTGTGAGGATTTGTAGTGGTGATTTCGAGAATTGCTTTGTCTGTCTGGAATCGTTGTGACGAAGGGAACGCTCTAGCGCTAAGAGACCAAGGCTACAAGCGGAACCCGCCTTTATCTGGGAGGAAGCCCCCTTGGATTCGGCGGGACTTGCTTCTGAGTAGGCCTAGGTGGGGCGGCAGCCTGAGTTGTGTGTGAAGCTTGACTCTCCTTTCGAATCTTGCTTCTTGCAGATTACCTGGACAAAGCCTTTCTTTGCTTCTCTCTCTCTCTCTCTCTCTCTTTCTCTGTCCAGGTGCAAGGAAATTAACAGTGGCCTACCTTGCAGGGTGTTGTGTCAACTTTTATATCCTAAAGCATTAACTAAGAAAGAGGGAGGGTGGGTTCCCCTATGCCATAAAGAACTCCATGTAAAACCAGAGGTGTTGTCAAGTCAGGAGTGTGGATTCAGATGAGGAGTGGCCCATATTAGATCAGGACCCACCTTGCTCTGCAACCGGTCCCCATTCTCTCCTCTTCACCCCCTGCTCTTCCTTCCTGTGCCCTGCCTCCCCCCTCTCCCCGCTGTGCTCTTCCCACCCCCCCTCCAGCCTAGCTGCCGGAAAAACCTCCCTTCGCTTCCCTGTGCAACCACTGACCTTGATTTTCACAAGTGTTTGTGTGCTGCCGCTCCAGCTCTCTTCCCCCACAAGGCCCCACCTCCCTCCCTCCGCATTTTATTATACAGATGCCTTGTCTTCCTTTCCGCACATGGGGGGGGGGGGGCAGAAGCTCTTGTGAGTCAGCACTGCCCTACCATTGGCAGTGGGGGCTTGGCCTCTCTCTCTCTCTCATTCCACCGCACCCCCCCTACCCGCCCGCACCCGCGCCCGCCTCTTCCCCAGAACGGGAGCCGCAGTCACTTAGAGCCCAGCAGAGATTGCGAGCAGGATGCGGTAGCAATTAGTGTCTCTCTGCTCTGGAAGCAGCAACAGCAGCAGCAGCGACTGCAGCCGGGAAGAGGGGAGGAGGAGGTGTGGGGAGAAGAGCCCAGATCGGGGCTGCCTGCTGGTTCCCGAAAGCAAGGGGGGCTCGGATTCCGCCTTCGCCCCTTTGACCAGCCGGGTGCAGGGGGGGCCACCACCCGTTTCCCCTCCTCTTCGGCTCCCGGCGTGTTCCCAGACCTCCATCTCCCCGAGAGAGGCAGGCCGGCGTCTGCCCACTGATTGACACGTGGGCTCCTGTGACTTCACAGAGGAGCCTTGTTCGGTTCCTGGCAGACCCTGCGGCCGCGCCACCTCTCCGGTCCCTGCCAAGCTGGGCCCAGCTGGAAGGCGCTCCAGGGCCTCCCTGCTCTTGGATAATAATTTTTCTCCTTTTCAAATACATCTATATACATTGCGCATCCGTTCAGCGGAGCGGCAGGCGAGCTCGAGACCAGAGCATCCGCCGTTCTGGACGTCGTCGACCGCTTTCTGCATCTCAGTTGTCTTTTTTTCCTCTCTCTCTCTCCTGGGCTGTGTGAGACCTGGTGGCGGGGCGTGGGGTGCCTGTGGCCAAGAGGACGTGACAGGACCTTTGGCAAGCAGCCCTGGGGCAGGGCGGCCGTTCCACAGGTGGCGTGACGGCTCTCCAGGGCGTGTGCCAGCCACTCCTCCCTCCCGGCCATCGCTCCGGCCTCAGGGACTAGCCGGCGGCCTCTCCCTCTTCCTCTGGAGCGCAGCAAAGCTGTCCAAGGGTCGCTGGTCATCTGGCGGCGTTGTCAGGGGCGGGGGGGGGGCACGGAGCAACGTCTGCGCCCTGTGACGACGACGGTCTTTCACCTGTGGCACAGTGTCCCTGCTTCCGCTGCCCTTCTTGTGCCAACACCTCTCTTCTCTGCAGCCATGCCTACAGGGGGCCGGACAGGAGTCGTCTCGCTCGGATCCGTTCTGACTTTCGTGGGCTCCTGAGTTTGGTGCCAGGCCCGCACACCCTCGCCATCTCCTGCTTCTTCCCCCCCGGCGCCTTGGTTTCGTCCCGTCTCCTCCGCCGGTTTGGGGCATGGATCTGCTGCAAAAGAGCAAATACAACCACTTGCGCAATGACTCCCTTTCCTCCCTGGAGGAGGGCTCTGTGGCGGCCGATGGGGACTCTCCCGTGGACCCCCTGGTGGCGGCCCCCTCCCTGCCCAGCTCGCTGTCCTCCTCCTCGCTCAGCCCCATGCTCCCCCTGGGCGAGCTGTCGTCCGAGTCGGAAGACAGCCCCACCACCCTGTGCTCCTTCTTCCCCAAGATGGCCAACCTGAAGCTGGCCAACCCGGCCACTCTGCTCAGCCTCCGTGCCTTCTCCAAGGAGGCGGGCAGCTCCGGGGAGCATCCGCCGCCAGCGGCACCACCACCACCACCTCCTCCTCCCCCCCTCGCTCCTGTCGCTGCCTCGACTCCCTTCCCGGACTCAGCGGGGACTGTCGGTCTCTATTCCCAGGATATGAACAAGTTGGGCTGCGCCAAGAGGATGCGGGTGGAAGGCGGCCAGCTGGGGGGAGACGAGTGGACACGGCACGGCAGCTTCGTCAACAAGCCCAGCCGGGGCTGGCTGCACCCTGACGACAAGGTGATGGGCCCCGGAGTCTCCTACCTCGTCCGGGTAAGTGAGCGGCGATCGCGGGGGGCGGTAGGTAGTTCAAGGCATTTGTGGGTGCAGCGGTCTGGCAGCAAGTCCCAATCGCTGGGAACCCTGATTGGTTGGGACGCGTATCTCGGCCAGGGATGGGGAACCTAGTGGTCTTCTAGATGTGGCTGGACTCCAACTCCCATCTGGCTGTGCTGGCCGGGATCAAAAGGGGTCAGAGTCCAGTGGCACGTGGAGGGGCCAGCCCACCATGGAGTCGCTGGTTGGCAACTAGCAGGGTCGGTATGGGAAAGTGGGTCAAGAGCTTTTCCCCCCGTCCTAGTTCAGCGTGTTACTTGGGGTGCACTGATTGGCCATAGCTGCCTTTCCCCGCTTTCACACACCCCTCTGTTGCTGTGGGGTGGGGGGATAGTTGATCCCACTGAGAGAGGGCCTCGGATTTGATCTTGGGGGTCTCCAGCTGCCAAGACCTAATGTGCAGGGGACATACTTTGCTGAAGTACGTCTGTGTGTTTGTGTGTGTGTTGGCAGTGCCTCTTGAGCTAAGAAAACAGCGCCTCTCCAGAGCATACAGAAAGCCTCTTTTCCATAGCTGGGAACAGGGTAGGTGCTTCCACGTGGAGAGAGGGCGTGCATGACCTACATAAGTTGGGAGAGGGCTGTCGCTCCGCAGTAGAGCATTGACTCTGCGTGGAGAAGGAAGGCCCCAATGGCATCTCTGGGTAGGGCTGGGGGGGACTGTCCCTTCTGAAGCCCTAGAGAGCAGCTGCTGCCATTCAGCACAGACAGTAAAGACCTAGATGATCTAATGATGTGATTCTGTATGAGGCAGCTTTTGAATTCGGCTTCGCATCTTTCTTGGTTCCTAGGAGGACAGTGGCTTGAAGGTAGAACCACTGCTTTGCATGCAGAAAGTTCCAGATTCAATCCCCAAGGGTTGTCTCCAGGAATGTTCCCTGCCTAAAACCCCAGGGAGCCGCTGCCAGTTGGTATAGATAATGCAGAGATAGATGGCCTGACTCTATAAGGCAGCTTCCTATATCCATACAACGCAGGTCAGGGCATCACTGCTATGAGGAAGGCGACCTGCTGCATCAATCCCCAGCATCTCCAGGTAGAATCATGAGGACTAGAATCTTCCTGTCCCTTTTCAAAGGCAAGGCTATAGCTTGACTGAGGGAGCACATGCAGCGTTAGAAACTCAGACATACAAGCTAGACAACAAATGGCTCCTCAAACCAAGGTTGCAGTCGCCAAAACGTAACGTCTAGTTGCCATTTTGGGGCAAGACGGGTCTAAATTCTTGTTTTTCAGATGATTGACTGACTGTGATTGATTCTCAGCTAAGCATCTGGCTAGTTCAAATGTCAACCCTGAGCTAGGTTAAGAGCTTTGAGAACTTGAAGAAGAAAAGTCGCTTGACCCAGGGACAGTCCACATGTATATTGGCCTCTTTTTCTTAATGGTGACTGCTGCTGCTGCTCAGGCTGCACAAAAAAAGCATTTTGGTTCCAGAAATTCATTCCGATTGTACAGATAAAATATAACGGATAGAATTCTACAGGATGGGGTGCTAGTGTGCGAAAACAGCCCAGATCCAAGGATTTACAGATGGCGGAGATGTCAGGCACCATCCAGGCATCTTCACTTGGTCACAAGTGGTTGAAAGCCAGGTGCAAAATGCGCCTGGATAATTTCGAACACGGAGCACGTGCCTCACACACGGATGGTCTCAGTTACCAGCATCTCCAGGTAGAGCAGGGAATATCCCCTGCCTGAAACCCCAGAGAACTGCTGCCAGCCAGTGTAGACAGCATTGAGCCAGATGAACCAGTGACCTAAGTCTCTGTATGAGGCACCTTCCTATCTTAACTTGTCATTTCGAGACGGGAGCTGTTGAAAAGGCCACCGAGGAGAGTTCCTGCTGTTCCCTTCAGCCCTCCTCCCCGTCTCCCAAGAAAGGCAGCACCGCAGAGAATCCTGAGCAGGGGCCACATCTTACTCTAGCCTCTTTGTGCAGAAATGGGGGGGGGGGGCTTTTCTCCCCACAGAGGCTGCCAGCCAGCCAGGCCCACCCAGCATAGCTGCGACGGTGTGGCCTCCCCGGCAGGCATCTGTCCCGGGTCTTCTGCTCTGCCACATGATTGCTTCTGACAAGCGTGCGCCCGAGTGTCCATCCCCCGGGCCACAGCGCACATGCGCCAGGCGCATTGAGTCGGCCGGCATTCCTCTTCCACTTCCCCCGCCCCCCCTTCCAAGCCTCTGGCTGTGATGACCGCCAGCCCCAGATCTCTGCTTTGGGAGGCTGGGGCATCCCTCTGTGGTTTGGCGGAGTCCAGGGATTGGTCAGCCCATTGCTGCTGGTCCAGGTGTGCGCCAGAGGAGACCTCTGAATCTTCATGCTGCTTGCAAGCTGCTCGGAAGCTGAGATTATCTGGCAGGAAGGTCGTTCCACCCACCCACCTGCCCCAGGTAAATGGTAGGTCTTGGTGATGTCTTGATACATCGCCCAGGACTGGTTTGAGGGCCTGAGCACGATGGCACTTTCACCCACGATGTACCACCAGGTGAAGGCTCCATTGCGCTCTGGCCCTCAAACTGAGGGAGGAATAAGCAGCAAGGTGCCGTGGCTGATGGAGCCCGTTTGTCCCTCGGTGCGCTGAGTGCTAGTGGTGGAAGGACTTCTGCCAGCGCCTTGCATGTGGAGGAACGAGCCCCACAAGGCTGATATTGTCGCTGCTCCCGCTGAGGAAGTTGAGGCGGTTTCACCTTGGTGCCTCGTGGGGCCGTGCCCAACGCAGCTTGTTCCTCCCATCGCTTTGCAACGCTGCAGTGTATCACTATATCGCGATGTCTGGCTGGTGTTTGCCCAACTCTAGTGAACGGAACAGGCTGCCTTGCATGTAAAGCGCAACCAGAAATGCTAAATAAACATTCCCCTGATGGCGTGCAGAGTGCATACCTTGCTGTTCCCCCATTGCGTGGTCTGAAGTTGAGTCCGAACTGTCGAGTCAGACCATTGCTCCACCAAGCTTAGTATTGTCACACTGGCTGGCAGCAACTCCAAGGTTTCAGGCAGGGGTTTTTTCCCCAGTCCTACTCGGAGGTGCCGTTGGGGATTGAACTTGAGATATTCTGCAAGCGAAGCAGATGCTTTACGACTGAGCTGTCCCCCTTTCCCTGAAAATAAACCAAGATTCTAGTCCTCATGTTTCTGATTCAATAGGAACATAGGAAGCAGCCTTATAGCAAGTTCGTCCATCTCACTCTGGATTGTCTACACTGACCGGCAGCAGCTCTCCGGGGTATTTCCCCAGCCCTACCTGGAAATGCTGAGGATTGAACCCGATACACCTTCTGCATACAGAGCAGATGTCCTACTGCTACCCAGACTCCTTTTAACGTCTGACGCCACACTGCACCTTTCCCCCAACCCTGGACTTGAGCCTCACTGAAACCTTTGTCTGGTGAGGGGCACAGCCGTGTCACTGGGGGTGTCTTTGCCCTCGGTGCCCCAGTGCCGACTCTGTACAGAGAACGATTGGTTGTACCCTTAACGGGAGAAGGTAAGCAGCAGGATCCGGATCTCCAGTCCATGTTTTCTCGACCACCATTGCTGGTACAAGACAGGAAGGGGGCCGGTTTTCCAAACCCCCCTCCTTTTCCTTCCCCTGCCCTTATATCCTTTCAGATTTATGCGGAAACAAATTCACACGCAAACCCCTGCAACCCACCCAGGGGAACGCCTCCTTTCATGCTCCTTGCCTGCTTCCTGCTGTGATCTCCAGGGTCCGTTTCGAGACTGATGTCTTGGAGGCAGCTGTGGCTTGGTGGCAGGACACTTGCTTGGCTTGCAGAATGTCCCATGTTTAATTCTTGCCATCTCCACATCGGGCTGGCAGAGGTGCCCTGCCTGAAACCCTGGAGAGCCGCTGTCAGTCAGTGTTGACAGTGCTGAGCTCGATGGACCAATGTGTTCCTGTCGATTCAGCATCATGAGGACTGGAATCTTACGGTTATTTTTAAGGAAGGCCATAGCCCAGGGGCAGAGCACATGCTTTGCTTGCAGAAGGCTTGATCCCCGGCATCTCCAGGTAGGGCTGGCTATGTCCCCCTCTGCCTGAAACCCTGGAGAGCTGCTGCCAGTCAGGGTAGACAGTATTGAGCTGGATGAACATCTGATCTGACTCGGCGCAAGGCAGCTTCCTGATTTCCGAATCGCCGCTCCGCTACAGAGACCGAGCCTTAAACGTCCTTGGCTTAACCTACTCCGTAGGGTGGAGACTCGGCAGGAGGACAAGTTTGCTGCCTCTGAGTGCCCGGGAGGGTGGCAGAGGATTGGAAGACGAACAGTGCCCTGAGAGCGTTCAGAGACAGGGTCTGGCGAGCAACACTTGCGTTGCCACTTCCCCTTCTCTGACTCATACTGGTAGCCTCGCCTTGCTGGCGTCGCTGAAGTCTTTGTGTATTCCCACCGCACACAGCCGGCCTGGCAGGTGCCCAGTGGCACATCCTGTGCCAGCTGCTTGCCCCTTCCGCCCTCTTTGCTGTCTGTTCTTCAGCCCAGCTGGCGATTGTGCCAACGGATCTCTCCTGTTCCCTGTTCCACGAGCAGCAACAGAAAGGCTGCAGCTCGGTCGGCAGAGCACCTGCCTTGTGTCCAGAAGGTCCCAGGTAGGGCTGGGAGAGACTCCTTTTCTGAAACCCCGGACTGCTGCTGCCGGACAGTGCAGACAATACTAGATGGATGGACCCAATGGTCCAAGGCAGCTTCCTGTGTTGCTAACCAGCTGGAAATGCCACTTTGTGATCAGGACCAGGAGAGGCTCTTTCTCACAGGCTCTGCTGTGTGTGTGAGGTCGTGGGAGCTGGGTTTGCTTTATCCAGATGAAGGATACAGTGTGTGTGTGTGTGTGTGTTTGTTTCTCTGGGTGTAGAAACTAGCTCACTGCACAGAGGTATAATTCGCATCCGTTCCTCCACCCACTTCAGAGATGAGTCGGGTTGGTGAGGAGTCGCGGGTCTCTCCCCGTCCCACTGCGACAAGCTCCCATCCCGCCTGGTCTCCCAGAACCAGAAGAGGCATGAAAAGGGCAGAGTGGTGGCAGGCTGCATGCAGGCACAGTTTCTGATTGCTTGGGGAAATCCCTGAAGAGAAGGGGGCTTAGGCAGCTGGGGGGAGACAGGGACTTTCAGTCTGGGCAATTAATAATAATAATGTTTTATTTATACCCCGCCCTCCCCAGCCAAGACTGGGCTTAGGGCGGCTAACACCAGGTATAAAAACCAATTAATTAAAATACAACTTAAAAACAAGATTAAAATACAACATTAAAATGCAGCCTCATTTCAGTAGAAACTCAAATCAAAAACTTTTTGGGGATGAAAACGTCAAATCTTCACCAAGGCCAACTATCCAGACTAGTCCTACGTGGGCTAGAAAAAAGCCAGGGAAGTCCCCAAATAGGAGGAGAAAAGATTTATGGGGGGAAGACCGACCAGGGATAAGCTGCTGTGCTCACTAGGCCTGACTGTCAGCCAGTAAAGACTGTGGTTTTACTAATAGAGTGAGCTCCAATTTCGGTGTGATTTACTGCTGGCTCGCTGTACGATAGGAGGTGGCCTGGAACTGGGCCTTCTCTGTGGCAGCCCCCTAAGTTCTAGAATTCCCTCCCTGCAAAGGAGCGAGCCTCTGGCATTCCCACTATACAGCCTTTGACCCCTGAGATGGTTGTTTCCGGGGCCCATCGCCCTATTCCTATGGCTGCATTTGGCATTAAATCGTCGTCGCCCTCCCTGGGACCTGCTGGCGGAGGACAGAAAATAAATTCAGTGATGGTGGTGGTGACTAATAAGGATAACACTGCAGGTTGGAAGTCTTCCAGGGCCCCTACCTGTCCTCTTGTTCCCTTAGGAAAAAAAGGGGAGATGAGCAGGGTGGAGGTGGAAGAATTGATCCATAATATCTGGATGATGGGGATGAGGGTGAATGAGAACAGAGGGGACTTTGGGACCTAACAGGCTCTCCCATTCTTCCTTCTCCCATCAGTACATGGGCTGTGTGGAAGTTCTCCAATCCATGCGGGCTCTCGACTTCAACACAAGAACTCAAGTCACAAGGTGAGCTGCGCAGTCATCCGGGGGCCGGGGATGGTGTGGGGGACAGGGGAGGTCGGACAGGATAGTTATGTTGTGCCGCCGCACAGGCTACAATCCATCACTCAGGGACACTGACTGGTTGGATGCAGAGGAACGGTGGGAGGAACCCGGTGGGAAACCCCAAGGGAAGAAGGCTCAGAGCCCTGGGATTGGTGGTGAGGCGACGATGCAAGTGGTCAGAGGGAGAAGACCAGAAAGAGGAGGTGTCGGAAGAGGAAAAGGTCACAGGGTTTAGTGAGCTGGAAGAGTCGGTGGCAGAGAGGAGTCCAGAATCGGAGGCAGGAGAGTGGGATGAGGGAGGCCAAGAGGCGGAGATAAGTCAGGCTGGTGAAGAGTCACAGGTGTCTCTCCCACCCGCTGTGAGAAGCTCCCTTCCCCACTTGTCTCCCAGAACCAGAAGAGGCATGAAAAGAGCGGAGGAGAGGTTGGCTGCACGCAGGCTCTCAGTCTCCGATTGCTTGGAAAAAGCCCCTGGGGAGGAGGGGGCTTAGGCAGCTGTGAGAAGGCGGGAACCTACAACTGCTTCATGGGGGCAAGATGAGTTGCTGTTCTCATTAAGTCCGACACTCCTATTCAGACTCTGTTTTTTGCTAATAAAGAGTTAACTCCAACTCACTTGGGTGATTGACTGCTGCCTCGTTCCTGTCACTCACTAACTCCTAAAGCAGAAACGCTGTAAGCTTTGAGAGGGTGTGTCCCATTGTGTCTCTGCGTGAGTTGCCACTCTGGGCTTACTTCCTTTCCATATCTGCCTGTGTGTGTGTGTGTGTGTGTGTGTGTGTGTGCAGAATTCTGCTGTACCTCTGCACCGTACTGGGTATGGCTGCATAGGGAGCATTGAGACGATCAAGACACATGTCTCTACATGAGTTGCTGCTTTGTGTTTGCCTCCTTCCAATCTGCATTTTCTTGGTGGAGGTCATTTAGCTTGACGGTGTGATCCGATAGTCTTTCCTGCCCTCAGAGGAGGCTGCCTGTTGTATCTCTGGATGAGTTCCTGCCCCGGGTTTCCTCCTGCCACCCGGCACCTGTTGGGGAGCCGATTTTGTGGCGCCTCTGCATCGGCTGTGTATTGGCTCAGCCAGTCACTCCCAATGCAGAAACACTGTGGAATTACCCACTGTCCGGGGAGGCTGCCTGTTGTGCCTCTGCATGGGACACTGTCCTTCCAACCAGGCTTTGCTGGGCGCCAAATAATTCTGTGATGCCTTTTCATTGGCTCAACCTGTTGTCCCAGTGCAGAAACGATGTAGAGTCACCCACCATTAAAGGAGGCTACCTGTTGTGTCTCTGGGCGAGGTGCTGCCAAGTCATTCTGTGTTGCATCTGCATTGGATGCAAACTGGGCCCTTGGTGGAGCAAGATAATCTGCGTCTCCCCCACCCCTGTTAATTAAATCCCAAGAACCAAGCCTGTAATACCCGAGACTCAGTAATAATATTAATAATAATTTTATTACTTGTACTCCGCCCATCTGATTGGCTTGCCCCAGCCACTCTGGCCTTGGGAAGCCAAAACCGGTTGCAGAGGCCAGCAGAGAGGCAGGCTGCTCCAGCTCATATCCTTAGCAGCAGCAGCAGGAAATAGTTAAAGCTGAGTTGGAGGGGGAGCAGAGAGGCATGTGTCTCTCTCTCTCTGTGTGTGTGTGTGTGTGCGTTTGCACTGTAAGCCTGTCCATTACCGGGCAGACGCAGGGTCTGGAAAAAGGTGACCGGAGGGAGCAGCCAGCAGGAGATGGAAAGGCTTCAGCAGCCAGGCCTCAAGCCTGCCATCAGCGGCCGGCGTTGTTGTTTTTTTTAATAAAAAAAAATTAATCCGCTAAAGACAGGAAGCGTTTATACAGCATCATCAAATATTAACAGCTCTCGCTCGATTTCTTCCCCCACGTCCTCTTCCATCCTTGCTCTGCTACCAAGGAGCCGGGAGACACACAAACACACACAAACAAAACCAAACACACTGTGTGTGTTTGTGTGTGCATGGGCTGTCTGCAGGGGCCACATGTGGCTCTTTAGCCGGCCCTCGGGACCACACACCCCTCGCCAGGCCACACACCCCCAATCCGCCTTGCTTTGCATCCTCTTTGGGTGTTCTTTCCTGCCCGGAAGGCGTCCTTGAGCTCTCGCTTGCGTGGAAGGGTGACCGACGGATGTGTGATGTGCGTGTGTGTTTAGAAACCTCTCGACTCTCGGGTGGCTGGCAACGTAGCCTGCTGGGCGAAGGAAACAGAGCAGTGACAGGGCAGCGTCTCGTCCAGAGGTGCCCTCCCTTGAAGATAAAGGGACCCCTGACCATTAGGTCCAGTCATGGCCGACTCTGGGGTTGTGGCGCTCATCTCGCTTTACTGGCCGAGGGAGCCGGCGTACAGCTTCCGGGTCATGTGGCCAGCATGACTAAGCCGCTTCTGGCGAACCAGAGCAGTGCACGGAAACGCCGTTTACCTTCCCGCCGGAGCGGTACCTATTTATCTACTTGCACTTTGACGTGCTTTCAAACTGCTAGGTTGGCAGGAGCAGGGACCGAGCAACAGGAGCTCACCCCGTTGCGGGGATTCAAACCGCCGACCTCCTGATTGGCAAGCCCTAGGCTCTGTGGTTTAACCCACAGCACCACCCGTGTCCCATGTGCCCTCACTTAACGGCGGGCAATTCCACAGTGCTTCTGTACCGGGAGCGATCGGTTGAGCCAATGCACACCTGACATAACAATACAACGACAGGTAGAGAGTCCTAAGAACCTGGGAAGAGCCCTTGTGGGCGAATCCAGCAGCCTGTCTGGTCCAACACCCTCTTATTTATTTAATTTATATACCGCCCTTCATCCAAAGGAGTCAGGGTGGTTGGCCCACGCTGGGAAAACAGGCTGCTCAACATGATGACAGGTCTTAGTCCTGTTCCGGAAGGGCAGTTCAATGAAAGAAAATGGGTGAAAATGAAAGAAATGAAAGAAAAATGAAAGAAAAAGTCTGCCACTTTTTACCAGTGTATACTGGAGATTCCTGCATTTCAGGGGGTTGGATGAGCCTCCCGGGTCCCTTCCAGCTCCACAATTATAAGATTCTATACACCCATCCCTCATTTCTCCCCTCTTCCTCCAGGGAGGCTATTGGCCTAGTCTGCGAAGCTGTGCCTGGCGCCAAGGGAGCCGTTCGCAGGAGAAAGGTGAGGTGGACAGAGAATACTTCATTGTTTTTCTCTTTGGCTGTCTGTGGTCAAAATTCGCCCCGTACATCTCAAGAGCTGCGACGCCACTTTGAAACTATCATGGCTTTCCCCCAAAATACAGCGGTACCTCGGTTTACTAACTTAAACCGTTCCGGAAGTCCATTCTTAAACCGAAACCGTTCTTAAACCGAAGGCGCGCTTTCCCTAATGAGGCCTCCAGCCACTGGTGCCCTTTCACCCTTCGGCTTCCGTTCTTAGACCGAGGTAAAGTTCACAAACCAGGACGCTACTTCCGGTTTTGCGGAGTTCGTAAAGCAAATCGTTCGTAAGCAGGGCTGTTCTTAAACCGAGGTACCACCGTATTCTGGGAGCTGTAGCTCATTGCGGGTGCTGAGAGTTGTTAGGAAGCTTCCCTCTTCCTCTCCCAGAGCTGCAATTCCCAGAGGTCCCTAGGAAACGGGATTGATTGTTAAACCACTCTGGGAATTGGCAGGTAAGGGAAAATAAAAGAAAAGGGAAAGTTCCCAGGTGAGAGCTGGGACGGTCCACCACTTTCTGTGTGAGACAAGGGTTGAGAGCTACTTTTGAGAGAGAACGCTGCATTTTCTCTTTCTCTGCTTTTTAAATTTTTATTTGGATTAGTTTCCTTTATCTTAACCGTATCACAAAAAAAGCTTTAATAAAATCTTGCCAGACTGTATGTTGCCTTCTGTGCAGCTACAAATTGGATTCCTCACGCAAGACAGCCTTCCGCGGTAATCCAGTGGTAATCCACTCCCCTTTCAGTGCACTGCATGGATATAGTATACTGCAGCAGAGAGAGTGAGTTACAACTGCTCCAGTCTATTAGGGTATGATTCTGGGAGCACCCTACAATATTTCACATATTCAAGGTGTAACCTGTAAAAATGTCTGTTCTTTTAACCTATCACTATTTTCCTGAAATGGGGGGGAAACCCCCACTGGGAATTGTTATCTCTGGGAGGGCAACAGGAGTGGACTGGGTCTCCTAACGATCCACAGCACCCTTAAAAATGTCAGATACCTTTGGGGAGGCCGTGGCTGTTTATATTGGCATTGCGGTGGTTTAAATCTGTAGTTTGAACAAGGCCTAGTAGTCTGTGCAAAGATCCCCAAGCAAGCAAGGCAGAACCAACCACAGAGGGCAGAATAACTCTTAAGGGCTTGTGATTTGGATAAAAGGAGCTGGTGTGAGGATGCGTTCAGCACATCCCAGCTGGAACAGCAACACTCCCAGAGTGCGAGACGGGTGAGAGCCGCGCGTGCTTTTCAGGAAAGCTTGCACATGTGTCTGTGCGTGATTTGATTTGAGGTCTCCAGCCTCGGCCCCCCCTTTCCCCCTCAGGCTGGGAAATGGGGACCGAGTTGCTGCAATAAAGGCCCGGCGCAGGCGAGGCTGATCAATAGATAACCATAACAGCCCGTCTAATGGACACGGAGGAAAGTGGAGGGGCATGCGCAGGGTGGGGAGCTGAGGGGGCCATTTGGTCAACAGCCCATCTCCCTTTTGTTCCTTCTGCCCTTCCCAGGCTCACTCTTGCCTCTTCCCGTTCTGCACCCTTCTCCCTGATCTCTTAGGAACATATAAGGAGCTGATTGATTGATTGATTGATTGATTGATTGCCAAGACTTCCAGCTCAGTTATGTCTGCGCTGGCTGGCAGCAGCTCTCCAGGGGTTCAAGCAGGGTTCTCTGCCCAGCCCTGTCACCTGCCTTCCTGCCTTACTTAACAGCCAATCCCAGGGGTCCTTGGCTCTGGCTCCGCCTACTGTGGGCCTCCCACCCCCCAGTCCCAATGGCTACCAGTCACCCTTCCCGAATAGGCTTGGGTCTTAGGAACACAGGGAGCTGCCTGATACACAGAAATAAAGATCCTAGTCCTCATGGTTTTGAACAAGCAGCTGCTTTTAAATAGAGCCTGCCCTATTCTGAGCCATACCATTGGTCCACCTAGCTTAGTATTGTCCGCACTGGCTGGCAGCAGATCTCTAGGATTGCAGATTTCATTCCAGGGCTGGATTTGAGACCTTTGGAGGCCCTAAGCACTTAAAAGGTTTTGGTGCCCCCGTAGATCTAATTCAAAACAGAAACAATAATAAACCGTAAAATAAATTTTTGATTTTTCGAAATGAAATGAAACCTATGGCAAGATGGAAAATAATGTTTGTTTTTGTATACTTCCGCTTGATTTACATATGAAAAATCTTCTCCTGCTTTTTCTAATTGCAAAGCCTTTGATCAGATCCTTACATAACACATCTGCTTCTGTACTTAGTAGAGGTAAGGCATCCAGCCTGCTTTGTTGCACAGTAGTTCTGTTGGGATTTTTAATATGCTTCAACTGAGAAAATGGAACACGCAGCCGAGCAATTTGTGACGGTTAATGTTAGAAATCAGGCAATAGAAAATTTATGCAGTATACTTCCCTTGATGCCCTAAGCACGTGCTTATTTTGCTGATTGGTTAAGCCAGCCCTGTTTCAGGCCCCATAGCTCAGTGGCCTGTAGAAGTCCCCGGGTTCAGTCCCCGGCAATCCTGGGATGTTTTACGAAGAAGGGCCATCGCTCTGAGATAGAGCATGTGGTTTGCACACAGAAAGTCCCAGGTTCAATCCCGGTCTTCTCCAGCCGGTGCTGCTGCTAACATCCTTGGGGTGCGTCTCTCTCCCTCTCGACAGCCCTGCGGCCGCTCGCTGAACTCCATCCTCGGCAAGAGCAACCTGAAGTTTGCCGGCATGCCAATCACACTCACCATCTCCACCAGCAGCCTCAACCTCATGGCGTCTGACTGTAAACAGGTGAGGAGATATCTTCTCTCCCAACCTCCTCCTCCTCCTCTGGGACACACTGTCTAGGGTGGATACTTGACGGACGAGTGTTGAGGATTGTGGGCTTAGACAGCCTTCCTCCTTGCAGGTTGTTACCCTCCAGATGTTGCTGGTCTACAGTTCCCTTTGCCCCTTGACCATTGGCCATGCTAGCCTAGCAACATCTGCTTTACATGCATTTAATGTGTGATCCCTGATTGGCTGGGACATGCATCTAAGGCAAGGCTGAGGAACCTGCCAGGCATTGCTGGGCTCCAGCTCTCATTGTTCCTGACCGCTGGCTGGGGCTGATGGGAGTTGGAGTCCAGCAACATCTGGAGGGTCAGACGTTCCCTATCCCTGAACTGGACCACTGTTTGCCTTCTCTAAGCTCTGATCACATTCCTGTCTTATTCCAATGTGGGGAAGGGGAACTTGCATCCCTTCCAGCCACTGCTAGGCCACATCGGCCGTCAACCATTGGCCATGCTAACCGCGTATGGGGTGCTTCCCAGACATGGAATGCACACAGCAAAGAGTTAACTCTGCCCGGATGCTGAGGTCCAGCACTGAGGGCCTTCTGGCGGTTCCCTCACTGTGAGAAGCCAGGTTACAGGGAACCAGGCAGAGGGCCTTCTCGGTAGTGGCGCCCGCCCTGTGGAACGCGCTCCCACCAGATGTCAAAGAGATAAACAACTACCTGACATTTAGAAGACAGGGAAGTTTTTAATGTGTGACATTTTGATGTATTTTTAATCTTTGTTGGAAGCCGCCCAGAGTGGCTGGGGAAACCCAGCCAGATGGGCGGGGTACAAATAATTAATTATTATTATTGTTGTTGTTGTTGTTGTTGTTGTCTCTTTATTGTCTAAGATAACACCTACAGTTGCTTCTACGGCTCTGGATACCTGCACACACCAATCTAGCATCTAGGCAGCTATTCCCGGGTCATCGCTCTAGGGGGCGTTGGCAGCAACTGGGGACGACTCCCCCTCCACCAGTTTATATACCTTCCCCTAATGGGCTGTGCGCACTTAGCCAGAGATTGTCCCTGTGTGGATGCTGTTTCTGCTCTTCCTGATTCAGCGCTCTCCTGGTTTTGGGTGACAGTGCTTCAGGGGAGGGTGGAGAAGCACCCAGCCCTTCTCCCGCCTCTGATTCTTGCCTCCTGGCTGGTACAGGCCCCCACAGACCACTGACCCCCTTCCCCTGGTGCCCACTTGCCAGCGTCCTCCCAGTCCTTGCCAGGGCATCAAGTCTGCCTTGGGGAGCTAAAATCTGGCACCCCCATAATCCAGGAGAGCTTGACTTTACTGTAAGAATTTCAGGAGGTTGGGAAGCGGCGGGGAGGAAGTTCATTTTGTGTTTTTTTGCTGTGCTTTGCGTCTCATTTTTCCTTCTTCCTTCCCTTCCATTGTTTAGATCATTGCCAACCATCATATGCAATCAATTTCTTTTGCTTCCGGAGGGGATCCGGTGAGTGCCAAGAGGGTTTTGTGGATGGGTTGTTTTCAACACAGGGCTAAGGATTTCTCCTTCCCTGGCAGAATGTTCTCCCCACTCCTTGGTTTGCCCTCTAACCTTGTTCTGGGGTTTCTGGAGACAGTGTGGGATGTGCATGGGAAAAAACCTCCTGCATTAACGCTAATCCATGCACAGAAAATTAGTTGAGTATCATCCTCTCCCAGGGACGCGGGTGGCGCTGTGGTCTAAACCACTGAGCCTAGGGCTTGCCGATCAGAAGGTCAGCGGTTCGAATCCCCTCGACGGGGTGAGCTCCCGTTGCTCGGTCCCTGCTCATGCCCACCTAGCAGTTCGAAAGCACATGAAAGTGCAAGTAGATAAATAGGTACCACTCCGGCGGGAAAGTAAATGGCGTTTCTGTATGCTGCTCTGGTTTGCCAGAAGCGGCTTAGTCATGCTGGCCACATGACCCGGAAGCTGTACGCCGGCTCCCTCGGCCAGTAAAGTGAGATGAGCGCCGCAACCCCAGGGTCGTCCGCGACTGGACCTAACGGTCAGGGGTTCCTTTACCCCTTTACCTTTACCATCCTCTCTGCATGTGAGCCACGCGTAGACTCTCCCTGTGGCTAGCAGAACCTGTATAAATTATGCAGATTAATGCCGTTTGCATAATTTATGCAGTTTGCAGAATTCCAGTGATGCGTGCTGTGGAATTTTTAGGGTCTTCAGACACAGACTCCATGCAGCCCTGACTATATTTATTCCACCTCACCCCAGTTGCTAGATCCTTTGACTAGCCCAGGCATAGACAAACTCCAGCCCTCCAGATGTTTGGGACTACAATTCCCATCATCCCTGACCACTGGTCCTGTTAGCTAGGGATAGTGGGAATTGTAGTCCCAAACATCGGGATGGCCGGAGTTTGCCTATGCCTGGACTAGGCATTCTCCCTTCCAGCAGGATTCAGATAACTTATTACCCTCCTACATGTCAGGGAAACTGAGAGCTGGTGTGGTGTAGCATAAATAATAATAATAATAAATTTTTATTTATATCCCGCCCTCCCCAGCCGAAGCCGGGCTCAGAGCGGCTAACAACAGTAAAAATAGCACAATTTACATAAAATCACAGTCAGTTAATTAAAATATATTCTAAAATCAATTCAGAATCAAATTAATGGCAACCCCTGGGCTAGAGTTCTTTGAGGATTATAGAAGGAGGGGGTCAGACTGCACCTTGGCCAAAGGCCTGGTGGAACAGCCCTGTCTTGCAGGCCCTGTGGAAAGATGTCAAGTCCCGCAGGGCCCTAGTCTCTTGTGACAGAGCGTTCCACCAGATTGGGGCCACAGCCGAAAAAGCCCTGGCTCTGGTTGAGGCCAGCCTAACCTCCCTGTGGCCCGGGACCTCCAAGATGTTTTTGTTTGAAGATCGTAAGTTCCTCTGTGGGACATACCAGGAGAGGCGGTCCCGTAGGTACAAGGGTCCTAGGCCGTATAGGGCTTTAAAGGTTAAAACCAGCACCTTGAAGTCTGGTGGAGAGCCAGGTTCAAATTCCCACTTGTTCCCAAAGCAAACTTTGTGACTTTTGGCCACACACACAATCCTACCTTGCAGGGTTGTTAGGATAAACCAGGTAGGAACAATTTACACGAACTTGAGCTTCTGGAGGGAGGAAGGTGGGAGATAGATATAGCAAATAAAGCAGCGCCAGTGAAGGGTAGTTGTGGGGTGCTTTCTCTTCTTCCCTCTCTCCCCTTTTTAATCTGGCATTTATCAAGTCTCCCATCTTCCCAGGACACGGCCGAGTATGTTGCCTACGTTGCCAAAGACCCTGTCAACCACAGAGGTAAGACGTTCTGCACCAATCAGAAACTTCCTGGGGCCAGGTCAGCTTCGACTGGGTTTAACAGATTTGCATCCTGCTTTCAGCTCACTCACAATAATGCCAGCAGCATTTAAAAAAAAAAAAAAGAGCGAGCACTTTAATCAGAATAATCAAGGTTTTTTTTTTTTTTTTTTAAAAAGAGTCTTGGTGCCGGACAGGCATGCCAGTGACGGGTGGGGGCCAAATTGGGAGGCCTGGTGGGCTTGATCTAAGGCTGTGGGCCAAAGGTTCCCTACCTCCGGTGTAAACGTTCCTGAGCTGGATGAACCCAACGAGTCAGGCTTGGTGGAAGGCAGCTTCTAGTCCAGGGGTCTGCAACCCGCGGCTCCGGAGCCGCATGTGGCTCTTTTACACCTTTGCCGCGGCTCCGGGGCGGATACTAGCGAGGGGAGGAGGCGCATTGTGTGCCCCGACACTCCCCACTGTGGCGGGCACTGTACTGGCTGTGACGTCGCATGGGGCGGTGCGTGCGTTAGTCACGCACCGTCCCGACGTCACCTTCCCGCCCGCCCGCTACATTGTAAGGGGCATGTACGCTGGTCACTGCATTGAAAGGGGGCATGTACGCTGGTCACTGTTTTGAAGGGGAGTGAAGAACACACACACACAAAAAGGTAACTTGTTAATTTAACGTTTATTTCTATGAGGAGGAGTAATTCTGAGGGGTCAAACAAAGAAATAATAAAAAAGTGACAAAAAACTTATTTTTATAGTGGCGAGTTTTGCGGCTCCCAGTTTTTTTTTCTTCGGAAACAGGTCCAAGTGGCTCTTTTTGTCTTAAAGGTTGCAGACCCCTGTTCTAGTGCTTCTACAAGAAGCTGGGGAAATGATCAGTGATGGCGCTCGACAACATTTCATGAGCTACATGTCTTCTGTTTGTTGATATTCAGCTAGCATGCACTGTTTGCTTTGTTTTCTGCTTTGGATATTGTCAGATGGCAGTGGTGGTTGCTTGTGAGTAACCAGGCAGGACTCAGACCTGTCTTTTACAGGCTTTATTTTGGGTGCAAACTATTGACAGTGCAGAGCCACAAGTTCATGTCTGCCTCAATCGCTAGCAGAATCCAGAAGTGGTTGTTTCCTGGACCTCCCCCAACATAAAAGTCTCATTACTCCCAGCCTTTTCCTTCCCTCTTTGCGCTTTAGACCTCTGCGCAGGGTGGGCGATGGAAGGGGTGTGCTTCCATCCTGGCTGGCTTGGCCAGGAGCGGTGCTGAGGCTCCCACCAGCATCCTCAGGTCCTTTTACCTCTTCCCCACTGGAGGTGGGGCTTTCCTCATAACTGGAAGAGGAACTGCTGATTTTCGGAGGCTCCCTGTAACACGACTGCCCCTCTGTTTTCCGCCCCTGTTCTGATGGCAGTTCCCTGACAGATATGAATAGATAAATAGATGGGGGGTAGAGAGAGAGTGATGTATGGAAGTGAGAGCTGGACCATAAAGAAGGCTGATCGCCAAAGAATGGATGCTTTTGAATTCTGGTGCTGGAGGAGACTCTGGAGAGTCCCATGGACTGTAAGAAGATCAAACCTATCCATTCTGAAGGAAATCAGCCCTGAGTGCTCACTGGAAGGACAGATCGTGAAGCTGAGGCTCCAATACTCTGGCCACCTCATGAGAAGAGAAGACTCCCTGGAAAAGTCCCTGATGTTGGGAAAGATGGAGGGCACAAGGAGAAGGGGATGACAGAGGACGAGATGGTGGGACAGTGTTCTCGAAGCTACCAGCATGAGTTTGACCAAACTGCGGGAGGCAGTGGAAGACAGGAGTGCCTGGCGTGCTCTGGTCCATGGGGTCACGATAAGTCGGACACGACTAAACGACTAAAGAACAGGACTTCCGGGGTGGCGCCTCCGGAAAATGGCAGAATTCCCTTCGAACTGAAGGGAACCCGCTGCACGGAGGCTTGGGTCCTGCCGCTACGGCGCAGCGGGGACCCTTAAAAACCACAGGCGGAAGAAGCCTGTGGACATGGGACTCGGCGGGCACCGAGAGCACTCTCTCCCCTTGTACAGGAGCCCGGTAACGGGCTCCGGAGTGGGAGGTGCGTGGTGCTGTGAGTCGACTGCTTCCTCCGTGCAGCAAAGCCGCACTGCCGTTTTCGGAGAGCGCTGCCTTTTTCCTGGACAATTTGGCATCTAAAACATCTATCCGTGAGTACCTGATCTTGGAAGAGCTGAACTACTTTTAAGATTGGTGAATAAATTAATAACATTGGACTTGGACTTGAAATTGAATTTAATTGGGACTCGGAACGGAAAGGTCTAAACAGGAAGTCAGCCTTCCGTTCTTTTGTTACGTGAAGAAAGCAAAGACAAATTATACTAAAGCTTGAAAATTAAATTCTGAGAGAACTAAAATTTCAACATCTAAGATTTCTGAACCCCCCTTTGACTGCAGGAGAAGAAGGGGGTTGTTTTGGTCTTTTCAACCCTGCGGAAGTGAGTTTAAAATAAAGTAATTTTCCACCGCCCTGAACCAGGAGCGGGCTGTCAGAACTGACGTTTTGAAGCTTATCCAGCTCGACAGATAGTTAAAAGAAGGGTAACATTTTGATTCTACTGTTGCCTCTTGAATTTGGAAGGGGGAATTTTAGATAAAGTGTTTCTGGAAAAAGAAAGATTGTTGCTGTTGTTTTTCCCCTCTTAAAAAAAATAATAAAAAAAAAAGGGTTTTCCATCTAGTGGAACTGAGTGAAATTGCAATGCAGAGAGTTTAAAAGAGAAGGACTATTCTCGTGGGAAAGAATTTTCTTTGACCTTGAAGGACAATGCTTGTACAAAGGCTTGAACAAGTGTTCCTGGAAGGTTTTGCAAAATTAAGTGCCCAGCTGGACCAGATGCGTCAGGAGCCGACCTTGATGATGGAAGTTACCAGAGCACAGCAGCAAACAAATGAAATTCAGTTAAAGTCTATACAAGTATATGAACCTGCTGTAGCGACGGAGGCTTCAGAGATGGAGGGACCTTTGGATGGGCAAGATCAGCCTTTGAACTTGATAAATGAACTTGGGACAAACCTGATTCGGAAAGATGAAATGTGGTCAGATTTGGAAATGGGGGGATGGATTGACACCCCTCTATATGGTTATTTGGACTTTCCGAGTCTAGTGATGGGCCATCAGAGGATTGGAGTAGTTGAAGTCTCCAAGCTTTGTGGAAATTGGAAGTGGTATTATCTGCTGTCTGGCTTGGGTAATGGGTTTGGGATGGACTTGCTGCAAAGAGTCAAAAGCATCTTTTTGCTGGAGTATCCACAACTGAAAGGGAAATATCAACAAGAGTGGCGAAAGGGGCAAGAAAGAGACTTGAGGGCCTCGGATACGAGACAACCAGGTTAAGGAGCCGGATTATTGAGGTTAAAAGGACTGACAATCCCGGGTCCAGGGGAGGGTAGGTTGGAAGCTGACTGGACTGAATCTGACTTATTACTTTTTCTTTCTTATTTTTTAATATTGGGAATGTTTATAAATGTTTGAAGGATGTTGAATGAAATTATATGGCTTAAGTAAGGATTGGTAAATGATTTGTAAAAGGTAATGATGTAAGAATCTGCTAAATATTGAATATAAGCTTTGAGTTTTAAAGTTTTTATATGACAAGAGGGAAAATAGAATAAGGAAATGTAATGATAGATTGTTATGAAAAAACAGAAAGGATTTGCTGTAAAAATTAAAAACTAAGAAACAAGAGAGGGGAGGAGGAGGAAGTCTAGAAAGGAAGTTAATGGAGATCGTAAAGGATTTTATATTTCTGTTTTTCTGTTTTTCTTTTTTTCTTTTTTGCGGCTGGGTTTTTTCTTCTTTATTATTTTTGTATTATTTTTGGGGTTTTTTTTGTATTTTCAAACTTTTTTGGAAATTTGTGTTGTTACTCTTTGAAAACTTAATAAATATCAATTATGAAAAAAGAACAACAACAGAGAGAGAGAGAAAGATTCTAATTGCTATTAGATTCCATTAAATTTATAAATATAGCTATAATGTGTGTGTGCAAAATATGTATTTACGTCGGTTTGTAACTGATTTTTTTCATCTCAATCTTTTTATCACGCTTTCAGTTTGCTTGGGTTTATTTCATTGTGGGTTGGTTTTTTTGCACTGCTTCTACTCTTGAGCACCCTAAACAGCATCTGATACGACCTGTTACCGTATTCTGCTTCTCCCTGCCCCCCAACAGCCTGCCACATCCTGGAGTGCCCCGAGGGGCTGGCGCAGGACGTGATCAGCACCATTGGGCAGGCGTTTGAGCTGCGCTTCAAACAGTACCTCAAGAACCCTCCCAAGCTCGTCACCCCTCATGACAGGTAAGGCCAAGCTGGTTTTATCCAGCAACACCTGGAGGACCCCCCACTTTCCTAGACCAGTCATGCTTCAACCAATCAGGGATCACATATTAAATGCGTGTACAGTGTTGGAGAATATAGCGCTTACACAGGAAAATCACACACCGTCTGAAATTCAGACAAGGAACAGAATTTCCAGCGCCCTGTTTATATATGCTGTGGCATCTCTTTGTTTTTTTTATAGCAGACTCCCTCTGCTTTTCAAATACTTTTTATTGAACAATTGTAGGCAAGAACAGCAATGAAAGAAAAAATATCTTTATTTTAAAGAAAGGTTAGTTGCCACAATTGTCAATAAAAAAATAAAGGATGCAGCTACGTGATTTACTGAATCGATAAGAAAACATAACCAAGAAGAGAAGGACGTGTGTTCTGTGATTACAGAGGATTCCAAGGTTTAAATTAAAATCATTGCCATTTTTTAACTTTTCAATTCTATGCAACCTTGGACTGTACTAAATCTGGACGCTTGCTTAGACCTGTGGGTACCAAGCCCTCCTGAGCTGCTGTTTGTATATAAAATAAAATTATACCTAATGGCAAAGAAGCCATTAGATCCCTGGACACTCAAGCGAGATTTCCGCCCCAGATTTTCCCAAGAAAAAAAAATCAGGCAAGATTTTTCAAGGACAATTTGCACTTCCTTCTTTCCTGTGGCTGTCTTGTATCTTGTTATCTGCCTATTAAAAACAAAATAAAACTTGTTTGCAGAGTAGTAATAGCAGGGACGCGGGTGGCGCTGTGGGTTAAACCACAGAGCCTAGGACTTGCTGATCAGAAGGTCGGCGGTTCGAATCCCTGCGATGGGGTGAGCTCCCGTTGCTCGGTCCCTGCTCCTGCCAACCTAGCAGTTCGAAAGCACGTCAAAGTGCAAGTAGATAAATAGGTACCGCTCCAGCGGGAAGGTAAACGGCGTTTCTATGTGCTGCTCTGGTTTGCCAGAAGCGGCTTAGCCATGCTGGCCACATGACCTGGAAACTGTACACCGGCTCCCTCGGCCAATAAAGCGAGATGAGCGCCGCAACCCCAGAGTCGGCCACGACTGGACCGAATGGTCAGGGGTCCCTTTACCTTTAATAGCAGGAGAGGGCTATAGCCTCTGTGCCCTGCTGTCTGCCCTCCCTAAGGCATCCGACTGGATCGTGTGGGGATGCTGAGCATCATGGGAGCTTCCCTGGCCTGATCCAGTAGGGCTTCTCTTGCATTCAGCGCCTGCCCTCTTTCCTCAGGATGGCTGGATTCGATGGCTCCGCTTGGGACGAAGAGGAGGAACCGCTGCCAGACCACCAGTACTACAACGACTTCCCGGGGAAGGAGCCCCCCCTGGGAGGCGTGGTAGATATGCGCTTGAGAGAAGGAGCTGCGGCGGCCCTGATGCCCAACCACTTAGGAGCCACCCTGGTTAGTGCGCCGGCGTTCCTCTGCCAGCTCGCTCGCTCACCTGCATGCAGGTCCTAGTCACCATAGGCAACCAGGCTGGTTCTTAGATAGGTACAGTGTGGAGGAAGTGGACAGGGGTCCAGTTTTCTCTCTCGATCTCATGACACTAGAAGCCAGCAGGATTATCTGGGGCAGCTGAAGCTTGGGATTCCTGCATTGCAACGGGGTTGAACAAAATGACCCTTTGTGTAGCGTTCCCAAAGCAAGGAAGGATTGGACTCTGATTAATAAAATACACACAAGGCTTGACCAGCAAGACTCTGGGAGGAGTGCGAATAATAATAATAATCCGTCCACCCCTTGGCCCAGGTCGTTTTATTCACAAAAGAACTTTTTACACAGTGTTCGTAAGAACCAATCAGATTTCCTCTGAGCATTTCAAAAAACTCCACGTGGGGACAAAATTAAAGTTAAAACTACAAAGAGCTAATTTAAGCATGCATACATTCTGGGGTAAATCAAACAGGATTAAAAGGAGGAATGCATTCAGCATACCCAAAGGTCATAAACAAGCAGTAAACAGGAGAGGAGGGATGGCAAGGAAAGATTAGGCATATTTATCACCTCCATGTGAAACTATTTCCTGGCCCTAAGATTAACAAAACCAAGGAAAGGTACGTCAAAGCTATCATCTTTATGACCCAGGATGCCTGATGAAGCAACTGGCCTGTGTATTTAGAATGCTTATACGTGCCTGTCAGGCGTAGAGAAAGCAAATGGCAGAGGTGCAGAGGCTTGTGGGAATCGATCAGAAACTATTGTCAGTGCATCAAACCCAGTCAACGCAAGGCTTTCATTGCTGACACAGTGGCTTGCTCCATATTTCAGAATTCCTCATAGCGATCCCACCTGACCCCCCACACTCTGGATATTTGCACCCCTACACCTTTGGGTCCCTTCCAGTGCTACAGTTCTGTGACAATACTTCTTCCCACAGTTAAGCCCTGGAACTCACTGCCACAAGAAGCAGCGACGGCCACCACTTTGGATGGTTCTAAAAGAGAATTAATGGGAAAGGCTATCAATGGCCACAACAGCTATGCTCTGCCATCCCGTTGGAGGCCGTGATTTGCCTCTAAGCATCGGTTGCTGGGAATCATGGATGGAGAGGGTTGCCGTGGGGCTCAGCGCCTCCTTGCAGGCTTCCCATTGAGGCATCTGGTTGGATAATGGGAGAGCAGGTCGCTGTAACAGATGGGCTACTGACCTGATCAGCCAGGGCTATTCTTGTATTCTGCAGCCCAGAGCAGCACTCTGCTCCATCCTAACTGCAGAGTCATCTGATGCTGTTGGGGACTGCAACTCCCATCACTGCACCATTGGCCAGGCTGGTCAAGGCTGATGGGAGCTGGAGTCCATAAGCAGGTGAAGGGACAATGGGTTCCCCATCCCTGATCTACAAGTATAATAAGAATGTTATTATTTGGCTGGGGTTCCCCAGCCACTCTGTGTGGCTTACAGCACATTAAAAAATTGTAAAACGTTAGACATTACAGTGGTACCTTGATCCGTTCCAGGAGTCCGCTCGACTCCCGAAACTGTTCGAAAACCAAGGCCCGGCTTCTGATTGGCTGCAGGACCTTCCTGCACTAAAGCAGAAACCATGTCGGACGTTCGGTTTCCCAAAAATGTTTGCAAACCAGAAAACTTACTTCCGGGTTTGCGGCGTTCGGGAGCCGATTTGTTCAGGAGCCAAGCCAAGGTTTGACTATAATGTCAAGCGCATCTTTAAGCGTTTGAGCTCCTGTTTCTTACGTACAGAAGCAGGAAGCTGGCTTCCTGAGGGCCCCTCTCCCCTTGCCGAATCCAGTCTATGCTTAGATGCCTCACTCACTGCCTTTCTTCCTTCAGCCTGTCTCCCAGATGTCTGCTGGGGACTACGAATCCAAGAAACCGCACCTCGCAGCACAAGGTGAGCTTCCAGGCCACTGCTTTGCCTTGAGTGGGAAAAGAGAACCCTTGGCAGCCAGTGATGCTGTAGGGCTTTGGCTCAGTGCTAGGGCATGCAGAAGGTCCCCAGTTCAGTTCCCTGGTACCTCCAGGAAGGGCTGGGGATGTTCCCTGACCGAAACCCCAGCGAGCCGCCACCAGTCAATGCAGTCACCCCTGGCTAGGTAGATCAGTGGACTGGCTCAGGATAAGGAAGCTTCCTATTTAAAATTGCCTTTAGGTAAAGGGTAAAGGGACCCCTGACCATTAGGTCCAGTCGTGACCGACTCTGGGGTTGCGGCACTCATCTCGCTTTACTGGCCGAGGGAGCCGGCATACAGCTACCGGGTCATGTGGCCAGCATGACTAAGCTGCTTCTGGTGAACCAGAGCAGCGCACGGAAACGCCGTTTACCTTCCCGCCAGAGTGGTACCTATTTATCTACTTGCACTTTGACGTGCTTTCGAACTGCTAGGTGGGTAGGAGTAGGGATCGAGCAACGGAAGCTCACCCCGTCGCGGGGATTCGAACCGCTGACCTTCTGATTGGCAAGTCCTAGGCTCTGTGGTTTAACCCACAGCACCACCCACCAGTTCATGCTTTAATTTCAGGAGAAGGGCCATAATTCAGTGGCAGAGCAGCTGCTTTGAGTACAGAAGGTCCCGGGCTCAATTATTGGCAACTCCTGATAGGGCTGGGGAAAAGACCCTTGTCTGAAACCCTGAAAAGACTCTGACAGCCCATATAGATGGACTGGAGGGTGTGAATTAGTTTAAGGCTGCTTCCAATGTTCCTGCGTTCCCCGCCAGAAGTGGTAGACCCAGGCTTTTCCTGGTAGGCTGCCTCTGGGCATGGAGGCTCCTCTTCGCTACCCTTGACCTCCTGAGCTCCCCATCCTGTTTGCTGCCATGTGGGGCTTCTATTTGTTACAGTCTTCCTGCGGGTTTCCTAATGCTCTGTTCTGTCCCCTCTCGCAGGAAGGGAGAGGGGCCCACCCGGCCGCACGGATCTCTTTGACGACCCCTCCTACGTTAATGTTCAGAACCTGGAGAAGGCGCGGCAGGGGGCTCCGGGGGCCACTGCCAACGGCAGCGCCCAGCGAGATCTCTTTGACATGAGTGAGTGTCAAAGGCATGTTTGTGTATGTGTATGTGCAAGAGACTTGTGGGCACAGGGGCAGTAGCCTTGCAATTAAGCACTTGCCTGGTAGCCACAGGCGGGTAAAAAGGTTGGTGGAAGCACCTAGTGGGAAAATATTGGGGATGCCTTTTGAAAGGGGCAAGGCAAACTCTTTGTCCCTCCTCTTCCAACAGGCTAGTACAATTATTAGTAGTAACCTGCAAGCTAGCTTTGGCTTCTGAAATGTGCACTTCTCACCAAAGTCCCAAAGTGGTTTGCATCCTAATTAAAAAGAGAGAGAGAGAGAGAGAAAAACAATAATAAGATCTCATCATGTCTTTGCCTGGTGCCAAATATTGGTCCTGGCAGGCCTCCCTGGGGAGAGTTGTCATATCAAGCGTTTGTACCCCATTCTTCAGCCAAAAAGACTCCCAGGGGACTACCGTACGGTCAGTTAAAAGAAGACCGCAAGCCTGCAGGCAGGTGCTATCTTAAAAATGAAAAAGACATGCAAGGAAAAGGGGGAAGGGAGGGAAATTGAACTCGTCACTAATTCATAGAATCCTAGAGTTGAAAGGAACCACAAGGCTCATCTAGTCCAACCCCCTGCAATTTTGCCAATGTGGGGGTCAAACCCACGACTCTGGAGTCTCACGCTCTACCAACTGAGCTATCAAAGATTTAGTATTACGGTCAATGAGCAGCATTAAGAAACCGGGATAAGAAGTGCATTGAGCACATCATCTGAACTGTGTTATGAGGGAAGGGGGAAAAGGGTGGAATAAAATTAAGCGAATGAAAATAACACAAAATAAGGTAAAACGGGCCCCAGCATGATCACCAGAGTGCCTGAGGTCACACGACACATGAGGGAGAAGCGACAGGGAGGGAAGAGGGGGAAATCAAACTCAGGCACGTTCTTCAACCATTGGGCAGCTGGCGCAGGATCTGGGCCTCCAGCAGAACTGAGGAAATGAGCCTTCTGCTCCCGATCTCTCCTGCTGGGCAGTCTGATGGAATGGCTGCCCTCAAGCAATAGCAGAGGGGAGAGGAGGCCGGGCGGAGAGCCTTCCATGAAGTATGGCTTGAGGATGGAAGGCTGCTAGTAATGTTTGGTGACCTTATTTAAAAGGCTTATTTACAAGTGCGTTTCGGGCTGGAGGATATTTGTTTGTTTGTTTGATTGGTTTATCTACCGCACTTTGTCACAAGATCTCAATAATCAGGTATAAATAATCTAGTAGTGTTAATTTAACTGCTCTTGCATCTCAAGATACACACCTGTTCCTGCAGAAGTGCATATCCCATTCAAAAGAGAGGATTAAGAAATACAGTGGTACCTCGGGTTAAGTACTTCATTTGTTCCAGAGGTCCGTACTTAACCTGAAACTGTTCTTAAGAGAGCCAGTGTGGTGTAGTGGTTAAGAGCGGTAGTCTCGTAATCTGGGGAACCGGGTTCACGTCTCCGCTCCTCCACATGCAGCTGCTGGGTGACCTTGGGCCAGTCATACTTCTCTGAAGTCTCTCAGCCCCACTCACCTCACAGAGTGTTTGTTGTGGTGGAGGAAGGGAAAGGAGAATGTTAGCCGCTTTGAGACTCCTGAAGTCTCTTCTTCTTAACCTGAAGCACCACTTTAGCTAATGGGGCCTCCTGCTGCTGCTGTGCCGCCGGAGCACGATTTCTGTTCTCATCCTGAAACAAAGTTCTTAACCTGAAGCACTATTTCTGGGTTAGCGGAGTCTGTAACCTGAAGCGTATGTAACCTGAAGCATATGTAACCCAAGGTACCACTGTAGTGTCAACATGTTTCTGACCTGAAACCATTCCATTTAAACTGTTGTGGTATTGGTGGGGTGCCCCATGATGTGGGGTTTTGTTGGAAATTTTTGAAATGGGAGTAGTGGGAGAGTTCCTAATGCTTGAAATCAGGCTTCACCAATGTGGTGGGTTGGGCTCCAGCTCCCACCATAAATCCCTAATAATTAATAAATGAATAAAACGATGAGGGAGCTTTCTGCCCTACTCTCATTTTTCCTTTGTGGGCTTCTGCTAGCGTCTTGTAGTCCCCAGCCTATTCTATCTCGATGGCACTGAAAGGGGTTGTCAAGCTGCTAGTCCTCACTTGGCTGTTGTGCACCTCTCGCCGCTTGCCTCTCTCCCCAGAGCCGTTTGAGGATGCTTTGCGGGGGCCGCCGCCTGCATCGCCAGCCCAGCTGGTGGCCTCCATGGAGGAGCAGCTCCGACGGGAGCCCTGGTACCACGGCCGGATGAGTCGCAAAGATGCCGAGAAGCTGCTGCAGGCGAATGGGGACTTCCTGGTGCGCGAGAGCACCACCACACCGGGGCAGTATGTGCTGACCGGGCTGCAGGGGGGGCAGCCCAAGCACCTGCTCCTCGTGGACCCCGAAGGAGTGGTGAGGCTTCCTTCTTCTGCTTCAGGGTGTGGGGCGAGAGGGGCCAAGTGCAGCCTACAAAACAGCCCCTCCTGTCACAAATCCCCGCTTTGCTGGCTGCCCCCTGTTGAGACTAGTAGGGTGGTAGGTCGGGAAACCCAATGGTAGGCGGAGCCAGAGCCAACAAGAGGAGGAGCCAGAGGCAGAAGGACAGGAGGCGGGGAGACCCAAAGGTGGGCGGAGCCAGAGCCCAACAAGAGGCAGGAGGCAGGGAGACCCAAAGGTGGGCGGAGCTAGAGCCAACAAGAGGCGGATCCAGAGGTAGAAGGACAGGAGGCAGGGAGACCCAAAGGTGGGCGGAGCCAAGCCCACTCATTCTTGTTTTGTCCCTCTCCTCCTCTCATGGGCTTTTCTGGGGGTTTTCCCTACACCAACTCCCAGGCCAGTTTTGTGGGGTAAGAGGCAGGAATGGGGGGAGCCCCATTGCGCAAGCAGTGCATTTTGGGTTTACTAAAAAAAAAGCCTTACAGCCAGAGTCTCCTTCCCCTACCTGCAGGTCCGGACGAAGGATCACCGCTTCGAGAGCGTCAGCCACCTCATTAGCTACCACATGGACAATCGGCTGCCAATCATTTCGGCGGGCAGCGAGCTCTGCCTGCAGCAACCAGTGGAGCGGAGATCGTGAGCAGCGAGGGGCCGGGGTGTCATCCTCATCCCCACCCCGCAAATCCTTCAGTGGGGAAAAAAAATTTGCCGCCTTGCCCCTTCCAGCAGTTTCACCTCAGCTTCTCCTGCCTTTTACGGGTGTTCTGTTCCTCATACACGTGTCGCCTGTACACTAGGCATCAATGGTTCCCTCCACCACAGGCCAGAGCGGTGCCATCTCTGCCAAAGCGTCTCCCTTTTATTGCGAGCTGGACACCTGCCTCACTCCACAAATCCCTCCTTGGTAGAAGATGCTCTCTGATTATCAACAAACTCTCCTGTCGCTTATCGTCACCCACCTTTCATTTCTCACAAGGAGGCCCTGGGCCAGCACTGCCTCACCTTTGCAAAGCCTGCGCAAGGCGCTAGTCCTCAGCGAGGGCGCGAGGGTCTCAGTTTCTCATGGCTCTTGCTGGATCCCGTGCCTGCACAGCTTCCCTTGGGGCAGAAGAGCCCCAAACTTCGCCTGCCTATTTACCCCCCACCCCCAGTTCAGATAACCTGACCCTTCTTCTCTTGACTTTTTAAAGCGGCTGGGTGGAAGTCCGTTCCCGTCTCCCGTTTCTAGCAGCGCCTGATTGAATCTTTGCCCAATGGATTCAGCTAATGCCAAAGTTGCTGGTCGTATTTTGTTGTTTTGTGGGGGAGAGGGTGGAGGGAGGGAAACAATAGCCTCTCCCCCGCCTTTTTTGTAAAGCACAAAAAAGAGAGAGCGCAATTCTCCCCCTGGACCCAGATGTGTAACACATACACCCCCCCAAAAAAACACCACTCACTTTACATATTAATTAACTCTGCGTGCCTTGACCCTTTTACAGGTCTGAGATTTTATGCAAAATCCCTCTTGCTGTGGTGGCCTGCTTTGGAGGGCGGTGGGGTAGGGGTGGGAGAGAAGAAGGCTGTTGTTCTCTTACCCGCCCCCCACCCCAAATCTCTAGGACCTGCACAGCCATCACTGTGCCCCGGCGGGCACTCCTACACCCCTTGGGCATCCCTGTTGGCAAAAGTGCCCTGCGGGGAAGGTGGAGGAGGGGGCGGGATTACTCTGAGCTATGCCCTACACTACAGCCCCTCTCCTCGCCTGCATTGCAGGGGGTTGGACTAGATGGCCCTCAGGGGTCCCTCCCACCTCCATGATTCTATGAAAGCACAGCCTTAGCAGCACAGGGACCCCTCGGGACTTGTGGGACGCTCATCCTTGAACTCGAGGACCTTCCGCAAGGAGGCAATATTGGGGTGGGGAGCACAAAAGCTTTCCATAGCACCCAAAGGACCCAGGGAGAGAGTGGGGGGGGTGTAGAAGAAAGCCACGTTTCCTTGCAGTGCTCAGGCTGCAGCCACACCTCCCTGCCCTCCCCAGGTCTGTAAATAAGTTTGATAACTTTAGTGTTGCATGTACATTGTTATACTCCAGAAGCCAAAGTGTAGCCCCCCCTCCACTCCCTCACACACACACCCATGATCACTGTGCCTGTCCCCCCACCCTGGGGGACTTCATTTCCACCTCACGTGCCCCCCCCAAAATCCTATACACACACTTTTTATCGGTTTGATTTTATCTTGATTATACCAAAGGAACCCAATGATTATTATTATTATTATTATTATTATTAAAAGTTGGTATTTCTTTAAAGCTGTGGCTGCCGGAACCTCCTTTTTCGTTTGTTTGCTTGTTTAGCTGCAGGTGGGGCGGAGCTGGGGGCACGCAGCAAAGAGTCTTACTTGGGTGGGAGAAGTTCTTTTTTTAAAAAGATTTTTATTGATACAGCAAGAAAAAAGGGGAAAAAACACAAATACCAAATTACACACAGGAATAACCATGGACACATAATTTTCTTAGCAAACAATAAAACATATATTGGTCTTAACAATAAAGACCCAACCTCCCGTCTATTCCATAAATTTGATTTCAGATTACTTATTGCCAATATACTTTTATCATAATTAAACTTTTTCTTAATATATCTAAGTCCTTCTAATATAGAAGTTCTTAACTGTTCCAGAGCAGATCCCAAAGCACCCGCTGGTCCCCACGCCTCCTGTATAGCGCACTTGCTTGTCTCTCTCTGGAATTCCAGCTGCTTCCCCAAACCACAGCTGTCAACTTTTCCCTTTTCTTGCGAGGAATCCTATTCGGAATAAGGGAATTTCCCTTTAAAAAAGGGAAACGTTGACGGCTATGCCCCAAACTCTCCGCTGGCGGCGCTCGCTCCCACCGCCTCTGCAGCAGGGAATCGCTTGTTCCTATTCGTTCCTACAATTCCCATGATGCCTTAAGGCAGCGTCTAAGCTCCGTTGGCTAAGAGCGTTTTGTTCCTTGCTGCTGATTGGCCAACGGCCGTGCCTGTCAGGATTAAGCCTGTCCTTCGCCTGTCGTTTAGGAATAGTCCATAGGGGTAGGTAGGGAGAGGATGCGTGTCATGTCAGCCGTTCTGGGGGGGAAAAAGTGGTCTTAACCTTTCGGCCGTGCCTTGATTTCATTCCTCCTGAGGAACCTTAGTTAGGGTCAGGATCTATTGTGACGGCTAAGAAGTTTCTCTATTTCCCCCCCCCCGCTGACGAAATGGTACATCCCAATCTCCCTTAACTCGCCTCACGTCTAAGCTCTCTTCTTATTGGCTAGGTTCCGTGAGCCATAGAGAGGGGGAAATAGAATGTCCCTCCTTTCCTTTCACTATTGAGCGCGGCTCGCCTTTTTCTGTCGCCATAGAGCTGCTTAGTCCCTAGAGAGGCACAGGGCGCAAGTTCTCCTTCCAAAGCCGGTCGCAGGCGGAAGCGGTGCTCTGTCCTCTCAACTCTATGGTCTTGGGTTTCCGCTTCCTGTTCTCGTCGCGATGGCGCGCGCAGGGCCCCTCCGGCGCTCGTAGCTGCTCTTCCCCTCCCCCCCATTCTCCCTTCCCCCTCCCCCCCTTTTCCCTCTTATGGCGGCCCCGCACCCCGACAAGCTGGAGGGGGGAGTCGGCCCAGCTCCGCCTGCTCCGGGTCCGCCGCCTCCTCCGCCAGGGAACATCTCCACAGGACCAGGCCGCAAGCAGGGCAAGGCCGGTAAGGGCCCGGGAGGCGGGCGAGGGTGGTTGCCATGGAGACGGAGGCCTTGAGTGACAGGGGAGGGCGCACGATGATGATGATGATGATGGGGGGGTGTCTTGTCTATGGGTGGAACCCCCTTTTCCCTCTGGAATTTAAATATTTGTTTTCTTTTAAAACGTGCACGTTGGGTTCGGACTTAGCTGTTCTGAGATCAGATCCATTGAAATCAATGGGACTCGGAAGTTAGGCTTATGGAGTCGGCACGTTTCGAGTGGCAGCTCCCTCCGCCCTTGAAATCAATGGGACTTACAGGGACTTACAGCAGCCTTGTGTTTAAGCCCTCCCTGGTAGCTCTAGGTCCTTTTGAGTCTGTTGTTCTGTGTGATAGCGTGAACCCTGGTGAGTTAGAAGGAACAGGGCAGTCGGGAGAAGGGCTGCAAGCTCAGAGGCAGGGAGCATCACTTCTGCACGCAGAAGGTCCCAGGTTGGCTCCCCAATGCTGGGAATGTCCTTTTCGAAATCCCGAAAAGCTACTGCCAGCCAGGGTAGGCAGTGCAGAGCTAGAAGGACTAATGGCCTCGCTCTGGATTAGGCAGCTTCCTGCACTCCTCTTTAATTTGGCCCTTTATTTACTACCATGGGAGCCAGTGTGGCGTAATGGTTACAGTGTTGGAATACCTTGGAGACCAGGGTTCGAATCCTCGCTCAGCTATGAAGCAAGCTCATTGGGCCAGTCACCATCTTTTAGACTAACCTACCGCACAGGTTTGTTGTGAGAGGATGAGAACCATGTACACCACCAAGAAGAAAAAGTGGTATGTTAATGTAGTAAGTGAAAATGAAATTTATCTTTATTTTAATGTTAGAGGAAGGGATGTAGTTTGCATGCTAATGGTGCAAGGTTGAAACCCCCAGCAGCTCCACGTAGGGCTTGGAAGGTCCTGTGTACATCCCTGGAGTGCTGCTGCCAGTCAGTGTAGTCAACACACTTGATGGGCCAGTGGTCTGACTCAGAATAAAACAGCTTTCCATGTCCCTTTGTTATAAAGAAGAGTGGTAGCTCAGTGGTGGAACATCTGTTTCACATATAGAAGGTCCCAGGTTCAATCCTTGTCTTCTCCAGGTGATTTTTATTTTAGCTTTAGTGACAACTTTTTCTTGTTGTTGTTTAGTTGTGTCTGACTTTTCGTGACCCCATGAACCAGAGCACACCAGGCACTCCTGTCTTCCACTGCCTCCCGCAGTTTGGTCAGGTTCATGTTGGTAGCTTCAAGAACACTGTCCAACCATCTCATCCTCCCTCGGTCTCTTATCTTTGTGCCCTCCATCTTTCCCAACATCAGGTTCTTTTCCAGGGAGCCTTCTCTTCTCATGAGGTGGCCAAAGTATTGGAGCCTCAGCTTCCAGATCTGTCCTTCCAGTGAGCACTCAGGGCTGATTTCCCTCAAAATGGATAGGTTTGATCTTCTTGCAGTCAATTCCAACTAGCAATGGACAATTGTGCCATGAATTTATCTAGTCCCTTAGAACAGGAATGGAGAACCTGTGGTTCTCCCAGGTGTTCATAGAACTGTAGAGTTGGAAGGAAATCCAAGGGTCATCTGGTGAAAACCCTCAATGCATCCATGACAGATGGTCATGCAACCTCCGCTTGAAAACCTCTAGGGAAGGAGAGTCCATCACCTCCCGAGGGAGTCTGTTCCACTGTCGAATAGCTCTTGCTGTCAGAAATACCTTCCTGATGTTTGGTCGGAATCCCCTTTCTAGCAACTTGAATCCATTGGTTATGGTCCTAGCTTCTGGAGCAGGAGAAAATAAGCTTGCTCCATCTTCCATGGACAGCCCTTCAGATGTATCTCCTCTCAGTCTCCTTTTTACCTGACTAAACATCCCCAACTCTCAACTGTTCCTCCTAAGGTTTGGTTTCATCTCGGTCGCCCTCTGCACATGTTCCAGCTTGTCAATATCCTCCTTAAATTGTGCTGCACAGAACTGGACACAATAAGCCCCGGGCAGCATTGCCATTGATAGGAGTTGTAGTCCAACAACATCTATAGGGCCACAGTTTATCCACGCATGCTTTAGAAGAATCTAAGAACTGTTTTGATTAATATGAGCATGGACACATTATAATAATTAGTAGTAGTAGTAACTCAATTTATATGCTGCCCTTCATCTCAAGATCACAGGGTGGTTTTTACCCACCACCCAGTTTTCCAAGTGCCCAGGCAAATATTTCAGCAGGGCCTGAAGGCAATTTCCCCTCTCATACTGTTCGTTCTCCTCCAGCACTGCCCCAAAGCAAAATCTGTTCAGGAGGGAAGAACTTTGCTTTTCCAGAACTTGAAGACAGATGTTTGAAAAATGCATTGATTGAATTAAGTGCCACAAGATGTTGTGAAAGCCACCACCTTTAATATGTTTACAGACACAAGGAGGTGGGCTGGGCAATTAAAGGTGGTGGCTTTTGTAACATCCAGTGGCACTTAATTAAATCAATGCATTTTTCAAATGTCTCTCTTAAAGTTCTGGAAAAGCAAGGTTCTTCCCTCCTCCCAAACAAGCAACTAGGCAGGGAATGATCTTGATGCAGTTGATTTTGTTTTTGAAACACAAATTTCTAGCATAGTTATCTGTAGACAGGAAAATAGGGTGTTGTTGGGTTTAGTGGTCTAGTGACGTGGGCAGGCTTAGTAGCAAGCCAGTGCACCGGGATATTCAGGCAGTGACTGACTGACCACCCAGACTTTGGATTAGCTTGTCACATCTACATTTCATTTTCTCCTCCCTTTTCTCCTCCTAATTAGGCCTTCAAATGAAGAGTCCCGAGAAGAAGCGCCGCAAGTCCAATACACAGGTAACGTGACTGGGGTGTGTGTCTGTTTGCACCGTATATGAATCAGCATTGATACATCTCTACAGAGCAGCCTCTGAGAATTACTGTCTGCTTCCCTTCTCCCTTGCATGCACCTTAATTTCCTTGCAAGTAAGACTTCTGGATCTTGAATTTCCACAGAACCATAGAATTTCTTGCCTGATCAAAAAGCAGATTTTCAACTGTCTTAAAGTAGCAGCTGCGAAAGAATTACTGTATTTACTCAAATCTAAGGCTCACCTTTTTTGGCCAAATCATGTTGCAAAAATTAAGGTGTGCATTAAATTCGATGGCACATTTACATTCACCAGGAAATACTTTTTTTTTTGTTTCAAAGTTCTAAAAATTGAGGTGCGCATTAGATTCGATGGCACATTAGACCTGAGTAAATATGGTCATTATTTGAGATACCTAATATCACTGGTCCAACAAATCATTCAACCCATTGAATATATCTCCGGTTCAGAATGAAGATATCTCATTTAAATCTCTTATTAGTTAACTGTTGTTAGCAGTTAGACTTGCTATAGCCCATATGTTTTAGGAAGACATGAAAGGGGCATCCTTATTGAAATAACGTAACATAATTTGGTGACTAGTCCTCATAGAGAAATTGAGCAACAAAATACGGCTGGCAGAGATGCAAAGTGTCATTTACAACTGACTGACACTCTTTTATCGATTACATGAATAAGACAAACAGTCCTTAACTTTCTCAGACACCCAAAGTAGTTTATTATTATTAGTGTACCACCCTGTACCCGTAGATCTCAGGGTGGTTCACAACACAATATTACAATAAAAATAAACACAAAATACATAATTAAAAATAAGACCAGAGACGACCCAGTTAATCCCTGCTTGCACCTCACATTTAAAAGGGCATCAGATCGCAATCAGCCAAAGGCCTGGTTGAAGAGAAACCTTATCGCCTGGCATCTAGAGATATGTAAACAAATGTGCCAAGTGACAACTTTCCACAAATGGGAGCCACTGCAGAAAAGGCCCCGTTCTTAGGTTGCCACCCTCTGGACCTCTCTTCTTTGGTTGCTCTGGGTTAAATCACATTCTTACGCCGTGTCTTCACTGTATACCTCAATATTTTTTTGTTGAGGGGAGGGTGTCATTTTCCAAAAAAGATCAATTGAGTTATAGGGGGAAAGAATTAACCTGGTTAAATCAAACGGCCAGCCTGGATGGCGAGGATGGTCGAGAAATATGGCCGTGTTTTCAGCCCCATGGTGGAGCAGCCTAGAATTCCCTGGGCATAATGTACAGATTGGTTTCATCCGCGCAGCGGAGGTCCCCTGCTTCCCTCCTGTTAACTGTGGCGCATCTTTCCCTTCCAGGGCCCTGCCTACTCCCACCTCTCGGAATTTGCTCCCCCGCCCACGCCCATGGTGGACCACCTGGTGGCATCGAACCCCTTTGAGGATGACTTCGGGGCCCCCAAAGTCGGCTCTGCCTCCGCACCTTTCCTCGGCAGCCCCGGACCCTTTGGGAACTTCCGCATGCAGGGGGCGATGGGGCCGCAGGTGCCGCCCGGCTACGGCGGGGGCCCCCAACCCATGCGGAGGCAGCCTCCCCCTTTCGGACCAAGCCAGATGGGTCCCGCCTTCAACATGCCTCCCCAGAACCCCGGGTACGTGCAGTCCGGAGGGATGGGCTTTGGCGGCCAGCCCTTTGGCCAGCCCCTGGGCCAGAACTTCAGCCCCCCCGGGGGGCAGCTGATGCAGGGCCCCATGGGCGGCTTCGGCCCCATGATCTCCCCAACCATGGGGCAGCCCCCGCGCGGAGGCGACATGGGCCCGGGGCCCGCCCTAAACCCTCCCGGGGGGCCACCGATGGCCCAGCGTTTCAACCAGCCGGGCAACCTGTTCGGACAGTCCCCCATGCAGCGCCCGAACCTCCCCAACCTGCCCCCCAACCCCAGCTCCTTCCCCGGGCCCGACCCCAGCTTCCCCCCTGGCGGTGGTGGCGGCGAAGACAACGGCGGGGGGAAGCCGCACAACCCGCCCCCCAGCACCTTCAGCCAGGAGCAGCACAGCGGTTCGCCGGCAGCCATCAACGGCACCCAGCCCCCTTTTGCGCCCAACAGCACGGGGCACGGCGGAGGCGGCACGCCCGAGGCCAACAGTCTCCCGCCCTCCAGCAAGGCTTCCGGGAACTCGGGCCACCAGCCCCCGCCCGGCCTGGTGTACCCCTGCGGGGCGTGCCGCAGCGAGGTCAACGACGACCAGGACGCCATCCTGTGCGAGGCCTCGTGCCAGAAGTGGTTCCACCGGGAGTGCACGGGGATGACCGAGAACGCCTACGGGCTGCTGACCACCGAGGCCTCGGCCGTCTGGGCCTGCGACTTCTGCCTGAAGACCAAGGAGATCCAGTCGGTCTACATCCGAGAGGGCATGGGGCAGCTGGTGGCCGCCAACGACGGCTGAGCCTCTGCCGCAGCCGCTTCCCTCTGCCTGGGCGTCGGAGGTGGTGGCATCCTTGCTCTACACCACTAGACACTCTTCGGCCTTGTCCATGGATTCTGCAGCCTGTCCAAGGAACACGGGTAGCACATTTTCAAAGCCCCCCGGTTATTGAAAGAATTTGGTGGGAGGGGAGGACAGAGTTTTCGGCCTTCTGTGACCTCCAGAACCTGGAGCTGTTCTTCCCAAGCCTTCCAGCATTCCATCTCCTCCTCCTGCGATTTTTTTACCGTCGCTGCTGCGGTTCGAAGCCACAGAACAGCCAGTCTTGGGCAGCAGATACCCAGCGGACAGCAATTTAGCATAAACTGGAGAGCGGTTACTACCACAGTTTGGACCAGTTTCTTCACTGGGGGTGTCTGTGCTCTCTCTCCCGCTGGCGTTTGCTTAGAAGAAGAGGACCGCCACCCGCTCTCTTCAGAGGCAGCACGGTTCCCTCAGTTTCCCATTTCCCTAGAACTACTGCCAGATGCGAGTCTGCCAAAGCCTGGGCCCTGTGGGGAGGGTTGATATTTTGAAGGTCGACAGGCCCTCAAGTAACGGAGAACAGACCATCCCTGCCCTGAACCTCTTTCAGAGGGCATTTCCAGAGAGCCATGCAAGAGGAAAACACTCTTGGACATCTTTTTGGTTTTTTAAATTTTTACTTTTAAAAAGAAATTGGCGGGTTTGTTTGTTTTCTCCCTTAGACCCAGACCTTTTTTGTACTTGTGTGTGTGTTTTGGTCAAGTGGTTACTGGTGTGATTTTGATAATTGTTTTCTTAAAAAAAAAATCTGTTTTGTCCTGCTGGACTTTTTGAAAAGAAGGGAATCTGGGGGAGTAGGGAATCATTGTTGTGTGTGTGCGTGTGTGTACACACACAGACACCTACAGACACCTACAGCCTCTATCTCTCACTCTCTTGGTTTTTATGTGAACGTATTAAAAGAAAAATTTTGTACCGTGCTGTTATAAACTCAATTTGAAAGCTGGTGGGAGGGAGCAATGACCCGGTTGCTTATACATTCATGTGTGTATGAATTAGTGGTTTGCATTTGAACATGCGAAGGGCCTTGCCGGATCAGGCCAGTGGCCCAATTAGTCCAACATCCTCTTCTCCCAGTGGCCAGCCAGCTGCCTCGACGGGAAGCTCACAAGCAGGAACTGAGTGCAGCAGCAACTCTCCCTGCTTGCGATTCCTGGCAGCTGGTATTCAGAGGCTTATACTGCCTCCGCCTTCTGAAACCCTTCTGAGCTGCTGCCAGCGTGGGCCATATTGAACTAAATAGGCCAGTGGTCTGCCTTTATAGAAGGCAACTCCGTTTGTGCACTGTCGAAAACGGGATGCTTGATTAGAGAGACAATTGATCTGATCCTGTTGGAATAAGCACACAAAATTTACAAACCAGACCTTCATGCCCTTGCTCTATTTTTCTGACCCCCAAACATGCTGGCTAAGCGTCCCCTCCACATACCAAAGCCACAAAAATGCCCATTTGGACAATCCGAGGCTTGAAAGAACAGAGTCTACTGAGACGCACACACAAAAAGGCATCCCCCCCCCCTTGTTTGCTTCCTTGACAAAGTGTCACCTCTCAGCTTCTGCTTCCTTTCAAAGTACACCCCCCCCCCCGGCTGGTTGCTGAAGAAACAAAGCCCCAAAGCCACTCAGCTGCCAAGGACAAGCCTGGACTGCTCAGATTTGCCAAGAAAGAGGCTGGCAGGGGACTTAGAAATCTAAAGGCAAAATCTCTGGTTTGGGGGTTTTTTTCTGGCTGCGGTGCTTTTAGGGGAAACCTTCCAAGAGTGGAGTAGAAGTTAAGGGGGTGGGTGGGAGGGAGAGGACAGAGTGAACCATTTCCACGGTACAGAAAAGAACACTGGCGAAATGTCATGGCGAAAGAGGCTCTTGTCTGATTCCGCAACAGGTGTGCATCTGAGATAAAATCTACCTCCCTTTACAAGGTTGCTGAGAGGATTAGAGAACTTCCTGTGCTTCCAGGAGACAGACTGCAAGGTGGTTTTATGAGATAAAATTGACCTCCACGGTTATTGTGAGTGCTGCGACCACTCCAAAAACCTTACATAAATGAATGCTAATATTGAAAGCTAACCCAGGTTGAGATTTATCTTGCTGGCTTATCAAAATGTCCCATCTATTGCTGAAATCTGCAGGGGGTGGAGGTGAATGTTGCAGAGGTTTAGGTTTGGCAGGTGCGTCCGCACCTGCGTCTCAGGATGGTGAAGGCCTGAAGGGTTTGTTTTGCTTTCTCAGACAAACGCATCTCTCAAGCCAGAAACCATCCGGTTACAGAGCCAACATGCTATAGGATGCAGATCAGGTATCCGGGCTGCTGATCAATTCTGGGATCCCCTGTTCACCTCCTTGCAGAGCTTTCTCCCTGGGTTCAATCCCTCTGGAATTCCAAAGCTCACCTGATGATCCAGGGTCAGCATCTTTCAGCTGAGCCTACCTTGCAGGTTTGTTTTTGAGAGTGGAAGCCTCTACGCTCCTTAGAAGTAGTGTTGCAGGGAAATAATTTTGGGCCAGGGAAGAGGAACATTGGGGAGTGTAGTTCTCTGGAATTTTACAGGACTTTCCCCAGGCTGTCTGTTATTCTCCAGTTCACTCCAAACTGGTGCCAAAATTTCGGAATAGTTTTGTGCTGCAAACCCTGTGTTGTGTGCCACCCCACAATTGAGTAAGTGATACTCACAACACGGGGTTTGTGGCACAAGATGGACAATGTCGGGTTGGGGAGGTTACTTATGGTCCCCGGTTTGAGCATCAGTTACTCAGTTGGGTGGGAGCACAAAACGTGGGGTTTGCAGTACAAAACGAGTTCAAAACTTTGGAAGGGACTATGGGCGTAGTAGCCGGGGGTAGCCCGCTCCCCCGCTTAAATCAAAGTAAATAAATAAAAACACTTAACTAAAATTAGAAATTGTAGGGAGATTTTGACAGATTTTTCTGAGCACTTGGGACCAAAAGAAAGTAATTTAAGACAACCGTCGTTGAGACATTTCATTCTCAATCTGCTAGATGGAGCCAGACGGATGATGATGACAGGTGGGTGTCCTGTGCCCCCTAACATAAATCCTGACTACTCCTATCATAGGGGACCCAAAATTTCAGGGTTACACGTTAACGAAGCTGGCAGATTGTGGAGGAGAGAGCAACTAACTATGATGGCTGTTCCACCATAGTTGGATAATAATAATAATAATAATAATTTATTTATACTCTGACATTCCCGATTCAAAAACTGGACTCAGGGCGGCTAACAACAAATTTAAAACACTTTAAAACACTTAATTATAAAAACAGCATAAAATACAGTGTAAAAACATGAATGACAATAAAATTAAAAAATCAATTAGATAATCCCCAGGGCTAGCTGGCTGAATTGGTCATACTTGGGCCAGCGAGCAGGCCCGGGGAGAATTAGTTGTGGTGTCTCAGAGCGGGTAATCTTCCTAAAAGGGGAGGGGGGGAAGAGAAGGGAAATAAAAGATCAGGCTGAATTCAAATTAAAGGCCAGGTGGAATAGCTCTGTCTTACAGGCCCGACGGAAGGAGGTTAAATCCTGAAGGGCCCTAGTCTCATGGGACAGAGCATTCCACCAGGTCGGAGCCATCACTGAAAAGGCCCTGGCCCCGGTGGAGGATAGTCTGACTTCCTTAGGGCCCAGGATCTCTAAACTATGGTTATTCATGGACCTTAAGGTCCTTTGCGGGGCAGACCAGGAGTGGTGGGCCCATAGATGCAGTGATGCTCCTGAATACCAGTTACTCCCAGCAAGTAGAAGTCCTGCTTTTGGGCTTCCCATTGGGGCACCTGGCGGACCACTGTGAGAACAGGATACTGGATCAATGGGCCATTCGCTCTTCCCATGTTCTGACTTTAGAGTCTCACAGAATTCGTCAGCAGCGAGGGTCTCCTAGCAGTCAGCCTGCAAGAGGGTGGCGGCAGCGGCAACAGGTCCTCTAGTCCTTCCACAGAAACAGAATTCCAGGGTTGGAAGGGACCCTGAGGGTCATCTAGCCCAACCCCCTTGCAACGCAGCTGCCCCATACGGGGATCGAACCTGTGACTCTGGCGTCGCCAGCACAGTGCTCTCGCCAGCTGAGCTACCCAGGGCTCATATAAAGTGTCCCTGGGATGGCAAGACAACCCGCCTCTCTGCTTGGACTCCCAGCTGCTGCTGTCTCTCTCCAGCCTCGCTCAGCTTAGTCATGCCTGCTCGCTAGGATCCTAAATGGCTGACTGGGGGGGGACCCCTTCTCTACACCCCCCCAAGCCTTAGGAAGGCTGATCTTATGGGGGGATCCCTAGTCATCTCCCCGCAAAGCGTGCTCCTCCTTCCCGATCCAGAATTCTCCCCATTTAGGGGCTTTTGCACACATTTATCTCCCGGCCTCAGGATTGCATTGCGGATTCCAAAACAGTGCTGTCCTCCCCCCGCCCGTCCTGCCCTCTCTTCCCCTTCATTGGCCAAACTCATTTCCCCCAACCCCTGGGATAGGCTGCCTGGCCCCGACGTCCCGCCCCTCTCCTCCCCCCCGCAGGGTAAAGTGCTGCGAAGTTTCCTATACAAAGTTAAGAGGCGTTCGAAAGCCATCCTTTTTTCCACCTTCTAAAAAAACTTCCAGATCTGAGAGTAAGACTCAGGTAAGGATGGATGGAAAGGTGAAGAGGAAGGGGGTTGTTGTGGGGCAATAGTATGGGTCACCGGAGAGGGGGGGCCCCACAATTTTAGGGCAAGCAGCTCTCAAGGGAAGAGGGGGGCGGCGGCGGCATGATTTGGTCCAGCGGAGGGAATCCCCGAGGGTCGCTGATGCAGGGTTACCATGGCAACAGCCCCATCAGCTCTCCCGTTGCCCCTTTAGGGGGGTGAGTTGGTTGTGATTTCACCTTGCCTTCTGGAAGAGAGTTGCTGCTTTTTCGGGTTATCTATCTATCTAGAGAGAGAGAAGAGAGTAGGCTTGCAGTTTCTATGGGACTCGTTTTTGAGATCCCTCCAGGTATACTCCCCTCCCCCAACCACCGTTGCCTTGCAGGTAACTTTGGTTCCAAAACTGGCATTTGGCTCAGCGATCAATGCAAAGGGAAGGGTCTAGACCAGATCCTTTTATGCGTGGTTTGAGAGGGGCGATGCTGGAGTTGGGAGAGGTTCCTCTGTCCCATCGCAAAAGCCCACCTGTGCCCATATATTGTACCCGGTTGCCACCCGCATACACAATCGTGCCCACATACCCTGCATGAATTAATCCAGAAGAATTTATTCACCGGTTCTGTATACTCTTGAGTTTGCAAGCCCCTGGAACCCTTAGGGTTGTGTTTTGATGGAGAGGCGAGATCTTAATTGGCTGTATAATCCTCACTTCAACCTTTGGAATGTTTGTAAGGGGTCCATCTTTTCTGCCTTCCAAGCTGCCAGTGCTACAGGGTGATTTATTCCTGGTGGTTGCGGGTTTTTTGGCTGTCATGCTCAACATTCGCACACACCGCTTTTTGAACACCCTAGAGCTTCACACCTTCAGTTATCTGTCAGGGATTACAGTGGTACCTCGGGTTAAGTACTTAATTCGTTCCGGAGGTCCGTACTTAACCTGAAACTGTTCTTAACCTGAAGCACCACTTTAGCTAATGGGGCCTCCTGCTGCTGCCGCGCCGCCAGAGCACGATTTCTGTTCTCATCCTGAAGCAAAGTTCTTAACCTGAAGCACTATTTCTGGGTTAGCGGAGTCTGTAACCTGAAGCGTATGTAACCTGAAGCGTATGTAACCTGAGGCACCACTGTATTCAGCTGTGATTCCTCCATTGCCGAGGGTTGGGCTGGATGACTTCCAAGTCATTGATTTCATGACTGTACGATCTCAGTAACTGTAGTTTTGCACATGTTTACTCCGGAAAGTAAGCACCCATTCAGTTCAATGGGACTTCCTACCAGGTCAGTGCTTACAAGGTTGCACCCTAAACAAGGTTGCACCCTAAACTGGACTTGTTATTTATTTTTAAAATTAAACTTATATCTTGCCCTTCCTTCCAAGTACCCCAGGGCAACTGCTGAGGAATGATGGGAGTCCAACAAGGGCTGTAGCTCTCCCCACTTGCTCCAACAACTTGAGTTATCTGCAGCAGTGCGTGTTTCGCATCCACAACTCACGCTATTTCCAGGGGGAAGAGCTTTATTAATGGGTTGCATCGAAACCTACGAAGGGTCTGATCAGAGGTACAAAGCCCTTCCATTTCTTGTTGGACTCCAGTTCCCATCAGCCCACATCAGAATAGCCCAGTTGGTCACGGATTATGGGAGTTGTAGTGGAGCAACATCTGGAGGGCTCCACGTTGGCATTATGAGATGCCCTGAAGATACCAGGCAGCTCACGTACAATGGAATCACCATTCCGGGTTCCTGCCCCGCAACAAGCCCTCTCACATCCCTGCTGAAGGCTGCCAGGACCTCATGTAGAATCATAGAATTGTAGAATTGGAAGGGATCCTGCGGGTCATCTAGTCCAACCCCCTTATTGCAGCTATATCCTGCTTTTTTTCTCCAAGGAGCTGAAGTTGGTGTACATGGCTCTCTTCCTTCCTTCCTCCCTCCCTCCCTCAACCTGCACAACAGCTGTGAAGTAGGTCAGACTAAGAGGTCATGCTGAGAGGGGTTTTGAATCTGGGTCTCCCAGGTCCTAGTCCAACATGCTAACCGCCACACCACCGCGGGCTCTCTTGTTGTCCTCTGAAAAATTTAAAAAGTGTTGTTGTAGAGAGAGGCCCATTTTTGTCCCTGCCTGTGTCGGGTGGTGCTTGGCTGCCTGTAGCCACTGCCGCCAAGGATCCGGCCCGGCTAGGTTCCGCTGTCCCACATAAATCTCCTATTAAGGGCACCGCTGCCAGGGTTGCTATGGCATCGGAGCTGGGGGGGGGGCAGAACTTGAGAGCGACAAAACAAGGCCGTTTCCTGCTTGCATCTTCTGATGCCTGCTGTAAAACCACAGCCTCTTTGTACGTTGAGAGCAGGATCAGAGGACACAGAAATATATGTACATATTGGGGTGCAGTGTGACTTTGGGGATTTGCGATTGTGTGGTGTTGAGAATTAGCTTTGTCCCACAGGATTAGGCTTCTGAAAGAGGAACAATAGTGCCTATTTCACTCCAAGGATCCTGCCCCAAAACTTTTCTCTTTTCTCCCAATTTTCGGAAGGGAGAGCTGCTGCCAGTCAGTGCCGGCAGTGCTGATCCAGATACACCAACGGTCTGACTCACTAGAAGGCAGTTTCCTATGCCAGTTCAATGGAACGGAAGGGCTGTAGAACAGTGGCAGAGCACCTGCTTTGCATGCAGAAGGTCACAAGTTTGAATCCCCAGCATCTCCAAGTTAGGGCTGGGCATGTCCTGCCTGAAACCCTGGAGAGCTGCCAGTCCGTGTCGACAACACTAAGCTAGATAGACCAATGGACTAACGGTTTCCTACCTCGAGAGGCTTGTCTCCAACTCAGTTTTACTATTGAAACAGATGGGTCTAATTTATACCCTGAATATGGCAAAAATTACATGCACCTGCAGTGAGTGTCAACATCCATGGGGACATGCTTTTAAAAAATAAGATAACATTTAAAACTGCAGCTTTTTTCTTCCTTCTTTTTCTCAAACTTCCAGATTAGGAATTCTCTGCAAAAAGGTGCTTTTCCTTCGTATAACCACGGGGGCCTAGCAGGAGAGGGGGGGTGGGAACCCAAACCAGCAAGGCTGTTTAAAATCCCGCGTCCAAAAAAGGAATAGTGGAGAGTTACTTGTTGTGGGGGGAGCAGGAATTATTTCCCTTCTGGAGCTCCCTATGGGAGTCGAAAAGCTTGGAGTTAAATGGATTCTGGGGCAGGAGGCAAGAAAGATCTTGTCATGTCCCTCCAGAGCAGTCTGGGCTGGTCTGCTCAGCAATTTCCACCTGCTAAAGTATATTAAAAGCGTCTAAAAATACCTCCCTCCTTTTCCCCAAAGTCAGTCTCCTGTTCTGACAGCTGTTCCCTACAGGGAAGGGGTGCGGTGAGGGGGATATTTAACAAGAATGTATTGCATGGAGGGGAGAGAAGAGGTCTTGAAAAGTAAAGAATTTACTTCTCATCTCTTAACAGCAGACCAGGCCGGCTGCATTGCTAAATCCTGGAAGACCTTAATCTTAATCATCGGGATTGCTGTGTTTAAGGGCTGGCAGATTGCCCTACTTGAAGAGATGTCCCATAAACTAAAACTACATAATGGGCAGAGCTCGAATGACCATTTTTAATTTTCATATATGCCTTGATTTTACTTCTTCTACAAAATACTGAGTTGCAGGATCACTCAGTGCCACCAGTATATGCAAATGCCAGATTCTCAACAATAAGGGAGATCACAAGTGGAGATTGCTTTTATTCATACCAATACCAAAGGGAATATTTTTAAGAGACAATACTTTATTATCCTTTTACAGCTGCATTGGATCTTTGTAATTTTGTTTCCAAACTGCGAATCTTTATGGTTTAAAGTTTTAATTCTTTGTTCAATTTCTTTTTATTACATTTAAGAAGAGAATAAAAATAGAGGTTTTTATATATGGGCACCTCTTTTTTTTTGTTTAAGAGGAGGTATGGAGTGCCTATTCCTTTGACACCTGTGCGTGTCCCCCTCCAAAAACCCACCAACTTTGTCCCAGAGCCCCATAGATTTGCATTTTTTTGTGTTTGCAAGAGGACTTGTTTCCTCTTCCTCTCCTTGCTTTCGGAGTGCTGGTAATCAGACCGCGTTCAGAGTCCGGCATAATTTGGATTCCCCACATTCTCTTTCCAGCAAGAATAGCTCTGCCTGGAAGACGTTTTTAAAATTGCCCACGCAGTCCCTCTTTCCCTCCTTTCCAAACCAATAAGGGAAGATGTTCTTCTCTTGTCTATTCTGGGTTGGCTCCAACTCAATCCACTTCAGAGTAGACCCAGAGTTTTATCTATTGTACGTTCTACTCAAAGAGTACATTCTACTTGAAGGCTGTATATACACCATGCATCTGAAGCACATTCCGCCCCTTCCAAAGAATCCTGGGAATTGTAGTTTCCTAGGTGTGCTGGGATACGGGTGGCACTGTGGGTTAAACCACAGAGCCTAGGACTTGCCGATCAGAAGGTTGGTGGTTCGAATCCCCGCGACGGGGTGAGCTCCCGTTGCTCGGTCCCTGCTCCTGCCAACCTAGCAGTTCGAAAGCACGTCAAAGTGCAAGTAGATAAATAGGTACCACTCCGGTGGGAAGGTAAATGGCGTTTCCGTGCGCTGCTCTGGTTTCGCCAGAAGTGGCTTAGTCATGCTGGTCACATGACCCGGAAGCTGTACGCCGGCTCCCTCGGCCAATAAAGCGAGATGTGCGCCACAACCCCAGAGTCGGTCACAACTGAACCTAATGGTCAGGGGTCCCTTTACCTTTTTAAGCATGCTGGGAATACTTTGGGGTGAGTGCTTTAAATGTACGGTGTTTATACAGCCTAAGTTAGTCAAAGCCATTAAATTTCAATGGGTCTGCTCCAAAGACCAGCATTGGGTACAACCCTGTGACTCAACTCCATTGATTTTGTTACAGGTGCGAGGCTGCTCAGTCACCCAGCTCGTCGCAAGTTCCTGCTGTTGTAAACAAAATGTGCCCTTTTTCCCTTATGGGGTATCCAAGAGGCCATATAGAGTCCTTACGTAGGTTCCCTATTGGTAGGAGAAAATAACAGAGGCCAACCAGAGAATATTGAGAAGCAAAGCAGCTAGTAAGCCTGATCTTTATTGATCTGTTGCAACAGGGTCCTCACTCACCACACAACGGAAGGGAGGAATGCAGAACAATGGTGTGCAAGGCCTTATATAGATTTTCGAAATTGCCACCCTGTAGATCAAGACCACCCCCAGAAACATCATACATACATCACAGAAGGGCTGAAATCTGAGTGCTTTGTTTACCTCCTGCCTGCCAGGTTACCTGTTTAATGGTCACTTGATTGGATTGCCTGGATAGCCTGGCCAGTCTTTTGTAATGATAAATACTTAGTTCCTGATCCAGGTCACAGGCTCACACCCTGTTCATATCTTAAATGTGCCCTTAAGACAGGATTTGTGAAGGAAAAAGACAATGGGGAGGTTTCCCACTTTGACCTTGCAGAGAAATAATTGAGGTCAATTTGTTCAGGACTTTTTTTCTGTCGAGTTTTCAGACATGTGGTTTATATATTTATGTACGTGTTTGCTTGGTACATTTATGAACATTTATTACATATTTAACACCTTAAAATTCTTATCACACTGCGGAATAAAGGAAGGAGTCCAGCCACCAACCGGAGCAAATAGCTGTAGACCAAAGTTTATTGCGCAACAGGTTCAAAGAAGAATTTTGAACCCCGAGGATGGGGTGACAAGGACTTTTAAAACTTTCCCACCATATCCCAGAATACAGTTCGTACAGCATCGTTGCTACATCACTGACATGTCACAAAAGGAGAGAGGTAGACAGGGCTTACACTAGTTTAACCTTGACAAACATGTCCAAACAAGTCCTTGGTATAAGATTAGCATAAGCAGACATGTCAGGGCAAGACCCAGGTATAAGATGAGCATAGGGAGACACCTCTGAAGTCCCACCACCCAAAGTACAATAGAACTTCCTTTTCATGTCTGGACCCCTTGGCAAGTCTGGTGATGGGATTAGGCTTTCCTTGGCCAACAATCAGCTCAGCAATGGTCACCTCTGGGCAGTTCCTGGGGTAGGAGGTGTGTATACACGTCCTCACGCTTGGGTGGGTGGCAGGGAAAAGAGTCGTTTTTTCCAAGGGCAAAATAGTGTCGAAATGGAGTGAAATAAATAAATTAAGGTCTTATGTATATAATAAAGGTTCATAAATGTACCAAGCAAACACGTACATAGATATATAGACCACATGTCTCAAGCTGCACAGGAGAGCAGCTCTGCATCCATTTTGACTCCCAGGCTGACCAGGTGTTTTCTCTGTGAGGTCAAATGGAGGAGCCTCCCCATTGCCTTTTCCTTCACAAATCCTCTCTTAAGGGTATATCTGTGTATGAATAGGGTGAGCCTGTGATCTGGCTCAGGAATTACTGTAAAGTACTTATCATTACAAAAGACTGGCCAGGCTCCCCAGGGTATCAATCCAGTAAGCATTAACAGGTAACTTGCCAGACAGGAGATAAACAAGGACAGGAGAAAAACAACATTCAAATTTCTGTTTTAGACCACCTTTTCTGTGATGTAGGTATGATGCATCTGAGGGGTGGTCTTAGGTTACACCCCTTCCGTGATGTATGTATGATGTTTCTGGGGGTGGTCTTGATCTACAGGGTGGCAATTTCAAAAATCTTTATAAGGCCTTGCGCGCCATTGTTCTGGGTTCCTCCTCCTCTCCTGTGGGTGAGGGGAGCACCTTGTTGCAACAGATCAATAAAGATCAGGCTTACGAGCTGCTTTGCTTCTCAATATTCTCTGGTTGGCCTCTGGGTTTTTCTCTCCGGCCGATGGAGAACCTACAAAGGACTCTATGAGGGCTCTTGTGTTCCCCATAAGGGAATAAGGACAGATTTTCATTTATTACAGGAGGAAACTGGCAAAGGAGTTGATTTTATATGATTGTTAAAGCTAGGTAACTTCTCTGAGCTGTCAAGTCGAAAGGATATATTTATGCATGATATTTGTAGCATTTAACAAGATGTGTCCCGTTCCCCCCCGTAATTTCCGTAACAGTTTCAATAAGCTTCCTCTGAGCAAGAGAGCTGGTGCGCTGTCAGGGTGGTTTTAGCCCAACAAGAAGTGTTTGGGGCGTGGCTTCTGGAGCCAGGTATGGAGAAGGGCCTTAGCTCAGTTTGCCTGCGGAAGGTCCCAGGTTCAGTCCCTGCCATTTCCAGGTAGGGCTGGGAATCTGCCCTGCCTGAGACCCTGGAGAGCTGCTGCCAGTCAGTGTAGGCAACGCTAAGCTAAATGGACCCATCAGTCTGACTCCGTTCCTATGCTCCTATTTTAAACCAGCTGTTTGCTCCAAACCATGAGACCTGGGATCTTTATTCATGGGGTTAGAGACCATAGCTGCTGCTGCCAGCCAGTGCAGACCGTGCTGGGGTGGGAAACAGAGAGGCCGGCTGGCCTGTTCCAGGTTTTTGCATCTCCACTCTCATCTGCAACCTGTGCCCCAATTTCTCTGCCCAAATTAATTTGCCAGTCAAATTCCCCCGACGTGAAGCGGCCGGCCTCGCCTCCTTTGTACTCGAGGCTGATAAAGAACCTCCTCTGTCTCTTTCTCTCTTCAGACGTCTTCTGTTGCTTCCAGCCCCCCATCCAATTGGGGGTCTGCATCCCTAGGAGGCCCCACTGACCCAACGCCCCGTGGCATGAGCCAAAATGACTGACAATTCAGACTCCCGGGAGTCGGACAACAACAGCTGGGTGATTGCCGGCTCTGAGGTGAGCAGGAGACAAAAGCAACCTGGGGAGAGGGGCGAAGGCTCTGTGGGGCAGGGGCAAGACATCAGGGGTGGGGCAGCATAATGAACTCCTCAAAAGCCCTTTCCTCGTAGGCTTTTGGGTCTCCCAGGCCTGACCTCTTGTGAGGAGGACACTAGTTGGGGTCAGTGGGGAGCCATAGAACCTGCTTATTTTCTCTGTAGGCTGGGGGGGGTAGGGTAACCTGCAGCCCTCCAGGTTTTTAGGGGCTATCCTCCTGGACTGTTGTCCTTGTTGCCTGGGATGATGGAAGCTGGATTCCATCAGCATCCCTTGGAAGATGTCCCATCCCTGAAGTTGGCAGTGAGGTTTGAAGCGGGTGGGCAACCTCAGGCTGGGAGGGCGTCCTCAAACCACGCCCACTCTCCCTGGGCCACACCCATCTTTCTAGGCCACACCCCTTTCCTGAGGCCACGCCCTCTTTCCAAGAAACATCAGTCTACCTAGGGCACGCCCATCTTTCCAGGCCACACACCCCTCCCCTCAGGCCACACCCCCTCACCAGCATTGCTTCGTACCCTCTTGAGGGGGTGGAATGCTCCTTTGGATGGATGATTGGGGGAGGGGTGTGTTTATTAACTGGTCTACTGTACACAGGTAGGGACGCGGGTGGCGCTGTGGGCTAAACCACAGAGCCAGGACTTGCCGATCAGAAGGTCAGCGGTTCGAATCCCCATGACGGGGTGAGCTCCCATTGCTCGGTCCCTGCTCCTGCCAACCTAGCAGTTCGAAAGCACCTCAAAGTGCAAGTAGATAAATAGGTACCGCTCTGGGGGAAGGTAAACGGCGTTTCCGTGCGCTGTTCTGGTTCGCCAGAAGCGGCTCAGTCATGCTGGCCACATGACCCAGAAGCTGTACACTGGCTCCCTCGGCCAATAAAGCGAGATGAGCGCCGCAACCCCAGAGTCAGTCACGACTGGACCTAATGATCAGGAGTCCCTTTACCTTTACCTATACTGTACACAGGTAACATTTGCATCAGTTGCTCCGCCCACTTTTGCCTCTGGCCCCACCCACTTGGGACATGCAGCCCCTCAGAAGGCAAGAAGATGCAGCCAATTGAAGCTGGAGCCTTCCGTAGGCAGAGGAGATCCTGAGCTACGATCCCTTCCTTTCTTCACCAGGCTTCATCTCGCCCACCATCACCCACCCTTTGGCCCATGGGACCGTTTCCCCCTAAACCACGCCCACTGCCTCCGGGCAAGGTGTCATATGTGGGGCAGGTGACCATGGGGAGACAGTCGGGAGCTCAAAGCAGGTCATCTTCTCCCGCTTCCGCCCGGCAGCTGATGGGCAAGAGAGGGACCCCTGTGCCTTTCTCCTGCAGCGCCAAGTGGCTTCCGTTGGAAATCCCTGTAGAAATGGAGCTTGCCCCTTCTCATTTTAGCAGGGGGCTCAGTGCAAAGCGCTTGGTGCTAGGGAGGCAGAAAAGCCCCCTGCGCTACAGTTCCCAAGCACCTGGCAACCAGCTGGCCATCAAACCCTTGCGGGAGCTCCTTATAATGGACTTTGGTGGGTGGGCAGGGGCAGTTTACCTGTATTATTATTATTATTATTATTATTATTATTATTATTATTCCACCCTCCACCCTAAGGTTCCATGGTGGGTTGCAACATTTAAAGCACAATATAACAAACACTTTTAAACAACTTACAGTCAGGAAAATAGGGTGGGCCCTAAAAAATATAATAATCAACCTCAAATATAATGATCAACCATGGGCAGTTGAATTCACCCTGCATGCCTAGGTATTTTGCTTTAAAAAATAAATAAATCTCTATTTCTGATTCTTTATCACAGTTGTTCTCTTCTTCTTTTGTATCCAAGAATAAATAAATAAAAACATAGTTGCAAAACACACACACACAACCATCATGATGTTGAGTGATTGACAAGTGGGTTGCCCCACTCACCTGCCAAAGTTCGCCCACAGGGGCGGGGCCAGGTAAAGATCCTCCCCCATCCCACTCTATGAGAAAAAGGGAAATTTTGTGATCTCTATTTTCGACGTGTTTTGCCCCTCCAGGCTCTACCTGTAGAAGACCTTGGCTTGGAAATGCAGCCTGGGTCTGAGCTGGCCCAGGAAGAGACACAAGGTATGTAGCAATGGATGAGGCCCTTGCCCAGCCCGTAGCTGCCTTCCATGCCCTTTCCTGACCCCACCTGGCATTTCCTGAACTCCCCTGTTGCTTTGCAATCTCTTCATGATACTGCAAGCTGGACTTTAGTATATAATGGGGAAGCTGCTTTGCATATGGGGTCCGGCTCACCCCACTGCTCTGAAGGAGGGAAGCATATTTTCAGTGATGGAGGATACCTGGTATTTTCATCAGACCCTGTTTGGTCAGTGTGTGTGTGTGTGTGTGTGTGTGTGTGTGTATCCCAGGCATGAGGGCTGAATGCAGCCCTTCTAGCCCTCTTACTCTCTGGCCCTTGGAACTTTCACCAGGCCACACCCCCTTTCTCCAGGCCACGCCCCTTTTCTCAGGCCACGCCCTTCACCAGTCCTCCTTTGCACCTTCCTTGGGTGTTTTTGCCTGGCTGAAACTTGTCCTTGAACCTGACACCCCTTGCTTCGTCCATGTTTGCTTCTGGCCCTGCCAACTCCTGGCATGCGCCCCCCACCCGGAAGTTGCCCAGAAGGGAATGCGGGCCTCTGGCTTTGAAAATGGTTCCCCACCCTGGATCATAGCTGTCAGCTTTCAGATTTGAAAATAAGGGATTGGCAGCCTCGAAAATAAGGGATCAGCAGCCTCACCTGTCCCGGGGTGACAATCTAACAATCCGGGATAGCAGCGGGAAGCAGCGCTGGAATAAGGGAATTTCCCGCAAAAAAAGGGAAGGTTGGCAGCTATGCCCTGGATGCAGATGAACATAATAAACGCATTCGTTTACTAGCTTTAACACAGGCATCTTTTCGGACAGCCCCTCTCGACGAGAGCAAAACCCTCGTCGACCGCCCTGATGCAGACGGCGCCAGTCAGAAGGTACAGCATTCGCTTAATTCTCTGCATGTATATGAGAATTCTCCAACTTTGGGGCTTCGTTCCTCTTTGAACCCAATTCCATTTGGCAATTAGCCAAACGATCCACACAGGCCCTCTTCTCTTGGGGCCTGCCTGCTGTGGCCACAGATGCACCCTGGAGGTAAGGCAGTGGGCAGTAGTAGGCCCAGCGCCCACAGCGAAAATTCTGTGGGTGCCCAGGCACCCAGGGCCCCCTGGAGTTGGCAGCAGTGCTTTGGACATGTAAATGGTGGTAATTGGCCAATGAAAGCCATTACTGTACAAAGAAACTGGTCTGACCAAATTTTGCACGGTGGCTCCTCTTACCTGGATACAGTTGAGCACCATTTTGTGTTTTTTCCTTTTTTTTCTTTTTATCGGTTTTCACATATTACATTACAATACAGATGTACCAAAGCCAACGCCATTTCTTCCCCATCCCCCCATACATATACATTTTTATTTATATTTATATACATTTATATTTCCTCAATCCATCATATTATTCTTTTCTCCTTCCTCCCACTTCCCTCCGCCCCCACTCGATTTCCTCCACATTATACAATTTACAATAATCTTTGCATTCTACAATCTTCTCAAATCATCTATATATTCTTATTATCTTTCCTTACTAATTTTTCTTCCAACTAGTACTTCACATTTTAATCTAGGCATATTAGCGTATCTTTTTTTGGTTGGGCACCATTTTGAACCAAGATGGCAGACTGAACCTTTTAAAGCTACACCAATTTTTTTTGTATCTTAGAACTCTCAAGCAACACTGGATATGAGGTTGCCAGGAAGTAGGCACACACACACACACACACACACACACACATATTCACAATTCGAGTACAATGCCGATTTTACAAGCATCCTTATCTCTCTCGCGCGATCCAGGGTCCTGAGGTGGTGGTGGACCCCAGTTCTGAAGAAACCCCCACGCTAGTCAAGACCCCAGAGCCCGCCCTGTCACATGCAACGGAGGCCAGCACCTGCGAGGCTGAGGAAGAATCTGTGCCTGTCCCACAGGGAACTGTCTTCATCCACAAAGCAGGTGACTTAGTTCCATCAGCATAGGCAGTTCTTTGTGGAATAATGCGGAGGCCTTTGACAGATCTCTGCCCCAAGCAGCCTACACATCTACATTTTGGCTGCCGGAAGAAGCAATAGAGGAAGTGCAGAGGGCAAGGAAACAGAACACAAATCCAAGCAATTGCATGTGTTTTAGGCTTCATGTTAGTGTCTGGACAAATGTGCTTAATGACTTAGTTGGGGCAGAGATTCTTGTCAGGTCTAAGGGCTGCATTTATTTGTGGGCAGCTTTCAGGGGGCCACATTCTAGTGGTGGACATATCCCGGAGGCAACAGTAGGTGGAACAGCAAACGAAACCTTAGCTTTGTAGGGTCGCCAGAGGCCCTTGCTTACAGATGTTCACTCGCTCTGACTTCATCCTGGCAAGCAGAAGGTATTATTGCAGGTCAAGAGCAGGGTTCCAATCAAGGAGGATGTGGAGCAGGAACCATGAGGTTCAGAGGTAGGTTCTACCTTTATGTTGAATTTCCACAAAGAGAGCTCAGGGTTCAGGAGCAAAGAGGGTGACTCGCCACCTCTCCATCCGCAACCTGTAAAAGCTTCTTTGCTTGGTTGCCAGGAGCAATTTCACCCTCGGCATAGGTGAGCGGCCACAGGTGAGCCTGTTTTCTCCAGCTGACGCAATATTTTGATCCTCATTTCTTGCCCTCTTCTTTTCTCTCCTTCCCCTTCCCAGGCCCTCTGGGGGAGGAAGAAGGGAACAATTCCAGCAGTGGGGAAGAAGCGTCCAAGGAGCGTGACGTCGAAGGCCTGCGCAGGCGGAAGGGGCGGGACGCGCCCCCCATTCTGCCGGGGGCCGGCAGAGATCGCGGCGCGGAGGCCTTCGAGGGCGACGACGGTGGCCTTCCCAGGACAAAATGGCTGTTCGGGTTCCTTGCCCTCTTAGGTTTGGCCTTGTTGGCATCCTTGGGTAAGCGGTGGCCTTGCTAGGGTGGGGCTAACTCTGCTAGCTGTTCCCTCTTGGATGGGCCTGTGACAGTCTTGATAATAATAATAATAATTTATTTATACCCCGCGCATCTGGCTGAGTTTCCCCAGCCACTCTGGGCGGCTCCCAATCAAGTATTAAAACCAATACAGCGTTAAATATTAAAAACTTCCCTGAACAGGGCTGTCTTCAGATGTCTTTTAAAGATAGGATAGCTACTTATTTCCTTCACATCTGAAGGGAGGGTGTTCCACAGGGTGGGCGCCACTACCAAGAAGGCCCTCTGCCTGGTTCCCTGTAACCTCACTTCTCTCAGTGAGGGAACCGCCAGAAGGCCCTTGGCGCTGGACCTCAGTGTCCGGGCTGAATGATAGGGGTGGAGACGCTCCTTCAGGTATACAGGACCGAGGCCGTTTAGGGCTTGAAAGGTCAGCACCAACACTTTGAATTGTGCCCAGAAACGTACTGGGAGCCAATGCAGATCTCTCAGAAACGATGTTATGTGGTCCCGGCGGCCGCTCCCAGTCACCAGTCTAGCTGCCACATTCTGGATTAATTGCAGTTTCCGGGTCACCTTCAAAGGTAGCCCCTCTATGTTAACCTTTTTGCAAACCACGGTGAGGGCTTTTTTAAAAACAATCAAATGGCATTTAATGAAATAAGTAATAATAAAGCCTCTTTGCCTCTCTTTACCTCTCTCTACAGGAATCATATTTGACCAAGATGATGGTAAGTCTTGTTTTAACTCCCTTTCCCCACCAGTGGGGAGCCACAACAGAACCCCCCCCACACTATTTTGCCGGCTTAGAAAGAGGTTCTATAACATATAGAATAAGAGAACAAGAAGAACATACATTTAAAGAAGATTGGGAAATGTTTCCTGAATATATGGGGCGGGGTATTGTGTACGTTTGAAAACATTGGCAGCATTTAGTTAAATTCAACAGGGTAAATAAGTTCTGATGCATGTAATAATGGAATGCTGAATTGTTTAGTTTATGTAAAATATGCAGGGATTTATGATATGCAGAATGAACCATGGAAGGAGAAGAAGGAAAGTCACTGATATTTTAAAGATGTTTAAATGAATATTCTGAATTTGTAAAAGAGAAAATTTAATTATATATATGTGTGTGTGTGTGTATATGAATATGAAAGAGGCTCTTAATTTTTTCAGCTCTCTCCTTTTTCTACTTTACATCCTCCCCCTGCCCCGCCCCGGCTTTCTCCTACAGGCCCAGTGGACATTTTCAGCACCTGGTCAAGCTCAGACAGTGAAGAGCCCCTTCCTGGCTCTGTTGGGGTGGTGAGTCTTTTTATCTCTGTGCTGACGCAAGAGGGAACAGGGGGTTTCCTGCTTGGAGTTCTGGACAGCAGCTGCCAGTCTGTGCAGACAGTACTGGGTCTGGGTCAGCATATGGAATCTTCTTGCTGGCTTGCTGCCCAGCCAAAGATTCCAGCCAATGGGATGCCTTGGGAGGGTCAGGAGGGCGGAGCCCTCAGGGACCAACACTTGGCTGTGATGTTCAAATCCTGATGTTTGCAAATAATAATAATAATAATATTCCCCAACTACTCTGGGCAGCTTCCAACAAAGTACTGTATTAAAATACAGCAGTCTGTTAAACATTAAAAGCTTCCCTAAACAGGGCTGCCTTCAGATGTCTTCTAAAAGTCTGGTAGTTGTCTTTCTCTTTGACATCTGGTGGGAGGGCGTTCCACAGGGCGGGTGCCACCACCGAGAAGGCCCTCTGCCCGGTTCCCTGTAGCTTCGCTTCTCGCAGTGAAGGAATTGCCAGAAGGCCCTCGGAGCTGGACCTCAGTGTCCAGGTTGGACACTGGGGGTGGAGACGCTCCTTCAGGTATACTGGGCCGAGGCTGTTTAGGTCTTTAAAGGTCAGCACCAACACTTTGAATTGTGCTCGGAAACGTACTGGGAGCCAACAAGGCTGCAGCTCACTGTGACTCCCCACCCCACCCCAGCAGGATTGGGCAGCTTCACCCCCACGGGAACCCCCGGTTGGCGATGAGCTTCAGAGAGCCAAGGAAGCGGTGATGTCATCAGATGGTGACCGCCAGAGCCTGGATTCCATGGGAGTCTTGCTAGACAAGCTGGCCAAGGAGAATCAAGACATCCGGCTTATGCAAGCAGAACTGCAGGTGGCTGGAGGGTCTGGGTGGAGCGAAGGAGGGCAGAGCAGCTCCTTTGCATGCAGAAGGTCCACGGTTCAATCGCCAGGGGCATCCCCGAGTAGGGGGGGGATTGTCCCCCACTTGAAATCCTGGAGAGATGCTGCCAGTTGGTGAAGACAGTAAAAGTTAGGTAAAAGGTGGTGCTGTGGTCTAAACCACTGAGCTTCTTGGGCTTGCCGATTGGAGGGTCAGTGGTTCGAATCCCCGCGGCAGGGTGAGCTCCCGTTGCTCTGTCCCAGCTCTGCCAACCTAGCAGTTCGAAAGCACACCTGTGCAAGTAGATAAATAGGTACCATTGTGGTGGGAAGGTAAACGGCTTTTCTGTGCACCCTGGTTTCCGTCACATTGTCCCGTTGCACCAGAAGTGGTTTAGTCATGCTGGCCACATGACCTAGAAAGCTGTCTGTGTACAAACTTGAAAGTGAGATGGTCGCCACAACCCCATAGTCACCTTTGACTGGACTTAACCATCCAGGGGTCCTTTACCTTTACCTTAATAAGTTAGGACCTGATTCTTCTCTCTCATAACAGTAGTCCCCCCTCCCCATTTGTCATTTGTCCCCCCACCCCATTCATATCATTTTCATTACGTATCCCATAATATTTCAAAGCATTTATCATCACATACAAATCTTTTTTAACACACAATGTTTCTTCTTGACTTCCCGCCCCTCCTTTCCTGATGTTTGATTTTTACTCTTTTTCATTAGCTGTTTTATAACAGATATGTATTTATTATCTAAGCCCATCTACCGTTAAATATTTCGGTAATCCACTGCTTATATTACAAATCCTTCATATATTGGTGATAATTTGACAGATAATCCATCAATGGTTTTCATTCCTTCTTAAATACTTATGCGAGGGTTGCCATATTTCAAAAAGTGAAAATCAGGACACAAAAGTTGTCCAGCTTTTCTTTTTCTTGGCCAAAGTTTTTTCAAAGTCAAACTTTGAAATGTTAAAATGATTTTAAAATTAATGAAATGTATACATTTGAAAAGGTATAAATAAAAACTTAAAATAAATAAATTAAGAGCATAGAATGTGGGTCTAGGTGGGCGTTTTTAATGACAGCAACAATGACGAAATAACTCCTTTCCGTCCTGAATTTTACTGCTGAAACGAATGCTCCACAGTTTTTGGGGAGCGGCCCTTAATAATTGTTCCGGGTTCCTCGGTCTGGTGATGTTTTGTCACTTGCGTCCTGGGATCCGGATTTCCTCTCACGTCTTTGCTCCAGCGAACAAACGCGTCTCCATTTTCCTTTCCTTTTGGAAAACCGCAGGCCCAGAAGGAGGAACTGCAGCTGCTTCTGCGCAAGACGGAAGGCGAGGCGCTGGACTTCACCTCTCAGCGGCAGAATTTGGCCGCTGAGAACTCCAGGCTGGCGGAGGCGCTGAAGCGGGAGACGGCCTCCCTCCTCGCCACGCGAGCCGAGCTCCATCTTTTGCGGGAGAAGCTGGCCGAGGCGGGCAACTCCAAATCCCAGCCGCGCCCGGAAAAGCTGCCCTCGCAGGACCGCCAGCGGGAAAAGGCAGAGAGGCCCGAAGCCGAAATACGGCGCCTGCGCTCCTTGCTGGCGTCGGTGCGGCGGGACTTGGGGAGGGCCTTCCAGAAAGTTCCGCCCGGCAACGTGTCCGAAGGGCTCCGGAAGGAACTGGACGGCGTGGAGAGGAGGGTGGCCCAGGAACTGGAGGGGGCAGAAGAGGGGGCCAAACCGTCCTGGAAAGATGGCCACAAAGCCAAGCGAGGGAAGGAGAAAGCCTGGCACAAAAGGCACAATGGCCACGAGGAGCGCAAGCCCACGCACCACGGCGAAGGCCCAGAGAAGGAACACCGTCCTCCGTACAAGGCTCCCAAGATGGGCAACGACGGGCCGCACCGTCCCAGGAAGCACCAGGGGCCGCGAGACGCCAAGCCGGCCAGAGACGGGGAGCACCGGAAGGCCAAGAAGCCCGCTGAGCCCGGTGCATTGTGGGAAGCGCTGGCCAAGCACCCGTACCGGCCTCCTCAGGGCTGCGCAGGCGTCGGCGAGTGCGCCCGGCAGGAAGGGTTGGAGCCAGTGCAGAAGCTGCGCTTCTTGCCCATGCTCCAGAGCTACCTGGCTGGGCTGGGCTGGGCCGAGCACTACGGAGGACTAGTGGCCGCCCTCGACGGCTACTTTGGGAGCGACGGGGCCTTTGCCCACGACCGCCTGAGCTTCGTGGAGCTCCTAGATGAGGTTGAGGACGCGCTGGAGGAGCTGGCGGAACAGCTGGGGGGCAGCGAAGAGGAAGCGGATAATTTCGAGGAGGTGATCCTGAGGCAGCTGGGGGCAGCCCCTGCGGGCAGGTGAGAGAGCCTGCGAGGTTGCAGGTGCGGGAGACGCTCTAGGGCAGGGGTCAGCAAACTTTTCCAGCAGGGGGCCGGTCCACTGTCTCTCAGACCTTGTGGGGGGCTGGACTATATTTTTTTTGGGGGGGGGAATGAACGAATTCCTATGCTGCACAAATAATCCAGAGATGCATTTTAAATAAAAGCACACATTGTATTCAGGCAGGCCCCACAAATAACCCAGAGATGATGAAGAAGAAGAGTTTGGATTTGATATCCCGCTTTATCACTACCCAAAGGAGTCTCAAAGCGGCTAACATTCTCCTTTCCAATAATAATAATAATTATTATTATTTATACCCCACCCATCTGGCCGGGCCTCCCCAGCTACTCTGCGCGGCTTCCAAAAAAATATTAAAATACTGTAATACATCAAACATTAAAAGCTTCCCTAAACAGGGCTGCCTTCAGATGTCTTCTAAAAGTCTGGTAGTTGTTCTCTTTGACATCTGGTGGGAGGGCGTTCCACAGGGCGGGCGCCACTACCGAGAAGGCCCTCTGCCTGGTTCCCTGTAACTTGGCTTCTCGCAGTGAGGGAACCGCCAGAAGGCCCTCGGTGCTGGACCTCAGTGTCCTGGCAGAATGATGGGGGTGGAGACGCTCCTTCAGATATACTGGACCGAGGCCGTTTAGGGCTTGAAAGGTCAGCACCAACACTTTGAATTGTGCTCGGAAACGTACTGGGAGCCAATGTAGGTCTTTCAAGACCGGTGTTATATGGTCTCGGCAGCCGCTACCAGTCACCAGTCCAGCTGCCGCATTCTGGATTAGTTGTAGTTTCCAGGTCACCTTCAAAAGTAGCCCCATGTAGAGCGCATTGCAGTAGTCCAAGCGGGAGATGCACCACTCTGGCAAGACAGTCCGCAGGCAGGTAGGGTCTCAGCCTACGTACCACATGGAGCTGGTAAACAGCTGCCCTGGACACAGATTTGACCTGTGCCTCCATGGACAGCTGTGAGTCCAAAATGATTCCCAGGCTGCGCACCTGATCCTTCAGGGGCACAGTTACCCCACTCAGGACCAGGGAATCCTTCACACCTGCCCGCCTCCTGTCCCCCAAAAACAGTACTTCTGTCTTGTCAGGATTCAACCTCAATCTGTGAGGTGAGTGAGGCTGAGAGACTTCAGAGAAGTGTGACTAGCCCAAGGTCACCCAGCAGCTGCACGTGGAGGAGCAGAAACGCATACCTGGTTCACCAGATTACAAGTCCACCGCTCTTAACCACTACACCACCACTCATGTAAAAACACGCTGATTCCCAGACCATCCGAGGGCCAGATTTAGAAATCAATTGGGCCGGATCTGGCCCCCCAGCCTTAGTTTGCCTACCCATGCTCTAGGGGCTTTAAATGTATGGTTTGAATGCGGTCCCACTAAGCTTCGTGACCAAGTGGGGGATTTGAACCTGGGTCCCCCAGGTCCTACTGCGATGCTTTAACCGATTATGCCGCCACTGGTTCTCACATTTATTCCATCACCTAGCTAAGCTATGGGACTCGATTCCACAGGGCACAGTGATGTACCCCGACCTAGATGTCTTTCAGAGACAAATTCATGGAGGAGAGGACTATTGGTGGCTATTAGCCACAATGGCTGTGCTCTGCCTCCACAGTCTCAGGCAGTCCTGCTTTTGAATAACAACAACTGGAAACCACAGCAGGGGAGAGTTGCTCTTGTGTGTGGGTCGTTCTTGTGGGTTTCCCACGGGGGCATCTGGGGAGCTGCTGGGAGAACAGGAAGCTGGACTATATGGGCCATTGGCCTGATCCGGAAGTCTCTTCTTATTTTCCTATTTTTACGGTATATTTTCCCCATGTCATACGTGGCTCTGAGACGTTCCTGGTTGTGGGGAGCGAGAAGGGGAAGCAGATTGCCAATGGTGTGCTCTGCACCTTCATGGCTCAATGTTATGTACTGAAGTTCTCACCCTGGGCCAGCAGGGGGATACTGTAGATAGTTATGCAAATAAGGGATCGAAAGTGACATTCAGTGATTGGATAGTTTTAGAAAATTGTTACAGTTACGTTGTGCTGGAGCTCTATATAAGCAGGCTGACTGAGCCCTTCAGTTCAGTTCTGTTCTGGCCTGTGAATAAACAAGAGCTGTTTGAAGAATCGCTGTGTCGTCTGATATGCTCACCCACAACTTAACACTCAATGTTATCAGCCTTAACCTTATTGCCTTCTCCCCAGATTCACGCAGCGGGACAGCAGCGCCCAGCGCCACCCGAAGGAGAGGAACCCCGAGGGACACGGGCGCAAGAACGGGCGAGAGAGCACCAGCTGGCCCCATGGCTAGGATGGCAGGACCCGCCAGTACTAATCTGGCTCAGGGTGGGGAGGGTAAAGGAGTTGGGCCTATCAAGGATTACTTGATGTCCCGGTGGAGGGGTTGGTGCCATTACTCGTTGGCAGGGAAGTGTCTTTATCAACATGCCAAGTTCTGATGTGTGGGGTCACCCAGATACATTGTCCTCCCTCCCCCCAAGTCCACTCAGAGCCCTCCATCCCCACCCACCCCACCCCAAGTTTGCTTCCACTCAGTAATGACCATTAGTAGAGGCGTTTGGACAGTTGGATTATCGTCAGGAAAGCAAACCTTTTTCACCCCATGTCCCCTCCTGTTGAGAGAGATCTTTGCTGGGGGTGGATGAGGGTCTCTCTATAGGGCCTTCCCACCCAGATCCGGGAGGTCCTGGCTCACCTCTCTTTTGGCTCGGGATAAGTACAGTGGTACCTCGGGTTAAGAACTTAATTCGTTCTGGAGGTCCGTGCTTAACCTGAAATTGTTCTTAACCTGAGGTACCACTTTAGCTAATGGAGCCTCCCACTGCTGCCACCGCGCAATTTCTGTTCTCATCCTGAAGCAAAGTTCTTAATCCAAGGTACTGTTTCTGGGTTAGCGGAGTCTGTAACCTGAAACCTCTGTAACCCGAGGTACCACTGTAATTGTGCCAAAGGAAAAATGGATTGGAACCCCAAATTAGAAATAGGACGCCAGCGAGATTTTGCTTCTCGGGACGCCGTGACCTTGCTGTTGTCCCTTCTAAACTCTGAAATTCTCCCGAAATTCTCATCCTCCTCTCTAATTAGGAATGGTGAAAATGGGGGTATCATTTCCTCACCTGGTGGGGGTGGGGAAGGGTTGAGTCACTTGTGGGGATGGCTTGTTTTCCTTCTTCCCCACCCCACATTCACCCCCTCCCTACTCCCTCACAATTTCTTGCACTGTGAGTGTGTCGGAAACCAAATAAAGGCACTGATTGTTCCTTTCTTTCCAAGGTTGTCTCTGATTAAGTGGCCCATTGAAGGCCGTAAGGTGGATGTGGGGAGGGAGTGGGGGGGTGATGCTGGCAGGTTGGAAATGTCCTTCCAACAACATATCCTCTTTTTGTTTTGCCATGGCAACAGCTTTTGGTCGTTTGCTGTTGTTGTTTTTTCAATGCAAGGACACCTGCTAAGAATATCGTTGTGAATCTTCCGGCCTGTGCGTCTGAGTAATTCCTGAGTTTGAGGAAAGGACCACTGCTGAGTTATCAACCCCCTGCTTTGCTGGAAGAAGGTCCCTAATTCAATTCCATGTAGCACTGGGTGAGGAGAAATCCTGGGTGGCTGCTGCCAGTCAGTGTAGACAATGCCAGGCTAGATGGACCAAACCTCTGACACAGCTCCCTGTGTCCCTGCCCCTGTTCAAACTCTCCTCTCTTTCCCAACAATGCACACAGGATACTGGCTCAATGAAGTGTGTGTAAAGGAGGAATTGTATCTCAGAGCATAATCAAAGTGCTTTCCCACCTCCAATATCTTTGGGATAACTAGGGTTGCCATACGCCTGGAATTTCCCAGACATGTCTGGCGAAATTAGTGTAGGGGGGAATTTTGAAAAATGGGCAAAATGTCCAGGGAATCCCCCCACCCTCAACTTTTGTACTCTGATTTTCAGTTCTTGAAATATGGCAACCCTAGATTAGCATCTCACTTGCAAGACAGGTGCGCCAACTCCCATTGCAAAGCTGGAATCACACTTGTTGTTGTTTGGTCGTTTAGTTGTGTCCGACTCTTGGTGACGCCGTGACCCCAGAGCACGCCAGGCACTCCTGTCTTCCACTGCCTTCTGCAGTTTGGTCAAATTCATGCTGGTAGCTTCGAGAACACTGTCCAACCATCTCATCCTCTGTCGTCCCCTTCTCCTTGTGCCCTCCATCTTTCCCAGCATCAGGGTCTTTTCCAGGAAGTCTTCTCTTCTCGTGAGGTGGCCAAAGTATTGGAGCCTCAGCTTCAGGATCTGTCCTTCCAGTGAGCACTCAGGGCTGATTTCCTTCAGAACGGATAGGTTTGATCTTCTTGCAGTCCATGAGACTCTCAAGAGTCTCCTCCAGCACCATAATTCAAAAGCATCAATTCTTCCGCGATCAGCCTTCTTTATGGTCCAGCTCTCACTTCTGGGAAAACCACACTAAGAGGTCACAAATCCCACCGTTAAGAATGTGCCACCCGCCTTTGCCATGTACCAATGGATGGGTGAGCCTCAAAGACAGATGGATTTACAAGGGAACTTCAACCTTCATCCCCTTTTTGTGGCTCAGCAGCACACAACTGGTCCTCCAGCCATCCACCCTACCATAGAGTTGTCTACATTTTTGGCTAGACGGGCCCCTGCTAGGTTTGGGTGGGTTTGATGACCTTGAGAGCAGGAGAATCGTACTTCAGATTATCCGGCCAGAGCTGGGATGTAATCGTTGCAAGACTAAGAAGCGATTTTTCACATCAGTTGCGCCCAAGTTGCTGAATGTGCTGTTGGAATTGAGGAGGCGGAATGAGTCCATTGTGGCAGAAGCTTTTTTAAAGCCACACGTTCTTCACAACTGATGGAGATTGACTGGCGCAAGAGATCTCAGTGCCCACTCCAGTGGAGGCTGGTTCACTAGGGCAGATGTGGCAGGGCTCCAAAAACCCTCACTTGCCTTTCTTCTTAACTTACAACCAGTCCATCCACTTCCTCCTCCTTCCTCTCAATGCTGCTCTTGTAGAAGGCAGCAGTGAGGAGGATCATGGGGAAACAGGAACTAGAAATGGGTGGCTCTGCCTGTCATTCGGCTCTCTGGCGCCACCTTCTGTTGGGCTCCCTGCCTTTCGCCCAATCATCCCCAAATGGGCACCTGCGACCACTGGCCCCTTGCTTAGATAGGGTGGTTTTTTTAAAAAGGTGAATTCATGAAGAGGAGACTTCTGTCAATGAATATTAGCCATAACAAGTGGAACTTGCAACAGGATGGGGGCTCTTGTTTAAGAGGCTGGCCAGCCATGCCCACTTCCTGGGTACTCCATTGCATCTGCCAACTCCAGATCAGTTATTATTCTGTTACTAGAGCAGGCGCAGACCTCAATGGACAGGGTTTTTTGGGGGGAGGAGGGCTCCCCCTCTTTAGAATTTCCCTTCCAAAATACTTTGCTTTGTACATTAAGCCAGCAGAACTATTTGTGTGTGTCTGTACGCACCTGCGGCTTACATATTCAAACCTAGCTACCAATCTGAATGTTTTAAATGTTGCTATTTCTTTTGGACCATCCTTGGTAAGTTACTCCCTCACTTCCTCTCAAAGACTATCTTCTAATACTAATAAATATACATCACTCATTTTTAAATGGGCATGCTCATTACACTTTTTCAAATTTAAGAGTGAAATCTAAAATACTTTAAATTCAGTAGAATTGTTTTGGTATCACTGTGAATCAGCTATAACTGGGGTGGGGGAGAGAAGAGAAAAACCCCCCTTTTTAAATACATATTTCAAAAGTCATTATTTCTTAACTATTTCCAAACACTCAACACTCAGGAAATGTTTATAAACGTAAAAAACTTCTTTATTTTTTAAAAAAATGGAACATATGTATTGCGGCATAAGCCTCCCAAATGACCCCCTTCTGTCCTTTGTGCCTAAACTGAGATGATTTAAAAAAAAATAAAAATCATATTTAAATATGCAAATGACGCCTGTCTCCTAACACACCAGGACGCAGGTTCCATACGGGGCGTAGCTTAAGAATAGCCCCTCCCTCTTTCAGATCGTTCTATTCCGCCCACGCCGCGTGATTCGGTCTTCCTCGTCCCGTCCGTCTCTTTCCACCGCCCCCTTTTTCCGCTTTCCTCAGTTGGTAGCGCCCGCTTTCCAGGAAGCGGCGCCTGCGACGTCCCCATTGGTGCGAGGCGGGCGGAGGGCGGCGGGACGGAATGCTCAGTTCCGGACGAGACCATTAAGGCCGGCAAAGGGAGGGAGACGTTGTTGAGCGCTGCTTGCTGCTGCTGCGGAGTTCTTCCTTGCAATGGCCCAGACGCCGAAGCTGATCTTGCTCTTCAGCGGGAAGAGAAAGTCGGGCAAGGACTTCGTGGCCGAGGAAATCCAGAGCCAGTAAGCAGCCCCGCGGGGATTGCACAAGAGCGGGCGGGAGGAAGCGTTCTGCCCCCCCCCCCCCCGTGCATGATGGCGGGTGGCGGGGTGGGTGGGATGCAGGCGAAAGACCACCCACCGCTCCACGTGCGCGCGGGATCCGGCGGGGAGAGACCTTCCCAAACCTGTATTTCCCCCCATTTTTCAATTTTCAAGCCTTTTCTAGGGGTGGTGGCAAGACTTCTCTCAATCTCGTGTCCGCAGCGAACGTCTGAACCCGGAGCGCACGCGAGATCGGCCCCGACCTCCCCTCTCCCCGTGCTTAGGAGGGGAAAGAAGCGACACCCCACGGTCCCCCCATTTTTTAATTTTCAAGCCTTTTTTTTGGAGTGGTGGTGGCAAGACTTCTCTCAATCCCGTTCCCGTGTCCGCAGCGAACGTCTGAAGCGGGAGCGCACGCGAGATCGGCCCCGACCTCCCCTCTCCCCGTGCTTAGAAGGGGAAAGAAGCGACACCCCACGGTCCCCCCATTTTTTAATTTTCAAGCCTTTTTTTGGAGTGGTGGTGGCAAGACTTCTCTCAGTCCCGTTCCCGTGTCCACAGCGAACGTCTGAAGCGGGAGCGCACGCGAGATCGGCCCCGACCTCCCCTCTCCCCGTGGTTAGGAGGGGAAAGAAGCGACACCCCACGGCTTAGGGATGGGGAGCAAGGCGGTCTTCCGTGTTTCCTCCTTTTGTTTCCTTCCTCCCCCTTCACACGTGACGCAACACGCGACGGGGCTGGGAGAAGGTTGCGGGGAAGTGTAGAAAAGTTGGCATGGCAGCTGGAAGGAGCCCACCTTGCAGGGGTGTGGGGAAGAGGGAAAGCCACGAGTTGCAGGAGTTTAATCCAACGTTAGTCCTTAAGGTAAAGGCCGAGGGCCTTCTGGTGGTTCCCCCATTGCGAGAAGTGAGGTTACAGGGAACCAGGCAGAGGGCCTTCTTGGTAGTGGCGCCCACCCTGTGGAACCCCCTCCCTTCAGATGTGAAGGAAATAAGCAGTTATCCTATCTTTAAAAGACATCTGAAGCCAGCCCTGTTTAGGGAAGTTTTTAATATCTAATGCTGTATTGTTTTTAACATTTGATTGGGAGCCACCCAGAGTGGTTGGGGAAACTCAGCCAGATGGGCGTGGTATAAATAATAAATTATTATTATAAAGGGATCCCTGACTGTTAGGTCCAGTCATGGATGACTCTTGGGTTGCGGCGACGTTCACCTCGCTTTATTGGCTGAGGGAGCCGGCGTACAGCTTCCGGGTCATGTGGCCAGCATGACTAAGCCGCTTCTGGCAAACCAGAGCAGCGCACGGAAATGCCGTTTACCTTCCCGCCGAAGTGGTACCTATTTATCTACTTGCACTTTGAGGTGCTTTCGAACTGCTAGGTTGGCAGGAGCAGGGACCGAGCAACGGGAGCTCACCCCGTCACGGGGATTCGAACCGCCGACCTTCTGATCGGCAAGTCCTAGGCTCTGTGGGAAAGCAGGCAAGATCCACAGTCTGCCAAGCCCTTCCCTGGAGGGAGGTGATGTTCTCAAACTTTGCAGCGCATCTGATGGGAAGAGACTAGGCCTTGTTTAAGCCAAGGCAGTGCTTATAAGAAGAGCCTGGCTGCTGGGATCAGGCCAGTGGTCCAGCATCGTGTTCTCACAGTGGGTGACTGTCCCCATGGAGATGTTGAGATTCGAACCTGGGACCTTTAGCATGCAAAACAGACTCTCTGCCACTGAGCTATAGCCTAGAGGTCAGCAAACGTTTTCAGCAGGGGTCCAGTCCACTGTCCCTCAGACCTTGTGGGGGGCTGGACTATATTTTGAAAAAAAAAAAATGAACGAATTCCTATGCCCCACAAATAACCCAGAGATGCATTTTAAATAAAAGCACACATTCTACTCATGTAAAAACACACTGATTCCCGGACTGTCTGTGGGCCAGATTTAGAAGGTGATTGGGCCGGATCCAGCCCCCAGGCCTTAGTTTGCCTACCTACCCATAGCCCTTCTCCCCTAAAGGGTCCTTGAGGACGGAAACTTCTGCCATGTTTGGATCTGCTTCATTTAAATTTTTTCTCCCCTGACAGGTTGGGCCCTGATGTTTGCACTATCCTGCGGCTGTCAGAACCCCTCAAAGAGCAGTATGCCAAGGTAGGTTGTGGCTCCCTCAATTTGTACCCCTTTATCTTTCTTTTTATATGCATAATAGCATCCTTGCCAAGTTAGGCCGAGAGTTGGAAAAAAGAAGGGCGACCAAATAGATCGAGGGGGGTTGCGCGACTCCCCTGTGAGAGAAGGTTGCAGCAGCATTCGGGGAATTTCTATTTCAGAGAAAAAGGCAGATGAGAGGGGACACGATGGGAGTTTATAAAATCACGTGTGTCTCGGAGAGTTGTACTTCTCCCTCTCCGGTAATACCGGAACTCACTGAAGCTCAGCAAAGCTGAATGCTGGAAGATTGCTGACAAATAAAAGATAAACAAACAGTGGAACTGTGGAACTCCCTGCCACAAGAGGCAGTGATGGGCCCCAAACTGGGTGGCTTTAAAAGAGGGCTGGGCAAAATTCCTGGAGCAGAGGGCTATCAATGGTTATTAGTCCTGATGACTATGCTCTGCGTACACAGCAATGCTTCCGTTTACCAGTTGCTGGCAATCGCAGGAGGGGAGAAAGTTTCTCTTGTGCTTGGGTTCTGTCCCTGGGCTTCCCATTGAGTCAACTGGTTGGCCACTGTCAGAACAGGAAGCTGGAATGGATGGGCCTTTGGATAGCTTTCTAGGATAGCTTTGCTGACAGCCTCGGATAGATTCCCTCTCCTCTGTCTCTTCTCCTCATAATAATAATAATAATAATATTAATAATAATAATAATACAGCGGTACCTCAGGTTACAGGCGCTTCAGGTTACAGGTGCTTCAGGTTACAGACTCCGCTAACCCAGAAATAGTACCTCAGATTAAGAACTTTACTTCAGGATGAGAACAGAAATCGCACGGCAGCGGCAGCAGGAGGCCCCATTAGCTAACGTGGTACCTCAGGTTAAGAACAGATTCAGGTTAAGAACGGGCCTCCGGAACGAATTAAGTTCTTAACCCGAGGTACCACTGTAATAAATAATAATAATAAATTTCTTTATACCCCGGCCAGAGCTGGCCTCAGGGCAGCTAACACCAGTAAAATTACAGTAAAATCATAATGGGGGGGAAAAACAATTTAGAATACATGTTAAAATGCAATTTAAAATGCAGCCTCATTTTAAAAGTAGGCCATAGATCAAAACCATAAGGGGAGGGAAACATAAGGGTCAGACTGAGTCCAAACCAAAGGCCAGGCGGAACAGCTCTGTCTTGCAGGCCCTGCGGAAAGATGTCAGGTCCCGCAGGGCCCTAGTCTCTTGTGACAGAGCGTTCCACCAAGTCGGGGCCAGTTCTGAAAAGGCCCTGGCCCTAGTTGAGACCAATCTAACCACCTTGCGACTTATGGACCTTAAGGTCCTCCGTGGGACATACCAGGAGAGGCGGTCCCGTAGGTACGAGGGTCCTAGGCCACATAGGGCTTTAAAGGTAAAAACCAGCACCTTAAACCTGACCCTGTACTCCACCGGGAGCCAGTGCAGCTGGTACAGCACTGGATGAATGTGATCCCGCAGTAAGGAGCCTCACCACGGCATTCTGCACCCGCTGGAGTTTCTGGGTCAGCTTCAAGGGCAGCCCCGCGTAGAGCGAGTTACAATAATCAAGCCTGGAGTTGTGGGGGATGAATGAATTCCTGTGGCCCACAAATGACCCAGAGATGCATTTTAAATAAAAGCACACATGCTACTCATGTAAAAACACACTGATTCCCAGACCGTCCGTGGGCTGGATTTAGAAGGCGATTGGGCCGGATCCGGCCCCTGGGCCTTAGTTTGCCTACCCATGCTGAAGAGGGAACAAGGCTTAGTGAGCAGGGAGGAGCCTATGGCAGAGAGAGACCCAGAATCAGAGACAGAAGTGGAGGCTGGAGAGGACGGGGGGGGGGGAGCTTCTGAAGACACCAGGGAGTCTCCCCCTCCTGCTGCGGCCAGACACGCTGAGGTGTCTCAGATTGCTTGGGGAGGACTCAGTTGTGGGAAGGCAGGGCCCTTCAATCCTCACAACTGCCTCATTGGGGCAAGCAAGACCTGCTGATAATAATAATAATATAATCTATTATACCCCACCCATCTGGCTGTGTTTTTTCGCCAGCCACTAAACGGAGCTGCCTTCAGGCATCTTCTAAAAGTCAGATAGTTGTTTATTTCCTTGACGTCTGATGGGAGGGCGTTCCACAGGGTGGGCGCCACCACCGAGAAGGCCCTCTGCCTGGTTCCCTGTAACTTGGCTTCTCGCAGTGAGGGAACCGCCAGAAGGCCCTTGGAGCTGGATCCAGGCTGAACGATGGGGGTGGAGACGCTCCTTCAGGTATACTGAGCCGAGGCCGTTTAGGGCTTTCAAGGTCAGCACCAACACTTTGAATTGTGCTCGGAAACGTACTGGGAGCCAATGCAGGTCTTTCGGGACCGGTGTTATATGGTCTCTTTGTATAAACAGTTAACTTCACTGACATCAGGTGGTTTATTGGTTCATCGCTGGCATACACCTGACTCCAGCTCCTGACAGTATTTCACGAAGAAGTGAGTCCCACAAGTTACTTAGGAGTAGACTCTTGGATTGGTCTCGTTCGCCAATCGTTTTCATCCCGGAGCTTTGATAACTGGTTCACCTTTCTGGCCTCCCCTATAGGAGCACGGCTTGGACTTCCAGCGCCTCTTGGACTCCAGCTCTTATAAGGAGACGTATCGGCAGGACATGATCCGATGGGGAGAGGAGCGGCGCCAGACCGACCCGGGATTCTTTTGCCGCATTGTGGTCGAGGGCGTTACACAGCCCATCTGGGTAAGGCTGAGCGGTGGCAAATTGCTGGTGGCAGGGATTGATTCGAACCCAGGTCCCCGGATGTTAACCCGCCAGTCTTCCCACGCAGATAGTGAGTGACACGAGGCGAATCTCGGACGTGGAGTGGTTCCAGGACGTGTATGGGGATCTGGTGAAAGTGGTGCGTGTCGTAGCCACGGAGGAGACGCGAAAGAGACGGGCCTGGGTGTTCGTAATGGGTGAGTGAGCCACAGGCAAGGCAGCCTCTTGTTTCTCTGCTCATTGCCCAATGCAGCGCTTGGTGTGCAATTAGGCTTTTAAAATTCAGTGCAAAACAAAAACCCACATTTAATCATTTGACAGTTCTTTGCAGTAATGAGAAAAAAGCCCTGCTGCAATAAAAATAATAGTTCAGAGCATAATATTTTCTGCAAGAAAATTACTGAACCTAAAATGGCAACCTTTCCCCCCTATATACATGGAATGGCAAAGTTGTCGTCACGCAGCCCCCATTGGAGGGCTTGTAGTGCCTCATCACAGTCCTGGATTTGCATGAAGAAACAGGGTTAGGAAGGTGAGAAGCGAGCTTAGTAAGTTCATGGGTTCCCAGCTTGGGTCGTTGGACTACAACTCCCATCATCCCTGACCACTGGTCCTGCTAACTAAGGATGATGGAAGTTGTAGTCAAACAAGAGCTGAGGGCACAAACTTGAGAAACACTGCTCTGGGGGGTTAACCCTGGAGAGATGCAGCAACATAGTGTAGACAAAACTGGACGAGACTGGAACCAACGAGGTTGACCTGCTATAAAGGAGCTTTCTGCACCCCTAAGGACTGTTCTTCCTATATATATTAGGTGAGCAATCAAGTCAAAACTAATCCGCTTTGACGATGCTTCTGAACACCAGGTGCTGGAAACCCAACGAGGGGACTGGTGCTCCAGTCCTGCTTGTCTGGGCTTTCCGTAGGCATGGAATTATAGAATTGTAGAGTTGGAAGGGACCCAAGGGTCATCTAGTCCAACCCCCTTCAAGGCAGGAATATTTCCAAGACCTTATTTGGAAAATGAATACAACCCAGGTGGTTAAGAAAGCCCAACAGAGACTCCATCTCCTCAGAGTATTGCGGAAGAAGGATGTCAATCAACATCTGATGATCTTCTACCGGTCAACAGTAGAAAGTGTCCTTTCCTACTGCATCACGGTGTGGTACGCTGGTTTGATATCATCTGGTAGGAAGTGCCTACAGAGGGTGGTGTGGGACGCGGGTGGCGCTGTGGGTTAAACCACAAAGCCTAGGACTTGCCGATCAGAAGATCGACGGTTCGAATCCCCACGACGGGGTGAGCTCCCGTTGCTCGGTCCCTGCTCCTGCCAACCTAGCAGTTCGAAAGCACGTCAAAGTGCAAGTAGATAAATAGGTACCACTCCAGTGGGAAGGTAAACGGCTTTTCCGTGCGCTGCTCTGGTTTTGCCAGAAGCGGCTTAGTCATGCTGACCGCATGACCCGGAAGCTGTACGCCGGCTCCCTCGGCCAATAAAGCGAGATGAGCGCCACAACCCCAGAGTCGGCCGCGACTGGACCTAATGGTCAGGGGTCCCTTTACCTTTACAGAGGGTGGTGAATATAGCACAAGATATTATGGGCTGTCCCGTGAATCCGCTGGATGAAATAGCGGAAGAACGTTGCCTCAGGAGAGCGAGGAAAATTCTCAAGGATGATTCACACCCTGGCTGGCACTTTCTTGATCTCTTGCCCTCAGGGAGAAGATATAGAAGCCTGATTAGCTGCCCTAACAGGGTAAAGAACAGCTTATGTTGTGGGCTGTTAGGCTGCTGAATGAAAAGATAACAACAGGGCAATTGACTTTCAGGTTTGGTGTGTGTGTGTGTCAGTAAACGAGGGGAATTATGACTAAGAGAGCTGAGTGGCGGGCGCTCAAGTAATCTCACTGTATACAAGTTGCACAAGTGACAATAAAGTATTTCAATTCAGCTGTCCCATACGGGGATCGCGCCTGCAACCGTGGCGCTATCAGCACCACACTCTCACCAGCGGAGCTATCCTGGCATCTCTGGTCAGGATGGTGGCCTTATCCTGCCATTCCTATGTCCTATCCACTCTTCCCCACCACCTGAATTTGGGAATCTTGTGTCAATAATGATAGTAATTTTATTATTCATATGCTGCCCATATGACTGGGTTGCCCCAGACACTCTGGGCGGTTTCCAGCAAAATATAACCCCCACTACAAAACATCTAACATTAAAATTTTCCCTATACAGTCGTACCTTGGTTTTCGAATAGCTTAGTTCCTGAACGTTTTGGCTCCTGAATGTCGCAAACCCGGAAGTGACTGTTCCAGTTTGCGAACTACTATTTTTGGGAGCCGAATGTCCAACAGGGTTTCCGCAGCTTCTGATTGGCTTCAGGCGCGATTTGGTGTTTGAAAGTGTTTTGGAAGTCGAACGGACTTCCGGAACGGATTCTGTTCGACTTCCAAGGTATGACTGTACAGGGCTGCCTTCAGATGTCTTCTAAAAGTCAAAGAGTCTCCTTCAGACACTCCTTTAGATATAAAAGACTAGTGAGGTAAGGTGAGAATATTCTCTGCTAGAAAATTCTCTGGAGAATATTCTCCACAAACTGTAAATTCTAATGTAAGAACCAGTTTTACAAACCTTAAAAATCTAGTAAATAATAAGTCAAGCTGTGATATTGCCAGTGTAAGTAATGAATAATGATTTTTATTTTTTTAATCCACTTACATTACATTGTGCCATTCACCATTGGCAGTTCTGAAATGTGAGCTACAGAAAACATTTTTATGTTTAGTTTTAGTTTTAAAAATGCTATTCATTTAATTTAATGAACATTTGAATTTGTTTGTATTTCAACTATATGTAATAGCCTTTTTTTCTGTCTTGGTGTGACCTTATTCTTAGCAATTCTATACCTTTGGCCATACAGTGTGATTTTGTTTTTACAGAAAGTAGCTTTAATGCTTTATACACTTAAAGTACCTAGGCCTATAGAATTATGTGTAACAGCATGTGAGATGGCCTTGATTTAAACAGTTGACGTTTCTATATTTTTATTTAGTGCCAGTAACTGGTTTTTGCGGTGCCATTCTATGGTACCAGGTGCCATTTACCAGAGATTCACATACTGAAATATATTATCATATAATGATAATATATTTAATGTTAATGGCTTCTTTTTTATATGTATGCCTATAGTTTTGTTTTTCAAGCTGTGTTTTAGTCACCAAATCAGTCATTAAGTGTTAGCGCTATTAGAAGCACAATAATAATAATAATAATAATAATAATAATAATAATAATAATTTATTATTTGTACCCCGCCCATCTGGCTGGGCTTCCCCAGCCACTCTGGGCGGCTTCCATAGAAACAAAAAATACAGTAAAATATCACAGATTAAAAGCTTCCCTGAACAGGGCTGCCTTAAGATGCCTTCTAAATGTCAGGTAGTTATTTATCGCTTTGACATCTGATCGGAGGGCGTTCCACAGGGCGGGTGCCACTACCGAGAAGGCCCTCTGCCTGGTTCCCTGTAGCTTTGCTTCTCGCAATGAGGGAAGATAGCCTATTACTGAATTTACTTGTATCAAACCTTAACATGCCAATCTTATTTTTTGACTTGTCCTATAACATGTACATTCTCCTATTTTAAATGAAAATTCTCTAATATTCTCATTAATTGAGAATATTCTTGAGAATATTTTCCGCAAGATTGCAGTGGTACCTCTGGATGCGAACGGGATCCATTTGCATCCTGAAGTGAACGCAACCCGTGTTGCCGCTTCCGCGCATGCGCGTGCTGTCGTTTTGAGCGTCTGCGCATGCGCGAGTGGCAAAACCCAGAAGTAATGCGCTCCGTTACTTCCGGGTCACCGCGGAGCACAACCCGAAAATATTTAAGCTGAAGCGTATTCATCCCGAGGTATGACTGTATTCTTGAGAATCTTAACATAACTATACAGCAAGGATGTCCAACAGGTCGATCGCGATCTACTGGCAGATCCCCGGAAGGTGGGTAGATTGTGGTTGATCTCTGGCTCCCTTTCCTTGGCATCGCTAAAACTTCCTCCTGCCTTGCCCTGCCCTCCATTGTTGTTTGATCTCTGGAAGGGAAGATGGAGCTTTTTCTGTGCTGCTGGTTTCATCCATAGCGATATTTTTGTGAGTGACTTTACCCCTTTGTCCCTTGCCTTTAGCCCCCCCCCCCCATGGAATTTTGCCCCCCAAAGCTTTTTTAAAACCCCTAAAAAACAGGGCTTTCCTCCTCTCTAAAAAAAAAGCCCAACAACTTTGAACCCCCCAAAAACAGGGGTAGAGCATTGCCAGTTTTTAAAAGTAGATCGCAGTTTCTTGAGAGTTGGCCACCCCTGCTATACGGGACCGAGACCATTTAGCACCAGCAAGTCAAATGTGAGGCATTCCCAAAGTAAAGGAAGGATTGAACTCTGATTAATAAGAATACACACAGAGGCTTGAACCAGCAAGACTATGGGAAGGGTGCGTATAATAAATAATCTCTCTGTCTCCAGCCCCTGGCCCAGGTCGTTTTATTCACAAAAGAGCTTTTTACAGAGTGTTCATAAGAACCAATCAGATTTATTCTGAGCATTTCCACAAACCCCATGTGGGCACAAAGTTAAACTACAAACACTAGTTAAGCATGCATACTTTTGGGGTAAATGAATGAAAACTACAAAGGAGTGTATTCAGCAACCCCGGAGGTCATAAACAATCAATACACATGATAAGAAGGATGCCCAGGAGGACAGCGATCATTATCACCTTCATGTGAAACCTTTTTCCTGGCCCTAAGATTAACATCCTAAGATTAACATATCAGAAAAGCTACAGCAAAGAAACTGCCCTGTCTTTGATGACCCAGGACGCCTGCCTGTCTGTGTACGTGCCTGGTCAAGAAAGAGAAATGGAACAGGGATGCAGAGGTGTGGGTTGATCAAGAATCATATCAAAATAGTTTAAACCCAGTCAACGCAATGCTTTCATTGCTGACACAGACGGCTTACTCTATATTTGTTATAATTCCTCGTGGCAATCCCACCTGATCACTACAAAATGGCCAACTTTTGCCTGTCTTCTCCACCCCAGGGATTGACGACGCGGAATCCGAATGTGGCCTGGATCAGGGCGTGCCTTATGACTGGGTCATCACCAACGACGGAGACCAGCTTTCCCTGGACGCTCAACTGGAGAAACTGCTTCAGTTTATCCACAGCAAGCTGTAGCGCAACCCAGGGCCCTTGTGTTATCTCCACCTCCTTCTCTTTCTCTCTCTCTCTCTGTCTCCCTCCACCCCACCCTCCATTCCTTCGGGACCTGGGATGGGGTTTGGCTGCGTCACCAAAGAAAGAGAATCTGGAGAATGCCGCCGTAGCCACCGGGCTGCGGTCAGGTGCGCCTCAAGGCAAGGCATTTCTGGGTGGGGTTGTTTTTTTTTGACACCCACCCCACCCTTCTCTTCCTTTCATTTTGGAGAGTCCATTCCAGCGAGTGCCATAATCCAGTGCCAGTTCTTCCCTCCCCGGGACTCCATTCCAGGCAGGGTGTGCATCTCCATCCTGGCCGGCTGCTCGCTTGTGTGTCATTTCCGCGGGCTGTTCTTTTGCACTCGTACCTGGCACTGGCGCCTTCCCCACCTAGCATCAGGTGGGGGCTGATGTTTGCAGGAAATGTATGTTTGTGCTGTGGGGAGTGGGCGGTTTTTGGTCCGTTTCGGGTTTTCCTTCCTCCTTCCCATCTTGGGTCGCAGTTTTAGACTTTTACAGCTTTCGGCCACCAGGGGGCAGAATAACCTCAAGATTAACACTTCTACGGCTCTGTTTCCCCGGACAAATCTTATTTCGTAACCCTTGCCTAGCTCTGTGCCTGTCAATCATCCTGTCCACCTGAATCCGGCTGGATAGGGTCCCCTCGGCGGGTCGAATTATATGCATGTTATTTTCAGGGGGCATTTTCTAGTCCTGTTCCTTGTCCCAGATTCAAGCTGATTTTTATCTGAGACAGGAACGCTTTGGAGTGATACTTTTAGCTGCTTCTGCTAATGACTGACCACACACACTTTCCCTAAGGTGGGGGGAATCGCTGTGCCTTATTCTTAAAAGTGCTGACCTCCTCCTGTTCTCCTCGCTTGCCCGGCTCCCCAACCGAATCCTTAATTTGGAAACCATCTCACCAACTTCTTCCCTGACCAAGGCTCCTGTGCCTTTTCCTTGCTGTGTGATGGGAAAGAGGCGGGGGACAGAAATTCAACAGGTGGGGATCAAACCGGAGTGGGAGAGCTGAGCCTGTTGGATTAATCCCCAGAACATAAACGACACAGGGCTTTTTTACTCGGATGGGAACGTTGTTCGGCAAGTACTGAAGGACACAGGAGCCATGATGGGGAAAGTAGTTGGCAACGCGACCAAAATGGGTTCTAAGCTGAGAAATTGCAGGACAGGCTTTTGCTGCTGAAGAGGAGGGGGGGCAACCAAACTGTGTGGGAATTGAGTGTTGAGTGCTTGGGCTGGGGTGAGATAGTCACGTGGGCTGGTGTTGGGAGCAAAATTTGGGACAGGGTGAAGGTTTGCTATTGATGCAACCTGATTTGCCCCCGGGCTACAGAATACCTAGCATATTCCCTGGCCATGTTTGTACATCATGCCAAACCACGGTTTAGTGTCACGCGAATGAGCCTAGTCCCCTCTAGGGGTCATGCGTTTCCCCTCTCCTTATCCTCTCACACAGCCAGAAAAGGAGGATTCCAGAAGATTCCAATTCCCCTTAAACTTGCCATGTCCAATCCCAGTTTCACCATAGCAAGGGCTCGTTTCAGCAAGGCAGCTTCAGGAAACCATGGTTTGCATTTGGCATCTTTTGACACAGACCATAGTCGAGCCGTGATGCTCATTCAGATGCAAGCTTGCAACAGCTTCTGACACTGTCCTGGCTGAGCAGGAGGCTGAGGGTCGTGGGAGAGGCGATCCGGCTCGAATACGCTGCACTAAACCGTGGTTTGAGTGTAACGTGCAAACACAGCCCAGGTACACGGGACAAGGTCCTCTCTCTGCTCCTTTCAGCACACCTGACTTCCTTCCCCGCACCGCAAACTGGATGTGCGGCTGTATAATCTCTTGCTAATGCCACTCACTGCTCAACCAAATGCCCATCTCCTCTCTTCCCCTCTGGAGAGGAAGAAGATTGTTGTACTCAAAATAAAGCTTTGGATTGGTTACAGTTTCCGGCTCTCGTCTGTCTAGAATAGTCCAGTTTCCGTCAGGTGGGTCTGAGTCTCGTTTGCTCAGGTGCAGAACGTGGAGTCGGTCAGGATAGTTCTTGCACAGGGCTCAGCCAAACTCAAGGTTTCCTCCATTTGAGGTTGCTGGCCTTTACATCGCCCGTCACCCCTGACCACTGGCCTGCCTGGCTGGGGCTGATTTGAGGCTGTTGTTTTTCCCCTAGCTATCTGTGAAGCGAATGAATGAATTTTATTATTACGGTCACAGACCAGTTCCGGCTCACTTACAATATCAGGAAAATCATAAAACACAACAGGAATACATTGAATGGCAATTGGGTATAACAGAGACAATATAGATATAGCGGCAGTTTAAAATATATATTAAATCTTGATCACTAAAATAGAACCTAAAATTGTCATTTAAATCCTTAATCATTTTGGTAGTACAGCTTGTTCCCTAAGTTTTATGGCAGTTGCACAGAATTTGGCCACCTTTTGTGTGATCTTTAGATCCTTGTCCTCTACCAGGAATTTTAGACTGACTGACTGTCTGTCTACAGGTTATCTATCTATCTATCATCTATCTATTGCATTTGTATTTTTTCTTCAGGTTACTCATGGTTTTCCCCCTCCACAACCCTGTGAGGTAGGTTAGACTGAAAAGTACAGTGGTACCTCAGGTTAAGTACTTCATTCGTTCCGGAGGTCCGTTCTTAACCTGAAACTGTTCTTAACCTGAAGCACCACTTTAGCTAATGGGGCCTCCCGCTGCTGCCGCACCGCCGGAGCACAATTTCTGTTCTTATCCTGAAGCAAAGTTCTTAACCCGAGGTACTATTTCCGGGTTAGCGGAGTCTGTAACCTGAAGCGTATGTAACCTGAGGTACCACTGTAGTGCCTTGCTTGCTTAATGGCCAAGTAGGGGTCTGAACCCTGGTCTCTCCTGGTTCCTAGTCCAACCCCCTAACCACAGCACCACCACTGCCTCTCATCAAAGACAGCAAGCTTTGGAAACTAGCCATTTCAGATTAACAGCACTGCATTTATTTCCACTGGAAAAAGGGGAAGCATGGGTATGAATTGGGGACCTCGTGATCTGCAGTCAAATGCTCTACTATCGGAAGGCTGTCGATTGCCTACTTTTTGTTGGCATCCATGTCTCGAGAGACAATGGAGTACGCTTCCAGGGGTGAAGGCAAACCGCTGGAGAATCGCACTGCCTGCTGTGGCTGCAGAGACCGGTAACTTGCTGCCTTTGTGGTGTTTTTGCTGTGTTAGCAACACCCAAGTGACCTCTCCAGGGCGCAAGCCTGGGCAGTGTGTCTGGAGGTCCTGGGCTGCCCAGATAACAAAGACTGCTCATGTCCTTGCTAATGTGGTCCAAAGGGAAGCAGAGCTATAAGTGAGGTTTGGGCATCAAATGTACGAATTCATCATCCAGATGAATTCAAGTTACGGATGCGTTAACACGTTGCATTCCGTTTACCTTTTTTTTAGAAAAAAAATTAAGGGTTAATGTATGTTCGAGCAGAGTCTTAAAACTGCCCCGAGAAGCAGGGATGTAAACCTAAACAAACAATTCCTTCCATAGAAAAAGCTCCTAATAGCAGAGCCAGTGCAGATGCGATGCAAGGAATTCTGATCGGATCTCCCCTCCTTTATAAAGTAGCCATAGAGGGATATTGGAATGTCTTCATTTTGATTATATATATTGTGGTTTTTAAGGCTGAGGTCTTCTGTGCACCGCCCTGAGACCTCTGGGTATAGGACGGTATATAAATTCAAAAAAGAATAAGAATAAATACGGTAATAGTAGTAATGAAAAGCACTGGAGGGCCACAATTGGGCCTGAGGTTCCCTACACCTTGCTGTGGGGATGCTCAAAGCACTGACATGGGCAGACATGGGCTCAGAGTTGTACCAGCTGAGAATCTCTCTCTCTGCCCTCTGCTTAATGCTTTTCTGCAGCCTGGGAGATTATCCGCCTCTTCTAAGTATAAGGATATGATTCTTAATACCCTCTCCGGCAGCCGGGGACCTGATGTTTGGATTTTAGAAGTGTAAGAGAGATGTATGATCCCTCAGGAACGTGGGTTGGGACTTTTCCTGGGGGCCGGGGCAGAGATTCTCCCACAGCTGAAGAAGAGGCCTTCTTCCTGGGGTTAGGGACTTTAACCCAATTGTGAGTTTCTATTTCATTTCTACCCTATTAAGAATGTAGGGCCCATCTAGGTCCGTACAGTGGCATAGCATGGGGCGGGGGTGCACTGGGGCGGTTGCCCCAGGTGCAAAATAGGGGCACAAAATTTCAACACCCGGTGCTGCCTCAATATTGTTGTTGTTGTTTAGTCGTTTAGTCGTGTCCGACTCTTCGTGACCCCACGGACCAGAGCACGCCAGGCACCCCTGTCCTCCACTGCCTCCCGCAGTTTGGCCAAATTGCCTCAATATACTCGGTGCAAACCAGGAAGTGACCTTTCCAGACAATGGAACGACTCTTCTTTTCTTATCTCTGTGGCTGCAATCTCCTGGTTGATGCGGACGGACACCATTAGGCAGTTGAATCATAGCTGTCAACTTTTCCCTTTTCTTGCAAAGAATCCTATTCGGAATAAGGGAATTTCCCTTAAAAAAAGGGAAACGTTGACAGCTATGAGTTGAATGCACATGCTTATTCTGTCTGTCCCCATCCCCCAGTGCAGCCACAGGCCCTGGCAACCAAAGCTACACCACTGGTCCAGAATCCTGCTTTGCTGATGGAAGGCCCCTAGGCAGGGCACTTAAAGCATCCTCAATTGTTTCTCTCCAGCATCTCTCCAGTTCAGGGGTAGACTGCCTTAGGAGATGGCGGCTCTGTTTTGAATTATCCTGGCTGTTGGCATAAGAAGAGCTGCTGGACCAGCTAGCCTAGCATCCTGTTCTTACAGTGGCCGCCCAGGTGTCCCAATGGGAAGGCTGCAAACAGGATCCGAGCCCAAGAACGACTCTCCTGCGGTTCCCAGCAACTGGTATTAACCCACTGCGGCCAGTAGCCATAGACAGCCCTCTGCATGAGTTTGCCTTGTCCTCTTTCAAAGTTGGTGGCTGCCATGGCAGTTTCATCAGCTATCAACCCGAAGAAACACTGCAAAACTTGGAGTTTGTAGTTTGGGGTTCGTAGTTAATGATCTCTCATCACAGCCTCTTCCTGGAGCAAGCTTTCGTCCATCCTTTTCTCAGTCCTCCCTTTCCTCAGTCCTGAATCTAGGAAGTTCGCAAGCGGGACCTGACTGGAGAGGAGAATGAAGAATCATAGAAGGAACCCAAGGGTCATCTAGTCCAACCCCAAATGCTGTGATCACACACACCAGGCCTTCCAAAGCTGAAGCTTGTTATTCCTCCCACCAAATGGCCATTATTATTATTATTATTATTATTAGCCCATCTTCCGTAGATTTCAGGGATGGGGCTGATGGGAGTTGGAATCCCAACAATCTCTGCTGGACACCAGGCTCCCCATCCCCGTCCGAGGCATCCTCCCTCTGAGGATGGAGATTCCAGTCTGCCGCACAGCTACCTTTGCGAGGATGCACAGGGCTGGGATCCCAGCTGCCCGCCGCCACTGAGCATCCTGGACGCCGTTCTCCAGATGTTCTCTTGTAATCCTGGCCTCGCCCCAGCTACTTTCCTCTTTTTGCCAAATAGGGCAACTCGAGATTATTTGGGGAAGGAGGGGTCTTATGTAACTACAGTTACATGGGAATGTGTGGGTGGGGCTTTCTTAAAGCCTGTTGCGGAATTAGGATCGCTGCTGTTCACACACACACACACACACACACACACACACACACACAAACCTGCTCTGGTTTGGGGCTACGAGAAATCCTGGGATGTCAGAGGCCAAGGATCTCAAGTACAAACTAATTTCCAGAGTCTGCACACCTGAGTTAACTGTTTTCTTCAGTCTTCACCTATACTAGCAGAAACCTTTCGTGTTCTGTGTCAATTGATCCAGATTATCTCTCGCATCCTGGCCCTGTGGACCCAATATTCTCTGCCCGCTAGAGCAGGTTCAGTATCATACAGGGTTGTGGCCAGCTAAGTTTTACTCAGAGTAGAACCACTGACTTTACTGAGCGCCACTAACTTAGGTCTATTATTCTCAGTAGGTCCGCTCTGCCCATTCCCAACGATCATCACCATCTTTTATTATCCTGGGGATAGCTCAGTTGGTGGTGCACAAGACTCTTAATCTCAGGGTTGTGGGTTTGAGCCCCAGGTTAGGCAAAAGATTCCTGCATTGCAGGGGGTGGGACTAGATGACCCTTGTAAAGGTAAAGGGACCTTTAGGTCCAGTCATGGCCGACTCTGAGGTTGCGGCGCTCATCTCGCTTTATTGGCCGAGGGAGCTGGCGTACAGCTTCCGGGTCATGTGGCCAGCAGGACTAAGCCGCTTCTGGCGAACCAGAGCAGCGCACGGAAACGCCGTTTACCTTACCTGGAGCGGTACCTATTTATCTACTTGCACTTTGACGTGCTTTCGAACTGCTAGGTTGGCAGGAGCAGGGACCGAGCAACGGGAGCTCACCTCATTGCAGGGATTCAAACCACTGACCTTCTGATTGGCAAGCCCCAGGCTCTGTGGTTTAACCCACATCGCCACCTGCGTCCCGATGACCCTTGTGGTCCCTTCCAATTTTACAATTCTAATATTTATTAATTGCATTTATATACCATCTCCCCCACCTCCAAGGAGCTCAAGGTGGCATATGTTGTTCTCCCCTTCCACATTTTATCTCCACAGCAACCCTGTGAGATAGGCTAGGCTGAGAAGCACTGACTAGCTCAAAGTCAGCTAGGTAGCTTCATGGCTGAGCGGGGATTTGAACCCTGGTCTCCCAGGTCTAACACTAACCACTACACCACACTGCTTCTGAATAATATAAATTTGTTCATTAATAACAAATACCAAACCTGCTGCCCAGATAGCTGCAGTTCAATGTTGTAATTTTAAAAAAATAAATAAATTAAAAAATAAATTTATTTATTTGAGAAACCTGCTGTTTCCATCTGTGGATTTTTGGGTAGTTATTTTTTTTAATTGTTCATTAATTGTTCTCCTTGTTCATTTTACTGGCAGTGGTGTTAAGTGGTTTTCTAATTTGATCAGCGTATAAGAAATATTTTTATCCTCTCTTAGCTCCAGCAGATCCCGGAAGTAGTACAGGTGGCTTTTAACCTTGACCTTCAGGTGTGCTGGACAAATGCAAGCCTCTCCAGTGTGGGGGACAGGCAGTGGGGGGGGGGGGCAAGGCCGTTGAGTCCCAGGCTTTGCTGGCTGAGGCAAAGCAGGAAGAGAGGTACCTGGATGCTGTGTCCATGGCAACCTGCCACCATCAACCTTTGGAGGAAAGACAGTGTGTGTGTGCGGATGGGAGCCTCTTAGAGATCAGAAAGCTGGAGAGCGGAGTCGGGGGGGGGCGGGGGGAGGGGGGCGAGAGAAGCATTTCCCCAAAATAAGCAGGTGAATTACCAACAACTCATACATTAGGAAAACCATTACTTTCCCAATTACTGGTGGCTGATGATCAGGGTGTGCTTGTGCCAAAGTAGGTTCCTTATGAAGATCAAACCTGTTCCTATTATTTATTATTATTATTATTATTATTATTATTATTATTATTATTTCCTTCCATCCTTTTTGTTCCATTTCTCTCTAATCCTCTCTTTCTTGTCTTTTTGATTCTATCTGTTCTAGATATTACTCTAGTGCATTGTGAAAACTTTAATACAAATTGGGGGTTTTTTATTTTAAAAGTTGCATACTATTACAGCAAAAGAACACGTTCCTGGTGTATTGGTGAGCTGGATTCTCCACATGGGGCAGAAAAGGACTCCCCATTTGAAGTCTTGCAGAGCTGCTTGCCAGTCAGAGTGGGTAATACTGAGCTAAATGGACCAAAGGTCCAACTCAGTGTCTGTGTGTACTGTATGTATGTGTATATTTAGCAATCTTTTAATCAATTTTAATTATAATCAATCTTTTAATGTGGCAGCCCCAGCATGTTGGAACTGCCTGCCTGTTGACCTCAGAACCTGCTTAAAACATTTTCATTCATGCAAACCTGTCGAGACATGTAGAAGTCACATGTGTTTTACTCTGTTTTTATTGCAAATATTAATTATTCCCTTTCTTAAAAATAATGTTGTTAACTCTATCTCTTATTGACAATGTCAGTGTGGAGCAGTGGTTAGCGCGCTAGACTCCGACTTGGGAGACCAGGGTTCAAATTTCCACTCAGCTATGAAACCTACAGGGGGAATCACTGTCTCTCAGCCTTACATACCACACAGGGTTGTTTTGAGGAAAAAATTGAGAACTATGTACATCCCCTTGTACTCTTTGGAGAAAAAAAATATGATATAAATGTAATAATAATAATAATAATAATAATAATAATAATATAACCCACTTAGATGTTCTATGTACAACCAAGCAGTATGTAAATTTTATTAAATAACTGAAAATAGACACCACCTGCATCATCATAACAACCACTTTCCCTTTGCCAAACCATCCCGAAAGTTGCGATTTTCCCAGAAGCCTCCAGGTTTGCTTCTGGTCTTTCTCTCTTTATTTGGCTTCATCTGGCGTTCCACTTGGGACTCTGTATTTGGCAGATTGGCTGTTTCTCTTTTCTTTTTGTAAGGCTCATGGATGAAAGAGATTTATTTCTCAAAGGCAAGGACTTCAACAAGAAGGGGGGGGGGAGAGTTTGGCTTTCGGAACAAAGACTGCAAATGTTTCCCACGAAATTACAATGGGCACTTTTTCCTCCTGGCTTCCATGGCGATCAGTCCCGGTTACGTAACAAGTTTGGACTCTTTTGCAGAGGACAACTGGAGGGAGGCGGAAGTGGCCAAAGGGGCAGTGTGACATTGGCCGGCCATCAGCTTCCAGAGCGGTCATCTGGGGTCCGAGGGGATGCAGTGGTCAGTGGTAACAGGCTGGGTCCAGGCAACATGGAGGGGAACTAAGAAAATTCTTGGGAGAAACTAGGCGCCTAGATTGGAGAGATAATCGTTCCGGCAGAAAGGAGAGCTCCAGAGATTTATTTGTGGTCTTTGTTTTTTTGTTTAATGAAGAGTTTACAAGTGGGAATTGCAGCAAAAACCTTGCAGCATTGAGCGATCCTGTTCAGGGTTCCAATTGGCCAGCCATGCCCCACTTGGGGCTACTCCATTCCATGCCCTCTCTACCCAGTTTCCTTTCCCAGTGGACACTTAATGTTCTGTGGCTCCTTGGGCCTCACTGGAATGGCTCCCAAGAAAGGACACGCGTCACCAAGAAAGAGGAAAAAGTGGCCGTGTTTATGTCTCGATGCCATTTTAGAAAGAAAGAATGGCTACAATTGTAATAGGAATGCAAGAACTCTCAGCCCGGTGGGGAAGACAGCCCTGTGTACCTGCTGTGGTCTAAGCGCTCATTGTGAATGGTCCACTTCAGGGCTCCCTCCTGCCCTCCCTATTTCAGGTTTAAAGTACACTAGACAGTCCTTTAGGCAGAAGATACATTCAAATAAGGTAGAATTCGTACTGTTTAAACGGAAAGGGTTCTAACCATCACAATAGGTGTTGAAATTCTAGGAGGTTGGATAGTTACGATGGAATGGTCTCAGGGGTGACATGCACATTTTTATTCCTATTTATTTCTTATTATTACTTTGTAAAAAAAAAATACCTTCAAAGAGAGGACTATCCTCTGTAAAGGACATACAACACATACGTATAAGAATATGAGCCAATGGTCCATCTAGTAATAGAATCATAGATTTGTAGTGTTGGAAGGGACACCAAGGGCCATCTAGTCCAACCCCCTGCAATGCAGGAATCTCAGCTAAACATAGCTGTCAACTTACAGATTTGAAAATAAGGGACCAGCAGCCTCAGAAATAAGGGATCAGCAGCCAAAATAAGGGATTTTCAGAGCACAGGTATGTTCGACTTCTGAGCCCTTCCGAGCCAAAGGCAGAAAGCCCAGCCAGCAGCCAAACAAAGCCTCAAGTGGTGGTTCCCACAGCGCAGCAACCCAGCAAAGGGGATGCAGCAAGGAAAACCACTGTCACCTCTCCGCTGGGAAGCGCTGAGCAAAGGCAAGTCCCCAGGCAACACGGCCGATTTGATCGGCACAAGGCATGCAAGCTCCACCCCCCAGTCGTTCTTAGACTCCTTATTGGGTGAGCAACGCAGCCAAGCAACGCAGTTGGAGCCTCCCTCCTCCCTGGCCGGCAGGGAGGGAAGGAGAGGAGCTGCTTCTTTTGAAACCTGGGATATTTAAGGGACATAATCAATAAGGGACAGCAGCAGGACATGGCACTGGGATAAGGGACTTTCCCGCCAAATAAGGGATGGTTGACAGCTATGCAGCTAAACATCCAGTCTAGCATCCTGGTCTCAGAGCTGGCCACCAAGACCCTTGTGGGAAACCCTCGCCTATCCCGCAGCTTTCAGCAACTGTTATTCAGAAGCAATGATAGACCTCTCCTCCGTGAATCTGTCTGGTCCTCTTTTAAAGCCTCCCAAATTGTCAGCCATCTTGCAGGTGGGAGTTCCACTGTTTAACTCGGCGCTGTGAGAAGAAGGTCTTCCTTTAACACTCCCGATCGCTTCATCGGATGTCCCCGAGTTCTAGGGTCATGAGAGAGAGAGAAAACAGTTTTCTCAATCCACTTTCTCGATGGCATGCATAATTTCATAAATTGCTTTTGTGTCACCTCTCACCTTTTCTCTCTAAACTCCAAATGCTGCAATCTTTCCCCATAGAGGAGTTGATTCGTCTCAATGATCATTTTGTTGCCCTTTTCTGAACTGTATAATACCCATCTTAATTGTTGTAACCTGCCCAGGGACTTTAGGGTGAAGGGCAGATAGAAGAAGAAGAAGAAGAAGAAGAAGAAGAAGAAGAAGAAGAAGAAGAAGACAGGGCCTGAGTGGATATTTTTGTGGGGAGGGGATGTTTGGTAGTTTTGCAAACTTAATGTTTCCTTAGTCTAAGTATACAGAAACCTCCCCAATTACTCCCTTTTGGAAGTATTTGTGTTGGCACTCACCACCACCTGATTTCACTTATAGAAGGAACAAAGTAAATTTATACACACATACATCATAAATCTATTCCGTTTTCAAAGTCATTCAAAAGACTCGGAACAGAAGGAACAAAAATCTGCATCAGCCACTTGATGCAGCTGTTGTTTGAGCCAGAGAGAAAGGCGAGGGAGCAAGGAGGTGGTGGGAGGGGCCTTAGCTCAGTGGGCGGAGCATCAGACATAGGTGAACCAATGATATGGCTCAGATGTCTACACTTCTATTTAAATCAGCCCTTCATTAAGAACGATGAGGACTATAATAATTTTGGGGGGAGGGGTAAGCGCCATAACTCAGTGGGTAGCGCATCTGCTTTGCTGGCTGGAGGTCCCAGATGCAATCCTTGGTGTCTCCAGATGGGACTGGGAGTCACTGCAGACACAACTAAGCTGGGTAGACCAGTTGTCTTAGTTGGTAGGCAGCACCTGACATTCCTATTTAAAGCAGCCCTTCATTTGGACTTGGTTAGAGCATGGTGCTGATAAGGCCAAGCTTTCAGGTTCGATCCCTGTATGGGACAGCTGCATATTCCTGCATTGCAGGGGGTTGGACTAGATGATTGGGTCCCTCCTAACTCTATGGCTCTATGACTGACGAAGACTAGATTCTTACTTTGCTTTGAGGGAGAGTGTATTGCAGGCATGGCCAAACTCAGCCCTCCAGATGTTTTGGGACCATAGCTTTCAACATTTCCTTTTTTTTTGCGAGGAATCCTATTCAGAATAAGGGAATTTCCCTTAAAAAAAAGAGAAACGTTGACAGCTATGTTTGGGACTACAACTCCCATCATCCCTGACCACTGGTCCTGTTAGCTAGGGATGATGGGAGTTGTAGTCCCAAAATATATGGCGGCCCAAGTTTGTCCATGCCTGCTGTACTGACTCAGCAGATTTGCATGGAAGAGAGCCCCAAGTTCATTCCCCAGTATTTCCAGGCGGGGCTGGGAAAATATCCCCTGCCTGAAACCCTGGAGAGCTGCTGCCAGTTGGTGTGGACCAGGCTTCCTCAACCTCGGCCCTCCAGTTGTTTTTGGCCTACAACTCCCATGATCCCTAGCTAGCAGGACCAGTGGTCAGGGATGATGGGAACTGTAGTCTCAAATCATCTGGAGGGCAGAGGTTGAGGAAGCCTGGTGTGGACAGTACAGTACTGAGCCAGGGGGACCAACGCTTTGACTGAGTATAAAGCCACTTCTTAGGGGAGGGCCAGGAGGCTCTTACAAGTGGGCCCCAGCAGACCCATCCATAGCTGTCAACGTTTCCCTTTTTTAAGGGGAAATTCCCTTATTCCAAATAGGATTCCTCGCAAGAAAAGGGAAAAGTTGACAGCTATGGACCCATCCCCAAACGTCCAGCTGTGCCAATGTCTCTCCAACCACAGAATCTTCTTGTAGAGCTCAGATTTCTTTCTTTTTTGGCTTCGATATTTTCCTAAGACCATTCTGAGACAGACGGTTCTGTTGGTTTTCCAAGTAACCCTTCACTAATGGGCCATTTCAAGTCAGGAGGCAACCTTTGCATTTAATGCAAAGCGCAAAATGCCTCGCTCCTGAGAGTTTGGAGGAGAGGGGAACCCCCGCTGCTCCTTCTGCATTTGATGTTGTTGTCTAACGGGATGTGAAATTAAAAGCAATATTTCTTAAATGAACCCATCCCGCTGCCTAGGGCAAGCAGGACGCGGGCAGAGAGGTGTAAAGCATATGGCACCAACCGTCGTTCTTGCTTCAGAAATAGCATTAATGTGCTCCATTTGGTGGCTAACGCCCAGGAACCTTTAAGTGTACTATCTAAGCGCACTTTTCACAAACTGCACAGTTGGTGCCCTGCACCATTTTACTCTTTGGTAGGCTGGCTATCAAGCGGGTTTACTGCCTTTCGTCTTCAGGGGGCTTTCCGCATCCTGCTGCCCAAATGGTTTAACCTCCAGTGTTACACAACAGTCCCCTCTTTTAATATTCTAATTAAATAATCGTCCTTCAACAGCCAGCAGTCTGTGGCTACAGAGCAGACTCAGGGGGCCACATTTGAGACTTTATCGCTTTAGAGAAAAGGAGAGTAAGAGGTATACAAAAATATCCATAGCACAGAGGGGAGTTTTTCCTCCCTCGTTAACATCCAAACTGGTGGGAATCCAGTGAAGGTGAATGTTGGAAGATGAAAGAAAGTACTTCTTCACATAAAAGGTAAAGGGACCCCTGACCATTAGGTCCAGTCGTGGCCGGCTCTGGGGTTGCGGCACTCATCTCGCTTTAGTGGCCGAGGGAGCTGGCGTACCGCTTCAGGGTCATGTGGCCAGCATGACTAAGCCGCTTCTGGCGAACCAGAGCAGCGCACGGAAACGCTGTTTACCTTCCCGCCGGAGCGGTACCTATTTATCTACTTGCACTTTGACGTACTTTTGAACTGCTAGGTTGGCAGGAGCTGGGACCGAGCAACGGGAGCTCACCCCGTTGCCGGGATTCGAATCGCCAACCTTCTGATCGGCAAGCCCTAGGCTCTGTGGTTTAGACCACAGCGCCACCCGCATCCCTACTTCTTCACATAGCACATCGTTAAACTGTGGAACTCACTCCCACAGGAGGCAGTGATGGCCAACAAATTGGGTGGCTTTAAAAGAGGAGTGGGCAAATTTGTGGAGAACAGAGTTATGTGAATGGCTGCTAGCCGCTATGGCTCTGCTCTGCTTCCACAGCCGGGGGCACCAATGCTTCTGAATACCAGTTGCTGAAAACCACAGGAAGGGAGACCTGCTTTTGTGTGCAAGGGGGCTTCCCATCTGGCTGGCAACTGTGAGACCAGGATGCGGGAGTAGATGGACCACTTGCCTGATCTAGGAGGTCTCTTCTGTTCTCACTGGTCTGGTTTTGAGCTTCTTTAATCTCTCCTAGTCCCCTCCACCCCCACTTTTGGTCCTTCTCCACCCCCACTTTTGGTCCTTCCCCTCTATTCGCAGCCTGAACACTGGAAATAGAGAATGTTAATTCGTACAGCATCATCAGAATGTCTGGTTTTTGGAGAGGGATGGCAGATCAGTAGTGCACCCATAAGGTCTCAGGTTCAATTTCTGCCATCTCCGGTTAAAATGACAGGGAGATTATGGAAGATACCACTCTCTGCCTTGGGGGCTTCTGCCAGTCATAACTGGTGGTACTGGACTTGATGGGCAAACAATCTGACACGGAGTGAGGCAGCTTTACAGAGCAAGCTTAAGGGCAAGTCCCTGACCCGAGGAGATTACAATTCGGGGAGGGAGGAACAGGTAAATCGCACTGATGGCTAGGGCCGATTGGGGCTGGGAAGGCAAGGAGCCCAACAGTAGGTGGCGCCGGAGCCAATGAGAGGCCAGGCCAAGAGATTATAGCTTTGCCCCTGAGGGAGCTGAGCCTCTTGCTTAGAGAAGAGCTTTTTGCAAACACTCAGCTGCTTTTTGTGTTAATGGATGTAAAATGCATCAAGACTGATACTCCTTTTCTTCCTGGTCTGAATCTTCCAACCTTCCAAGCTTCATAGGGTGACCACATGTCCTGGTAAGAGGAGACGGCGAAAAACGTATCCCATCCACTTTATCTCCTCTCTCTAAGGTGGGAATACATACTCTCCAACATTTCTCCGATGAAAATAGGGACGTCCTGTTCCATCATGATCATTTTATTATTTATCCTCTGCCCATCTGTTTTTCGTTGGTGGTGGTGGTTCAGCTGCGGCTTTTTGCTTCCAGAAAAGAGAGAAACAGGCACCATGTGGTATCCTGCCCTCTTCTGATATGGAGTATCAGAGGTTGGATGGCCATCTGTCATGCATGATCTCACTGATATTCCTGCATTGCAGGGGGTTGGACTAGATGACCCTCGGGAACTCATCCAGATCGGTGCCCATTTCTCTCTTTCCTGGAAGCAAAATTCATAGTACAGTGGTACCTCAGGTTAAGAACTTAATTCGTTCCGGAGGTCCGTTCTTAAGCTGAAACTGTTCTTAACCTGAGGTACCACTTTAGCTAATGGGCCTCCCGCTGCCGCCGGAGCCCGATTTCTGTTCTCATCCTGAAGCAAAGTTCTTAACCCGAGGTACTATTTCTGGGTTAGTGGAGTCTGTAACCTGAAGAGTCTGTAGCCTGAGGTACCACTGTATGTGCATTGGGTAACCATATGATACACCACGCATAGGCAAACTCTGCCCTCCAGCTGTTTTGGGACTACAGTTCCCATCCTCCCTGACCACTGGTCCTATTAGCTAGGGATGATGGGAGTTGTAGTCCTAAATCATCTGGAGGGCTGAGTTTGCCTATGCCTGTGATAAACCATGTCCCTATTCACTCCGGGGATCAACTCTCATCTCACTGTATGTTATATGTCTCTATATGCGGCTTTATTCAGTCAGATCTGTCTGCACTGACTGGCAGCAGCTTTCCAGGGTTTCATATAGGAATCTATCCCGGCCTCACGTGGAGATGCTGCCGGGGACTGAACCTGGGGAGGCCTCCGGTCGGCCATTTTGGTAACAGAATGTTGGACTAGACGGAATCACAGAGCTGGAATGGGCCACGAGGATAATCTAGTCCAGCCCCCTGCAATGCAACAATCCTTCTCCCAAGGTGGGTTTCGAACCCACAACCCTTAGATCAAGAGTCTCATGCTCTGTCGGCTGAGCTATCCCAGACCTGGCCTGATCCAGCACGGCTCTTGTTACCTACGCGAACAAACATACATAGATTAAAGAGAGACATATTTATTTGGTTTGGAGTTGTTTCACTCCATCCTTCCACGTGTTCTCAAGAGGGATAGAACTGACTGGCAGATAGACTTGTTGTTGTTTAGTCGTTTAGTCGTGTCTGACTCTTCGTGACCCCACGGACCAGAGCACGCCAGGCACTCCTGTCTTCCACCGCCTCCCGCAGTTTGGTCAAACTCATGCTGGTAGCTTCGAGAACACAGTCCAACCATCTCGTCCTCTGTCGTCCCCTTGTCCTGGTGCCCTCCATCTTTCCCAACATCAGGGTCTTTTCCAGGGAGTCTTCTCTTCTCATGAGGTGGCCAAAGTCTTGGAGCCTCAGCTTCAGGATCTGTCCTTCCAGTGAGCACTCAGGGCTGATTTTCTTCAGAATGGATAGGTTTGATCTCCTTGCAGTCCATGGGACTCTCAAGAGTCTCCTCCAGCACCAGAATTCAAAAGCATCAGTTCTTTGGCGATCAGCCTTCTTGATGGTCCAGCTCTCACTACCACACATCACTACTGGGAAAACCATAGCTTGAACCATACGGACCTTTGTTGGCCCTTCATGGATCACTGCCTTGCCGTGGCGAAGGGGCTTGAATAACTCAGAGAAGCTATGAACTATGCCAAGCAGGGCACCCAAGATGGACAGGTCATAGTGGAGAGTTTTGACCAAACGTGATCCACCTGGAGCAGGAACCGGCAAGCCACTCCAGTATCCCTGCCAAGAAAACTCCATGGACAAAGACAACAGGCAGATAGACAGACTGGTATAAATGAGATCAGGGAAGGGATGGAGAGAGCGAAGACAGACACACGCCGGCGGGTGAAAATCCCACCGGCAAAGCTTCGCAGCGGATGCCGGCGAGCAAAGCTTCACCTGTTGATCTCCCCACCTGCCTCACACATCCCACCTCGGTGCGACCGAGCCCTGCCGCGGACTCCTGCCTGGGCTCGCGTGTCCGATGGATCAGCCTCGCGCGGCGATCCCAAGGGAGCCAAAAGCGCAGCCCAGCCGTACGCCCAGTCGAGGGCAAAGGCGCGGCGGACTCCAATTCCCGTGGTGCCGCGGGGCGCGCACAGGCGCACTGGCCGCCGGTGCCTTTGGGGAGGGGGCGGCGGGCGGGGGAGGGGGTGATGTCAGCCCGGCGGCTGCTCCCGGGCAGCCAATGAGCGGCCTCCGACGGCAGGTGGGCTTGGCTGGCGGCGCGCGCGAGAGGCAGCGCTGGCTGGCTGTCCATTCAAGCCCCGCTCGCGGCTCGGCTGCAGCAGCTGGCGCCGGCAGCTCCGGGCCGTCGCTTCTCCTCCTCCGCCGCCGCCGCCTCGCCACCCCGCCCCGCAGGCTGGGCATCCGAGGGGGCCGCTTGGATGCCCCTGCCCTGGGGGAGGCAGCGCGCTGAGCCCGGGCAGGGGCAAGCCAGGGCCGGGAGATGGAGCCGTCGGGGCCCTTCCACGACTCCGGCGTGGGCGATCTGGACGCCGACGAGTCGCGCCCGCCTTGCCCGCCCTCGGGGACGAGCCGCGCCCGTCCGCCGCGCCCCCAGCTTGGCTCCAGCGGCGGCGGCGACGGCGGCGGCGGCGGCGGGTCCCCTGCGGGCTCCTCCCCGGTGGCCGCCCTCCGCCCTTCCTCCCGCCAAGGGAGCCAGCCCAATGTAAGCGGCGAGCACTGGGCGGCCCCGGGCCACTCGCCCAGCTCCAGCGGCGGCGGCGGCGCGGGCACGGGCGGCAAGCACCGGCAGGCCAGCCCGCTGGCGCACCGGCGGGACAGCAACCCCTTCACCGAGATCGCCATGAGCTCGTGCAAGTACAGCGGCGGCGTCATGAAGCCGCTCAGCCGCCTCAGCGCCTCCCGTCGGAACCTGCTGGACGCCGAGGCCGCCGCCGAAGCGCAGCCGCTGCAACTTCTGGGCGCCGGGGCTCACCCGCCGGAGATCGTCATCTCCCGGGAGGACAACCACTCCCCGCAAGGGCTGCACCCCAACACGGCAGGGCTGTCGGGGACCGGAGGTGGCCCCCACAAGCACCCGCCCGTCGGGGGGCCCTCCTTCGCCAAAGCGCCCAAGCGCAAGAACCAGAACATCGGCTACCGCCTGGGCCACCGGCGCGCCCTCTTCGAGAAGCGGAAAAGGCTCAGCGATTACGCGCTCATCTTCGGCATGTTCGGCATCGTCGTGATGGTCATCGAGACGGAGCTGTCGTGGGGCTTGTACTCCAAGGTAGGCGCGGCTCCCCCCGGAGCCTCGGAAGGCGTGTGTGTGGTTTTATTGGGGGGGGGGGGGAATGTCCTGGAAGGCGCCTTCCAACCTCTCCAAAAAGCGCGCACCGGCGCTCTCCAAACCAAGAAGGCAATTTCTGAATCGCGACGCGTGACTTTGTTGGGGAGGGAGGGTGGAAGGAAGAAGGGGAGCCACGTCTAAAAATTGGTGAGGGTATCTAGCATCTTGTGGGGGGTGGGAGGTGGCGTTAACATATCTCAGTCGTAAAGAGGGTGGGATGGAAAGCTGCTCCCCCCCCCCCCGCCAACAGCAACCGAAGTTGCGCGCATGAATGTGCTCCCCATGGTAACGTTAGCGCCAATTGAAGTTTGCCTGGGTTTTCCCCTCCCTCCATTCACAGTTGCGGTCGATTCTTTTTGTGGGGGGCGGCGGAAGGGATGGCATGCTTAGGTGAGAGGGAAGACTCTGGTGGCTTCTTCCGCCCAAAATGCTCCCTTACCTCCCCAGAAAGAAGGCTTGATGGACCCCCCCACCCCCTTCTCCAGTAAGAGAAGGATACAGGTGGTATGGGGGGGGGGGGGAGGCTGTAGATAGAGAAAGAGAGAGAAGGGCGGGGTCACAGTGCTTTTCCCCCTGCTGTGTAATCCAAACCGTGCCTATTCGGAATTAAACCCCATTAAACCCGGCGGGGTTTACTCGCATGTAAATGGGATCGGGCATGCAGCCTGGAGTGCATTTTCCCACCTAGCCAGTTTCCATCTCTGATCGCTATTGGAAGATGCTTGGGGGTGGGGAGCAGGGAAAAAATGGTCAGTGGGTTTCTGCTCACAGTATTCTCTTATTTTTCACCCACCCCACTTGACTCTTTGGCAAGCACACCCTACTGCTGTCTCCATAGGAGAATATTCCGGGATTGGGGGGGTGGGCATTCGTGGCTGCCGTTTAAGGCTTGTAGTACATCATAGCAGAGGGGTGATGGGTTGCATTTTGAGAGCTCCCCCACCCCCTGACTCAGAGCCAAGATTGTCCTCCATGTTCCCCCTCTTTCCTCAATCGGGGTTTTCTATGGGGTAATCCGGCTGTTGATTTCTGTAGGGAGCTACTGGGGGTTGCAGCTGCTTTTCAGCTTGCAATCATGTGATTTTGACTAGTGTGTGTGTGAGTGAGAGAGAGGAAGATGATGGACAGGAAACCCCTTAATCATTTGAGACATGAGGCACCCGCCATGAGGCCCTGATGCTGCTGGGTTCCTGGCCCCCCCCCTCTGAATCTGAAATGCACAGTGGTTCTTCTTCCCTCCTTCTGCTGCTGCTGTAGCTCAGTGGCAGAGAATCTGCTTTTGCATCAGAAGGTACCTGGTTCGATTCCCAATGGCATCTCCAGGTAGGGAGGTCCCCTTCCTGCAACCCTGGAGAGCTGCTGCCAGCCTGTGTAGACAATATTGAGATCAGTGGTCTGTACTCAGGCAGCTCCCCATGTTCCCTTTTTGCCCTTTTCAATAAAAAAAAAAGCACTTAAGAAAAGCCTGGCTGGATCTGGCCAAAGGCCATTTAACATGTTGCTTTCAGTAGGGCACACCTTTTCCTCCACTAGATTTATGCCGGAATTAAAGGGCTTTGGGGATGAAATAACTCCTCAAACCCTTGTTTAGGGGTCCCTCTAACCTGACATTCGAGCTTCATGGGTACCAGAACTGTGGGGGGCAGAATTAAGGGTGTTGCTCTGGCTTGGTATCTGCTGAGAGTTTTTATTGCTTGGGAGTTGCCTTCCCCTTGGGGGCTGTTGGCTCCCTATCTGAGCCCAGTTAGCCTTGTGCTGCCCTGTGGCATGGCGTTCCAGAGGTGAACTCTGTGCCGAAAACCCCCCCTGTTTCAGCTCATTGATTGTGGAGATGGGGAAACTCAAAGCACTCTGTATGTTGCTGGACTCCCGATGGATTGGTCATGAGTGATGGGAGCTGGAATTCCGCCATAGGTTCTCCATCCGTTGTTAAAGGAGTGGTGCTGGAGGAACGAATGTTTAGAGAATGACAGTCCTCGGTTGTGTGGACAGCTAGATGCTGCTACCAATAATTGACATAATATTAAAACGTATTTATTTATCGCTAATTTCGTTTACAAATAATTTCCCAGCGGGCGTCCCAAAGCGTTTTGCAATATCGGGAAAGCATATATCAAACAGCTGCATGTGTTTAAAAACAGTTAAAATATTAATGTATTTTAAAGACAGTTAATTTTATATATAACACCCATCTTAAAACAGTAAGAACAATCACTCATATATCATATAGATACAAGCGAGCTTAGCATGTCAGACCCAGACCTGGGAGAGCAGGATTCGAATCCGCACCCAGCCGTGAAGCTTAGTAGGTGACCTTGGGCCAATCGCATACTCTCAGCCTAGCCTACCTCCCAGGGTTGTTGTGCGAATAAAATGGGGTGGAGGGGAACAATGTAAGGTGCCTTGAGCTCCTTGGGAGGAAAGGTGGGATACAAATGTAATTCATAATAATAATAATAAATTATAATATCATTCGTGCATATGATCCTTTGGGAGGGCGGGATCTGTTCTTAATCCTCGCTGCCAATTAATTTCATTGGGTCATCCCCCAAATTCCAATATCAGGAGGAAAAGGCAATAGCTTTTTCTGCCTACCCCCTTGGCACCACTCCCATTTTCATAAGTTCCTGTTATGCACACACACATCCCAAATCAGTCACCTTATTTTCCAACCTGAGGATGATGAATCCAGTGGCCCTTTCCAATATTGCTGCCTTCTGACTCCCATCTCAACAGGCCAGTGCTGGCTGGGGATGATGGGAGTTGTAGTCCAACAACATCTGGAGGGTGACAGATGTTACCAGCCCTGCTTTATGCCACATTTGAACCATACATTTCAAGCACCACAATACCACTTTAACCAGCTTCCCTCCCTCCTCCCACAAGACTTATGGGAACTGCAGTTTGTTAAAGGTGCTAAGGGTTGTTAGGAAAACCCCAGTTCCCTTCGCAGAGCTACAATTCCCAGTTCCCTGTTAAGAAGCATTGATTGTTAAACCACTCCTTAGGGAGGAAGAGCAGCATAGAAATTTTATATATATATATATATATATATATATATATATATATATATAGACACACACACACACACACACATATATATATGTATATATATATATATATATATAAAACAGACAGCTGGACGAAACTGGGAAGCAAGATGTGGTCATGGGGCATTGCCTGATGTTTGCTCCCCTCCGAGGGGCCTGGTATGGAGAGATAGACTGCCACGGGACATGGAAGTTCATACTTAGGTAAAAGTAAAGGGACCCCTGACCATTAGGTCCAGTCGTGTCCGACTCTGGGGTTGCGGCGCTCATCTCGCTTTATTGGCCGAGGGAGCCGGTGTACAGCTTCCGGGTCATGTGGCCAGCATGACTAAGCTGCTTCTGGCGAACCAGAGCAGCGCACGGAAACGCCGTTTACCTTCCTGCCGGAGCGGTACCTGTTTATCTACTTGCACTTTGACGTGCTTTCGAACTGCTAGGTTGGCAGGAGCAGGGACTGAGCAACAGGAGCTCACCCCGTCGCGGGGATTCGAACTGCCGACCTTCTGATCGGCAAGTCCTAGGCTCTGTGGTTTAACCCACAGTGCCACCCGCACACAGGTGGATTGATTTTGCCCCCTGAACTAGCTCGTTTGGAAAAATTGTTCCATACGCCACAGTAGTGAGGTAGAGAATTTTAGGCTTGGGGGTTCAAGCCTCTCTAACTCCCTCCCTCCCTAGGCCCCCTCCCCAGCCACGTTGTTTAAAGTCTCTGCTTTGTATCCTCCATGGATGTTTCTGTGTGGCTGGAATGTGTTCTTGAACTCTGATAATGCATCTTGTTTTCCTTGGAGGGAAGATGAAGATGTCGTGGGAATGTAGAATCGTACCGTTGGAAGGGACCTTCAGAGTCATCTAGTCCAACTAGACTAGTCATCTAGTCCAAATCTCTGCAGTGCAGGAATCTCAGCTAAATGTAGAAACTAGCTAGAAGTACAGAAGGAAAAATGGGCATCCGTTGCCCCGCCCACTTTGTCCTCTGGCCCCGCCCACACCTGGCATGTGGCCCCCAGCAGGAAATGTGGCCCTCAGACTGAAAAAAGGTCCCCTCTGCTCCTCCCATCACTGTCCTGTCTCCCTCTGTTCCGCCCCTGCCCCCATTTATGTGTTTGGCACTGTAAGCTCCGTGGAGGCGGAGACCTGGCTTCCCCTCTAGGAATCTCCCTCCGGGGACATCTATGCCTCTGCTTTTCTTTTCACAATAACACTCTGCAGCATTTCAAGGTGCCTTTCCTTCTGGGAGGGCAGAAAGTGGCTGCAGTGCTTTAGCATCTGACCAGCAGGGTTGATGAGCAGGGCTTGAGCTATATGAGTGCACAGGGGACTGGGGAGGCTGCAACTCTCCAGGTGTTGTTGGACTCCAACTCCCAGCAGCCCTAGCAGCGGGCACGGCCACGGCAAGGAATGATGGGAGCTGTAGTCCAACCAATAATCTGCAGGGCTAATGACACTCCCATCTGTGGCCCAGGCGAAAATATTAATTGTAGTTTTTTTATTTTAATTTTGCTTCTTCTTTCTGGCTTCTTGCTAAACACAGATAATGGGGGGGCGGCGTCATGTTCCCACGGGGGCCTCTTTTCTTGCTTTGTAAGGGAAGGGGCTGAAATCGTATGTGTTTTTAGGGTAAGAATATAATTTTTTATTTATACCCCGCCCTTCCCAGTTCAGAAAACCGGGCTCAGGTTTTAACAACAAATTTAAAACACTTAATTGATGCAACAAAAAGCAGTGTAAAATATAGTATAAAATGTATATAACAATAAATTCAGAATTCAAAAATCAATTTAGGGGGGAAATCCATCCAATAAACATTAGATGATCACCAGGGCTAGCTGGCTAAATTAGTCCTATTTGGGCCAGCGAGGAGACCAGGGATAATTAGCTGTGGGATCCCAGAGCGGGTAATCTTCAAAAAAAGGGGGAGGGGGAGGGAAGGAAGGGGAATAAAAGATCAGGCTAAGTTCAAGTTGAAAGCCAGGCGGAATAGCTCTGTCTTACAGGCCCTGCGGAAGGAAGTTAAATCCTGCGGGGCTCTGGTCTCATGGGACAGAGCATTCCACCAGGTCGGAGCCATCACTGAGAAGGCCCTGGCCCTGGTGGAGGATAGTCTGACTTCCTTAGGGAATGGACCCATTCACCTGCCCTAGATCCTATTCATTCTGAATTTCATTTTGATCCCCCTCCCCATTGCCTTTCCATCAAGAGTCTGGGGCAGACAAGGGGAAGGTGCCCTTTAAGATTCTGACACCCGAGGAACGTGCATTTACGGCTATTGCGACCTCTTTGTGCCACAGGACTTTTAAGCTCTGATTCAGAGAGTTGGCGGTTCGAATCCCCACGACGGGGTGAGCTCCCGTTGCTCGGTCCCTGCTCCTGCCAACCTAGCAGTTCAAAAGCACGTCAAAGTGCAAGTAGATAAACAGGTACCGCTCCAGCAGGAAGGTAAACGGCGTTTCCGTGCGCTGCTCTGGTTTGCCAGAAGCGGCTTAGTCATGCTGGCCACATGACCCGGAAGCTGTACGCTGGCTCCCTTGGCCAGTAAAGCGAGATGAGCGTTGCAACCCCAGAGTCATCTGCGACTGGACCTAATGGTCAGGGGTCCCTTTACCTTTTACCAGTGTCATCTAGTCCAAACCCCTGCAATGTAGGAGGCTTTTGCCGAATGTGGGGCTCAAACCCACGACCTTGAGATTAAGTATCCTGCTCTACTGACTGAGCTGTCCAGCAGCTAGGGGCCTGCAAACTCTTTGGAGCTGAACTCAGTACTGGGGGAACTGAGAGCGGTGTGGCAGTTAGAGCGCCAGTCTCGGACTGGTAGAGATATGGGTTCAAATCCCCACCCAGCCGATTATGTTCATGGGGGACAGGAATCTTGCTCCAATAACAATCTCTTGGCCTAACCTACCTTGCAGGGATGTTGTGAGTGTAAAGGGGGGTGGGCGTAGCAGAGTGGAAGGCTGGCAGCCCAGCAGTGGGTGGAGCCAGAGCCAGTGGGAGGCTGAGCCGTCCCCTGATTGGTTGTTGTTAAAAGGGCAGGTAGGTGGGATTGGTTGAGGACAGGCTGCCAGAATGAATCTTTCTCAACCTTGGGCTAATTGCTCTTTCTTGCCTACCTCGCAGGGTGGTTGTTGTATGGCAAGAAAATCTGGCAGCTGCTCTTTCTGCACATAACCTTCCCTTACAGAGATACAGCGCTGGGGGAAGCAAGGGCACCACCACCTTTGAGCTCTTTGGTGGCGAGAAATGCAAGGAATAAAACAAGCAAATAGACCTTCCTGGCTGGGTGGGTGTGAGACGGTTTGTCAGCCGGCAAAGCGCGGCTGCTGTGCACATGCGCAGGAGGCATTCTCCTCCATTAATTAATCTGCTTGTTCTGTACTGCATCCTAGCCTAGGGAGAGAGCATGCACACCGCGTCAGGCTTGCAAAGTTGTGGGTGGGATTGGGAATTGGGATTGAGCATGTGTCCAGCTGGACCTCTCTGTCTGGCTCTCCATGCAACACCCCTCGCTGGTTCTGCATTGCACCCTGATTATTTCCCACAGGCCGAACTGTGTCTTTGGATTCCTGATTGTGGCTGCCTCGATTCCCTGCCCCTTCCTTAAGCAATCTGCCTCCATGCGCTATCTGCATTATGGCTATAACAACAGTCATACTGCCCTGCCTTGCAGGGGGGTTGTGAGGATACTGTGGAGTGATGCATAAATGAGGGTTAGGGAAAACTGTGATTCCCCCCCTCCAACATTAATTGCATTCATATCCCACCATTTCCTCCAAGGAGATCAGGGCAGTGTATGTGGCTCTCTTGGTCTCCGCAACAACCCTGTGAGGTAGGTTAGACTGAGAGGGAGCGACTGGCCCAAGGTCACCCCATGATCTTCTTGCTCAGGTGGGGATTTGAACCTTGACCACCCAGGCCCTAGTCTAACACTTGAATCACCACACTACTATGGCCCTCCCAGATGCTGCAAGTCTCATAATCCCAGACCATTGACCATTCTGGCTGGAGGCTGATGGGAGCCGGAGTCCAGGAGACATCACTGCACCCTTCTGCAAGTGCATTTAATATATGGTCCCTGATTGGTTGGGACATGTGTTTAAGACGCCGCCGAAGCCCTCCAGGTGTTGCTGGACTCCAACTCCCATCATCCTTGACCATTGGCCATGCTGATGGGAGCTGGAGTCCAGGAGACATCACTGCACCCTTCTGTGAGTGCATTTAACATGTGGTCCCTGATTGGTTGGGACATGTGTTTAGGATGCTGCTGAAGCCCTGCACTACAGCACCCATCACCCCTGTGCTCTCTGGGGGCTGCTGGGAGCTGGAGTCTAGCCGCCTCCCCCGAGGGCACTGGGTCCCCCCCCCCCAATCCCTGGGATGAATGCTAAGATATTCTCCCTGGCCCTGATTGCTTCTGATTTCGACACCACCTTCCCCGCTCTCCTGCCAGGCTCGCCTGGGTACCTGCGTGTCTGCATTTAGAAGGCTGGGGGAAGGAGTGAAGTTCTCTGCGGGGAAGGGAACGTTGGCATGGGAACTCTTTCCAGGGCCTGAGAAGCCTGGCGGGGAGGCAGGGCTGCTCTCTGGGGACTTGCCAAGGAAAATCACACACCCTCACACTCTTCTCCCCACCACCCGGAAAAAAACCACACAAAACAAAACCCCACGAAGAATGTGTGTGACGCTGGCACTTTGCCACCTCTGGGGTTGGTGTGATCCGGAGCCTGCCCCTTGTTGCAACACAATAGCAGGTCCCAAGGTTAGACTGGGGGAAGCGTTTTTGCTTTCTTCTCTTGCCAGTTGGTAGCTAAATATATCTCTTGCCTTCTCTCCCCCCCCCCTCCAATCTTGATTCTGCATTCACTCTTTTCCCAGCTCTGAGGAAGAGCAGCACTTGATATCTTTTTTAAAATATATATACAGTATTAAGGAGGTGATGGAGATCAAGTCAGCTAAGCAATGTGAGCTCCCAGCCTCAAATCCCTGCTTCCTTGTGCGGGGTAATCTGTGCATCCTCAGGGGCACCCTTGTTTTATGCAGATCCTTACCTTCTTATTTTGCTTTTTTTCAAACCCCCCCCCCAGTTGAATTTTAATAGCAGCTTTCAGGAGAAGGAAAGGAAAGAAAAATAAAAGGAACTAGAAAGATTAAGTTGCCAGAGTTCCAGGGTCTGGAAACTAAGCCTTATGAGGAATGGTTGAAGGAGCTGGGTATGTTTAGCCTGGAAAAGAGGAGATTGAGAGAAGATAGGATAGCCGTCTTAAAATATCTCAAGGGCTGTCACATGGAAGATGGAACAAGATGGTTTTCTTCTGCTCTGGAGCGTAGGACCTGAACAAATGGATTCAGGTTACAAGAAAGGAGATTCCGACTGAACATCCCTCAGGAGATTGTGCACCTTTGCATTAGCTGAGATTCCTGCATTTCAGGGGGTTGGACTAGATGACCCTTGGGGTCCCTTCCAACTCTACAATTGTATGATTCTGTGATTTACTGAGTTGACCATTCCCTTCGTTACTTAGAAAAACATTAGTGCATTTTTGTTTCCTTTTTATCAACATATTTGTTAATCTTTAAAAACTTCATACAGAGGAAACAATGGAAAAAGCACAGGATGAAAATAGGCAGACCCAGAAATGTATCTGCTTGCTTGTTTAGATGCTCAAGTTTGTCACCTGAATCAACACTACTACAGTGGTACCTCGGATTAAGAACTTAATTCGTTCTGGAGGTCCGTTCTTAACCTGAAACCGTTCTTAACTTGAGGTACCACTTTAGCTAATGGGGCCTCCGCTGCCGCCTCCACCATGCGATTTCTGTTCTCATCCTGAAGCAAAGTTCTTAACCTGAGGTACTATTTCTGGGTTAGCAAAGTCTATAACCTGAAGCATATGTAACCTGAAGTGCCTGTAACCCGAGGTACCACTGTACATACCAGATTTTATCATCCTGTCTTGCCACTGTTGGAGGGTTACTTTCCTTGGTCCCTGCAGGCCCTGTGAGGTTCTGGATATTCAAAATGAAACTGCAGAGATGCAACAGTCAGAGCTAGGTTTCTCCTTCCCTTTCCCAAACTGACTTTTATTCTCTCTCCCCTGCTGATGTGTAAATAAATCTTGCCAGCCCAAGGTCTGGTTGGAGCTTAGCTGTCGTGCCTGTTATGAGCTTGAGCTGAAATCTAGGAACTGTGAAATTTTTAGGAGGGGTGATGGGACAAGTGAGATCCTGGAAGGAAAAACTTAAGCACTCCTGAAAGCTGTCATCCTCACTTTGTTTGTTTTTTTACCTGGGAGTAAATCCCATTGGACACAGTGCGGCTTCCTTCTAAGTAGACTGAGGACTGCTCGGTTAATCTTGTTTGTTCAGTGAGAGAGGCCGTAGGCACTGTGTGAAATTTCTCAAATGAATCTGATAGAGCTTAAAGATCACCATAGAATCATAAAATTGTGGAGTTGGAAGGAACCCCAAGAGTCATCTAGTCTAACCCCCTCTCAGTCTCCTCTTTTCCAGGCTAAACGTACCCAGCTCCTTCAACCGTTCCTCATAAGGCTTGGTTTCTAGACCCTAGATCATCTTTTTTCTTAAAAAAAAATATTTATTATTTTCCATACATAAATATAACAAAAGAAAAGATTGACAATAATAAAGAAAAAAGAATAACACAGAAAAAAGAAAGAGAAAAAAGAATATAAAACATAAAATGCAACAAATCTTCACTGCACTAACACTTAATTAATTAGAATCCATCTTCATAAACATATTATTTGACTTCCTTAAATCTCTTCCATCTGAATTTCTTAGTAATTATATATAGCAGTTTCCAAAATCATTATTTCATAAACCATATCACAGTCATAATCATATTTCGACCCTAGATCATCTTGGTCGCCCTTCTCTGCGCATGTTCCAGCTTGTCATCGAGGCCGCATTCACAACATACATCATAGCTTCTCCCAAAGAATTCTGGGAGTTGTAGTTTATCAAGGTGCTGAGAGTTGTTAGGAGGTTCCCCCCTATTCCCCTCTCAGAACTACAGTTCCCAGAGTGCTTTAACAATCGATTCTTCTTCCCAGGGAACTCTGGGAATTGTAACAAAAATAAGAACACATTCTTGTTATTTTGGGTGTGACTAGTGCTATACAGAGTCCCAGAGGACAGGGCCCTGCCCCTATGAGCTTACAGTCTTACAGATTTGACCACAGGTGAAACAATAGAAGAAGACTGGAGGCCTAAGTAAACAAGGAAGTGGTATGCAATGGTTAAGCTCAGTTAACAGACACATTTTGAATTTTGAGAGAGCACTGAGGGCGCCTGTCACAAAAAAAGCTGCTTATAGGGGAATGGACACGGCCTAACGCAAAATGGCTGCAGCATGACACAAAATTAGAGAGACAGTCACCCCATGCAACTGTATTCTTACCACAGGAAATCAGTTTTCCCCCGCTGATCCTGATTGTGGCGATTACACAATATTGATTTTTTTTTACACACACAAACTGATGCTGTTGGTGTCTTATAGTAACAGGGAGCAGCATTCCTCAGTACCAGGGAAAATATGCAAGGTGGCCACAGTCACTCTCATTTTGCAGAAATCACTTAGGATGTCCCTGCACATTTCTTTGTATTTATTATGGGTGCTGAGAGTTGTCGGGGTCTCATATTCCCCCTCACAGAGCTGCAATCTCCAGAGTGGTTTAACAATCGATCCCTTTTCACAGGGAACGGTGGGAATTGTAGCTCTGTGAGGGGAGCGTAGGCCTCCTCTGAAGAACTCTCAGTACATTTAACGAACAACACTTCCCAGAATCCTTTGGGGGGAAGCCATGACTGTGATACCATAGTGCAGGCATAGGCAAACTCGGCCCTCCAGATGTTTTGGGACCATAGCTGTCAACTTTTCCCTTTTCTTGTGAGGAATCCTATTCGGAATAAGGGAATTTCCCTCTCAAAAAAGGGAAACGTTGACAGCTATGTTTGGGACTACAACTCCCATCATCCCTGACCAGTGGCCCTGTTAGCTAGGGATGATGGGAGTTGGAGTTCCAAAACAACTAGAGGGCCGAGTTTGCCTATGACTGCCATAGTGCTTTAAACGAGGGTGTGAATATGGCTTAACAGAGACAATTTCAAGTAGAGGACCCAGCCAAACAGATGTGGTGGTAATAATGGTCACATACACCTTCCATTTAAAGCACTGAGTGCGGTAACCAGTCATGGCATCCCCCAAGGAATTATGGGAACTGTAGTTTGTTAAGGGTGCTGAGAGTTAGGAGACCTTCTCTTCTTCCCTTACAGAGCTACAGTTCCCAGAGTGGTTTAAGGAACAGTCCCTTCTCCCCTGGGAATTATAGCTCCATGAGGGGAAGTGGGGTCTTCTAACCACCCTTAACAAATGTCGTCTCCCAGAATCCTTTGCAGGGGAAGCCATGACTGTTCAAAGTGGTATGATGCTGGTTCACATGCAGACTGCAGATGAGACCAATCTCTTTCTGCCCTGCCAGGGCTGTCATTACCCGCTTTGCCAGCCAGACCAGGGCAGAGGAGGTGGGGGGCAGCGTCCACAGTTGAGGGGACAGCTTGGCAGCTTTCTCCTCTCGATTCCATGCCGTTTGGCTCAAAGTAGAGGGTGGCGCACCGCTCCCCTTGCTTCCCGCTTTTTGCGGTGGAGCTGGAGATTCCTGGGAGCTATAAATAATGCTCCGCAACCGCGCCTCTCCCCACCCCACCCCAAAAGCCCCAGTTCCTTCCCCCTGCCCTTCCCCGGCCAATCCTATTGTGTTCAGGAAATTGGAGCTGAGTTGGCAAGGGGCACCCTTTGCGTGGGCGGCTGGGGAAGAGGGGAACTAACAGCTGTGAGCAGAGGCGGGCAGAGAATTCCCTTCCACCAGGGCTGGGCTCGGGTGGCGCCTTGCCAGCAGTGCCCCTGCAGGGATGCCAATCAGCCTGCCTTTATCCTTAGAAATCTGCATGTTGCAGCCGTCTTCTTCTTTGAAATGGGCAACATTTTGTGCCGAAACCTTTTCCAGTTCCTCCCTCTCGCTGCTCTGCTTTGAGCCCCCATGGTCTCCCAACTGGGGTATGCCTTTATATTTTGTGGGGTGGGAGGAACAGAGTTTTTATTTTTGGAGGGCGGCTGAATGCAGAAGAGCGGCTTCAGGCTGTTTATTTATTGCATGCATATCCCACCTTTTCCTGTACCGAGCTCAAGGTGGCTTGCATGACTCCCTCCCTCCTCTGTTAATCCCCACAACAACCCTGTGAGGTAGGATAGTCCAAAAGGCCCTGACCTCAATGAGCTTCATGGCCGAGTGGGGATTTGAACCCTGGTCTCCCAGGTCGTCGTCCGACACCTAACCACTGCACCACACTGCCTGTTATTACATTTCTATCCCACTTTCCTCCAGGGACCTCCAGGTGGCATACTGGTTCTCTCTCCCTCTCCATTTTAAACTCTCAACAACCCTGGAAGGTTGGATAGGCTGAGAGATTATGGCTACAGTGGTACCTCGGGTTAAGTACTTAATTCATTCTGGAGGTCCGTTCTTAACCTGAAACTGTTCTTAACCTGAAGCACCACTTTAGCTAATGGGGCCTCCTGCTGCCGTTGCGCTGTTGGAGCCTGATTTCTGTTCTTATCCTGAAGCAAAGTTCTTAACCTGAAGCACTATTTCTGGCTTAGCGGAGTGTGTAACCTGAAGCGTATGTAACCTGACGCGTATGTAACCCGAGGTACCACTGTATTTTGTTGCCTTAGAACCGGAACCTTGGGGCCCTGGTCAGTGTGGCCAGTGTCCAGGGAATTATGGGAATTGTAGTCCAGCAACATTTAAAGTAATCCAGGTGAAAATAGATTTCATGCAAAAAAAAAACCCCAAACCCTCATAGTTACATGTGAGTGATTGTATTTTCATGGGGTTGTTATCTTCCTCTTGCTTGAGTGAAAGGTCTCAAATGGTCCCAAACTAGACATAAAATGAAAATGGGGAGGGGGAAAAGGTTAAGCCTGTTTCCCTCACATCCTCAGACCCAAGGTGTGGAATAATGGCAAGGGGAGAGACTAGTTCTCCCCAACAGCCTTGTGAGGTAGGCCCAAGATATGGCGACCGGCCCAAGCTGACCTCGTGAGCTTTGTGGCTGAGTGTGGATTTGACTTTTCCACCCTAGACTGACACTCTTGAACCACATGGTTAGAGTGCTGGGGTAGGACTTGGGAGACGCCAGTTCGAATCCTAGCACAGCCGCGAAGCTCACTTCATGAGTAAGGCACTTGGCTTGAGTTGAACGGATGTGGCTAGACTCCCAGCTCCTATCAACCACAGCAGCCGTGGCCAATGGTCTGATTGCTCATGTTTAGTTGATTTGATCCAGGTAGCGTTTAACAAAGAGAGCATCAAATTTTCCCCGGTCTCTTTCTTGTCTCTCATCTTCAAATACATAACGCAGCAAGGCCAAACTATTAAGGGAGACCGCTCCATCCCAATTTCTGTGCTTCTTCCTTGCCCGTTCTCTGCCAGTGAGTCCAAATCTATTCCAGGCTAACATAATAAAAAAAATGAAACCTTTCCCTGATTTCTCTGGCAGGAGGATTTTACCTCAGACCTTGCGGTCCAGCATAGCTACGTGTATGACACCCCTGTTTAACAAGGGGATGGAGCAACATCGGGGCTTTCAGTGTTCGGAACTAGTCAGGCGCCGGGCGCATTTTGCACCTGGTTTTCGACCACAAGTGAAGATGCCTGGCATCTCTGCCATTTTGAGGTGCATGCCTGGGGATCATTGGATCTGGACTGTTCTCACATACTAACACCCCGATCATGTAGAATTCTATCAGTTACCGATATATTTTATCTGCACAATTGGAACGAATTTCTGGAACTGTTAAGTTGTGGGTGAACATATCAGACAACACAGCGATTCTTCAAACAGCTCTTGTTTATTCACAGGCCAGGACAGAACTGAACTGAAGGGTTCAGTCAGCCTGCTTATATAGAGCTCCAGTACAATGTAACTGTAACAATTTTCTAAAACTATCCAATCACTGAACGTCACTTTCGATCCCTTATTTGCATAACTATCTACAGTATCGCCCTGCTGGCCCAGGGTGAGAACTTCAGTACATAACAGGAACCAGAATGCTTTTTCTCTGCAGCCTGAGCACGAGCAATCACCATTAAGAAAAAGGGGTTGGAATAGGCCAGTATATATGTGGACTGTCCCTGGATCAAGCGACTTTTCTTCTTTAAGTTCTCAAAGCTCTTAACCTAGCTCAGGGTTGACATCTGAACTAGCCAGATGCTTAGCTGAGAATCAATCACAGCCAGTCAGTCATCTGAAAAATAAGGCTTTAGAGCCATTTTGCCCCAAAATGGCAACTAGATGTTATATTATGGCGACTGTAGCCTTGGTTTTAAGGAGCCGTTTGGTGCCTAGCTTACATATCTGAGTTCCTAACATTGGCAGGCTTTATGGGTTAGAGTAGGGGTCAGCAAACCTTTTCAGCAGGGGGCCGGCCACTGTCCCTCAGACCTTGTGAGGGGCCGGACTATACAGTGGTACCTCGGGTTAAGTACTTAATTCGTTCCGGAGGTCCGTTCTTAACCTGAAACTGTACTTAACCTGAAGCACCACTTTAGCTAATGGGGCCTCCTGCTGCTGCCGCGCCGCCGGAGCACGATTTCTGTTCTTATCCTGAAGCAAAGTTCTTAACTTGAGGTACTATTTCTGGGTTAGCGGAGTCTGTAACCTGAAGCGTATGTAACCCGAGGTACCACTGTATTTTGAAAAAAGAAGAACAAATTCCTGTCCCCCACAAATAACCCAGAGATGCATTTTAAATAAAAGGACACATTCTACTCATGTGAAAACACCAGGCAGGCCCCACAAATAACTCAGAGATGCATTTTAAATAAAAGGACACATTCTATTCTCGTAAAAACATGCTGATTCCCGGACCGTCCACGGGCCAGATTTAGATGGCGATTGGGCCGGATCCGGCCCCCAGGCCTTAGTTTGCCTATCCATGGATTAGAGAAAAGGAGAAAGGTTGGAGGTGTGGATAGGGGAGTTTCCCATAAAGCGGAATGTTGGAAGGTTCAGGGCAGGCGAAAGGAACTACTTCTCTGCACATGGTTAAAATTTGGAATTGGCCCTGTGAAGAGTGAAGGCCACTAACTTGGATGGCTTTAAAAGAGGATTGGACAAAATCATGGTGGGCACGGCTGTGTTCTGCCTCCACTGTTGGAAGCGCTAATGTGCACCTGAATACAAGTGGCTGGGAATGGCAGGTGGGGGGAGTTGCTGGTGCGCTCAGGCCATAGCTGTCAACTTACAGATTTGAAAATAAGGGACCAGCAACCTCGAAAATAAGGGATTTTCGGGCAGCCCAAATAAGGAATTTTCAGAGCACAGGTACGTTCGACTTCTGAGCCCCTCCGAGCCAAAGGCAGAAAGCCCAGCCAGCAGCCAAACGAAGCCTCAAGCGGTGGTTCCCACAGCACAGCAACCTGCCAAAGGGGATGCAGCAAGGAAAACCACCGTCACCTCTCCGCTGGGAAGCGCTGAGCAAAGGCGAGTCCCCAGGCAACGCGGCCGATTTGATGGGCACAAGGCATGCAAGCTCCACCCCCCAGTCGTCCTTAGACTCCTTATTGGGTGAGCAACGCAGCCAAGCAACACAGTTGGAGCCTCCCTCCTCCCTGGCCGGCAGGGAGGGAAGGAGAGGAGCTGCTTCCTTTGAAACCCGGGAAATTTAAGGGACATCATCAATAAGGGACAGCAGCGGGACATGGCGCTGGAATAAGGGACTTTCCCGCCAAATAAGGGACGGTTGACAGCTATGGCTCAGGCCTTGCTTGTGGGCTCCCCCCCCCCACGTGTTCGACCAGCCACTGTGAGAACAGGAGGCTAGACTTGATGGGCTGTTGCTCTGATCCAACAGGCTGCTGTTATGTTCAGTGGGGATTGGCTATGTTCTGGATTGCAGCCTGTGGATTTTGGGAGGAAAGCGGTTTTGGGATGGGCAGGTGCGTGTGGGCTAACCGCCACCATTTGCTCTTTCCCCGAGCGATTCGCAAGTGGCTAATTTCAGGTCGCTTCGATCCATCCAGAGACACTAATTGGGTTTTGCGCTAGGCTGGGATGAGAAATATCTAAAGCCTCGAGAGGGTCAGGGCAGGAGTGTGTGCTCTTTGCGGATGGTACTAAGCATAATGAGGCTTTAATGCCTTTTTTGGTAAACGAAGGGGCTCTTTCCAACGGAGGGCTAACTCCTCTGTTCCTCAACGAGGGAGAGAGAAATCGATGGACAGTAATGGAGAGGATCAGAAGGAAATCGTTCTGAGAAATAACTTTGGGTTCTCCGCTGCCTGGAGGGCCTCTGCTTTAAGCTCTCCTAGAAATTGCCCACAGTCCTTTGCTCTGCGGGGCTCCTGTGCCTTTTTAACAGCTGCAAAAATCCAGCCGGCATGTTTTACCTCTCCCCATTGTCAGCCCTGTTGAATTTCTGCAGGAGGAAGGGAGATAACGCAGGTTCACCACCCCCTTTCTAAGATCCCCACTGTTAAGTTGTGGGTGAACATATCAGACGACCCAGAGATTCTTCAGACAGCTCTTGTTTATTCACAGGCCAGAACAGAACTGAACTGAAGGGTTCAGCCAGCCTGCTTATATAGAGCTCCACTACAACGCAACAGGAACCACTTCCTGTAACTATCCAATCACTGAACGTCACTTTCAATCCCTTATTTGCATATGTGGACCTGAGTGAAAACTGAGAACATCAGTACATAACAGTATGCAAAACGAACAATGGAAGGAGAAGAAGGGAAGTCACTGATATTTTCAGGATGTTAAAATGAGTGTTTTAAACTGTGTAACATAAAATTTAATGAAAAATCCCTTATTTGCATATGTGGACCTGAGTGAAAACTATCTACAGTATCCCCCTGCTGGCCCAGGGTGAGAACTTCAGTACATAACACCCACCACTGCTTAGTAGGTTGGGAAACAACTGAATAAGCAATAAAGAGGGATGGGATGGGGTGCATTGTGAACCCCGCTATCTTAGTCACACCCACTGCCAACATGAGGCCGCTGTAGGGTTTTGCTCTGAGCAGATGAGGCCCCCCATTTAGAAGAGCCCTTCTGTACCTGGCTCTCAACTCTCTTGCCCTTTAACAGGGAGCTGCTTTTCGATGAATAAAAATAATAAACGAGGTGCCCCTGAGCACATGCCAAGTGCAGCCCTCATAAACGCATCTCACGGCAAGTAGAGCAGCAGCAGCGAAATGCTGCTAGATGCTTATTCTGCTTTTGCATCCTGGAAAAGAATAAATCTTTATTTCTTTTTCTGTAAAATGAAAGAAGCCGGAGGGAGTAAGGGCAGGGAGGACGGAATACAACAGCCAATACAAACACGGTGGAGAAATGGAAAGGACACAGTTATTACCCAAGTAATATCCTAAACTAATGAGTGTGTGTGCACAGGAAAGTGTACTGGGGCCACCGAGGAAGCAATTACCATTAAAAAACAAAAATCAGTGAAGGATGTGTGCTCAGTAAATGAGGGCATGAATGAAAATGGTGATTATTTTCGTTCCCAGCTTTATTTTGCCCTCCAGAAACAGCAGGCACTGCACCCCTAGCAGAAGCAACTGATGGAACAAAATGCTTGTTAAGAAATCGAAATGCCTCCGCACTTCTTTGTGGCTTATTCTTCTTTTTTTTTGGAGGGGGGAGACAAGGAGACATGACTGGATCACTTTTATTTGACATTAAAACACCCAAGGATGTAAAGCCTCCACCCCCCCCGCCCGCTGCTGTTTCAGAATCATTCAAAATCATCTCCCCAGCTCAAGCTGTCCTTAGCTTCTGAGAAATGAGGCTGCAGTCCTCACCCAACTTACCAGGGAGTAAACCGCATTGAATTCAGTAGGACTCCCTTCTGAGTAGATGTGGTTAGGACTCTGGTGCAAGTTAATAAATAGTCCAGGTGGGATGAAGGAGCGTCTCCACCACCATTGTTCAGCCTGGACCCTGAGGTCCAGCTCTGAGGGTCTTCTGCTGGTTCCCTCACAGCGAGAAGTGAGGTTACAGGGCCTTCTCAGTGGTGGCGCCCGCCCTGTGGAACGCCTTCCCATGTTTAGGGAAGTTTTTAATGTTTGATGTTTTGTCGTGTTTTTAATATTCTGTTGGGAGCTGCCCAGAGTGGCTGGGGAAACCCAGCCGGATGGGCGGAGTAATAATAATAATAATAATAATAATAATAATAATAATATCCATGGGGTCTCTTCCAACTCTACAGTTCTATGATTCTGTGTTTAAAGTGGTATGATACTGCTTTATATATATGGTGCAGACAGCGGCCTCAGTTATGTGGATTTCAGTGAACGTACCATGAGTAGGACATGTACTTTTTGAGAATACTAAGGAAAAACCATCTTCCGCAGAAACTGCTGCTTGCCTTCTATCACTGTGCCATTGAGAGCGTGCTCACTTATGGCTTATGTGTGTGGTACGGAAGCTGTACTACCCAGGACAGGATGGGGTTGTGCAGGGTTGTTAAGGCAGCAGAGAGCATTGTTGGCTGCCCACTCTCCACCTTAGAGCAGATTTATGCCACAAGGTGCCATAGGAAGGCACTGGACATAGTAAAAGATCCATCGCATCCTGGTCACTGTCTCTTCGAGCTCTTGCCGTCGGGACGGAGATACAGGACGATGAAGACAAGAACGAGCCGTCTTAAGAACAGCTTCTTCTCCAGAGCGATCTCGGCCCTGAATGGGAAGCCCGGACTTTGAAAGTCATCTAATCTCCCTTGCTGTATTATACTGTATTGATTCATTAGTGTTTTTATGGAGCAGTCAAGTAATTTCGTTGTCCCCGAAGGGGGCAATGACAATAAAGATATTATTATTATTATTATTATTATTATTATTATTATTATAGTTTGCAGTCCTGTTATTATTGCTATTATCCATCACCCTAAAAAACCCTGCTGCTTCACACCCCTTGTGAAAGGGAGGAGGGCCTACTCTGCAGGGTTACTGTGTGTGTGTGTGTGTGTGTTGCTTTGAACTTTACAGCTAACCTCTCCCTTCCTTCTCGGTTTGACAGGGCTCCATGTTCTCACTGGCTCTCAAATGCCTTATAAGCCTTTCCACCATCATCTTGCTGGGACTCATCATTGCCTATCACACCCGAGAAGTTCAGGTAATGCCCCTGCGGTCCTATGAGTTGATGTTACATTGATTTCTCTATTATTATTATTATTATTATTATTATTATTTAGTATTACCAATTGCTTGAAGTTCCCCAGATGTTGTTGAACTACAACTCCCATCACCCCTAGCTAGCAATGCCAGAGCTCGGGGATGATGGGAGTTGTAGTCCAACAACATCTGGGGACCCACAGGTTGAGAACCGCTGAAAGGTTTCAGCAGAACAGCAGTCTTCTCTGGCTGGCAGTGCCTGGTGGGATTTATAGTCCAAAAACACCCGGAAGGCACCCGTGCTGGCGATGACTTTTGTGTATTTATTTATTTTTAATTTAACGCAGTTTATTTATATACCGTTTTTTAGCCTAAAGGGACCCTGAACGCAAGGAATTGCATATTAAAACGAAATACACACACAGTAGGGTGTGATAAAAGTGGCATAAATCAGTCAGCGAAATCCCATCAGCCGGGGCACCCGCAGAGAGCTTTCCCTAGCTAGAGAACAAATGGGTGCTGTCTCCAGCTCTTCTTAAGGACTAGAAACCCCGAATAGACTTTTGAAACCCCAAACAGGTCTATTAACATTTCTTCTTTATGCTTTGGTGAAGAGTTTCATTCTCGCTTTTCTGTACGCCACCTTGGAATCCCTTTTTGAGGAACGGCAGCTGAAAGATTTGAAGCTGCAGGGTGGCTAAGCTGTGGTCTCCTAGGGGTAGTCTGTGAATATTGGCCATATTGGTGAATATTCTGGTTGGGGCGGATGAGAATTGGGGACAGCAACATTTGGAGGGCCACTGCCCACCCTTGCTTTAAATGAAGAGTTTTGTGGGTGCAGCTTGAAGTAACCCCAAGTCATAGAAGGAGGGGGACTGGAATGAGGCCTGACAACTCCCAACATGCACCAGCCTGGAGGGGCAATTATTATTTTTTAAATTTATATACCGCCCTATACCCACAGATCTCAGGGAGGGCAGTAAGTGTGGGGAGGGGATTAGGACAGTTTGTCTTTGGGGTTTAAGCATTGCTGTGCAGCTCCTCCTCTCAGCCCATTGACGCCATCCTGCCAGTAAAACCAGATCCCTCCCGGCCTCTCCCTCAAATTTTGGGGTTTCTTTAGAGCAGGGGTCAGCAACCTTTTTCAGCCGTGGGACAGTCCACTGTCCCTCAGATCATGTGGCAAAGGTACCCCTGACCGATAGGTCATGTCGCGGACGACTCTGGGGTTGCGGCGCTCATCTCGCTTTACTGGCCAAGGGAGCCGGCGTACAACCAGAGCAGCGCACGGAAACGCCGATTACCTTCCCACCGGAGTGGTACCTATTTATCTACTTGCACTTTGATGTGCTTTCGAACTGCTAGGTTGGCAGGAGCAGGGACCGAGGAACGGGAGCTCACCCCGTCGCGGGGATTCGAACCGCTGACCTTCTGATCAGCAAGCCCTAGGCTCTGTGGTTTAGACCACAGCGCCACCCGTGTCCCTGACCATGTGGTAGGCAGGACTATATTTTTTTGGGGGGGGGGGAATGAACAAATTCCTATGCCCCACAAATAACCCAGAGATGCATTTTAAATAAAAGGACACATTCTACTCATGTAAAAACATGCTGATTCCCTGGGCTGGATTGAGAAGGCGATTGGGCCACATCTGCCCCCCGGGCCTTAGGTTGCCTACTCCTGCTTTAGAGAGCTGATTTTCGCATCTGTGTGAAAATATATAAAGTAAAACAATATGTGTGGATGTGTTGGGGGAGGGAGCTTTCCCTTTCTCCCCTCCTCCAAAATGCTTTGTGATCAGTAGGAAATGTTCCATGGACCCAGATGGCTTGAGATCCCATCCTTTTTTTTGGGGGGGGGTGTAGCCCAATGGGTGACAACTAGGCCTCCTCCTTGCCACTGTCTGGCTGTGGGTTGCCAAGGTTACTAGAGCAATTGACACGGCTTCCTGGCATTTTTGTTTTTGCTGATTTCATGTTCTCCTGCCCCCTTCCAGCCGGCTTGAATCGGGTGCTCACAATCAGGCATTGGGTTTATTTGGGGGTTTTTTTGGTGGGGTGGTGCTATGGGCGCTAAATTAAACCCACAACCTTTCATGCCAGGCTCATCTTCCCCATGAGGCATTTCCTCCTCCTCCTCCTCCTTTTTAAAAAAAAGTTAGACCCCACATTTGTGGATTAGGCCTTGCCTCTGAACATGTGCAGAGTGCCTCTCAAACGGTGCAGAAACCAAAGTGGGTGAGAGGCTTGGAAGTGGGTTGGGAGGGTCCGAATTCAGTGTGTGGCGATACCTGACATTTTTATGTATATACGAAGATAATTGGGTGGAAGAGGGGATTTTATTATTAATTATTAGATTTCTTGCCTGCCCTTCACTGTTAGTGAGGCGACGCCTCAGATGGGCTTGTTGACAGCACTGATCAGCGAGTCCATCTTTGAAAGCAACATTCAGGAGCTCTCTTGAACCTTTCCAATGCTCCTTTGGAACGGTGCCTTTTATTTTATTTTATTTTTTGCAGAAAACAGTCTCACAGGCCAAATTAGGAGCCGCGTTGGGCTTAGTAAAATCAGTAGGCCGGACGTTCCCTACCCCTTTCCTAGTCCAGCCCCGACTCGACTCTGGCTCCTTTACACCCCCCCACCCCTCAGCTGCCAATATTTAAAAGCAATGAAAGAGGAGCTGGGGAACAATTCACTCTGTTTTTCTTTCTTTCTGTAGTCTGCTTGGCCTTGGCTTAGAAAATCCACCCCATTCTCCTCCGCAAACGAGTATACCCAGTGGTTCCCTCTGAAATCCACCCTTGCCAGGGTCACCCTGACCCCATTGCTCATCTCCTCCTTCCCCACAGATTTTATTAGCTCTGCAGCGTGCCAGGAAAGCGATGGGAGAAGGAATTACTCCTTCAGCTGTGTGTGTTTTCCTTGCTTGTTAAACAGAAACCGCTGCCAGATGGAACCGATTCTCGGTCTGAAGCATTCATGGGGGTCTTTGGGTCCAGGCTAGGTGTTTGCTAGGTGTAGGCGACTGGCATTTTTGGAGTCACACTCCCCAGCACAACCCCCATCTCACAGAGACTTCCCCTATTGCAAATCACAATTATTTCTGTGCATTTCAATGTTATTTTGTTGATTTATTGCAGGCATAGGCAAACTCTGGCCCTCCAGATGTTTTGAGACTACAATTCCCATCATCCCTGACCACTGGTCCTGTTAGCTAGGGATGATGGGAGTTGGAGTCCCAAAACATCTGGAGGGCTGAGTTTGCCTATGCCTGATTTATAGCATTTATACCCCACACTTTAGCCAAAAAGGCACTCCAAAAGGGGTGAGGTTTTGCCCCTGCACCTCCAGATATCAAGCACAAAGTTGGGGGTGATTTCCAGACCCCCCCACCCCTTTTCCCAGCTCTAGGCTTGGGGCCGGGGAGGTAGTTTTTGGGGACTGATCCTGCAATGGAACTGTGTCTCTGAATCACTGCAAGTGGATCCAAAGCAACTGGGCTGCATTGTGATGTCATGGTAAACTGTGGTTTGTCATTTTGGGGTTGAACCTAGCTTCTACTGGGCTTGTGCATGCCCCGCCCCCTTTTCACCTCCATTTTTGAACAGTTTAACCACAGTTTAGGGTGTGGGTGCAATCTTAACTGTGGTTTGTTTGAAACAAGCTGACTTTGCAAACTGTGGTTTGAAGTTGGCTTGTTTCAGACAAACCACAGTTGTTTTTTTGCTTCGGGTGACAAGACACACTGTAGTTAATCAAAACCGGAAGAGGAAACCTTGAAACTTTTCCTGGTCAGACCAGCAGTGAGGTGGGGAAGAGAAAGAGCCCAGGGTGAAAATTGGGCTTGCTCCCATTTTGATAAAACCATGGTTTGTTGTGATGTCCAAAGGCAACAGCCTTTCTTACAGCTCCAAGGCTGGAAGGAGAGGGAGGGCTCATCATGCCCTCCAACAGAATTGTGGCCTGCTGTTTCTGTACTTATGCAACTGCTTCATGGCAGGTAGGCATTCAACAGATGTAGCAACTCAGAATGCTGCTGCTCTGTACCAAGAGAAGCTTCAGATTTTGAGTTTCTCCCCTTCAGACACTAAAAATAAATTGTGTTTGAGAGATTTGTTTGTGATGAGCCTGCACACTTGCCTACGTCTTTCGGGCTTCTCGGAGTTAATGATATTTTGTCCGCTGAACTCCTTTTTGCTGTTGTCATTGCTGAGTTTTCTGTGTGCTTGTCTTGCTGATTGTTTTATTTTTAGAATGCATTTTTACATAAGCCAACGAATCTGGGAAAGGTAGCATATAACGTTTTAAATAAATTAAGCACACCCACCCAACCCAAATTTGTATATCTAGTAAAAGCTGCCCTGATAAATAAATAGATCCAAATTTGCCTGTGCCCATTGGCATACATTATTTTACTTCTCTCGGGGCTCTCGCTTCTGAAATTTCAACTTTTGGCCCATGTATTTTTAAAACACCTATTTTGAGGTCTAGAACCATGCTTTTAAGAAATAAAGAAAGAAATTGGATATTTCCGGATGTGGAGTTACTCATCTGGTATAAAGCCTGCATTTTGCAATTATGGGGTCTCCAGAACCATCTAATAATAATAATAATAATAATAATAATTATACCCCGCCCATCAAACATTAAAAGCTTCCCTAAACATCTCTAAGATGTGGGATTTCATCCTAATTGGGACCAGCCCACCCATAAGGCAGAGGGAGGCAGGATCCGCAGGGACAGCAGATCCTGATGCTTATCTTTCTTCTCCTCCTCGTTGCTGCCGTAGATCTTCCCTCGCCCCCTTCTTTCCTGGTGCCATTTTGAAGTCTGTCTTGGGATGGCACTGGGTTCTCCCGTTGGTGGTTTCCCGGCTCGTTCCTCCCAGCATTCCTCTGCTTCCAACCATGACAGTGGCTGTGTTCTGCCAGCATGGCCAGAGGCAGCAATGATTCTGAATGAATACCAGTTGCTCTTGTGCCTTTCTAAACCTCTTTTTCCAATAAGGGCATGCTGGCTGCCTCTCCTGTTTCAGTGCCGCCACCAGCTCTCCCTCGGGGCTAGTCTGACGGCTGTTAACGGATTGCAGCTCTCTTTAGAGGGACATGTTCTGTTTGGGAGTGCGCTGTCCGTATCAATTTGGAGCGAGCCTGCTCCCGTGTCGGTGGGGGCGGAATTGGGGGCACATTTGTCCGTTGTCAGGCAGCTGTCAGCGGTCCTAAGACCTAATGGAGAAGTGAAAGACTGTAGGGGTGGGAGTGTGGAGTTAACCCTCGACACCATGGACTGGCTGGATGCAGAGGAGAGGTGGGATGCTCCAGCTGGGGAACCCCCAAAGGAAGAAGACTTAGAGCTTGGGGATGGGTGGTGGGACTGTTAAGCTGTGGGCGAACATATCAGACGACACAGCGATTCTTCAAACAGCTCTTGTTTATTCACAGGCCAGAACAGAACTGAACTGAGGAGCTCAGTCAGCCTGCTTATATAGAGCTCCACTACAACGTAACTGTAGCAACTTTCTAAAACTATCCAATCACTGAACGTCACTTTCGATCCTTCATTTGCATACAAACTATCCAATCACTGAACGTCACTTTTGAGCCTTCATTTGCATAACTATCCACAGTATCCCCCTGCTGGCCCAGGGTGAGAACTTCAGTACATAACAGGGACGACGATAGGTGGTCAGAGGGAGAAGACAGGGAGGAGGTGTTGCCCGAAGCTGAAGAGGTAACAGGGTTTAGTGAGCAGGGAGAATCTGTGGCAGAGAGGAGGCCCGAAACAGAAGCAGTAGCAGGAGAGAGGCCATGAGGCAGATATGAGTCTGGCTGGCGAAGAAACATGGGTGTCTCCCGCCTCGCCCCGTCTCCCAGGACCAGAGGAGGTATAAAGTGGGAGGAGCAAAGGCAGGTGTGCTGGCATAATCTCAGATTGCTTGTGAAGGACTGGGGAAGGAGTAGATTGAGGCAGCTGTGGGAAGGGGGGGCGTGGATCTTCAGCCTCCATAACTGCCTCGTAGGGGCAAGACCTACCAAGAAGAATCGCTGTGCTCATTAGGCTTGGTCCTCCTGAGCAGACCTTGTTTCTTCTAATAAAGAGTTGTCTTCACTTACTCCATGGGGTTTATTGCTGGCTCGCTTCTGACCCTTAGGGTGGTCTTTCTCTCTCTCTCTACAGTGGTACCTTGGTTTCCGAACAGCTTAGTTCTCGAACAACTTGGAACCTGAATGCAACAAACCCGGAAGTGACAGTTCCGGTTTGCGAACTTTTTTCGGAAGCTGAATCTGCTCCGTTTTTAGTATTCTGCTTCCGATTAGAGTGTTCCTCTTCCTGTCTGAGTGTTCCATTTCCGATTAGATATTTGGAGCTTCTATTTGGTGCTTTTGTTTTTGCGGCTTTTTCGGTTAATTTGTTTTTGTGACTGTGTAGAACCCAGTTCAGCTACTGATTGATTGATTGTGTGACTGAAGAAATGGATAAAAGCTGCAAAGCCAAGAGAACCACTAACAGAGCAGCAATAGAGGTAGTAAAATTCATGTTAAATTTCTGCTTTAGGGGTTGTTTTTAAAGTCTGGAATGGATTAATCTATTTTGCATTACTTTCTATGGGAAAGCGCGCCTTGGTTTTGGAAAGCTTTGGTTTTGGAACAGACTTCCGGAATGGATTAAGTTTGAGAACCAAGGTACCACTGTATATACCATAGATCTGTGTACAGAAAGTCTCAGTGGGGCAGTCCCCCGTCCCCTCAGCTTAATGGATCTGGAAATCAGGAGTGGGGAGCCTTCACCCTGGGGCCAAATACAGACCTTGAGACCTCCTTGTCTGACCCTCAGGACTCTCCCTGCATTAGTTGCTCCACCTACTTTTTAGCCTCTGGCCCCACCCACCACTGTCATATGCCTCTCGGCCCCCGAAAGGCTGCCCAGGAGGAAATGCGGCCCTCATGCTCAAAAGGGTGTGTCATACAATCGTAGCATGGGGACAGCTTTGTTTAGCACTGCTGTGAATGGGGCTGCCTTGATTATTGAATGAGCTGTCAGGGAGACTCATAAAACCATGTTCCTTTGATGGACCCCCGTGGGTGATTTACCTGCGGGGATGGGAAGTCGGCTGTGCTCTAGGCGTGGGTGGCGAGGTATAAGAAACAGCAGTTTTGGAATAACACGTACCAAAATACATAAAATCTGTCAAAAGAGCAGTTTCCTGCAAGGCACCCAAACCCTCGTATAATGTGAAGGAGATAAATCATTAGTTTTATCATTAACAAAAGTCATAAAAATCCTAACACTGTCCGGCAAAGTAATATACAGTGGTCCCTTGGGTTAAGAACTTAATTTGTTCTGGAGGTCTGTTCTTAACCTGAAACTGTTCTTAACCTGAAGCACCACTTTAGCTAATGGGGCCTCCTTCTGCTGCCGCGCCGCCGGAGCATGATTTCTGTTCTCATCCTGAAGCAAAGTTCTTAACCCGAGTTAATATTTCTGGGTTAGCAGAGTCTGTAACCTGAAGCATCTGTAACCTGAAGCGTATTTAACCCGAGGTACCACTGTATAGGGACGCGGGTGGCGCTGTGGGTAAAACCTCAGTGCCTAGGACTTGCCGATCGCATGGCCGGCGGTTCGAATCCCCGCGGCGGGGTGAGCTCCCGTCTTTCGGTCCCAGCTCCTGCCCATCTAGCAGTTCGAAAGCACTCCTAAGTGCAAGTAGATAAATAGGGACCGGTTTATAGCGGGAAGGTAAACAGCGTTTCCGTGTGCTGCGCTGGTGCTGGCTCGCCAGAGCAGCTTCGTCACGCTGGCCACGTGACCTGGAAGTGTCTCCGGACAGCGCTGGCCCCCGGCCTCTTAAGTGAGATGGGCGCACAACCCTAGAGTCAGACACGACTGGCCCGTACGGGCAGGGGTACCTTTACCCTTTACCTTTACCACTGTATACCGTATTTTTCTGTGTGTAAGACTAAGTTTCCCCCCTAAAAAAATAATGTCAAAAATTAGGGGGCGTCTTATACTCTGGGCCATCTCCTCCCATTTTCTTAAATCCGAGTCTCCAAAAATAAGGGGCATCTTATACATGGGGGCATCTTATAGATGGAAAAATATGGTATATATTGCTTGTCCCCTGATTACTTTCAAGTTATGTCAGTTTTTCTTGAAGTTGTGTAGGAGACTTTAAATCCCTGGAACAGCTCTGTCGGTAAGAGCACGAGACTCTTAATTTCAGGGTCAGGGGTTTGAGCCTGATGTTGGGCAAAAAAGATTCCTGCGTGGCCCGGGGTTGGACTAGATGACCCTCGTGGCCCCTTCCAACTCTACAGTTCTGTGAGTGGTTCAGAGGGTGTACGACGCAGCTGCATCTAGCAGAGCCTGGTGTGGCCAGGAGCCTATGATCCAGCCTGAAGCTGGGATGGCTTGCACGCTATTGCACAGATGGCCTCCTCCTGCTGCTGTGACAATACACAGCCGCTCCCAGCTGCCCTTTCACCTTGAGTACACAGAGAGAAATCGGCTTCGTGTAACTAAGCATGAACCCGGCAGCTGCGGAGGGTGCTAATCCCACCTCCTCGCCCTGTGCAAAACATCTGCTTTCTTCCGCTCTGCTAGGCTCAGCTTCCCTTCCCGGTTTTTCTCAGGCCCCCAAAACCCAAGACACGGCGTTTTTGATACTGGTGGGAGCCAGGAAAAAAGGAGGAGAATTTGCCTTGTTGGCAATTTCCTCCTCCTTTTAAGAAAAAGATGCCTGGAGATTTCAGCGCAGAATGCTCTGCTGCAAATGCAGGGATGCATTTCAGAAGAGGAGTCCAGAACGGGGGTCAGCCAACTTTTTCAGCAGGGGGCCGGTCCACTGTCCCTCAGACCTTGTGGAGGGCCGGACTATATTTTGAAAAAAATATATAAATGAATGAATTCCTATGCCCCACAAATAACCCAGAGATGCATTTTAAATAAAAGGACACATTCTACTCATGTAAAAACACGCTGATTCCTGGACCGTCCACGGGCCGGATTTAGAAGGCGATTGGGCCGGATCCAGCCCCTGGGCCTTAGTTTGCCTACCCATGATCTTGTCCAGGGGTCAGCAACCTTTTTCAGCCATGGGCTGGTCCACCGTCCCTCAGACCATGTGGAGGGCCGGACTATATTTTGAAAAAAAGAAAGAAAATGAATTCCTATGCCCCACAAACAGCCCAGAGATGCATTTTAAAGAAAAGGACACATTCTGCTCATGTAAAAACACGCTGATTCCTGGACCATCCGCTGGCCGGATTTAGAAGGCCATTGGGCCGGATCCAGCCCCTGGGCCTTAGTTTGCCTACCCATGGCCCAGAAGGATCAGGTCAAACTTTGACTGTCAAAGGCCCATCTTGTCCAGCATCCTGTTCTCCCAATGGCCACCTCGATGCCTCAACAGGAAGCCCACAAGCAGGACCCGGGTTCAGGAGCTGCTGGCCCCTACTGTGTTTCCCAGCAGCTGCGATTCAGAAACATTACTGCCTCTGACTGTGGAGGGAGAACGTAGGGAGATCCTAGCCATTGTGGCTAGCAGGCATTAATAGCCTTCTCTGCGTATTTGCCTAGTTAGTTCCCTTTTAAAGCCGTCCAAGTTGGTGGCCATCCCTGCCTCTTGTGACGGGGAGTTCCATAGTTCAACTATGCCTTGTGTGAAGAAGGACTTCCTTTGATCTGTCCTGAATCTTCCAACGTTCATTGGATGTCCCCATGTTCTAGTTACGGGTAGGTAGCCGTGTTGGTCTGCTGTAGTCGAAACAAAATAAAAAAATTCCTTCTAGTAGCTCATACCAATAACAAACTTAAAGGTAAAGTAAAGGTAAAGGGACCCCTGACCATTAGGTCCGGTCGTGACCGACTCTGGGGTTGCGGTGCTCATCTCGCTTTCTTGGCCGAGGGAGCCGGAGTACAGCTTCCGGGTCATGTGGCCAGCATGACTAAGCCGCTTCTGGCGAACCAGAGCAGCGCACAGAAACGCCGTTTACCTTCCTGCCGGAGCGGTACCTATTTATCTACTTGCACTTTGGCGTGCTTTCGAACTGCTAAGTTGGCAGGAGCAGGGACCGAGCAACAGGAGCTCACCCCGTTGCGGGGATTCGAACCGCCGACCTTTTGATCGGCAAGTCCTAGGCTCTGGGGCTTAACCCACAGCGCCACTTGTGCTGTATAGCAGGCAGAAATTCAACAGGTTAAGTTTCTTCTGGTACAATTATGGGAAGGCGTGCCAGGATCCTCCAATGCTCTGTTGGTTTTGTTGTGTATTTTCCTTGTATTCCTTTCTATTCCATAAAGACGGTTTAAAAATTTGCCAGCCAGCGTTGAGTTATGCCTTTTCATTTGTGGCTATGCATATTATGGCTGGCTGCAGTAATTCAAAATGATTCCTGGGTTCGGGGGGGGGGGGGAAATGTTTTCTAACCTACAGCAGCAGCACACCAGTGACAGGTGATATAACAACCAAGATGGAACAGTGCTGAGAAAAGAAGAAAGGGTTTCAAACATGTTCATTTATGAACAACAACAACAAATGAATAGATTGTCTCCCCCCAATCACTTTATGTTCCTTTCTCTTTTCTGCTCTTTTGGTGGGAGGGCGTCCATTTTGCATTAGAGTCTCACCCCTGGCCTGATCTAGAAGGGCTCTTCTTATCTTTGTATGTTCTCTGACTGCCCGCAGTTCTTCCCCCAGCACCCACTATTCAGAGGTAGACTGCCTCTGAATGGGGAGGGTCCATTCAGAATTCACTCTGGAATTCACCCTGCAAGATAAATAATGGCGAACAAGTTGGATAGCTTTGGAGAAGTTTATGAGTTTATGGAAGAAGAGACTATGTTCTCCCTTAGCATGCCTCTGAAAAACCAGCAGCTGGGAATTGAAGGGAGAGTTGCTGTTGCACTCAGATCTTGTCCGTTGTTGTTGCTGTTGTTGACGATGTTGATGTTGTTCTTGTTGATATCCCAGGGCAGGTTACAACAATTAGATGGATATTACATAGCTCAGAAAAAGGACAACAAAATGATCAAGGGGATGAAACAGCTCCCCTAGGAGGAATGATTGCAGCACTTGGAATTTATTAGTTTTAGATAGAAAATCTGAGAGAGAGGTGACACAAAAGCAATTTATGCTAATATGCATGGCGTCGAGAAAGGGGATGGGTTTTCTCCCACTCTCATAACCCTAGAACATGGGAAAATTCCTTCCAGTAGCACCTTAGAGACCAACTAAGTTTGTTATTGGTATGAGCTTTCGTGTGCATGCACACTTCTTCAGATACAGCTCATACGGTACCAATAACAAACTTAGCTGGTCTCTAAGGCGGGATGCGGGTGGCACTGTGGGTTAAACCACAGAGCCTAGGACTTGCCGATCAGAAGGTTGGCGATTTGAATCCCCGCGACGGGGTGAGCTCCCGTTCCTCTGTCCCTGCTCCTGCCAACCTAGCAGTTCGAAAGCACAAAGTGCTTGTAGATAAATAGGTACCACTCCGGCAGAAAGGTAAACGGCGTTTCTGTGCGCTGCTCTGGTTCGCCAGAAGCGGCTTAGTCATGCTGGCCACATGACCCGGAAGCTGTACGCTGGCTCCCTCGGCCAAGAAAGCGAGATGAGCACTGCAACCCCAGAGTCGGCCACGACTGGGGTCCCTTTACCTTTTTATACAGCGCAAGAGCCCTGTCCCCCCCCCAGTGCCAAACAAAGCCTAGGTTGCCATCCTGTACCTCCTTACCTGGGAGTAGGCCCCATTAAGAGACTTCTGAGTAGACATGCCATACCTTTGTAACACGAGTTTCTTAAAACAGTGCCTGGTGTTTAGCTCCCGCACAGAAAGAGGCATGCCTGAGTCTCTTTGTAAAGTTTTCGGATTTGCTTTTTGGTGAGCAAGGGGGATTTTAAAATTAAAAAACCATTCTACTACCTTTATTGGATAGTAGTATTTTCAGAAAGTAACTTCTATTTCTATGGGTTCCAAGCTGTTTTTGGACTACAACTCCCATCATCCCTAGCTAGCAAGACCAGTGGTCAGGGATGATGGGAATTGTAGTCCGAAAACAGCTGGAGACCCAAGTTTGGGAAACACTGGGTTAGACGTTTGGAATTCGGAAGACCTTCTTGCTGATCTGGCGTAGATCACTTGAGCTTCTGTCTGCTGTAGATAATGTGTGAACACTGATTATATATTTTTTAATGTCTTTATACGGCCATTGCATCAATGCGCTGTTCTATCCAAAAAGGAATCTGCTTTGTAGACTGGTCCAGGCTTTGGTGGATGGTGTGGAGGTTGCTGAAATGCAGGTGGAATTTCTCCCCAGGGGCTCCTCCCTGCTTGGCTCCAGGTGATGCAGATGTTATTGCTGTGTCTCAGGTAAAGGTCAGGCCTCTGGGGGAGACGAGGCAAGAGAGCTTTGTTCCAAATCAGACATGTGATTGAATTCTGGCACTCTGCAAAAACGCCCATGGCGTTGTGATGCCGCTCGTGTTCCCGAACCTGAAATTATTGCGGGTTGGCATAGAAAGTTGGTGGAGGAAATATGGGAAGGCCGGGAGGGGGGATGAATGGTTGTGCAATTACAAGTCTGCAACAAAATGTTGCTGCGTTCTGTTCAGCAGCTCTGTTTTCCTACTCTCCCTGGTTTTCCACTCTTGACCCCCCCCCCCCGGCATTTAGCATTCTGTGCTCATTGGTTTCTCCCCCCCTGCAAATGGGTTTTCCCACCTCCGGATCTTTTTATTGTTACAGAATGGGTATAGCTCAGTGGTAGAGGATCTGCCTTGCATGCAGAAGGCTCTGGGTTCAATCCCAGGCATCTCCAGGGATGTCTGGGGATGTCCCGTGCCTGAAATGATGAGGAGCCTCTGCCTGTCAGTATAGACAATACTAAGTTAGGTGGGCCAAGGAAGTGGAAGATTGGCAACAGAAGGTAATGGAATACGCAGAAATAGCTAAATTAACAGGGGAAATCCGACAACAGGGCAATGAAACATTTCAAAAAGAATGGAAGAAAATTATGCTGTACATAGGAAAGATATGCGTGAAATAGAGAAATCAATAGAATTGAAACAAACCTCATAATGTGCCATACAAATAACTTGATTGGAAAAATAACAACAATAAGTACAATGCAATTAAAGTAACCAATAGTAGTTGCAAATGATATATGGATAGACAATAAGAATTGTATATATAGAAGGATTTATTCATCTACAGACATTTTATGGACAAATGTGGAAGCAGAATAACTGTATGTTGTTGTTTAGTCGTTTAGTCGTGTCTGACTCTTCGTGACCCCCTGGACCAAAGCACACCAGGCACTCCTGTCTTCCACTGCCTCCCACAGTTTGGTTAGACTCATGTTTGTAGCTTCGAGAACACTGTCCAACCATCTCATCCTCTGTCGTCCCCTTCTTCTTGTGCCCTCAATCTTTCCTAACATCAGGGTCTTTTCCAGGGAGTCTTCTCTTCTCATGAGGTGGCCAAAGTATTGGAGCCTCAGCTTCACAATCTGTGCTTCCAGTGAGCACTCAGGGCTGATTTCCTTAAGAATGGATAGGTTTGATCTTCTTGCAGTCCATGGGACTCTCAAGAGTCTCCTCCAGCACCAGAATTCAAAAGCATCCATTCTTCGGCAATCAGCCTTCTTTATGGTCCAGCTCTCACTTTCATACATCACTACTGGGAAAACCATGGCTTTAACTATACGGACCTTTGTTGGCAAGGTGATGTCTCTACTTTTTAAGATGCTGTCTAGGTTTGCCATTGCCTTTCTCCCAAGGAGCAGGCGTCTTTTAAATTCGTGACTGCTGTCACCATCTGCAGTGATCATGGAGCCCAAGAAAGTAAAATCTCTCACTGCCTCCAACTATATATAAAATGAATAAAGACAATGCGAAAAATTTAGAGGCGATATAAAGAAGTCAGAAGAAGGAAGGAGGGAAGTCAGCTCTTAGGAGCAAGTACAAATGTAAAATGTAATAGAATATGTATATGTAATATGAAATTTGTAAAACTAATAAAGATTATATTGGGGGGGGAAGCTAGGTGGGCCCAGGGGTCTGCGGAAATTATAAGGCAGCTTCCTACGTATGAACTGTGCTACCTTTTAAGTTGTGTTAGTTTGCACTAGGGAAGTTTCTGGTGACAGATGTCGGCTGCGAGAAGCAATTTCATCTTGTCTTCTTTGCCAACTTCTGTGAATGCTGCTCAGACAGTTACTTTTATCTGTCTTCAAGGGCTGGGCTAGGAAGCTGTGTGTTTCCAGACTCTGGGCTTTGCACAAAGCCAAGGATTAGCTTTGGAAAGGTGGCGGGTCATTAAAAGTCTGCAAGGTTGCCTAACCTCATCTGTGCTTGCTGGACCTCTCCAAACTGCAGAACTGGCGTTGTTGCTGCTGCTGTTGATTAAATTTGTATACCCACAGGTCTCAGGGCAGTTCACAACGTAAAATCACAATGCAGTGGTACCTTGGGTTAAGAACTTAATTCGTTCCGGAGGTCCGTTCTTAACCTGAAACTGCTCTTAACCTGAAGCACCACTTTAGCTAATGGGACCTCATGCTGCCGCCGTCTCGCCGCTGCTGCGCAATTTCTGTTCTCATCCTGAAGCAAAGTTCTTAACCCGAGGTACTATTTCTGGGTTAGCGGAGTCTGTAACCTGAAGCATCTGTAACCTGAAGCGTCTGTAACCCGAGGTACCACTGTACAAAAACACAAAAAACACAACGAAACAAAATTACCTCGTTGTTAGGCTGAGCTTAATCTCACCAAAGCTTAGTAGAATTAAATACAGCCTTTTGCTTCTCCAAAGTCCCGTTTTGCTCATGCAAGCGATGCTTTCCATTTTTGTAAGCAGTTGATCTTTTAGTGTGGCTGCACCTGCACTTTGGAACTCCCTGCCTGTTGACACCAGGCTGTATTCTTTCTGGCACCTACTAAAAACGTTTTTTTTTAAAAAAGCAAAAGCCCATCCAGACACGTAGAGCATGGAGATAGAGGTTTTCATCTGGTTTTTAGCTCATCGTTGACTTTAACTTTTAAAAATGGTTCTCAATTGTTGTTTTTCAACGTTTACAGATAATTTCATTGTACAACATTGATTGTATACCACTTTGGGTTTGTTTTTTTTTTTTTTTTAAAAGCAACAACACACACAATCAAGTGGCATATTAATTTTATGAAATACAGTGGTACCTCGGTTTACAAACTTAATCTGTCCCTGAAGTCCATTCTTAAATCAAATCCGTTCTTAAAACGAGGCACGCTTTCCCTAATGAGGCCTCCTGCCGCCGGTGCCCTTGCACTGTTTGGCTTCCGTTCGTAGACCGAGGTAAGTTTTGCAAACTGGGGCACTGCTTCCAGTTTTGCGGAGTTTGTAAACCGAATAGTTCGTAAACAGGACTGTTCGTAAACGGAGGTACCACTGTAAATGAATAAAAGTCAAGCGGGTTGTTTGGTGACTGGGTTTGTTTGTGAGAAGGTGGGTTTATTCTGGGTTGAGTTTTGGCTCCCAGCAGAGGGGGTGGGGGCAAAAATAGGAGCCCTGAGCCTCAGTCAGAGGATGCAGGATTTAATTTGGGCCAAAGCTGAAACTGAAGTTAAACCCCAGAACAATTTTTGGGTGCCCCCTACTTCAGCGCTGCATGTAAAGTGTGTGGGATCAGGACTCTCCCCTCCCACCCATTAGATTTACTATAAACATTAGAGAATAAGCTGTGCTATTATAAAGACTAAGGCCTTAGAAGCAAATTATAGAGAATATTGTAGAGATTAAGACTTAAACCATATTTTAACCGCTGCCATAACTGTATTGTTTATCGTTATATTGATTGATAACTTAAACTTAATTTTATTGTGTTTCTGATTTCTTTAGTCCGGTATGTGAGTCTGGTCTGGGACCGTAATAAATTCAGTTCAAATTCAAACGTTAAGAACATCGAAAGAGCCCTGCTGGATCAGGTGTTGGGCAAAAGATTCCTGCATTTCAGGGGGTTGGACTAGATGACCCTTGTGCTCCCGTCTGACTCTACAATTCTATGATATTTCCTTGATAATGTCAGGCCAGAGGCCCGTCTACGCCAGCATCCCGTTGACCTGAGTGTGATAGTGTTCTCTCTACTTGTCATTTTCAGTAACTGTTACTTAGCGGCAAATATTTCTGGGGTGAGCTGTCCCTGGCAATGAGTGGCGGATTCTGGAGTTAACACCTGCCTGAGTTAAAGCTCCTTTAAGATGCAAGGGAATCCTTGCCATGCATGACAGAACTCTCCCTCTCCCCCCCCCCTTCGCTCTTTCATTAATTAGCATTTCACTCTGGGCAATTCCAAATGGGTTTCCTCTCTGAATTGCAATGCAATCCCACCACAGCCCCAAGAGAGACTTAAAAAGGGAGTGTTTGTGGTTGGGAAAGCCAGGCAGTTGAGCTTCTGGCATGGAGTGTGGTGTGTATTTATTTATGCCACTTGTTTTTATGCAACGAGAGAGGAGGGGAGAGGTTGTTGGTGTGGGCATGAGACTACCCAATTGTCCTTGATTTGTTTGGCTTCCATTATGCTTTGGGGGCAGGTGGGTGATATTGAGTAAGATGCATTTGGTAGTCCCTCCTCCTCTGTATTATTATTAATAAATCATCATCATCATCATCATCACCTCCCCCCCTTAATAAGATTTTCAAAAAACAAAATACAATATAAAACCAAACTAATCTAAACAAATATGAAGTGGGGAGGGGAAAGAGTGCAGTGGTACCTTGGGTTACAGATGCTTCAGGTTACAGACTCCACTAACCCAGAAATATTACCTCGGGTTAAGAACTTTGCTTCAGGATGAGAGCAGAAATTGTGCTTTGGCAGCGTGGCGGCAGCAGGAGGCCCCATTAGCTAAAGTGGTACCTCAGGTTAAGAACAGTTTCAGGTTAAGAACAGACCTCCAGGACGAATTAAGTTCTTAACCCGAGGTACCACTGTAATACAAAGTCCTTTTTCACAGGTAAATCTTAACTTGACCCACACAGAGAAAAGTGAATATATACACTACCCAAAAAAGTTATTGTAGTTAAGCAGACCTTAACCTAATATGGTATTTATCGCTGAATTTGTCCATGGAAAGTCTACGTTTGTCCACAGCTTGTTCATCTGTAGTGAGCTTGTATATACCTTCAATCTATTTGTTAAAGGGAACTGCATTTTTTATTTTCCCTGTTCATCAATACCTCTCTTTTTCCATAGTACTGTAATTCTCCTGTAAACAGTCATAGTTTCCCCCAGAGAATTCTGGGAGCTGCCTTTTGTTGCACTTGCCAAGAGTCGTTAGAAAACCCCCGTTCCTCTCCCAGAACTACATTTCCCAGAGTTCTCTGTGAAGAGGGACTAATTGTTAAACAATTATGGAAACGATAGCTCTGTGATGGGGCCTATTGGGGCCTCCTGACAACTTTCTGCACCCTTAACAGCTATGGCTGCCCCCAGAGAATTCTGGGAGTTAGCGTTCATTCAGATTAGGAGAGCCCTAATTCCCAGAGTTATCTGGGATGAAGAGAAGATCTATGATTTAACCTCTCTGGGGACTATAGCTTTAGGAGAGGAACGGAGCGGGGGGTGATTTCTAAACATTTCTCGGCACCCTTAAACTACAGCTCCCAGAATCCTTTCGGGGAAAGCCATGAGTCTTTAAAGAGGTATCATAGTGCTTTAAATGAATGTTGTAGATGTGGCCTTCCCCTCTGCTCTCTCTTCCCCTGCTGCCAACTTAGCATCAGGGAAGACTAATTAGGTACCTCTGGACTTAGGATGGGGTTGCCATGGAAACCCGGTGGCAACGCTCACATGTTGTTGGGTGGAGAGCCCGTCTCCGAGAAATAGATCCATTCTGTTGTTGTTTGGGGTAGAGGGAGGACGGATGTCAAGAGAGATCAATGGCATTTTCCCCCTCTGTGGGTTTCTGTGTGTATGTAATGGAGCCCCAGGCAGGAAGGGCCGAGTTGCTGGCTGGCGGTTGGCCCAAGGCCCCTGGCTCCCTTTAAATAGACTACAGCTGCCTTGCAGGCATGAAAACTTTCCAAGGGGGGAGCCCAGACGCGCTTCTTGGTCACGATGATGGTGGAGGGTGGGAAATAATAGTCTGCATTTCTCACACACAATCCCATTAATATACCTGCAGGAAATCTCAACTCCCCCCCCCCTCCAATGGGGAATATTTCCTGCAGGTGTATTAACGTGATTATCTGTCAGAAATGCAGGATTGATTAAGCATTGGTTTCCTATACACACAATGGAAGATCTCCACCTTATTGGCCACTGGGCATCCTCCCTGCTCTGTGGGGACAAAGGTTGCCTAAGAGCCCACTTGAATCGAGTCCCTGCTGTCTCTGGCCTTGCATCCTGTTTCTCACACTGGTGCTCCGGCCCGATGTCTCCAGGAAATGGACAAGTAGAGACTATTGAGGTGAAGAAGAAGGGGGCAGAGGCCGGAGAGAGAACTGTGAGTTGGAAAGGGTGTCTTTTCTTTCCATCTTCTTCAGTATCCTCTAGGAAACATGCCAAACTTTGGTACTTAGGACTGGGTGTGGACTGTGCGGCTGCCTGATGAATGGGACACAGCTATGGGCAGTCTTGAGGGTTCTGCAGAGAGCGGGTGGGGGGGTAGATGGGGGGGACTATGAGTGACAGCCAGGAGGCTGAAAGGGAAGGTGCGTCCAAAGTCAATAACTGAATATTGGTTTATATTTATTAGTAATTTTGTAACATTTTTATAAGCTAACGATGCAATTTTTAATACTTGTTGCTTCAGTTGTCTGTTGTTGCTTTACTCGGTACATTGCTTAGAATTACACACACACACACACACACACACACACACACTGCTTTTTTCTGGGGGTACACATGCCATTAACATTTTGTGAATCTAAGTTTGGCCTCATTGAGGGGCAGTATTTCAATATGAGTAGGAAAATGAGAGTACTCCTAAACATTTTTAAAGGAAAAAAAACAAAAACGGGTGTGTTTGTGTGTACATATATACATATACATACACACTTACACACACCCACACATACACATATATACATATATATGAATGTATATATATGCATATGTGGGGCAGTATAGAAATGGTGTAAATAACAATAACAATAGTTATCCAGTATAGCCCTAAGTTAAGGTCACTTATGCTTGACCCCAGTGCTTTTTTTCTTAAAAAATGTTTAGGGATATACTCATTTTGACTCAAGAAAATCACCATTTTATAGTTCAAATTGGGAGAAATAAGTACAGCAAATGGACAAAAGTAGAAAAAGTCACAAAATGTTTAGGGGGTAATGCTTACCCCTGCGTTCTCCCCGCCCCCCAGAAAAAAGCACTGCTTGAACCTATCCAATCACAAAAGGGAGGTATTGGCACAGCTTGAGGGAATCCCCAGAAGAACAACAACAAAAAATAAAATAAAATAAATCCTAAACTCAGTGAGGATTCATCATACTCAATGTCCATTGAATGTTAAGCATCTGCTGGGGAGAAACTGGGGCAGGACGGAATGGAGTATCGTGGAATGGGGCACGGCTGGGTGACTGGCAGACATCCTTTTACAAGATGCCCCACACTGCGATGACATTCTGCTGCCAGCCCTGCCCACCCATCTCTTCTAACCCTTGCCGTTTTCTCCCTTCCCTCCCCCCCCCCGCCAGCTCTTCGTGATTGACAATGGTGCCGACGACTGGCGGATCGCCATGACCTACGAACGTATCCTCTACATCAGCCTGGAGATGCTGGTGTGCGCCATTCACCCCATCCCTGGGGAGTACAAGTTTTTTTGGACGGCCCGGCTGGCCTTCTCCTACACGCCTTCGCGGGCGGAGGCGGACGTGGACATTATCCTCTCCATCCCCATGTTCCTGCGTCTCTACTTGATCGCCCGGGTCATGCTCTTGCACAGCAAACTCTTCACGGACGCTTCGTCCCGCAGCATCGGGGCCCTCAACAAGATCAACTTCAACACCCGCTTCGTCATGAAGACCCTCATGACCATCTGCCCCGGGACTGTCCTCCTGGTCTTCAGCATCTCCTTGTGGATCATTGCTGCCTGGACGGTGCGTGTGTGTGAGAGGTGAGCTCGCGAGTCGCGCACGGAGACGCAGGGGACGTGCCGTAGGGAGGTGCCTCTTGTGTGTGTCCGGCTGGGGGCTGATGGGAGTTGGGATCCAGGAATATTCGTTGAACTACAACTCCCATCATCCCTGTCTATAGGCCATGCTGTCTGGGGCTGATGGGATCCAAGAATATTCATTGAACTACAACTCCCATCACCCCTGTCTATAGGCCGTGCTGTCTGGGGCTGATAGGAGTTGGGATCCAGGAATATTCGTTGAACTACAACTCCCATCATCCCTGTCTATAGGCCATGCTGTCTGGGGCTGATGGGATCCAAGAATATTCATTGAACTACAACTCCCATCACCCCTGTCTATTGGCCGTGCTGTCTGGGGCTGATAGGAGTTGGGATCCAAGAATATTCATTGAACTACAACTCCCATCATCCCTGTCTATAGGCCGTGCTGTCTGGGGCTGATAGGAGTTGGGATCCAAGAATATTCGTTGAACTACAACTCCCATCACCCCTGTCTATAGGCCGTGCTGTCTGGGGCTGATAGGAGTTGGGATCCAAGAATATTCATTGAACTACAACTCCCATCACCCCTGTCTATTGGCCGTGCTGTCTGGGACTTATGGGAGTTGGGACCCAGGAATATTCATTCAACTACAACTCCCATCATCTCTGTCTATTGGCCGTGCTGTCTGGGACTTATGGGAGTTGGGACCCAGGAATATTCAATGAACTACAACTCCCATCACCCCTGTCTATTGGCCGTGCTGTCTGGGACTTATGGGAGTTGGGACCCAGGAATATTCATTCAACTACAACTCCCATCATCTCTGTCTATTGGCCGTGCTGTCTGGGGCTGATGGGAGTCGGAGTCCAGTGAAATCTGGAGGCCCATAGGTGCGACCACTCCTGCCACAGGCATCTGGGAGCCCAGGGCCTATATTTGTGTGGGGAGGGAAGAGGTTCTTCTATGAACTGAAAAGATGGATGTTGCTGGGCTCAGGAATGAGAGCAAATCATTCCTCCACAACCTGGGCCATTCTGTACCATACAGTTCAAGCACGTTGACAGCCATTGTTTCTGACAAGGATTTTTGGGAACTGCCATTTGTTAAGGGCGCTGAGAGTTCCCTATTCCCCTCACAGAGCTGCGGTTCCTAGAGTGGTTCTAACCATCCGTCCTTCTTCCCAGGGAACTCTGGGAATTGTAGCTCGGGTGTGTGTGGGATAAGGGGCCTCCTGACTCTCCCTTGACAAACAACAGCTCCCATGGTGCTTTCGGCGAAGCCGTGATTGTTCAAAGTAGTACGGTACTGCTTTAAATGTGTAGTGCCGATGGGGGTCTTACTCGCCTGCCCTAGGCATTTGAAACTCTTATGATACCACTTTGTCGTGGCTTTTCCTGTAGAATCCTGGGAGCTGTAGTTTGCTTTTTTTTTTTTTTAATGATATTTATTAAAATTTCAAAAAATACAAGAATTACACAAAAACAAAAAATAAAAATACAAGAAAATACAAAATACAGCAAGAAGAATAAAAAAAACCCTTATTAAGATATAACAAAGAAATGAAAAATAAAAAGAAACATACAAAATAAAAACAGTTAAAAACACATTAATTTTCCATAGCATATCTTCCTTACACTTATTTCCCCGGACCTCCTCGTACCTCCCTTTTTTGTATTCCAGTTCAGTTTGTTAGTTCAGCAAATCCTTACCATTAAGCTTTTACCCATTTATAAACCTTTTTTCATATCTCTTAAAGCATTACAGCTGGAAACCACTTAGTTTCTATCCAACATCCTTCTAAGATTCATTAATTTTACAATACTTCTGTAAATAGTCTTTAAATTTCTTCCAGTCTTCTTTCACCGACTCTTCCCCCTGGTCTCGGATTCTGCCAGTCATTTCTGCCAATTCCATGTAGTCAATCACCTTCATCTGCCACTGGGAGCTGTAGTTTGTTAAGGATGCTGCAAGTTGTCAGGAGTGCCTTATTCCTGTTCCAGAGCTACAGTTCCCAGAGTTCTCTGGGAGGAGATTGTTAAACCACTGCGAATTGTAATTCTGTGAGGGGAATGCGCACCTCGCCTAACAACTCTCAGTACTTTTAGGCACCCGGCACAGTACCCAGGATTCTTTGCAGGAAGCCATGACTAGTACCAGTGGTTTATTTATATGGTTCTATGTGTGCCAGCATGCAGTTCTGCCACCCAGCAACTACAAAAAGGCAACATTTGTGCACTCCTTTTGTTTCGTTGCTTTGCATAAGTTCTGCTGGGGGTTTTTTGCTACTCACAAAGTGATAAGGGCATGGAAAGGAAGAGCTGTGGTTCATGGGTAGAGCGCTTGCATGCAAAAGAACCTAAGAAGAACTAAAAGCCCATATAGTCCACTGTTCTCACAGTGGCCAAGCACATGCTCGGGGGAAACATGCAAGCAGAACCCGAATGCAATAACACTTTGCGCTTCTGTGGCTTCCACCAGCTTCTTGGGCTTGCCGATTGGAAGGTCGGTGGTTCGAATCCCCGGGACGAAGTGAGCTCCTGTTGCTCTGTCCCAGCTCCTGCCAACCTAGCAGTTTGAAAGCACGCCAGTGCAAGTAGATAAATAGGTACTGCTGCGGCAGGAAGGTCAGCAGCATTTCCATGCACTCTGGTTTCCATCACGGTGTCCCATTGTGCCAGAAATGGGTTAGTCATGCTAGCCACATGACCCGGAAAGCTGTCTGTGGACAAATGCTGGCTCCCTCGGCCTAAAAGCGAGATGAGCGCCGCAACCCCATAGTCGCCTTTGACTGGACTTAAGTGTCCAGGGGTCCTTTACCTTTTTTCCTTATTCAGAAGCACGGCTGCCTCTGACTGTGGAGGCAGAGCACAACCATTGTGGAAATCATCATCATCATCATCATCATAAATTTTTATTTGTATCCCGCCCTCCCCAGCTGAGCCGTGCTCAGAGCAGCTAACATCATAAAAACAACACAATATGCATAAAAACAGACATCGTTAATTAAAATACATCTTAAAATTAATTCAGTCAAGTTAAAATCTGGGCAGGTGGCAATTACAGTGGTACCTCAGGTTACATACGCTTCACGTTACATACGCTTCAGGTTACAGACTCCACTAACCCAGAAATATTACCTCGAGTTAAGAACTTTGCTCCAGGATGAGAACAGAAATCGTGCTCTGGCAGCACGGCAGCAGCAGGAGGCCTCATTAGCTAAAGTGGTGCTTCAGGTTAAGAACAGTTTCAGGTTAAGAACGGACCTCCGGAATGAATTAAGTACTTAACCCGAGGTACCACTGTATCAGCTTGGAATTGAGAGTGATTCAAGCTGGTCCCATGCCCAATGCCCAGCATTCCCAGATTGGGCTGGAAAAGACTCCTGTTTGGGAAAGCTCTGGAGAGCAGCTGTCAAGTCAATGCAGGTCAAGGGTAGCCAACCTGATGTTCTGCAGATGTTTCAGACTGCAACTCTGATTATACCTGACCCTTGTCAGTGCTGGCTGGGGGTTGGCAGGAGTTGGAGTCCAATGACATTTGTGTTTATTCAGATTTAGCTCCTTTTCTCCGGCAGCCATTCATGGGCCCATCAGTTCTCCAGCCAAAATTGGGTAGCATTTGTTGGCCAGACCTTCCTGTCACAAAACCTCTGCCACAGAGAGAGGTGGCATTGCCCGGCGACAGATGACTCAGGACGAACCAGCTGCCTCCGATTGGCAGGAGAGGCCTCTGGCGAGCAGAGCACGAGACAGGCGACCCCCGCCTTCAGCCGTCAGCCTGGTTCCCGTTTTGACAGGGGATCGGTTTAAAGCGGCAACTGCATTTCTGCTCTTTTCACCCGTCCCCAGAAAACCTCAGCCACCCACCCACCCAAAAAGACCTGTTGCCACGGGCAAAAGTCAACCCGCAGTTGAAGAAGACAAACAAAAAAAAAAACCCTCCCAAAGATGCGAGATTGTGTGTGCCATTCTCCCAACCGTTTGCGAGGCTGGGTGCCAAGGAAGAGTCACCACTGGTGGGCATTCCTGCAAAAATAATAATTAAGGGAAAGGACTGACTAAGCCTTGCCCCCACCCCAAACGCCCACGACCTCATTAGTGCCTGGCAAGCGATGGGAGCGGCTTAGAGGGTGGAATATACCCCTGTTGCCAGGCTCCCTAGCAGCCAGGCTCCCTGGGAAGTGGATGGAGAAGGGAGAGAAGAATGAAAGACTCAGCGAGCGGCGGATCTTTGCCAAGGTGGGGGAGGTTGGCAGGATGCCAGCGGGTGCCCTGCGGAACGCCAGATGCCAACAATTCTCTAGCTGCCAGCTTCTTTTACTCCCCCTTCGCCTTCCACACTGAGTAATCCGGTCCACCCTAATTCCACGTGTGTGCGTTTAAGAAGAAGAAGAAAAACGATTCATTCTCCACATTCTATCTATCTATATCTATATCTATATCTATATCTATATCTATATCTATATCTATATCTATCATCGATCCATCTATCTATCTATCTATCCATCCATCTATCCATCTATCCATCTATCTATCTATCTATCTATCTATCTATCTATCTATCTATCATCTATCTCTATCTATCTATCTATCTATCTATCTATCTATAGTGGTACCTCGGGTTAAGTACTTAATTCGTTCTGGAGGTCTGTTCTTAACCTGAAACTGTTCTTAACCTGAAGCACCACTTTAGCTAATGAGGCCTCCCGCTGCCGCTGTGCCACCGGAGCACGATTTTTGTTTTCATCCTGAAGCAAAGTTCTTAACCCGAGGTAATATTTCTGGGTTAGAGGAGTCTGTAACCTGAAGCGTATGTAACCCGAGGTACCACTCTATCTATCTATCTATCTATCTATCTATCTGTCTATCTATCTATCTAATCTGCACCCTGCCTTTTTTCTCCAAAGAGCTTGAGGTGGCCTACGTGGCTCTCTCCCTTCTCATTTAATCTCCATGACAACCCTTTGAGGTAGGTTAGGCTGAGAGGACACAGGGACTGTCTTAAAGTTGCGCCCAGTGAACTTTTGTGGATGAGATGAAGGTTTGAACCCTGGTCTCCCGGGTCCTAGTCAGGTTGGATAGCTCAGTTGGTTTGAGCGTGGTGCTGATAACGTCGAGGTTGCAGCTTCGATCCCCGCAGGAGACATCTGCATATTCCTGCATTGCAGGGGGTCAGATGAGATTATCCTTAGGGTCCCTTCCAACTCTGATTCTAGTCCGATGCTGTAACCACCACACCATGCTGGCTCCCCAGTGGATAATGTCTACCTGCCCTGTAGGAGGCAGTGGTATGCTGGGCATCGCAGGCTTGGTGTGTGTTGTGCTCAGGTCCTGCTTGCAGGCTTTCCAAGAGGCAACTGGTTGGCCACTGGGAGAACTGGATCCTGGGACTAGATTGGCCATTGGCCTGATCCAGAAGAGCTGATCTAGGTTCTTAGGAAGCCCTTTAAGGGTCAACATCAACATCAACACAACAGTCATTTTGCAGATGCAATTCATGGCCACTTGTTGTTGTTGTTTAGTTGTTTAGTCATGTCTGACTCTTCGTGACCCCATGGACCAGAGCACGCCAGGCACTCCTGTCTTCCACTGCTTCCTGCAGTTTGGTCAAACTCATGCTGGTAGCTTCAAGAACACTGTCCAACCATCTCATCCTCTGTCATCCCCTTCTGCTTGTGCCCTCCATCTTTCCCAACATCAGGGTCTTTTCCAGGGAGTCTTCTCTTCTCATGAGGTGGCCAAAGTATTGGAGCCTCAGCTTCATGATCTGCCCTTCCAGTGAGCACTCAGGACTGATTCCCTTCAGAATGGAGAGGTTTGATCTTCTTGCAGTCCATGGGACTCTCAAGAGTCTCCTCCAGCACCAGAATTCAAAAGCATCCATTCTTCGGCGATCAGCCTTCTTTATGGTCCAGCTTTCACTTCCATATATCACTACTGGGAAAACCATAGCCTTAACTGTACGGACCTTTGTTGGCAAGGTGATGTCTCTGCTTTTGTTGTTGTTGTTAGGACGCCCATTTAGGCTTCATTCCTGCTGGTGAACAAACAGCAATCTTTAATCAGGACTACACCTGGTAGGAAGCAGATGCTCCACCAGTGAACTACATCCCTTCTGAGGAACATAGGGATCTGCCTTCTACTGAGTCCACCCAACTCAGTATTGTCCACACTGACTGGCAGCGCCTCTCCAGGGTTCCAGGCAGGGACACTTCCCAGCCCTACGTGACAATGCTGGGGATTTTCCTTCATGCAAGGACCGTCTGCACGCAAGGCAGATGTTGTACCACAGGCAGAGATGCAGCTGCAGGGAAAGGGTCAAGTTAAACACAGACATCCCTTTCTACCTCTGTTTCTCTGCTTGCAAGGGGTCGATCTGTTCAGTGGTAGGGGAGGGGTGGTGTTTAACTTGACCCTCATCTCTTCCTCTTTGCAAAGGGGTGTGCGGACAGCCTAGCTCTAGGAGTCTAGCATGCAGAAGGCTTGCTCTTTTTCCTTGGAAAGGAACCCCCACCCACTCAACACGCGCCAAACGCAGTGTGGAGAGAAACCGTTTGCCGGGGGCCGACAGTGAGGCAGTGTGCATGTGCGTGAGAATATGCATGCGCACGCCAAGGGTCCAGATGTTTTCACCGAAAGCAGGAACAGCTCACATGAGAGCAACAACTGGCCTCCAACCAGACCCCCCCATAAAAAACTCCCAAAGGGACAGAACAGAAATTTGGCCGCCGGTGCCAAGTGCAGATATCATCTGCTCTCTGTGGACACCCAGCCTTGTTTGTTTCCTTGGTTGTCCTCCCCTCTTCTTCCCCACACCCAGCAAGAGGGAGGAGTAGGGAGGGAGGGAGTTTCCTTCCATGGCTGTGGTACCCCAAATTAACAAATCTGCTAAGCGCTGCTAAACAGGGCAAGGCTGGCTCAGTTGAGGAGGCCTCTGTTCTGACTGTCACTGTCTGTTGTTTTGTGTTTTAAAAAAGGAAAATACAGTGGTACCTTGGGTTAAATATGCTTCAGGTTGCATACGCTTCAGGTTACAGACTCTGCTAACCCAGAAATAGTGCTTCAGGTTAAGAACTTTGCTTCAGGATGAGAAAAGAAATTGTGCTCTGGAGGCCCCATTAGCTAAAGTGGTGCTTCAGGTTAAGAACAGTTTCAGGTTAAGAACAGACCTCCGGAACAAATTAAGTACTTAACCTGAGGTACCACTGTAGAGAGATGGAGGGCATAGAAAACAGGTGGGGTGGTGGGGAAGGGGTTAAGATAACCGCCACTCGAATTGGGGGGGGGGGGAGAGAAAGGGTTATGTTAACCACCACCCAGAGAGGTGTGTATGAGGGATGGGGTGAAGTTAACCACCCCTTGAATGAGTGTATGTGAGGGAAGGGGTTCAGTTAACCACCACTCGAAGGACAGGTGAAGGAGGAGGCAGAGGGTTTAGTTAGCCACCTCCCCTTCCTGCCTGCGGTTTTTCCTCTACTAAAAATACCCTTCCGCTGTGCTATGGCATTATTCAGCAGATACGGAGCTGGGAACCGGCACCCCATGTTTGGAATAAATGTGCAGTTAGAGAGATGCACAAACACACTCTCTCACTTTCTCTCTCGCACACACATGGAGCCTTGGTGTTCACAAACAGCCTTGTACAGGAGTTGCATGGGGAAGAATCGTGAGGAATGGGGGGGCAGATAGCACGCACATGGGGTGCAGGCGGGACTCCCTGGCAACTGGGGAAAAGAGCCAGGAATAACCACCTGCCTTGCAGAGTAGCTCTAATTTAGAAAATGGGGAATGAGCAGGGATGCGGCGGGGACAAAAAGGCATGTGTCGATCGGTTTTTAAAAACCCGTTCTGCTCAAGGGATCTCTCTTTTGAGTTGCTGCAGGAGACTGGCACTGGCCGGCACTCTGGCACCACATTTCTTATGCGCCCCCCCCAGGCATGCACGCCCCCCCCCAGTCATTGCCCCACCCACCCACTCATTCATGGCTTAGCAGCAGAGCTTGCCCTGCAGGAGATCCCAGCTTCAATCCCCAATGGCCTCTCCAGGTCAGGCTAGGAAACCCTGCTTGCAACCCCGGGGAGCTGCTGCCGGTCAGTGCGGACCATGCTGACCTGGATGGACCAGTCCTCCGACACAGTGTAGTGCACGACTGTAGCTCAGCGGTAGAGCGTCGGTTGATTGCAAGTCCAAGATATCTAAGTAGGGCTGGGAATGCCCTTCGTCTGAAACTTTGGAGAGCTACTGCTGGTCAGTGTAGACAGTATGGAGCTAGATGGACTCAGTATAAAGCAGTTTCCGATTCTCTTTAAAATCAGGTATTGGTGCAAAAACATGAGGACTGGTATCTTTGTAGGAAGGGGCTTGTGAATAGGGTGTACTGGGGGGAAAGTAGCTTGGATCCTGGCCAGCTTTCTGGCTGCCCCTCATTTTTAAAGGGTAGAAAGGCAGTGGGTGCCGCAATAAAATGTTTCAGCAGGAAATGTTCCTGCCCAGGGTGCCAGCCACTTATCGCTGCCATTTTATCCTCTTCTTTTTCCCCTATGAATCCATCAGTCTTCTGTGCCTGCTGAACATGCTCAGTCCTCAATGGTTTGCTTTTTTGGAGAGGGGGTTCCCCTCCTTGTAGAATTCCTTCCAATTTCATTTTTGTACTGTTGCAAAATTTGGGGTTTCCCTCAAACCACTTCTGTTTCTCTTGCACCTAGTGTTGTTTTGGTTACATGAGGATACAGCTGGCAGAATGAATTTGCTTACAGTGGTACCTCGGGTTACATACGCTTCAGGTTACATACACTTCAGGTTACAGACTCCACTAACCCAGAAATAGTGCTTCAGGTTAAGAACTTTGCTTCAGGATGAGAACAGAAATCGTGCTCCGGCGGCGCAGCAGCAGCAGCAGCAGCAGCAGCAGCAGCAGGAGGCCCCATTAGCTAAAGTGGTGCTTCAGGTTAAGAACAGTTTCAGGTTAAGTACAGACCTCCGGAACAATTTAAGTACTTAACCTGAGGTACCACTGTATTAATATATAGCAGCGGGGGTGGGGGGACCTTTTCCAAAGCCCAAGAGCTGATTCCACCCCCTTTTTAAAAATGCATTTTCCATTTTTCTATTTACAAATCATACTTTACTATCAAATATTCTTTCCATATAGCCTTCCAAGGCATTCGGAATACATCCACTATTGCTGCATATCCATATATTAATTCACCCTACTTTTTCCCTTCCAGTCCTTCTTTGTATTTGTTGTTCAGAGGATTACCCCTATTTGTAGTTTCGATTTAGCATCAACTCCCCAAAAGTTTCCCCATTAGCCCTTCATTTGTTTTCCATCCTGATTCCTTATTTTGGCTGTTGTGCTCGTGAGTTTGGCATCTTCTGTCAATTCATACAGCCATTGTTCTTTTGTTGATATTTGTTTTCCTTTCCAACTTTTAGCATGCACTATTCCAGCCGCCGCTGTTGCATAAAGAAATAAATTGAGTACCCTCGAGGGGAGCTCATCACCAATTATCGCTAATAGAAAGGTTTCTGGTTTCTTTGGAAATGCATTTTTTTTAATTTTTTTTTTTTAAAAAGCTCACCATAGACCATCTCTTAGTATTTGGTGGCATAGTATTTGCCACCACCTATGTATAATAATAATTTTTTATTTATACCCCGCCCTTCCCTGTTAAAAAACCGGGCTCAGGGCAGCTAACAACAAATTTAAAACACTTAATTATAAAAGCAGCATTAAATACAGGATAAAAACATGAATAACAATAAAATTCAAAATTCAAAAATCAATTTAGGGGAAATAAGCATTAGATATGTATGAAAGATCCCTCAATCTCTTCACATTTCCAACACAGTTTGGACCCTCTCTTGTACATTTTAACCAATTGACTGGGTGTCAGATACCAAGAGACTTTTTTGTATGCTTTCCTTTATCAAATAGCAGGCGGAACAGTTTATGGTTTTGTTCCAGGGCTTTTCCCAGGCTATGATTTCGATGTTATACCCCAGGCATAGGCAAACTCCGGTCCTCCAGATGTTTGGGACTACAATTCCCATCATCCCTGACCACTGGCCCTGTTAGCTAGGGTTGATGGGAATTGTAGTCCTAAAACATCTGGAGGGCCGAGTTTGCCTATGCCTGTTATACTTGATACCTATAGCCCAGTGTACCATTGCGCCGGAGGCCTGCATTCCCATCTGGGCAACATTCTGGGGGCCACATGCCACTGACGGTCAGGACCGGGGCAGAAATGGGCAGTTCAATGAATATAAATAAAACAATAATAGATTGCAGCCAGGGCCAGCCACAACAGTTTTATAATCTCCACATCCGCCTTTGAAGTTATATCTGTGATCTATTTCTCAGCTTGGTTTCAGTGACGTGCTGGCAGACATCCTTGAGACTTCTCTTTGCATTTGCGAGCGCCTCTTGAGGATGTGCAGAGTGCACAGCTGAGCAGCCACACCGGACCGCCTTGTGGCTGTGCTTGGTTTAGGGTGGAAGGCTAGCGGTCCTGCAAACTGCATTTCCAAGCACACTTGAAACCATCAACGCCTCCCCTCTGGAAAATGAATGGTTTCCTTGTAGGATCAGAATATTTGGGGAGAGGGTGGTTGTATCCTGCGCGAGCCCTCCTCCGAGTTAGACCCATTGAAATGAACAAGCAAACTGAGGCCCTTGTGTCTACTTGTGAGCAGGATTATGCCCCCCCCCCCGCCTCTTTCAGATGGGGAGGCAAGCAATCCTTCCTTCTCTACTTCTACAGAGGCTGTGGGTTGATTTGAGATGGATAAAGGGAGTTTATTTGACTCATGGGCGCCACCTGCTGAGTCCTAGTTTCTTTCCTCCGCAGCGCAGAATATTTCCTTGTCCAGGTTTTCATTGAATTGCTGAGCTAAGAACATCAGAAGCTGCCCTGTTGGAGGCCCTGTTTTAATCAGCCCTTGGTTCAGAACCATGAGGAACTATCATATTTAAGGAAAGAGACACACAGTTACCTCAAGCTAAACATGAGTGGCACCTCCCAGGAGCGGCACCCCACGACCCCAGTGACAACCCTTTTCTCGAAGGAAAACCCTGAAAAACTAAAGATTCCCACAGGCTGCTAAAAAATGCTAAAAGGTGGAGGCCTATGCAGTGGTACCTCGGGTTAAGAACTTAATTCGTTCTGGAGGTCTGTTCTTAACCTGAAACTGTTCTTAACCTGAAGCACCACTTTGGCTAATGGGGCTTCCCGCTACTGCTGCGCCGCGGCTGTTCTCATCCTGAAGCAAAGTTCTTAACCCGAGGTACTATTTCTGGGTTAGCGGAGTCTGTAACCTGAAGCGTATGTAACCTGAAGCGTATGTAACCCAAGGTACCACTGTATGATATATGGGGGTGAGAACCCAGGTGACACCAGCCACAGTCTGGCCGCCATGGTCTAGACTAGGTAGGATCCTGCTCGCACCAGGCCTGATCCCCTTGGTCGAAACAACAAATATCAGCAACGTTAAGATCACAGGCCATGCTCCAGTAGAAGCTACCCTCAAACTAGGAGAGGAAATACAAACCACCCCATCATGGTCCTTCAAGCACCTCATACTGAGCACAGACCAAACAACAAGGGAGAGTCTCTTGACAGCATAACCACCCACCTCCTCTGGGATGCAACGAAAGCAGTTTCCAGGCGAGCTCGTATATAAAAAAAGGAAAGGGACACTGCATGGTGTCTCCCTTGCATGCAGAAGGCCCTGGGTTCAAATCCAAATAACATTTCCAGATAGGGTTGGACAGCCTTGCAAAGCCCTGTCTAGTCCAGCATCCTCTTCTCGCAGTGGCTATCTGGATTCCTGCAGGAAGCCAAAAGGCAGAGTGTAAAGGGAAGAGCCTTTCTCTCCCTGTTATTCCTGTTGTTGTGGTTTAGTCGTTTAGTTTTGTCCCACTCTTCATGACCCCCTGGACCAGAGCACACCAGGCACTCCTGTCTTCCACTGCCTCCCACAGTTTGGTCAAACTCATGCTGGTAGCTTCGAGAACACTGTCCAACCATCTCATCCTCTGTCGTCCCCTTCTCCTTGTGCCCTCCATCTTTCCCAACATCAGGGTCTTTTCCAGGGAGTCTTCTCTTCTCATGAGGTGGCCAAAGTATTGGAGCCTCAGCTTCAGGATCTGTCCTTCCAGTGAGCACTCAGGGCTGATTTCCTTCAGAATGGATGCGTTTGATCTTCTTGCAGTCCATGGGACTCTCAAGAGTCTCCTCCAGCACCAGAATTCAAAAGCATCCATTCTTCGGCAATCAGCCTTCTTGATGGTCCAGCTCTCACTTCCATACATCACTGCTGGGAAAACCATAGCCTTAACTATACGGACCTTTGTTGGCAAGGTGATGTCTCTACTTTTTAAGTTGCTGTCTAGGTTTGTCATTGCTTTTCTCCCAAGAAGCAGGCATCTTTTAATTTCGTGGCTGCTGTCACCATCTGCAGTGATCTGTTATTCCTAGGAATATAATTAGAGGCCTGCTGGACCAGGCCAGTGGTCCATCTGTTCCAGCATCTTCTCACAGTGTCCAGCCAAATGTATCTTGGGGAGCCTGCAATGGGAACCTGAGAGCAAAGGCAGCTCTCCCTGCTTGCGATTCCCAGGGATGGATAATTCAGAGGCACCTGCCTCCGACAGGGGAGGCAGGACACGACTCTCGTTCCTCACCCCTTTTTGCGTGAGCCTTGTCATAAATCATCTCTGACCTTTCAGTTCCCTTCCCTATTTAGCTCCGACCTTTAACATGGGACCTCGTTTTCTTGACAAGGTTGTCCCTGTGTGCACAGTTGATTGGCAGCTAACGTTTTATTTGCAGGAGGGATCACTTTGAAGTCAGTTGATGGGCAAATTTTCCCTCCCTCCCTGTAGGATAGCTGGCAAATCCCCAGTGCCAAACCAGCCACCCCTTAACTGCCAGAGACCTGTGCATAGAGGTCTTCAGCATAAAGCAAATGTTCCGCAACAAAGATGTTCAACGCAGCTCTGTGCGGTGGGAGTTTCACAATTTAGTACAGTTGACATGAGTCACCTTAAGCTGGGGCAAGAGTCCTGACCTCCTAGTCAAAGGCTTTAGCCTTATTCATCATGATGCAGAGCTCTGTGTAACTTCAAACCTTGTGTATTCTAAGAGTTCTGTGTAACATGGAAGATGATTTTTTTAATAAAAAAACAACAACTACCCCCACCCTTCAACCTGGACAAAGTCCTAGACTTAATCTAAAAACACTGAGAGATTTTCAAGTGTTCTTTAATCCTTCAAATTCCCTGGGTTGAGCCTTAGCTTAGTAAATGGGGGCCTGAGCTTTTGGTTGAATTGGCCCTGCCCAAACTTCCTACACTTTCTGCAAAATAGAATTCAGGGAAGGCAAGTGTTTCAAGTGAACATCGGATGGGCCTGTTTGTCTCTGTGTACGTACATCATATTTCACTTTTATGTTCCCATACTTCATGAGCCTCTTCACATCCAGGAGATGTTGGGAATTAGATTTCCTCCCCCCCTTCTCCTTCTTTGGGAAGAAGAAAAAAATTGCATGCCAAAACCCCCATAATTCTGAGAGTGATGGTTTGAGAAACTTGGATCCCTCAGAAACCAAGCCAAAATAACCCCATCTGGCTTTTGCCTGTTTAACGATCTGGTAGAGAGGCTGCGAAAGAGGAGGGAGACGTACTTTGGGATCCCGTTGCTGACAGCTGGGCCCTCTGTCCTCCCCCAAAAGCAAGACGAATCCCATCTTTAAGATGAGAATGTCCAGCGTTGTCAACTGGCCGGCAACTTGATTTTATGTTGCTGTTGTCCGGCCGTGGCACCAGGGTATTGATAGGGGTGGGCCCGGCTTCAGCTGGGGAGGGCGGGATATAAATAAATTATTATTATTATTATTATTAACCCTGTCTTTTCCTGCCTGGTTCAAGTGCTTCTGGGTAGGTAGTGTGTGTGTGTGTGTGTGTGTGTGTGTGTGTGTGTGTGTTGAATTAGAGCGGGGAGGAGGGGGACTTCAGGCATTTGGGCTGAATGTGGCCCTCCAGACCTTTCTGTCTGGCCCTTAGAATTCTCTCCAGAGACCACCTCCCCAGTGTTTTCTTCCTTGGCTGCCAAAATATGCCTTTCTAGTCAATAACCTTCCTGTTTGCAATTTTAACCTGTTGGTTCTCTAATCCTGCCTTCTAGAACATCAGAGTACAAGTCTACTGTTTCTCCTGCATGCATTGTAACAGGATGCAAATGATTCTTGGCAGTGCTTTTTTCTCTTTTTAAAAAAAGTTTAGGGGTACCCTCATTTTGACTCCGGAAAATCACCATTTTATTTTTCAAATCGGGAAAAATGAATACAGTAAATGGACAAAAGTAGAAAAAGTCACAAAATTTTTAGGGGTATGTGTACCACTACGCCCCTCATCCCCCCGAAAAAAAGAAATGTTTGGCATCTTCCAATGGAATAAGAGTGAACAGGGTTGCAGCGTTAGTGTTTTTGCCAGGGGTGTGGAAACTCTGGCCCTCCAAACCCCTTTTCTTGGCGCTGGGGGCTCCCCCCAGGCCACACCCACTCCCTGGCCTTCCTCTGCCCTCTCCTGGAGTGTTTTTGCCAGGCTGGCATTTGTCCTCGAACTCTGATCACGGCCAGATGAGGGATAGAGAGGGGGCGCAAAAGCATCTATAGAAATGAGCCTATGGTCCTGATTGGTTTGCAAGGAGATCAGGCAATGTTGTATCAAGTAAAGGGATAGCTCAGTCGATAAAGCACGAGACTCTTAATCTCAGGGTTGTGGGTTCGAGCTTCCTGTTGGGCGAAATATTCCTGCATTGCAGGGGGTTGGACTAGATGACCCTTGTGGTCCCCTCCAACTCTACAATCCTATGACTTTTTGCCCTTTCACTGCATCTCCTCCCCTCCATGACTTTCCTTATTGTAATTTGTCCAATTTCTTTTTTGGGGTGGGGGGTGGGGGTGGAGAGCAGGTTTGTTGTGCAAGACTTTCCCCATTGACTATAATTGCTCACCCTGCCTTTTCCAGTCCATGATTGGAACCCACCCTCCAAAAAAAGGAATAGCTTGGTTGAGGATGCAAGGACATAAGAAGGACATGGATCAGGCCAATGCCCATTCAGTTCAGCATCCTATCCTCACAGTGGCCAACTAGATGCCTGCAGGAAACCTTCAGAGCAGGACCCCCCAAGCACAAGAGCCCTTTCCCAACTCGGCCGTTTCCAGCAGCTGATGATTCAGGGGGGGAAATTGGCTGCTTCTGACTGTGAAGGCAGAGCATAACCACAGTGGTTTGTTGTTTAGTTGTTTAGTCGTGTCCGACTCTTCGTGACCCCATGGACCAGAGCATGCCAGACACTCCTGTCTTCCACTGCCTCCCGCAGTTTGGTCAAACTCATGCTGGTAGCTTCGAGAACACTGTCCCACCATCTCGTCCTCTGTCGTCCCCTTCTCCTTGTGCCCTCCATTTCCCCCAACATCAGGGTCTTTTCCAGGGAGTCTTCTCTTCTCATGAGGTGGCCAAAGTATTGGAGTCTCAGCTTCAGGATCTGTCCTTCCAGTGAGCACTCAGGGCTGATTTCCTTAAGAATGGAGAAGTTTGATCTTCTTGCAGTCCATGGGACTCTCAAGAGTCTCCTCCAGCACCATAATTCAAAAGCATCCATTCTTCGGCGATCAGCCTACTTGATGGTCCAGCTCTCACTTCCATACATCACTACTGGGAAAACCATAGCTTTTACTATACGGACCTTTGTTGGCAAGGTGATGTCTCTGCTTTTTAAGATGCTGTCTAGGTTTTTCTCCCAAGAAACAGGCATCTTTTAATTTCGTGGCTGCTCTCACCATCTGCAGTGATCATGGAGCCCAAGAAAGTAAAATCTCTCACTGCCTCCATTTCTTCCCCTTCTGTTTGCCAGGAGGTGATGGGAGCCTTATTCCCCCTCCGTCAATTTGCCCAATCCTCTTTAAAACCCATTGTTTTGGGGGCTTAGTTTCAATCTCGGTGCAAGGCAAAGCCGGATTCTCAGCTGCCTGCCCAAGTGTGCTTGTGCAGATGTGATGCAGGAGCGTTAAAGAGTGTTGGCACCATTGGCAGCCCGGCGCCTGGGTTTGCCCGACAGCAGTTTTGCTGCCCTCACAGGTCATCATCACCTGTCAGAATCTGAAGCCTGTCTTCAGCTGAGCTCCCTCTCACTTCTTTCCCGCTCAGACACTTCCAGCCAGTGGAGGCCACTCTGTTAAGGCAAACAGGGCACCACTGCCTCAAACTCTCCACCAACGCCTTCCTACGTTTTTATACTTAAAACCAATGGGTTGCACTGTGACCTCCTTAGTGGCTGTGTTGCACTTATCCTTGTGTAAATTAAACATTAATAAATAAGGGGAAATGGTACGATATGTCATAAGAAAGTGTTAGAAAATATATTAAGTGTAAGCTAATAAGTACATTCAATGTAAAGGTAAAGTACATCAGGAAATGATGGGAAGTCTGTCTTGACATAGTTTAGTTTATTGGATTCTCCTTTGGTTTATTTTTGTTTAGTTAGAAAGTATAAGAAAAGAGCACATATAAGAGCACGTATAAGTACAAGTTTAAATCAATATTTAATGGTATAAGTATTTAAGGTTATTATTATTATTATTAGTTTTACCTTTTCTTTGTATGTGTATTTAAGATTGTGTATGATATCCTTGGATGTGTGTGTGTGTGTGTGTGTGTACACACACACACACACACACACACACACACGGTATATATGAAGAAGGAGAATGGGGGACAAAGCTGGAGTTGGCTCTGGTGCCCCCTGCTGTTGGTCTCCTTGCCTTCTGCCCTACCAGCACTATCCTTTGGTGAGACTTTTTTGAACAAGTCCTGTAAGGAAAAGCTGCGGGATTTGAGTATGTTCTGTTCCAGAGAAGAGAGGCTGCACATCAGTGTGGTGTGTAATGGTCAGAGCGCTGGACCCAGGACCCAAGAGATGTGTGTTCAAATCCCCACTCAGCCATAGAGCCATATGCAAATTGTCTTGAGGCGGTGATTAATAAATAGGAGGGGATTCATAAACTGTTTTTGGCCTACAACTCCCTTCATCCCTAGCGAGTGAGGCCAGGGGTCAGGGATGATGGGAATTGTAGTCTGAAAAAAACAAAAGACCCTGATGTTGGGAAAGATGGAGGGCACAAGGAGAAGGGGACGACAGAGGATAAGATGGTTGGATAGTGTTCTCGAAGCTACCAGCATGAGTTTGACCAAACTGCGGGAGGCAGTGGAAGACAGGAGTGCCTGGCGTGCTCTGGTCCATGAGGTCACGAAGAGTCGGACACGACTAAACGACTAAACAACAACAACAACACCCAAATTTGGGAAAACCCTGATCTAAATCTGTATCTTTTGGGGGTATAAAAGTTGGGATAAAGATGTACAGTAGTACCTTGGTTCTCAAACAACCTGGAACCCAAACACTGCAAACCCGGAAGTAAATGTTCCAGTTTGCAAACTTTTTTTGGAAGCCGAACATGTTCCGTTTTGAGTGTTATGCTGAGGTCTGTCTGTTTTCGCTGTTTATTTTGCATTTTTGTGGCTCTTTTTTTGTTGTTGTGGTTGTGTGGAACCCAGTTCAACTACTGATTGTGTAACTGCAGTACATTGTTTATTGCTTTCATTTTATGGATCGATGGTCTTGTTAGTAAAATTCATTTTAAATTGCTGTTTGGGGGATGGTTTTTAAAAGTCTGGAACGGATTAATCCATTTTGCATGACTTTCTATGAGAAAGCGTGCCTTGGTTTTGGAACGCTTTGGTTTTGGAACAGATTTCCGGAACGGATTAAGTTTGAGAACCAAGGTACCGCTGTAATTAAAAATAAAATGATTGAACCCACTACTCTTCAGAAAGTAAGCACCCTCCCTCCCCCTTTTAGTGTAGTCAGACACGAAGTTTTTCGTTTGGGGTGGGGAACAGTGGATATATGCAGCACCTCAAGGCAGTTCCCAGATTCTCGGCAGGGGCATTTTTGAGGACGTGGGTTTCTTTGATTCACAGAAATGTCCTTTTCCAGCTGCACGTTTTCTTGCTGCCCCAGAATGGTACATTTGATGTCTGGTTGGCGTTCTAGGAAATAAAAAGTCCTGGGCTGCTTCCCCTTGAGAATATTTTGAGAACGCAGTACCCGTTTTTCGGTTTGAAATGTTTTATGGTCCCTGTCTAACGTGCAGCGATACTTTTTGCGCAATGGCAAGAGTTGATTACAGCTCCTGGAGGTCTCTCTGCACTAGCCTGAAACTGTCTCACCATTCCTGTTCATTCTCACCACAGACATATTTTATCTTATTAAAAAAAAACACCCTCTAAACGGGTTTACATAAAATGTAATAATACAGATAAAAATTGCCAATGAAAGTCAGAAGCTAAAAGCTGAGGTTTGCATTCAGTGCTATTCCTACTCAGAGTAGACACACTGGAAGTTAATAGACATGGTTAACTTAGATTGGTTCATTTTGATGGGTTTACTCTGAGTAGGGCTAGCATTGGCTACAATCTAGGTTGGCCTTATTCCCCCCCCACCCTACCTCCCATTATAATTAAAATTGGATAAAAATATATAAAAATGCACATCAGCTTTACATAGCTGGGCAGGCTTGCCTAAGCAAAAAATATTTTTTTTGCAGGCACCGAAAACTAAAGCAAAGGCGCCAGCCTTATCTCAATGGGCGAATTGTTCCAGAGAATAAAAGGTTGATTCTGTACACAATAAACAATTATACGACACCTGAAGGCAGCCCTGTACCTGGAAGATTTTAATGGCTGTGATGTTTTGCTGTGTTCTGTTATATTCTGTTGGAAGCTGCCCAGAGTGGCTGGGGCAACCCAGTCAGATGGGCAGGGTACAAGTTAATAATAATAATAATAATAATAATAATGGGGTAGCCTCTCTGTTTGGCCCATGGGACTTTGTAGGCCCCACCCCTTCTCCCTAGGCCACACCTTTCCCTGCTCCTGTTTTGACTCCTTGAGTGTTTCTGCATCTTTCAAATCTGATATATCGCCTCTTGTTTCTATGGATGTAGTCTTGCGAGAATTGTGTGTAGAAACCAGCCTACTGTAGGAAGGTAAAGTTTGCATATCTTGCTCCTCCCACTTTTGCTGCTGGCCCCTCCCCCTGCTGCTTCATGGCCCCCAGAAGATTGCCCTGAAGGCAATGTGGCCCTTGGCTGAAAAAGGTTATTTATGTATGGAGCTGAGGCTCCAATACTTTGGCCACCTCATGAGAAGAGAAGACTCCCTGGAAAAGACCCTGATGTTGGGAAAGATGGAGGGCACAAGGAGAAGGGACGACAGAGGACGAGATGGATGGACAGTGTTCTTGAAGCTGCCAGCATGAGTTTGACCAAACTGCGGGAGGCAGTGGAAGACAGGAGTGCCTGGTGTGCTCTGGTCCAGGGGGTCACGAAGAGTCGGACATGACTAAACGACTAAACAACAACAACTACTACTGCGGCCCGTGTTTTGTTAGCCCAAAAAAATGGAAAATGAGCGAGGTCCCAACTAAAGAAGAATGGCAACTTAAGCTGACGGAATATGTTCAGCTTGCAGGTTTAACATATAGAATTAGAGAACAAGAAGAACATAGGTTTAGAGAAGATTGGAAAACGTTTATTGAATATCTGGGGAGGGGGAATTGTGCACACCTGAAAACGTTGGCAGCGTTAAGATAAACTCGACAGTGTAAATAAGGTTTGATGGGTACAATAGTGGAATACTGAATGGTTTAGTTTTTGAAAAATAAGCAGGAATCTATGGTATGTGTTAAGTTGTGGGTGAACATATCAGACGACACAGCGATTCTTCAAACAGCTCTTGTTTATTCACAGGCCAGGCCAGAACTGAACTGAAGGTTTCAGCCAGCCTGCTTATATAGAGCTCCACTAGAACGCAACAGTAACCATTTTCTCTAACTATCCAATCACTGAACGTCACTTTCAATCCCTTATTTGCATATGTGGACCTGAGTGAAAACCGAGAACTTCAGTACATAACAGTATGCAAAACGAACAATGGAAGGAGAAGAAGGGAAGTCACTGATATTTTCAGGATGTTAAAATGAGTGTTTTAAACTGTGTAACATAAAATTGAATGAAAATTTTATTTTTTCATAAAGTTCCTTACCTGTGCTTGTATTTCCTCGGCAGGTACCATGACCAGCAGGACGTTACCAGCAACTTCCTGGGTGCCATGTGGCTCATCTCCATCACGTTCCTGTCCATCGGCTATGGCGACATGGTTCCACACACATACTGCGGCAAAGGCGTCTGCTTGCTCACAGGCATTATGGTAAGATGGAACCTCGTGGGGGCAGTCCTGGGGGAAGATTAAACATTCTGTGTCTCGTCTGAAGTCCTGTTTCAGGGCTGGCAGCCTCCCGATGCTGTTGGACTCCAACTCCCATCAGCCCCAGCAGGCACTGGCCAATCCCTTTGTTCCCCTCGGAGAGCTACAATTCCTAGAGCGGTTTAACAGTTGGGCCCCTCTTCCCATGGAACTCTGGGAACTGTAGTTCTGGTAGGGGGGAATAGGGCATCTCCTAACAGCTCGCAGCTCCCTTAACAAACTACAGCTCCCAGAATTCTTTGGGGGAAGCCACAACTAGTTTTGTGCTGTAATATTAAAGGGACCCGGGTGGCGCTGTGGGTTAAACCACAGAGCCTAGGACTTGCCAATTAGAAGGTTGGCGGTTCGAATCCCCGTGATGGGGTGAGTTCCCGTTGCTTAGTCCCTGCTCCTGCCAACCTAGCAGTTCAAAAGCACGTCAAAGTGCAAGTAGATAAATAGGTACCACTCCGACGGGAAGGTAAACGGCATTTTCGTGCGCTGCTCTGGTTCGCCAGAAGCGGCTTAGTCATGCTGGCCACATGACCCGGAAGCTGTACGTCGGCTCCCTTGGCCAATAAAGCGAGATGAGCGCCGCAACCCCAGAGTCGGCCACAACTGGACCTAATGGTCAGGGGTCCCTTTACCTTTAATAAGAATAATAATGCATTGGGGAGGGGGCATTATTGCGTTCTTCTTGTTTCTATTTTTATTATCTACCTTGTGTTTTCCGGTTGTGATTTTATGCGGTGAACTGCCCTAAGACCTGCGGGTGTTGTGCGGTGTACATATTTAATTAATAATAACAATAATTAATAAATGCAGGCAAGTGGCAGCAGCCTCCACTGCTTGCCGCTGTGGGATGCAGAATGAAGATGGCCGTTCTCACCTGAATCGGCGGAGCCTCTTTGATAACCTCTGCTGGTTAGGAATGGAACCTCCATGTCCAGTGGCAACCTGCCTCTAAATACCCAGCTGCTACCAGCTGTAGAGGACAAAGCACAGGAAGGGCTGTTGCCCCCGCGCCCTGCGGGGTGTGATTTCTCAAGAGGATCTGGCCCAAGACTGTGGGAAACAGGATATTGGACTGCTGGACTGGTCTTTGCTTGTCCCATCCAGCAAGGCTCTTCCTGAACACTTTCTGCCGTGGTTCCAACCTCTCCAGAGTTGTCCCAGATGTCTTCCGGAGCCAGCTGTGGAGCGTTCTCGCCTGCCCACCCCCAGCCCACTCCATTAATCCAAGCTACTTACACACACAGCACCATTTCTGGTTTGTTTATCTCTCTTTTAATTAATGAGCTGGATTGGGCTGCCCTACCCCACCCAGGGGAAATATACAGCAGCGGCAAGTCCTCTCCGCTTCCGAATGTTGCTGAAGGTTTGCAACTGGGTGGAGATATTCCTTTGCCAGATTTATTTCTCGGAAGCCGGATCTACAGCCTGGTGAGAATCCCAGAGCTTTATGAGTCAACGAGCGACGGTCCAAAACTTGTGCGCATTCAGGGTTCAGGAAAGGAGCACAGGCTCTGCGGCAATGTCCAGCTCCCTGAGAGGCATGGCTTTAATTTCAAAACCATGCCTCAAGGCCTCATGGTGGAGAAGAAGCTCTTGAATTGCCTGCTTTGGATACCATTCCTATAGGTGTCTACCAAGAACTGAGGATCAACTTTATACATTTAAAGCACAGGGTTATGTGGCTCCCCCCCAAAGGATTCTGGGAGCTTGTTAAAGGTGCTGAGAGAAGACCCCAGTGCCGCCCCACATAGAGCTACAGCTCTCAGAGTTACCTGTAAAGTAGGTTTGATTATTAAACCACTCAAGAGAACTGTAGCTCCGTGGAGGAAACAGGGCTCTTCAAATAACTCTCAGCTCCTTTAACAAACTACAGCTCTCAAAGTTCTTTGGGGGAAACCGTGGCTGTTTAAAATGGTACCATGAGGTGTTAAATGAATGGGGTAAAGGTAAAGGGACCCCTGACCATTAGGTCCAGTCGTGGCCGACTCTGGGGTTGCGGCGCTCATCTCGCTTTACTGGCCGAGGGAGCCGGCGTACAGCTTCCGGGTCATGTGGCCAGCATGACTAAGCCGAAGCCGCTACTGGCGAACCAGAGCAGCGCACGGAAGCGCCGTTTACCTTCCCGCCGGAGCGGTACCTATTTATCTACTTGCACTGGTGTACTTTTGAACTGCTAGGTTGGCAGGAGCAGGGACTGAGCAACAGGAGCTCACCCCGTCGCGGGGATTCGAACCGCCGACCTTCTGATTGGCAAGCCCTAGGCTCTGTGGTTTAACCCACAGCGCCACCTGCGTCCCAAAATGAATGGTGTAAATTAGCCTAAATCCCATGGAATTTGGTGGGTCTTACTCCCAAGTCAGTGGATAGAGGATTGCGGCCTATATCTCAGAAAAGGCAGCTGAATAAAGATTTCCCAGCAGTTGCTGGGTTGCTTGAAAACCTTTTTCCCTTGCTGGAGAAGGTTTGGAAAAGGCCAACCAAAATCTTACAACGTTTGGGGCTTTGGGGTTTAGAGGAAAGGGGGAATATGACATGATAGAGGTATCTAAAAGCAAGCACAGCATGGAGAAAAAAATTCAGAGAGAGAAGCTTCTCTCTTTCATGATACTTGGAGCCATCCGATATAGCTGAATGTCGGAAGATTTGGGACAGATTAAAAGAAGGCACTTCTCCACTCCACATGGTTACTCTGTGGAACTCTCTCCCACAAGGTCTATTGACGGCCACCAGCTTAGGTAGCTTCAAGAGAGGATTAGACACAATTCATGGAGGAAAAGATTATCAGTGGCTACCAGCCACAATGCCTATTTTCTGATTTCACTGTCAGAGTCCGCATTGTTGGGGCTCGGAGGTGGGGAGAATTGCTGTTGCTCTTGGGGTCCTGCTTGGCCTTTGGGGCATCTGGGTGGCCACTGTGAGAACAGGATGTGCTAGACCGGATGGGCTATTTTCCTGATCTAGGAGTCGGGCTCTTCTTATGAGCAAAAACCAGGAAAACGATTTGTGCAAATGGGTAAGCCTTCCCCTCCTTTTGCAAGAAAACGTTCCTGTTTATTTATTTCACTATTCAGAAGCCTGCCAGCACAATGTTTAAGAACACCATTTCGCTGACTCCCCAGAGGTCAGTTCTCTGGGATGTGCAGCGGTGCCTTGGCAATTCTTCGCCATCAATCAGTCGTCAATAAATAAATACCACGTGCTTTATTTGGAAGGGCTTGGCCAGCCTAGAACCTTTCCTTCTGTCCTGACCTCTTTTCTTCTTCTTCTTGGGAACTCTTTTTTTTAAAGACCCATCATTAATCTGAGACTAGGGAGGTTTCCACACAATTTATCAGTGCTCTGGCACGGCAGCCTTCAAGGATCATCTCCACTCCAGCTGGAGAATCATTAATTCAGCGACACCCAAATAATCCTGGTGTGACCTCTTGATGCATGCTGGGATGGATTCTGGCAAGCTTCTTTAAAGTTTCCAGGGTTCAGCCTGGCTTCCTTTTGAACTTTAGCAGAGCTGGGGAACAATTTGCAGCCCGGAGGCCACATTCACTTCTAGAAGCTGGTGTGGGTCTATGGTAGGGTTTCCAACTTAAATAAAATACAGTATTGGGATGTGTGTGTTTTGTTAACGCTTTTCACAGTACGGTCGTACCTCGGGTTACAGATGCTTCAGGTTGCGTTTCTTTGAGTTACGGACGCGTCGAAACCTGGAAATACCGGAATGGGTTACTTCCAGGTTTTGGCGGTCGCACATGCACAGAAGCGCTAAATCGCGCTTTGCGCATGTGCAGAAGCTCCGAATCGCAACCCGCATGTGCGCAGACGCGCTGCTGCGGGTTGCGAACATGCCTCCTGCATGGATTCGCAACCCGAGCGTCCACTGTACAATAAAAGACAACCTAATCTACATAAAAAAATAAGAGGAAGAAATTAAATGAAAAGAAACAGAAGAGACAGAAGTATGCAAGATCCCCTCTTACAAATATTTCTTAAACTTTTCCCCATACAGAAAAAGGTGCGTACCCCCAGCTCTCACCTGGGAGCATCCCTCTCTTCTCCCACCTGTCACCCTGAGAGATCTCGCAGGGGGTTGGATCCCTTCCAACTCTCCTATGATTCTATGGACCCAACAGTTGGATCCCAGTGGTGCTGGGTAGACCAAGTGTCCTTCAGCTTTGGGTCGCCCAGGTGCTACTGGACTACAACTCCCATTGTCCCCAGCCAGCTTAGCCCGATGATCATGGATGATGGGGATTGCGGTCCAGCAATGTGTGCTTGGGTCCTGCACGCTTGCTGGTTTCCTGGTTGGCCGCCCTGAGAACAGGATGCTAGATTAGGCGGGCCATCACCCTGATCCAGCAGCGCTTTTGTGTTCTCAACATCCCGAGACCCAAGATGAAGAACGACACTATAAATACTGAGCTTGATGTCTTTGGTTGCAGCATAAGGGAACTTCCTGCATTCCTGAGAGGGGCAATTGCTGGGCCATCTGTGCTGGTCCTGGGGGGGGGGTTACCGTGAGGCGTGGTCAGAGTCCGGTCCTGGGTCGAGGGACTGGAGACTGTCCACCAAGGGCGAAGCGGGGTCCAAAGCAAGAAGCCAGGCGTGGTTGGGAACTCCGGAAAAACAGGTCTGGGTGCTGGCAGAAACAGGTTTCCAACGACGTTGCTCCCGCAACCTGGGTCTGGGCTGACTGGCCTTTATCTCCTCTGGGGCCTAGGAGGCGAGCGCTCCTCCTGCGGGAACTTAGTTCCTTCCGCCTCTCTGCCCTGAGCCTCTGCAGCTCAGGAGAGGCTGGAGGGTTACCAGACCCAGAGGCCGCCTCACCTTCCCCTGACGGGGCTGAGAGTGGAGCACCTGCAGGCAATGGGTCCTCCATCCCCTCATGGGCCAGAGCAGACTCAGCTTGTGCCTGCACCTGAGGATCCAGCACAGATGAGGACCCTTCAGGCTCAGGCCCCAGCCCCGGCTCAGCTGGTTCTGGAGGCGGGGACTCCTGTGCAGGCTGGGATTCCTCCGGTTCAGCCTCTGAATCAGATTCCCAGGCCATCACACCATCTCACTGAACCAGAGGGTCCCTCCCTCTCTTTCTGACTGGTGGCTGCCTCTTGCTACTTTCTGACCCATACCAAGTGGAGATGAGAGACAAAACAGCGGCTTCTCTGCCTCCTGCCCCACTGGAAACCTTGGAAGCTGGATTCCACCCCGCCTCAAGACCTGCCGTTTGTTCTCCGAGGTTCCCATCCCTCTGAGCTTGGCACCTGCTCTTGTTTATTTTCGCTAACCCTCCTTCGAACACCCGCCGCTGGAAAGGGTTGATCAGCCATGTGCTTTTCCTTGGGGCACATAATCGGGATCTCTTAACGCAGATTGATTTCCCCTTAGTGCTGGTTAACAGCCTTGCTGTCCACAGTCATGTAGGTTTGTGTGTGTGTGTGTGTGCGCGCGCGCTTTTAACCCAAAGGAGCAGCCTTTACTGAGTCAGCTCAGCTTTCTCTCTCTCACACACACAGCCTTTTTTTTCTTCCTCTCTGTGATCCATTTACTGGTGATTCCAGGAATTGAACCAGCAGCCCTTCTGTATCCAAGGAGGCCGCTTTGTCAGTGAGCTACAGCTCCTCCCCAGGATCGCCAATCTCTTTCCAGTCCTCATCTGCACATGGAGCAGAATGATGAAATGGATTGAACCACCTTAGACTGCAGGCAAAGAGGAAATATTACTCCCTCTTCGAAAGAAAAAAGATGCTCTCTTGCCTTTAAAAAGCTCCCTACAAATAGTCAGCCAGCATACATGTCCTAGCTCAGGCATAGGCAAACTCCGGCCCTCCAGATGTTTGGGACTACAATTCCCATCACCCCTAGCTAACAGGACCAGTGGTCAGGGATGATGGGAATTGTAGTCCCAAACATCTGGAGGGCCGGAGTTTGCCTATGCCTGTCCTAGCTATTTCCCCCCCTACTTGTAAGGCTTTTCAAACAACAACAACAACAACCTAACAACATTTATTAAGTTTTACTTACATACACAAAAAGCAAATTATGAAATAATTTTATAGAAAGGAAATGATAAATACTGTAACCAGCAACATTAACTCATGGTTCTCGGGCTTAATGCAATAAGGTATATTATTTATATACAGTGATTTCTTCTATAGCTAGAGCAAATTTCTGCTGTTCCTTCCCCTTTTATATTTGCAGGGAATCCCATGTGGATAGGAACCACATGCACAACACAATTTCCAATTACATTGCAGGAATATATGGAGTTTTTAAATCTGGAAGAGCACTCTGAAGTGGTGCAGTCTGAAATGGTGCCATTCATTTTATTTACTTGTTCTGTAACATATGTTGATGGAGAATGATGGCCGACCAACGGTGATATCAGCTGATTGACAGCTGGGAGTGGGTTGGGTTTTTTTGGTGGGGGAAAGGCCTCATGAACCAAGATTGGCATATAGGTCAATTACTGTTACATCGCTTCAAATTTCAAGCTGAAATCTGCTTCCCTGCCATTTTAAGTCATTGGTTCCAATCCTGCCCAGCTAACTTCTACTCAAAGTAGATCCACTGATATATATATATATTTTAAAAAGGTAGCAAAACACCTAAAGTTAGTCAGGCCCATTACTTTCAAGAGGTTTGTTCTGAGCAGGCAATAGATACAAAAACAAGAGGCACACATGAGAGTTCTTCTTATTTTAAACATGCGGTTTAAAAAGTAATGGACACACCACATTAATGTGGGTAAGTGCGTGCACACGCACACACACACACACACACAGATACTGTACACCTCATGAACACAGACACACCCAGCTGTCAGGCTTGAAATTAGCTATTAAGCCAAATTTTGTGTGTGAGAAAGAGAGAGAGAGAGAGAGAGAATGTGAATGAATGAATGAAGTTTTCTGCAGGTTGCAGCTGGGGAGAGGAGGATTAACCCACGGGTCAGCAAACTTTTTCAGTTGTGGGCCAGCCCACTGTCCCTCTGACCTTGTGGGGGACTGGACTATATTTTGAAAAAATAAACAAATGAATTCCTATGCCCCACAAATAACCCAGAGATGCATTTTAAATAAAAGTGCACATTATACTCATGTAAAAACACCAGGCAGGCCCCACAAATAACCCAGAGATGCATTTTAAATAAAAGGACACATTCTACTCATGTAAAAACACGCTGATCCCCAGACCGTCCACAGGCCTGATCCGGCCCCCAGGCCTTAGTTTGCCTACCCATGGGTTAACCTTTCCAGGAAGATCACAAGCCCCTTGCCCTGCAATTAGACTGCGGGGTGGGGAGCCTTGTATTGGAGCTGATGTGAAAACTTTTTAAAAACCTAATTGCATCAGGGGAGGGGAGGAACGCCCCCCAGGGGCCACATTTGGCCTGCAGGTTACCAGTTCCTCATGCCTAGCTTAAGGGCTAGCCTCTTTATTCTTATTTTTTGTTCTTAGAAGAAAAACGGGTTTTTCAAGATGCCAGATTGTTGCGCTCCATGCAATATTCCGCGCTTACACGGTAACACTTGTGGGATTGCGGGACACAGCCAGGGATAAGCAGGAACAAGGCAGGGCGGTAATGGAGACGCAGCCGAGCTGCGCATTGGCTGCTAGGAGAGCTCAAGCTGAGCTGGAGAGGAAATCCCCTCCAGACCTGGCAAGAGTGACCTTTCTACGCCGTTCATCCAGAAAATGAGTCTTTTAGCACCTGAGGCTTCTTCCCTGCCAGGGCTGGCAGATCTCAGAGCACAGAGGTATTAAAAAACAACAACGAAATCTCCCGCTAAGTAGGATCCTGCCGCTTCAGGGCCGAGTGGGCAGGAGGGAGGGAGCGGATAACTGCAGAGTTCCTCCAGAGCGGCAGGGCTCTGCTTAATATTTAAAACCAGGGCTCGGTTGGCAAGTTACCGTATTTTTTGCTCTATAAGACTCACTTTTTCCCTCCTAAAAAGTAAGGGGAAATGTGCGTGCGTCTTATGGAGCCAATGCAGGCTGCGCAGCTATCCCAGAAGCCAGAACAGCAAGAGGGATTGCTGCGTTCGCTGCGCAGCGATCCCTCTTGCTGTTCTGGCTTCTGAGATTCAGAATATTTATTTTCTTGTTTTCCTCCTCCAAAAACTAGGTGCCTCTTGTGGTCTGCTGCGTCTTATAGAGCGAAAAACACGGTACTTTTTATGTGAATGCTTAAATGAAGAATGATAAATTTTAGTAGGGCATCTCCAGGAGTATTGGGTGGGTCTCACCAGCTCATCCTTTAGTTTGTCAATTTTGTTTTCTCGCTGTTCCCCCTTTCCATAAGCTTTTTTTTGTGTGTGCATCGGCTTGCATTTTGGGGTGTATTTCTTCAAATACCCGTGACCCTAATGTTTACATTTTTGCAAGCGCTTTCCCAGTGGTGGTGTAGCAAGTGTTTCCCAAACTTTGGGGGGCCACCACCCCCCTCTTTGTGCCGTATACTCCCCCCTACCCTGTAAAAAACAACAACATTTGGAATTATTCAGAATTAAAAAGCATTATTCCAAGCAACGTTCAAAATTTGCTGGGTGCAAGGTGCATTTTGCAACCTAGTGAAGATGGTAGGATGGCGTCTGAAGTCTCCACCATCTGAAGGTGTATGCCTGGGGATTCTTGGATCTTGGCTGCTTTCACACACTAGCAACACATCCTGCAGAATTCTACCAGTTATATTTTATCGGCACAATCAGAGTGAATTTCAGGAACCAAAAATGCCGTTTTGAAAAATACGACTTTCGAGCCCCAAAATGGCCACTAGGCATTCCGTTTCAGCAACTGTAACCTTGGTTTAAGGAGCCGTTCGGCACCTGGTTTATATATCTCAATTTCTAACGCTGGTTCTGAGTTACCGTGGAGCAGGCTTCTGAAATCTTTGAAGCTTGGCAGAGCATCTCTCCCGCAGATTCCAATTAGCAGATGATGCATCATTGACCATTCCTTTCACGGATATGTGTATTTTTGGCTGGAGAATTGCATTTCAAAATTCAGGGCAGCTTTTCAGAGGATAAGTGTGTTTCGGTTCATGCATTGGTTTCGAGAAGGGGCACAGTTAGTAGGTTTGCAAGGTAAATTAATCCCCCTACTTCTCAGAGAGCTGGGATAGCTTTCGCTTCCCCGCTGAGTGCGCAGCTGGTAGCAAACCCAGGTTTAATATGTGGAGTGACACATAGGAGTGTTAAGATTTTTCCTGAGTTGAAGTACGCTTCCTGTTGGAGTGCAACTCTGCTTGTATTGATGCTGATGGGATTTGCCTTGGAAGGAAGGTGATAGAGAGGATAACCTCCCGACTTCCTAGACTGTGTTTCTGACCTAACTTGTGCTGACCTTCCTTCTGCTTTTGGACGGATGCTCTCAGGGTTGCTGACCTCACTTCCTCCTTCTCAGCACCACCTTAGGAGAGAAGACCGTTATCCTTTGTTTCTCCCACCTGCACATATCAAAGAGCAAGCGTGGTTCTATGCATCTCCATCTTGCAGCGTTTGAGAACTTTAAGTTGAGAGAAAAGGCGAAGGTGGCATGAAAGAAGTTTATAAGATTATAAAGTTATGAACTCTAGAGGACTTGTGGACATCCAACAGTGGAAGCAGAGCAGAGCCACCATGGCTAGTAATAATAATAATAATAATTATTATTATTATTATTATTATTATTTTTATTTATACCCCGTCCTCCCCAGCCAAGGCCGGGCTCAGGGTGGCTAACAAGCAATAATAAAAACAAGTTGAATGAATACAACTTAAAAACAAGATTAAAATACAACATTAAAATATTAAAATGCAGCCTCATCACAGGAGGAGAAAGGAAAAAGAAAGAGGGGGAGGGAATCAAATTGGCTCCAAGCCAAAGGCCAGGCGGAACAACTCTGTCTTACAGGCCCTGCGGAAAGAAATCAGATCCTGCAGGGCCCTGGTCTCATGAGGCAGAGTGTTCCACCAGGCCAGAGCCAGTGTTGAAAAGGCCCTGGCTCTGGTTGAGGCTAATTTGACTTCCTTAGGGCCCGGGAGCTCTAGGGTGTTGCTATTTATGGACCTTCAGGCTCTCCGTGGGGCATACCGGGAGAGGCGGTCCCGTAGGTACGAGGGTCCTAGGCCGTGAAGGGCTTTAAAGGTCAAAACCAGCACCTTGAACCTGACCCTGTACTCCACCGGGAGCCAGTGCAGCTGGAAAAGCACTGGGTGAATATGCTCCCATGGTAGAGACCCCGTGAGGAGCCTCGCTGCAGCATTCTGCACCCGCTGGAGTTTCTGGGACAGCTTCAAGGGCAGCCCCGCGTAGAGCGAATTACAGTAGTCAAGCCTGGAGGTGAACATTGCATGGATCACTGTGGCCAGGTCGGGGCGGGAAAGGTAAGGGACCAACTGCTTAGTAGACTTTGTTGGGGGCAGCGATGTTTCTGAATACCAGTTTCTGGAAACCACCAGAGAAGAGAGAGCTCTTGCGCTTGGATCCTGCTTGTGGATTCCTCACAGGCACCTGATTGGCCACAGTGAGAACAGGATGCTGGACTAGAGAGGCCATTGGGCTGATCTAGCAGGTCCTTTTTCTCTATTCTTTATATATATAATTTTTTATTGAATTTTATAAAAAAAATTGACAAAACATCCATCTTACATATAATACATAAAGACCACTTGGCCATCTTGGCCCGAGACTTCCCTCCTCCTCACCTAATGGTTTTCCTAATTATGCTCTGATATTGCATTTTGTTATTACAGTGGTACCTTGGGTTACATATGCTTCAGGTTATAGACACTTCAGGTTACAGACTCCGCTAACCCAGAAATAGTACCTCAGGTTAAGAACTTTGCTTCAGGATGAGAACAGAAATCGCGGCACGGCAGCAGGAGGCCCCATTAGCTAAAGTGGTGCTTCAGGTTAAGAACAGTTTCAGGTTAAGAACGGACCTCCAGAACGAATTAAGTTCTTAACCCGAGGTACCACTGTATTATTATTACCTTTAAATCCAGATCTTAAATACAACATTTAAACATCATATTGATAATGATTGATATCTCTAACCTTACAAAACTTCTTGTAGCCCTACTAACGATGTCAATTGTTTACAATTGTCTCTCAAATACAATGTAAATTTATTCCAGTCTTTCAAAAAGGCCTGGTCCTGCTGGTTCCGAATTTTCCCGGTTAGTTTCGCCAACTCGGCATAGTCCATTAACGTCACCTGCCACTCTTCTTTTGTTGGGATCTCTTCCTGTAGCAGGTCCTTGTTCTCTTCCTCCCTTGGATAGAACTAGAAACTTTTCTATCAAGCCTGCATTTCCTTTAGCAAGCTTAGCTTTCTCATTTTCATACTCAAAAGTCTCAGTGGGGCTGCATATCACAGGGAACTGAAGTCTATTGTGCAACAGCATGTGTGAAGGTCACGTGCTTAACAGCTCTTAGAAAAACATCAGTCTACCCACACATGGAGGACACGGGTGGCGCTGTGGGTTAAACCACAGAGCCTAGGACTTGCCGATCAGAAGGTCGGTGGTTCGAATCCCTGTGACGGGGTGAGCTCCCGTTGCTCAGTCCCTGCTCCTGCCAACCTAGCAGTTCGAAAGCACGTCAGAGTGCAAGTAGATAAATAGGTACTGCTCCGGCGGGAAGGTAAACAGCGTTTCCATGTGCTGCTCTGGTTCACCAGAAACGGCTTAGTCATGCTGGCCACATGACCCGGAAGCTGTACGCCGGCTCCCTCGGCCAGTAAAGCAAGATGAGCGCCGCAACCCCAGAGTTGGCCACGACTGGACCTAATGGCCAGGGGTCCCTTTACCCTTTACCTTTACCTACCCACACATGGCAGCAGGCACCTACAACTTGCTGCCCAGTCTCCTGGCAATTGGAGAGATGCCTTTTTTTGAAAACGCCCCCTGGCCTTGGGTTCAGACTCCAACATCATCCTTGACCAATGGCATTGCTGGATGGGACTGGTGGGAGTTGGAAGTCCCACATCTGAACGGCCCCAGGTTTTTTTGAGGGCTTCTCCGGTTTAGCTGACACCTCTCGCATCCAGCTCACTTCAGGTGGCTGCTCATTCAGAGTCTCTCTGAAGATGATTTCCTCAAAAGGTTTGTCGTTTACTATCACTCGAAAGCAGCAGGCTCACCATTTTCCACACCGCTTGGGTTTTGGGTTTCTTTCTTTTGCTGCAATAGGATTTTGCCTTAAAAGAGCAGCCTTAAAAAGAAAACCTTTGCATATTCAGGGAGAGAGTGTGGTGTGAACGTGTGTGTGTGTGTTTGGAGATAACAAAAGCCCTAAACCCCACCAGGCCAGGGCTTATGGGAATGCTTCAGAATTGAGATCGGACCAGGCTTGTTAATTAAAGACTGAGATGGGCTTACTGGAGTGTCTAATCTCCAGGGTGGTGGCAGGGCGGGGGGAAAGCAGAGAGAGAGAGTGAGAGAGAAAGGGCAAAAATAGATGTGTGTTTCTGTCAAGTTGGACATGCGTTCATATGCCAAACACCTGCTGTGGACATGTACACAGACACACGCCATGACACACATAAAACAACGCTTCTACCTAAAGTGTTTGGAGGTCTGGCATCTGTCTGCATTTAGCAGAGGAAGCGGCTCCTCTGCCCACCGTCCCTCTGCCAGATGCGCCGTTCTGCAGCCCCAGCAGGTCCTGATTGGGATGTAATCACTCGGATAAAGAGAAAAGACACAGCCCAGCTGTCATTCTTCTGGGCCGGCAAGGGGGGAAGGCGGGCAGGGAGGCACAGGCTACAATCTCTCTACGCACCCGGCCTCTGTTTTGTAACCCGGAGCTTAAGAACCTCTTCACTCTTTACATGGCAATTTGTGACGGCTTTGCTGCTCCCTCCCCTTTGGCCAGTGGGCCAAGGGGGGAGGGGAGGGGTGGGGGATGGGGAGCCTTTGAGGGGCTGACGGCTTCATTCTCTTCTGGTCCACCTTCTGAGGGCCGCTGGTTTATAGCAGGCAAAAGGGGGCAGAGCAAAATGTATACACGTTTTAACCTTTAAAGCCCTTCACGGCCTAGGACCCTCGGACCTACGGGATCGCCTCTCCCGGTATGCCCCACGGAGTGCCTCAAGGTCCATAAATAGCAACACCCTAGTGGTCCCAGGCACTAAGGAAGTTAGATTAGCTTCAACCAGAGCCAGGGGCTTTTCAGCACTGGCTCCGGCCTGGTGGAACGCTCTGCCTCATGAGACCAGGGCCCTGCAGGATCTGATTTCTTTCTGCAGGACCTGTAAGACAGAGTTGTTCCGCCTGGCCTTTGGCTTGGAGCCAATTTGATTCCCTCCCCCTCTTTCTTTTTCTTTTTCTTTTCTCCTCCTGTGATGAGGCTGCATTTCAATATTTTTACTGTTTCAATATTTTAATGTTGTATTTCAATCTTGTTTTTAAGTTGTATTCATTCAACTTGTTTTTATTATTGCTTGTTAGCCGCCCTGAGCCCAGCCTTGGCTGGGGAGGGCAGGGTATAAATAAAAATTATTATTATTGTTATTATACACGTTTTACCTTTGCACGACAGGCTAGTTCCAGCGTTCACTCACACATTCTCCTCTATTCTCGCCAAGGGAAGCGAGGTCCACAAACAGAGCTCCAGGGCATCTTCCAGCCAGGCAGAAACACTCAAGGAGGGTGACAAAAGCAGGGCTGGTCTGGGGAGAGACTGGCGGGCCAGATGGAGAGGCCTGGAGGCCACATTCAGCCCCCAGGTGTGTAGTCCCCCCCCCCCGTGCAGGTGGCTGTGATAAGGTCATGGCAGCAAAGGGTGTGGGAACCTGTGGTCCTCCAAATGTTGTTGGACCACAACTCCCATCATCACTGACCATTGGCCCTACTGGCTGGGGGCTGATGGGAGTTGGAGTCCCAAGCACTTCTGGATTGCCCTGGATCAGGGAGGGCTGCCTTAGGTTGTAAGCCTGCAGTCTAGCCCGACTGTGTTGGTTTACAGTTCCTAAGTGCTTCTTGTTGCTTGTAACAATACCAATAAAAGGCATTTATCCTTAATGTTCTCATTAATGAGCAAATTAATTTAAAAAACCCAGTTCTTTTAAGGCAATTTCTTGCTTAACGGGGCTTGTGGATGAACAGCAGGCACCACTGTCCACTTTTGGAGCAAGCAGGTGCTGTTTCAGCACCATGGATAGCGGCTCAGATGCAAATCTTTAGGGCAGAGGCTGTTGTATACCCTTGTCTTTTTCTCCTTGCTATGTGGCTTTGGGGAGTTTTGAAGTCCCAGTGAGTGGCATATTCTGTCTGACACTCCCCCCCCCCCGCCCTTGATCATTCACCTGCCAAATGGTGGCGCTGGAGGGAACCAGGACATTGCAGCTGCCTTGGACGCTGATGACAATAATAATAATAATAATAATAATAATAATAATAATACAGTGGATGTTCAGGATGTGAACGTGATTTGTACGGGATGCACGTTCACAACCCGCAGCATTCACAACCCGCGTCTGCGCATGTGCGGGTTGCAATATGCGCAAAGTGCAATTTAGCGCTTCTGCGCATGCGCGGCCGCCGAAACCCGGAAGTAACCTGTTCTAGTACAGTGGTGCCTCGCAAGACGAAATTAATCCGTTCCGCAAGAGTCTTCGTCTAGCGGTTTTTTCGTCTTGCGAAGCAAGCCCATTGACGGATTAGCGCTATTAGCGCTATCAGCTGTTTAGCGGCTATTAAAGGCTTAAAGGCTTAGGGGATTAGCTGCTAAAAGGCTATTAAAGGCTATTAAAGGCTTAGCAGATTAGATAAAGGGGGGGAAAAGCAAAAAAAATCTCAGGACTCGCAAGGTATTTTCGTCTTGCGAAGCAAGCCCATAGGGGAATTCGTCCTGCGAAGCAACTTCAAAACGGAAAACCCTTTCGTCTAGCGGTTTTTCCGTCTTGCGAGGCATTCGTCTTGCGGGGCACCACTGTACCTTCAGGTTTCTGCGGTCCGCAACCCGAAAAGACACAACCTGAAGTGGCTGTAACCCAAGGTATGACTGTATTGAGGACAACAATAGCAGCAGCAGCAGCAGCAACAACAACAACTGTACCCTGCCCATCTGTCTGGGTTGCCCCACCCACTCTGGGCAGCTTCCAACAGAATATAAGAGAACACACAATACATCAAAAACTTTCCAATATAGGACTGCCGTCAGATTTCTGTGGCAGGTTGTATAATAGTTTCTGTCTTTGATATCTGATGGGAAGGCATTTCACAGGGCAGGCGCCCTGTGCTGTCTATTATTACGCTTTGTATTATGTTTTTATTATTATGGTTGATAAAATGTCTTCTTAATGTTGTACACTGCCCTGGGATCTTTTGATAAAGGAGGATATGTCAATCAAATCAATCAATCAATCAATCAATCAATCAATCAGGGCTGAAGAATCTTTTATGTCTGTGATTGCGGGGGGACAGAGAGGCGAGAGTGGGCAGAGATAGGTTTGTGTCTACACACCCGTTCCCCTCTCTATCCTCCCCTCAAGACAAGCCAGAGGCAGTATCAGAGTTCAAGTGTTGGTGCTGACCTTTAAAGCCCTAAACGGCCTCGGTCCAGTATATCTGAAGGAGCGTCTCCACCCCCATCGTTCTACCCGGACGCTGAGGTCCAGCGCCGAGGGCCTTCTGGCGGTTCCCTCACTGCGAGAAGCAAAGTTACAGGGAACCAGGCAGAGGGCCTTCTCGGTAGTGGCACCCTCCCTGTGGAACACCCTCCCACCAGATGTCAAAGAGAACAACAACTACCAGACTTTTAGAAGATATCTGAAGGCAGCCCTGTTTAGGGAAGCTTTTAATGTTTGATGTATTACAGTATTTTAATATTTTTTTGGAAGCCGCCCAGAGTGGCTGGGGAAGCCCAGCCAGATGGGTGGGGTATAAATAATAAATTATTATTATTATTAGGACACGCCCAAGCAAGAAAAAACACACAACGAGGGTGCAGAGCAAGGCCAGCAGGAGTGTGTGGCCTTGGGGATAGAGGTGGGGTTGAGGAAGGGGCTGTGGCCTAGGGAGAGTTCCGAGGGCTAAGATTGAGAGGCCCGGAGGGTCACCTTGGTCCCCCAGGCCTGAGGTTCCTTACTATACAAAATGGTTGGAGGTATCAGCCAGAAACAAAACCGTGGGCTAGAAAACAAAAATACTAATGGTAGTAGCCGCAAGGGCAAGGATTTCTGTCCTTGGGGAAATTCAAAACAGCAGCCACGGGGATTTGAAAGCGGCTGCAGCAGCAGTGCAAACAGGAAGCTGAGTTAATATTTGGGTTGGATTTCTGGCTAACTCTCAGTGTTGTGTTTTGTTTTTGGTTCTCTCCTTCGCCTGCCAGGGGGCTGGCTGCACCGCCCTGGTAGTGGCTGTCGTGGCACGGAAGCTGGAGCTCACCAAAGCTGAGAAGCACGTCCACAACTTCATGATGGACACGCAGCTCACCAAGCGGGTAAGCGGACTGCGAGCATGTGGAGGGAGACCCTCCCGCGAGACACCCCGTGGTTCAGTGCATGCACAAGGTCCCAGGTTCAGGCCCCAGCATCTCCAGGTCAGACTGGGGAGCTGCTGTCGGTCAGTGTAGACAAGATTGAGCTGGGTGGACAGTGGTCCCAGGTTCACTTAAGAAAAGCTGGTATTCAGGGGTAGACTGCCTCTGATGCTGGAGGTTCATAAGAAATCACGGCTAAGAGCTGCCGATAGACAGACCCTCCACAAAGTTGTCCAGCCTGGGACTTGAGTACCTGATATTACAGCAATGCTAATTGGCAATGGAACGGGTCCAATGTAGACATTAAAATATTCCAGTTTTGTTCCTCCTTATGCTTGGATTTGGCGGAAAAGGCTGCATCAGAACCTTCTTTTTTTAGGCTGTTGCTTTTGCCTAGCAACTTCCTCGCACTTCCCTTCTGGTCCTCCGGGGCCACCTCTCTCCCCCCCTCCCCCTTCCGCCAGATTCATTATCTAAATTGCTTTCTCTCCGGCCTCTCTGGATAATTTTGCTTGCTTATGGAAGGCTTTTTTTAGATGAGGCGGAGAACAGGAGCTCTTGTTCCCCAGGGGCAGGTTTTGCAAGATCCCTGAGCTGCCCGAGGTTGGAGCCGGGAGAAATGTCAGAGGTGTTTTCTTTGAAGGGGAGTGAGAAAAAGAGGAGAACGGCCTGAAAGGCTTGTTCGGAGCAGGCAGGGACTGTGTGCATGTCCATCAGGGGAGCACTAGAGCAAATTAATGATTCGAGAAGCTGTTTCTTCAGAGGCCCCATATCATGACAAGTTCCCCAACACTTCCAGGCCTGCGTGAAGATCTCCCAGGTCTCGTGCATGTCAGACAACTGGAGGGGGAGAGAGATTTATCTGGCAAGGCAGCATCAAGGTGTTAATAAGGATTTTGTGTGCCAATTGTATTTTATGTATTTGTTTCTTCTGGGTTTTGTTTTTAAAGTACTCTTAATTGGATCAGATCCCAGAGCAGGATACATTTTTCAAAGCATTCAACATTTTGGGGGCGAAGGGGTGTCATCAAACAACTCATTTCCCTTGGGGGTAATCCTTTGGGGGCTGCATGATGATTGTAAAGGTAAAGGGACACCTGACCATTAGGTCCAGTCAAGACTGACTCTGGGGTTGCGGCGCTCATCTCGCTTTATTGGCCGAGGGAGCCAGCGTACAGCTTCCGGGTCATGTGGCCAGCATGACTAAGCCGCTTCTGGCGAATCAGAGCAGCACACGGAAACACCGTTTACCTTCCCGCCGGAGCGGTACCTATTTATATACTTGCACTTTGATGTGCTTTCGAACTGCTAGGTGTCAAGAGCAGGGACTGAGCAACGGGAGCTCACCCCGTCGCGGGGATTTGAACCACCAACCTTCTGATCGGCAAGTCCTAGGCTCTGTGGTTTAACCCACAGTGCCACCCGCGTCCCTTATGATGAGTGTGGGTAGGGCCAAAGTCAGAGGCAGACAAGATGAAACCCAAACCAGGACAGGGCCACCCCCCTTTCGCTCTTCCCTACATCCTTCCCATCTTTTTCCCCACCAGGTGGGATGCTGGGGGGGAAGGAACTGGCTGTTTTCAGAAGGAACCTGAACTGATTGCTTGCAGAAAGCTTTTAAGAGTGGGCCAGTGGCCACCTCAGACAGCCAGAAGTGGAGAACCTTACAAAAACACACACACACACACACACATATCATCTACAAGCAAGAGTTGTAAGTCACTATAGAAATAAATTATGGGGAAACTGTTTGTCCCATCTCACGAAAACAAATTCAAGTAGGTTTTGAGGATTTTAAAATGACAGAAATCCTGTCATTTTTATGCTAAATAATATTTTCTTGCAGAATGTTACGACCCGGTGTATTTTTTTCCTAGAGCAGCTTTGTTAATAATTGTCAAATGATTTATTTGTTTTATTTAAAAGAGGGTTGTGCCAGCCACAATAAGGAAATAAACCCCTCCAAAAGAATCTCCCCAGAAGATCCAAACAAACTGACAGATCTGTAAAGGGGCAGACAGCCTTCCAGGTAATAGGGAAAGAAAACCTCTCCCTTAAACTAAACCCAGTACCAAATCTACAGAAGATCATCCCAGGAGAGTTCTTAGTATGAGGAAGCCTATCTTCAATTTTACACTCACTGAGATGCAACATGCAATCAGCCAGCCTCTTCCTTCTCCAGCTCCACCCAGGCACGGACATAAGTTTCACAGGTGATGAGCAAAGCACAGCTCCCAATCCATCATTTTTATGTTACACATGCATGGTGGGTTTTCTGCCCTCCCAGGTTGCTAATTCCAGGAATCCATTTTCTTTGAGAGTTTTTCCGAAGGAGCCCTTGTGCGTATCAAGAATGATTCATGGACAGAACCGGCTTTCCCCGCCTCAAAGCTGCTTCTTTTTAGCTCCTTGAAAAGAAAAAGAAAAAAGACGAACTGTGAAGGGGGAGTCGAGAGAGCAAGGATTGCTTTTTCACATCTCCCTAGACATGGGGGTGGCAAGAGACCCTTGCCCTCTGAAAGACCGGGTACATAGCTTGCGGGTACTTCTGAGTCCTTTGCTGTCATTTGAGGTTCGGGTGGCCTCAGTGGCACAGAGTGCCTTCCATCAGCTTCAGTGGTAGAGAATCTTTGCCTTGCATGCAGAGGGTCCCAGCTTCAATCTCTGACATCTCCGGGTAAGGTTGGGAGGGACCCCCAACCCTGGAGAGCTGCTGCCAGCCTGTGTAGGCCACAAGTGGGGAACCTTTTGCCACCCCCAGATGTTACTGAAGTATAACTCCCAGCACTCCTAGTGAACATGGCCAAAGACCAGGCATGATGATGATGATGATGATGATTACTTATACCCAGTGCTTCCCCCCCCCCCAAAAAAATGTTTAGGGGTACTCTCATTTTCCTACTCATATTGAAATACTGCCCCTCAATGAGGCAAAACTTAGATTTACAAAATGTTTAGGGGTATGCGTACCCCCAGAAAGAAACAACATTGCTTATACCTACCCACCTGGCAAGGAAATCAGCCCTGAGTGCTCCCTGGAAGGACAGATCCTGAAGCTGAGGCTCCAATACTTTGGCCACTTCATGAGAAGAGAAGACTCCCTGGAAAAGACCCTGATGTTGGGAAAGACTGGGGGCACAAGGAGACGACAGAGGATGAGATGGTTGGACAGTGTTCTCGAAGCTACCAGCATGAGTTTGACCAAACTGCGGGAGGCAGTGGAAGACAGGAGTGCCTGGTGTGCTCTGGTCCAGGGGGTCACGAAGAGACAGACATGACTAAACGACTAAACAACAACAAACAACCCATCTGGCTGGGTTGCCCCAGCTGCTCTGGGTGGCTTCCAACAGAATATAGAAAACATAATGAAACGCCAAACATTAAAAACTTCCCAATAGAGGGCTGCCTTCAGATGTCTTCAGAAAGCTGTATAATAATTGACTGAGTCAGACCACCAGTTCAGTACTGTCTACACTGACTGGCAGCCGTCTTCCCAGGTTCCAGGCAAGATTCTCTTTCTTTGGGGCAGGAAACTGCACTGCTGCTGCTGTGAGCTGCCTGTCTGCCCCTTCCGCCAGTTGCCAGCCCCACCCCCACCCCCTTTGCAAATGTCTCCATAGCCCTGTAAATTAAAAAGGTATTAGCTGCTCGGTGTGGCATCTCCAGGGCTGGGGAATCAAAGTGGAAATTGAGTTGTTATTGGCATTAGCTTAACCACACATTGCAGATAATTTAATTGGATCCAGAAGGAAGCTCCTTTCCTCCAGAAGGAGGGGCTCTGCCGCTTAGCGGGCAGGTCACATGCTTTGCATGTAGAAGGTCACAGCTTGAGTCCTCAGCGTCCTCTGTTAGAACAGGGGCAGGGGCCCTGTGGCACTCTGGATGTTGTCGCTGCCCCCATCAGACCTTGCCAGCGAGGCCCAGGGTTCAGGGACAGGCAGGAGCCATCATCCAGCAGCAGCATCTGGAGCATAGGTAGGCAAACTAGGGGCCAGATCCGGCCCAATTGCCTTCTAAATCCGGCCCGCAGACGGTCCAGGAATCAGCGTGTTTTTACATGAGTAGAATGTGTCCTTTTCTTTAAAATGCATCTCTGGGTTATTTGTGGGGCATAGGAATTCGTTCATATTTTTTTCAAAACATAGTCCAGCCCCCCACAAGGTCTGAGGGACAGTGGACCAGCCCCCTGCTGAAAAAGTTTGCTGACCCCTGATCTGGAGGGTCAAGGATTCCATGCCCGTGAGTTAGAAGAGGTGTTCAGATCTTATTTTTGCTTACTGTATTTTTCGCTCTATAGGACGCACCAGACCATAGGATGCACCGGACCGTAGGAGGGGGAGAACAAGAAAAAACATTCTCCCCCTCTCTGCTCAGCGCCCCTTCAGTGAAGTGGCAGGAGAAACGGCGCCCCTTCCATTTCTCCTCCCGCTTGGCTGAAGGGGCGCTGCGCAGCTCTCCCTCTCTACTGAAGCCTGGAGAGCCTTGCTCTCCTGGCTTCAGCAAAAGGAACCCGAAGCCTCCGGAGCACAGCGCGAGTTCCTGCTGCGCTCCAAAGGCTTCAGGCGGCTATCCCTGAAGCCTGGAGAGAGAGAGGGGTCGGTGTGCACCGACCCCTCTCGCTCTCCAGGCTTCAGCAAAAGCAACGCGAAGCCTTGGAGCGTTCCCTCTGCGCTTCGGAGGCTTCGCATTGCTATCCCTGAAGCCAAGGAGCCTGCATTCGCTCCATAGGACGCACACACATTTCCCCTTAATTTTTGGAGGGGAAAAAGTGTGTCCTATAGAGCGATAAATACGGTAACTACAACTCCCATCAGCCCCAGAGAGCATAACCAACGGCTGGGAGTGATGGCAGTTGTAGTTCACCAACTCCTGGAGGGCCAACCGTTCCCCACACCTGCTCTAGGGTAGTGGTTTTGGGACACCTGGGTTCTTGTCCACACTCGGCCATGAAGGTGACCTTGGGCCAGTCTCTGACTTAGCTTAGCCCACCTCCCAGGGGTGTTGTGGCTTAAAACAGGGAGAAGGACAAGCATGCAACTGCCTTGAGCTCCTTGGTGGAAAGCTGGGATATAAATATGAATGAATTAATCATTAATATGATGATAATAATAATAAAAAGCAGAGACATCACCTTGCCGACAAAGGTCCGTATAGTTAAAGCTATGTATGGAAGTGAGAGCTGGACCATCAAGAAGGCTGATCGCTGAAGAATGGATGCTTTTGAATTATGGTGCTGGAGCAGACTCTTGAGAGTCCCATGGACTGCAAGAAGATCAAACCTCTCCATTCTGAAGGAAATCAGCCCTGAGTGCTCACTGGAAGGACAGATCCTGAAGCTGAGGCTCCAAGACTTTGGCCACCTCATGAGAAGAGAAGACTCCCTGGAAAGGACCCTGATGTTGGGGAAAATGGAGGGCACAAGGAGAAGGGGACGACAGAGGACGAGATGGTGGGACAGTGTTCTCGAAGCTACCAGCATGAGTTTGACCAAACTGCGGGAGGCAGTGGAAGACAGGAGTGCCTGGTGTGCTCTGGTCCATGGGGTCACGAAGAGTCGGACACGACTAAACTATAAACAACATAACAATTATAATTACCGTATTTTTCGCCCTATAGGACGCACTTTTTCCCCTCCAAAAATGAAGGGGAAATGTTTGTGCGTCCTATGGGGCGAATGCAGGCTTTCGCTGAAGCCTGGAGAGCGAGAGGGGTCGGTGCGCACCGACCCATCTCACTCTCCAGGCCGCGCACTCTCCGCAAGCAGCGGGAGCCCAGCGCTGGGCTCCCGCTGCTTGCGGAGAGTTGCCTGCATGCTGAAGCCCGCGCACGCTGAGCTCAGCACGTCCAGGCGTCGCGCACCTCTCAGCAAGCAGCGGGAGCCAGCGCTGGGCTCCCACGGCTTGCAGAGAGCTGCCTGTTTGGGGGCTGGGGTCGGGGGAAGCTCGGGCTTCCCCAGCCCCGCGCCTGGGGGGGAGGAATAATTTCCCCCCCTTTATTTCCCCCCCAAAAAACTAGGTGCGCCTTATGGGGCGGTGCGTCCTATAGGGCGAAAAATACGGTAATACTGCTAATAGACAGGGGTAGGCTGCATGTAACTGCCACACAACCCCAGCCAGCATGATCGGTTTAGGCTGGTGGCCCAGCTACAACCAGACCGGGGCTTGGGGTAACTTGGCTACAGGAATCTGTGGCCCCAGTGGTAACTGGAAGGTCGGACTACTCCAATGTGCTTTAAAAATGACTCAGAAGCCTCAGTTAGGACCGAATGCGGCTGCCCGACTTGTTGACAGCTTCGAGGCAAACAAGATCGCATGACACCAATTCTGTTAACAGCTACATTGGCTCCCCATGCAATTCAGAGTGCTGGTTTTGACCTAGAAAGCTCTTTACAGCTCAGGACCCCAATACCTCCTGCAATGCCTCTCCTGATTTCAACAAACCCAGGCCATTAGAGTTTCTTTGAGATCCTTCTCTGGGTTGAGGGAATGGGTGACAAGGGGCTTATTATTATTATTATTATTATTATTATTGTTGTTGTTGTTGTTGTTATTAAACCTGCCTTCACCCTAAGGTCCCAGGGCAGGTTACAGCATTAAAACACAGTATTAAAAACAGTTTTAAAAATACAATTAGAGTTAAACTGGATGCAAAATTTTGCACAGCAACTCATTACCAGAGGGTTAGGGAATCTCTGGCTCCCCGCCCTCGCTTGTGTTGGCGTATTTTTTGGGTCAGACCATTAGCCCATCTAATGCAGCTCCTTCTGTGTATCTTGGGCTGGCTGCTTTTCAGATCCCAGGATGCCACGCTTTGGCCTGGGGCGTCCCCAGAAACGCAGCACACAAGAGTGCCATTCAACACGTGCAGAGTGCAGTTCCTTCTGTACTAAGAATTGTCACCCATCCGGGATTAAAAGGGAGGCAGAGAGGCCTTCGTGGAGAGAGCGGCGGCATGGAGTCTGGATCTCAGGGCTGGCCCACCTCAGAGCCTCTCCCTTTACAAATTAAACCCACGAAAATGGCTTATGCAATAAAGGGGACCTTTCAGACATACCAAATATATACCGTATTTTTCGCCCTATAGGATGCACCAGCCCATAGGACGCAGCTAGATTTGGGGGGGGGGGGAATAAAGGGGAAAAAAATTATTTCCCCCCCAGGCACGGGGCTGGGGCGGGGGAAGCCCGAGCTTCCCCCGACCCCAGCTCCCAGAACGGGACCCAGAGCGATGCCGAAGCTGCGGGGCTGGGGGAGGGGGAAGCCAAAGGACCCTCATCAGCTTTTACAGTTCCAGTAATTCTTTGGGGGAAGCCGCGATGGTTAAAAGTGGTATCATAGCTCTTTGAATGCAAGGCGTGAATGTGTTCTGGGTTAACCACAGCCAGCCTCCACACCTCTTAACACTGATTTGCAGTTGTGAAATTTTACGGAGGTAGCCACTAGCTCAGGGAAAAGCCGTCCCGACAAATGGCGTGTCGGGCTCATCAGTGGCTCTGAGCTGTGGTTTCAAAATGGAACCTCTTTGGGCAGGGACAGTCTACCTTTTCCAGGGAGTGTTCTATTTGTGTGTGTGTGTGTGAGAGAGAGAGAGAGAGAGAGAGAGAGAGAGAGAGAGAGAGATGATTAAGAGGGCCTACTCAGCCCTCATTGGACAGTTTTGGGGTCGTCGTCCCCACTTTTAGGATTATTTTTTTTTGCAAATAAAGATCTGCTGTTTTATACAAATGTTGAACTTTATCCCAGACTGCTGGTCCCTCCTCCTTGGGCCTGGAAGGAACAAAATGTCAGCTGCAAAAGAATTGGCACGTTTTACCTGAAGATGGAAAATACTTGAAAAGCAATTGTAACAAACAGATTACGCTAGTAGGATTGCAAGAAGTTCTGTAAGGAGGACTGTTTGAAATATTGCAAGAAAGACTATGAAGAGAATCATTAGTTAATGATAATTAAGAGTAATAGAGAAATTAAGAAATGCAGAATAAGTGATAAAGAACGGGAAATCATCAGAGGTTGTTGACGGAAGTCTAAAACATTGTGTAAGATAAGAAGTTAGGTTAAATGGTTGTTGAAAATGATATGTAAAAAAACCAATAAAAATGTATTTTTTAAAAAAAGGAAAATAAAGGGCTTGGTGAGAGCCCTCTGCTCTGTGAGCCTGCCTAATCCTTCATAGAGCATAAGATCAATGGTTGGCTATGTGCTGTTTTGGGGGAGGAAGAGAGGAAAGGAAAAGGTGCACTTCGCCTGGGCAGGTGAGCTAACCCCAGGGCCCTGCTTTTTCTTCTCTCCCCTTGCAGATCAAAAACGCGGCTGCCAACGTCTTGCGGGAGACCTGGCTCATCTACAAACACACCAAACTGCTGAAGAAAATTGACCACGCCAAAGTCCGGAAACACCAGAGAAAATTCCTCCAAGCCATTCATCAGTAAGCTGGGCTCTTTTCTCCTCTGTTCCGCCACGCTGGCATCTCCTAACTATAAGGGATAGCAGGTTGCAGAGCCTGCCGAGAGCTGCTCCTGGGACGTCAGGAGTCGCTGTAGCCATTTGGAGCAAGGGTTTTCTGCGCTAGGGGCAGCAAAGGGCTGCTTCCGCCCTAAGGAAGCTGAGGAAGGGCTTTGGGTCCGTGGAACAGCAGCCGCCTTGCACGCAGAATGCTGTGAGTTGAGTCCACAGCATCCCCAGGTTGCTGTTTTGGGAAAGAAAAGTTAAAAAAAAAAAGTCAGTTAACAAGTGACAGGGGAAACAAGATTTACCAACTATCGAAGAATGGCAGATGAAGATGATGGACTATATGGAACTTGCCGAACTGACCGGGAGACTCCGAGACCAGAGAGAAGAGACGGTGGAAGAAGATTGGAAGAAGTTTAAGGAATATTTGAAAAAATATGTTAATAAATCTTAGGATAGCTTTGGAAGTGGATATAGGCTGTAGGGTTAGAAGTAGAAGATAACGTATTTTATAAGTGATGAAATGTGAAGTTTTTATGGTTAAAGTAAGTGTGTGGGGGAGATGGTTAGAAATTATGATATATGTAAACTGTTAAAGATGAAGTAAACTGAAAATCAGATAGGTGGGATAAAATAAACCGTCCCGGTGCGGGTGCAAATTTAGCCAGCAGAAGATTAATCCAGGATGGCGTACAGGTGAATGGGAAGGGGCTCATCTACGGGTCTTCCTCCGGTAGCGCCGCCAGCAGTGTTTGACCTCCAGGCAAAGGCTCGGCTTGCCAATGTTCTAGTCCTCATTGAGAACCCAGCAAGGCAACAGGTGGAATCAGAGCTCTGGGCTTTGGATTGGGTGGGCAGGCGGGACGCACCTTTTAATGCCCGCAAGCTGATTGGTTGCTCTTTCGCCCCTTTTCCAGGTTAAGGGGTGTGAAGATGGAACAGAGGAAACTGAGTGACCAAGCCAACACCCTGGTCGATCTTTCTAAGGTAACCGTCTCTCTCTCTCTTTCTCTCTCTCCCAGGATTTGAGACAGGAGTGGGGAACCTTTTCCCAAAACCCAAGAGCCACATTCCCTTCTGGGCAACTTTCCAGGGGCCACGTGCCTGGGGTGGGCGGGGCCAGAGGCAAAAGTGGGTGGAGCAACGAATGCAGATTTTACCTTTATACAGTAGGCTAGTTTCTGCATATGTTCTCGTCCAAAGAGGCATTATCTAGAGCTCAGGAATGGCAGAAACGCTAAAGGAGGCAGGTCCAGGGAATGGTGTGGCCTGGGGAACAGAAGTGCTTTGGGGAGGGTCCTAGGGGCCAGACAGAGGCTCAGAGGGCCACAATTATTATTATTATTATTATTATTATTATTATTATATTAAAGTAAAGGGTAAAGGGATCCCTGACCATTAGGTCCAGTCGTGGCCGACTCTGAGGTTGCGGCGCTCATCTCGCTTTACTGGCCGACGGAGCCGGCGTACAGCTTCCGGGTCATGTGGCCAGCATGACTAAGCCGCTTCTGGCGAACCAGAGCAGCGCACAGAAACGCCGTTTACCGTCCTGCCGGAGTGGTACCTATTTATCTACTTGCACTTTGACGTGCTTTCGAACTGCTAGGTTGGCAGGAGCAGGGACCGAGCAACGGGAGCTCACCCAGTCGTGGGGATTCGAACCACTGACCTTCTGATCGGCAAGTCCCAGGCTCTGTGGTTTAACCCACAGCACCTTCTAAACCACTGTCTCCAGGCTATTTACACACAAACAAATAGAACAGTTAAAGACCCATTGAGCTTGGCCTGGTTGCAGAATGCCAACCAATGCAAATTCCTCCTGCACCTCAGGTGTCCATACACTAGCAGGAGTTTGCCCCCACAAGCCGCTGTGTTCTGCAACAGCAGCCTCCAGACCAACCCCCAAGGGCAGCCCCACAGAGAGCTCATTGCGGCAATCAGGTTACCAGTGCATGGACCCCTGCGGTCCAGGCCGGAGGTCCCGCCATGCCTGATTTAGGAAATGGGGGATAGGATGAGGTGATTTGAGTCCTACAGGATGTATCTGTGGACTGGCTTGGACTTATACCATGCCCGACATCAGGATGGTGCCAAAATTGCATTTGTTGCTACAGTGGTACCTCAGGTTAAGAACTTAATTCGTTCTGGAGGTCTGTTCTTAACCTGAAACTGTTCTTAACCTGAAGCACCACTTTAGCTAATGGGGCCTCCCGCTGCCACAGTGCCACCGCCGCGCGATTTCTGTTCTCATCCTGAAGCAAAGTTCTTGACCCGAGGTACTATTTCTGGGTTAGAGGAGTCTGTAACCTGAAGCGTCTGTAACCCGAGGTACCACTGTACTTGGGTTTTATCTGAAGATGCTCACCAAAGGATCCCCAGAAGGGAGATGAGGGTACCCCACACTGCAGCCGTGATCTTTCTTCCGAGCCAGCTCCAGTCCTGGACAAGGCTGCCTCCTCCCCCTTGCCCGAAATCCGTTCCTCCAGCCTCTCTCGACTGCATGGGGATTCTGAGTCAGGGAGTGGTGGCAGAGGTGGGAGGCAGCGATCTGGCACCTTCCATGCGGGGCTTCCCCGAACGTTTGGTTGCCAGGCAACCCTGTGGAAGGAAGTGATAACACACTCTCTTCTCGGCTCAGACCTGCGACGGGTGGCGGTGTGTGGAGCAGGGAAAGAAATGTGTTTACCTAATGGAGCTCACTGCTTCCTTGCTTGCTTATTGCTTGCTTGCTTGCTTAAACGGCCTTGGTCCAGTATATCTGAAGGAGCGTCTCCACCCCCATCGTTGTACCCGGACACTGAAGACTAGCTCCGGGGGCCTTCTGGCGGTTCCCTCACTGCGAGAAGCCAAGTTACAGGGAACCAGGCAGAGGGCCTTCTCGGTAGTGGCACCTGCCCTGTGGAACGCCCTCCCACCAGATGTCAAAGAGAACAACAACTACCAGACTTTTAGAAGACATCTGAAGGCAGACCTGTTTAGGGAAGCTTTTAGTGTTTGATGTATTGCAGTATTTCAATATTTTTTTGGAAGCCACCCAGAGTGGCTGGGGAAGCCCAGGCTGATGGGCGGGGTATAAATAATAAATTATTATTATTATTATTATTATTATTATTATTATTATGAACATTGAGAAGAGCCTGGCCGCTGGATCAGGCCAATGGCCCATCTAGTCCAGCATCCTGTTCTGACAGTGGCTGGCCAGCTGCCTCCATGGGAAGCCCCCAAGCGGCGCCTGAGCCCCAGAGCTCTCTCCCCTCCTGTGTTTTCCAGCAGCTGGTATTCAGAAACATTCCTGCCTCCCAACTAGCCTTTGTGGCTAGTAGTTGTTGATAGCCCTATTCTCCGTGAATTTGTCAGGCCTCTTTTTTTAAACCATCCAGGTTTGTTGGTTCTTGAAGTCTGTACCACCATTCCTAGATACTTACAATTTGTGACTTGTTCTAATTTATGGCCTTGGAAGTTCCCAGCTTCTAAGCTTTGGTTTTTCCCTGAAAGCGAGTATCTTTGATAGTTGATTTTGAGAGGTTCAGTTTCACAGCATGCTGCGGGTTTTCTTAGTGCTCTTTTGAGTCCAATGGGGGTTCTAGATAAAATTGCTTTCCTTCTGGGATTGTACCCCCAAGTGTGTTTTATAAACTGGTCTCTGACCGCAATAAATTATCTGTCTATCCATCCAATCATCCAGGTTGCTGGCCATCCCTGTGGAACTGAGGCCTACACGCTTATCCCCCTCTGTCCTCCCATCTAAGCAAGCAAAGAGGCCTTGCTGGTTTTCATGACACGTTCCAGCCAGGCAAAAACACTTGAGGAGGGTGCAAAGCAGGGCTGGTGAAGGGGCGTGGCCTGGAGAGACAGGGATAGCTTGAGGAGAGAGGGTATCCCCAAGGCTTGTTAAAGGTAAAGGTAAAGGGACCCCTGACCATTAGGTCCAGTCATGACCTACTCTGGGGTTGCGGTGCTCATCTCGCTTTATTGGCCGAGGGAGCCGGCGTACAGCTTCCGGGTCATGTGGCCAGCATGACTAAGCCGCTTCTGGCGAACCAGAGCAGCCCACGGAAATGCCGTTTACCTTCCCGCTGGAGCGGTACCTATTTATCTACTTGCACTTTGATGTGCTTTTGAACTGCTAGGTTGGCAGGAGCCGGGACCGAGCAACGGGAGCTCACCCCATCGCAGGGATTTGAACCGCCGACCTTCTGATCGGCAAGTCCTAGGCTCTGTGGTTTAACCCACAGCGTCACCCGCGTCCCTCCCCAGGGCTTGTTAGAGAGGGCCAAACTACAGTTCCCAGGATTCTTCTGGGGGAATCCCGACTGTTAAGGGTTCTGGGGGTCTTTAGGAGAGCCACCCCCCCAACTTAAATAAAATATTGGAGGCGGCCGGTAAGCCCTGCCCCACATAATCACATGACACTGCACACACCCCATTTGAATGGAAATTGCCATTAACTTTTTTGGGGAGCAGCCCCCTCAGGTATTTTATTGGGGGCGACGCCCTTTCGGCCCCTATGAATTGGTTCCTAGGCCCACATTCCCCTCGCAGAGCTTCAGTTTCCACAATTTTTTCTAGAAAAAGACGGGCCGGGGCTCACCATGATCTTGTTCGCCCTTGTTCTCTTGTAATGGCAATGACGCCCACCTGAGAGTTGCCAGAACTGAGCTCCATCGAGTTCCAACTGAATAAAAGCCCTGATTTCCACAATGGTTTAACATTTAATCCCTCTTCGCAGGGAGCTCTGGAATTTGTAGCTCTCCAGGGGGGTTGCGGGGGTCTCCTAACAACTCTTCCCCCCCCCCTTTAAAAAAAATAATTATGATTTTCAGTTTTATGCATTTCAATAATTTTACAGTCATTTTAACGTTTCAAAACTTGACTTCCTTCCCTCTCCTTCTGCGGTTCCTTAAATTTATTTTTAATACCTTCTGCGTATCCAAATTAACTTATTCATTTATTCATCTACTTCAAATATATCCCCTTATGGAACTGCAGGTTATTACAATAATCCCACCTTTCCTCACAACTCTCAGTACCCTTCACAAACAACGGCTCCCAGAATCCTTTGCGGGAGCGAACCACTGCCGTTTGAAGTGGTATCATAGTGCTTTAAATAAATGTTGCATTTGTGGGATACAACCCTAAGTAACCCGAATAAAGGTAAAGGTAAAGGGACCCCTGACCATTAGGTCCAGTCGTGGCCGACTCTGGGGTTGCGGCACTCATCTCGCTTTACTGGCCGAGGGAGCTGGCGTACAGCTTCCGGGTCATGTGGCCAGCATGACTAAGCCGCTTCTGGCGAACCAGAGCAGCGCACGGAAACACCGTTTACCTTTCCGCTGAAGTGGTACCTATTTATCTACTTGCACTTTGACGTGCTTTCGAACTGCTAGGTGTGCAGGAGCAGGGACCGAGCAACGGGAGCTCACCCCGTCGCGGGGATTCGAACCGCCGACCTTCTGATCGGCAAGTCCTAGGCTCTGTGTTTTAACCCACAGCACTACCCGCGTCCCTTCTGACCTCAATGTAGCCTGCCAATTTGCCTCTTCTTTTTTTAAAAAAATAAAAATTCTTCTTTTAATTTTTTTTTTTTAATTAAACAGATGCAGAACGTCATGTACGACCTCATCACGGAACTGAACGACCGGAGCGAAGACCTGGAGAAGCAGATAGGCGGGCTGGAGTCCAAACTGGAACAGCTGAACAGCAGCTTCCACTCCCTGCCCTTGCTCATCACGGACGCTCTGTGCCAGCAGCAACAGCAGCTCCTGGCCACCATCCTCGAAGCCCGGGGGGTGAGCATGGCCGTGGGCGCCCCCCAGACGCCGCTTTCGGACAGCCCTTTGGGGGTCAGCTCAACCTCTTTCCCCACCCCTTATACCAGCTCCAGTAGTTGCTGAGCCCCGCCGGACGTGAGGGAAACGACCAAAACAACACACACACGCACACGTGGGTCTTTGTTATCCGTGTGGGGGTGTCAATCCTGGCCCCGAATGTGGGGGGAGGGGAGAGCAGAGGACCCCGGCCGCCGCCTTGTGGGGTCGCCTGGAAACAATGCGGGCTCGTCTCGGTGGTAGCGCCCCCTGTTGTCGGGGTGGGGTGGGGTGTGAAACGGGCGTTTTCGGCAGAGCCCCTCGCAGCGGCGTTCGGTGGACCGTAGGAATCCACGTTCAATCTCAGGTCTTCAAAAATCGAAAAACAAGCCAACTCCAAGGGCATCGATGCAACGGCGCAAGGTAGGGGGACCATTCCACTGTGTTGGACCCCAAGCCACTGGCATTGGGGTTGTTCATCTCCTTCTTTCTTCCCTGGTTGTTTTTATTTTTATTTTTAAAAAACATTCTTATTCCTTCTTCCCCTCCGCGCATTAAGTGTCTTGCCGAAGAAAGTCAAAAGGCGACCGGGGAGGTGGCGAATTGGCCGAAACACAGGTGCCCCCCCCTTCCCCCCTCCTCCTCTGCTGAATCTTGGCAAAGGTCTCGAGGTATCATTCCAGCTCCCTCAGAATTGGTTTTGCCAAAGAGACCGCCGTAAAGGTACCCTTTGTGGCCTCTTCTGCGTTGGGTCTTTTTTGTTTTGTTTTTTAAGAAAAAGGGGAAATGGCAGGTGTCACCTTTTGCTGAGGCCTAAGAAGAGTTACCTTGACTTGGAGAAATCGGAAGTTTTCCACCACTAAAGCTGTTCTTGGCGGAGACGAAGCAGCGATTTCGACGCATCCAGATGGGTTGGCGTTTGCCCTCCCCTCGCCACGGGCAAGGTGGTTGCCACTGAGGAAATGGGTTTGCTCAGATTCCGAGCGCTCCAAGAAACGCAAAGCGAAAGAGAAGTTGTTCTCCATCGTCCTCCCGAGAGAATCGCCCCAAGCCCCTTCAGCTCGCCAGTGGTGCTTTGAAAAATCACATCCCTTTGGACCACATTGCCATGACCCTTCTTTAAACGTTGCGGTTACCAGCCTGAACTGCGTTGCCGCTGCAGTTTCCAAGGGCCTATCCACATTACAAACCTCTCATCTGGGCTTCCCAGATTCATCAACTTTTTATTATTAGTAGGGCTTCCCTCTCCCCCTAAAAGCATCCTGGAAATTGTAGGTTTGTTTGTTTTTTATGGTGGTGGGCAGTCCTGCACTTTCAAAGGCTCCGCGGCTGACAGCCATTGGCGACTGAACTGGTTTGAACCCAGTTTAAATGTAATTTGCTATTGGCACTTAAATTGATTTGCTCCCGCTTTGAATTGCCATATAGACAATTCGGCTGCACACTGGTTAATGAAACGGCAGTCAAAGTGGTTGAACTGAATTGCCACTGGCAGTCAAATCAGTTCCAAGCCTGGTTTGAAATGCCACTGGCTTGCATTTGAAGGGTGTGCAAGCCCCGGGATTTTTCAGCAGACCAGTACAGGGGTGTGGAGTGCACAGCTTATTTGAAAAAACAATTACTAGGAATCATTAGGAAGCTGCCTAATGCAGAGTCAGACCCTTGGTCCATCTAGCTGTGTGCTGTCTACACTGACTGGCAGCAGCTGTCCAGAGTTTCAGTCAAGGGGGCGTATCCAGGCTCCGTTGGAGACACCAGGGATTGAACAGGTTCCCCGCCACCGCTGTCTAAGTCATGTCTGAATCCTACCATTGATTCATTGAGCCCAGGCTGAGCCCATCCCACTTGGCTACAGCCCATTTGGATATGCGTAAAATGCCACCGTTTGCATTAGTGGTTAGCATATCCCAACCTGACCCTACTTCGCAGGGGTGTTGTAAGGCTAAAGTAGAGAGGGGCCGAGAATTGTGCATGCCACCTTGATCTTCCCTGGAGAAAAGGGATACCATTTTGCAGTGTGCAAAATGTAAGGCCTTCCAAATAATTCATTTTTGGATATTAAAATCCCTCCGCACACCACGGGCTCAGATCTGGAGACTACCTGAAGGCTGGGGATGAGAAGGTAGCCCCAAGAATGCACATGTTTTCAGGGGAGACTATTAGATTCTCCCCTCCCTGCCCAAGTAACTTTGTGGCCCCGAGAACAGTTCAGAGAAGCAACCCACACTCCCCACACAGAGGTGGCAATGGCCTCGACCCAGCTTTGTTGTGTATGAAGCCTTAATGCTTAGCCCAGCCGCCTCGTGCTTAGAGTCATAGAAGTATAGAGTTAGAAGGCACCCCTTCTCCGGTCCCCTGCAATTCAGGAATCGCAGCCAAAGAATCTCTGGCAGATGTCTACCCAACCTCTGTTGAAAACCTCCAAGAAAGGAGAATCCACCACCTTCTTGTGTTGAACAGCTCTTCCCATTGGGAAGTTCTTCCTAATGTTTAGCCAGAATCACGTTTCTTGTAATTGGTTTGAGTCCTACCCTCCGGAGCAGGAGAAACCTAGCTTGTTCCCTCTTCCGTGTGACAGCCCTTGAGATATTTGAAGAAGGCTATCATATCTCCTCTAAGCCTTCTCTTTTCCAGGCTAAACATACCCAACTCCCTTAACCGTTCCTCATAAGGTTTGGTTTCCAGGCCCTTGATCATCTTGGCCACCCTCCTCTGCAAACCTTCTGGCTTCTCAATCTTCTTCTTAATCTGTGGTGCCAGAACTGGACAGAGGATTCCAGGTGTGGTCTGACCAAGGCAGAATAGAGTGGTACTATTACTTCCCTTGATCGGGACACTATATACTTCTGTTGATGCATCCTAGAATGGCATTAGTATTTTTTGCTGCTGCATCACGCTGTTGACTCATATTCAGCTTGTAGTGCACCAAGACTCCTAGACCCTTTTCACATATGCCAGTGGCAGGTGTCCCCCACCTTATATTTGTGCAGCTGGTTCTTCCTTCCTAGGTGGAGAATCTTAACATTTGTCCCTATTGAAATTGTCAGTTTGGTTCCAGTTCTCCAATCTGTCAAGGCCATCTTGCAACCCGATTATCTCTTCTGCAGCTATAGCTATCCCTCCCAGTTTGGTGTCACCTGCTGCTGGTCAAAAGGGGTTTCTCCATTCTCCCGAAGGGGGCCCAAACTCACTCTTTTTACGCTGCCTGCTTTTAACACCCTTTTAACTCCCCAGAGACCCAGGGAAGCGGGTGGCGCTGTGGGTTAAACCACAGAGCCTAGGACTTGCTGATCAGAAGGTTGGCGGTTCGAATCCCCGCAACGGGGTGAGCTCCCGTTGCTCGGTCCCTGCTCCTGCCACCCTAGCAGTTCGAAAGCACGTCAAAGTGCAAGTAGATAAATAGGTACCGCTCCGGTGGGAAGATAAACGGCGTTTCCGTGTGCTGCTCTGGTTCACCAGAAGCGGCTTAGTCATGCTGGCCACATGACCCGGAAGCTGTATGCCGGCTCCCTCGGCCAATAAAGCGAGATGAGCGCCGCAACCCCAGAGTCGGCCACTACTGGACCTAATAGTCAGGGGTCCCTTTACCTTTAACTCCCCAGAGGGAGCGAGGAGCAAAACAGCCACAGCCCTCTGCTCTGAACCCTCCATTCCCTTTTGTCAAGGCGATTGTTGGCATCACCCAACCGCTACCACCTGCTTTTTTGTCAGGCAAATGCCTCCCTCTGTCACGGCTCCTCATTCAGGCTGTTTTGGGGGGGGCCTTGGCTCGGCTTCAGAGCCCCGCGAGGCGGCCGCTGGCTCGTTCCAGCGAGAGCTGAGCAGGTGACTCTTCATGTTCCCTTTGAACAGGCAAAGCAAGCGTGTAATTGCTCAGCGATATTAATTACGCGCCGCCCCGCGGCTCCGGTTAATTGCGAGCCAAGAAAGGGGAGGGAGAAAGCACCCCAGGTAGATCTAAGTGCTTTTTAGCGATTTTTCGGCATGTGGGGTTTTTATTTCAGGGGAGGCGGGGGGGGATGAGCGGTCTTTTGTCAAAACTCCCCTTCAGCAGCTGTGTGTGGCTTTTCCGAACATCGCAGCGCCAGAAAGCATTAAACGGGGAAGAGGGAGGGAAGGAACCTCTTAGCGAGGATGGTAGGTGGCCCACATTCCTTGCAATTGAAGTTGCTTAGGAAACGGAGCGGAGCTTCAGGGCAGGATCCTTACAACGCCCACTGGATTCTCTCCCCCCACCACCACCACCATGCCAGTTTGGGGCTTTGGAGAGGCTTCGCCAGGAAATATTTGGAGGAAGGTTATATACGGTGCGAGCCACTTTGAGTCTTCTTGGTCAGTCCCCTGGCCTCCCAGAAAAGCTGGGATTTGTCTGAAGCGATCAGAACAAGGACATTTTGCCTGCCAGCCAGGGTACAGAGCACTTAGCTAGATGGGCCGAATGTTGCGACTCAATATAAGGCAGCTTCCCCTGTTTGGAAAGGAGCCGTGGCTCAGCACTAGAACATCCGCTTTGCATGCAAAAGGTCCCAGGTTCCGTTCCTGGCATCTCCAGTTGGACTGTTAATGTCCCCCACCTGGAGAGCAGCTGCCGGTCGGTGTCTGTGATACTGAGTTAGATGGGCCAATGGCCTGACTCTGTATTAGGCAGCCCATCCCTGCTTTCCTTCAGCTACATAAAAGCGAGTTAGGGCACCTCCATCGCGAGGAAAGGAAGATAGAGACTGGCTTCATGCTTGAGCATCTATGAGGACTAGAATATTTATTTTGAAGGGAAGGGCCGCCCCTCAGTGTTAAAGCATCTGTTTTGCAAGCAGAAGGCACCAGATTCAACCCCCGGTGTCTCCAGTTAGGGATGGGAATGCCCCTTCCCTGAAACCCAGGGCAGCCGCTGCTGCCAACCTGTGTCGACATCCCTGAGCTAGGTGGGAAAGTTGTCTGACTCTGTATAAAGCAGCTTCCTGTGTCTTTATTCCTAGCACTTCAACTCATCTGCATGTTTCTTTTTGCTGCAAATCCTCGTTTGGCAGCCCTGTGAGACAGGCAGGAGTCTTCTGGCCCCCATGCGGCAGATGTGAAGACGGAGGCTC